TTAATTAAGAGATGAAAAGAATATAAGTAAAACAAAAGAAAGTAGGAGTATAGTATCATATAATTAACTTACACCCAAATAATAGGTTATTAATTGTACTCTCTTTATTATTCGATTGTGTGCTCATTTAATCGAGAATAAATAATAAAAAAAATAAAAATATAAAATTTTACTTTTTAAAGTAAAAATAAAATAAAATAAAGTAAAAAATATGGTATCTTGTTATTAAAAAACGAGAATAAATTTATATATTATTACAAAAATAAAAATAAAAATAAATCTAGATGAAGAAAGCAATGGTATTACTCCACAGGAAAATTGAAAATTTATTGAGTACAAATGGGCAAGCAATGGAATTTATGGCAGCTATATTTAATAAGGTGGCAGATGCTTCTTATACCGTGTGCATGTAATAAATGCAAATAACGTACGTACGTTGAATTAATGCATGCATGCATGCGTATAAGAATGTTGACCTTCCAATTCCAAAGTTATACGCTGCACAACGGCCCACGCCCAACTTTAATCAATACTTTCACATTTGCTCATGTGCCAATCGAAACCGTCCACGTGTCCTGACCATGCTCTATCATAAACAGGGATGTTCGGTCAGGCCGACCTTAGACCATACTACTGAGTACCTGCCACATTGTTTAAGTGATTGGATTTTGAATTTAAAGGGTAAAATTTTAAATTTGAATAGTTACTTAAATATATATAAATAAAATTTATGTAATATTTTAAATTTAAATAATTTTTTTAATATAATATAAAAATAAAAGCTAAATATTTATTTTTATTTTTTTAAATGCTAATGATAAAAAATAATTAAGGTATGTTTCTTTAATCAATTTTTTTTAAAATTTACTATTTGGATTCATGTTTTTCGAAAAAAAATATATATTTTTTTTATAAAATATCTCATAAAATATTATTTTAATACTAAATTCAAATCAAATTTTACTACCATAAAATTAGGCTATAGTAGCGGTAAAAAAAGTCACGGTTTTAGTACAAATTAGTGATTTTTTACAAAAAAGTCATGGAAAAATATACAGAACCATTTCCGTTGAATTTTGCTGGTGACTTTTTTTAAGTTGTGACATTTATGTGACAATAAGTTATAAAATAATACCATGAAATGTCCGTGACTTTATATAGCAACATAAACTACAACAAAATTTCGTGAATATTTTATAATTGTGACATTAAGTTACGAAATAATACCATTGCACCTCAATGACTTTACATTAACGAAAGCTGTAACAATTCCGTGATTTTGTATCTTTGAAAAAAAATATAATTATATTATAATTTAATCTGCAAGTCAAAAAGTTTCGAACTAGTGACCTTATAGTTATTAAAGACTTACACGACCTGTCATGCCAACTTAGCTATCTACTTTAAAGTATTACTTTTTGTTTGTTATTATATTTTAACTATATAAATATTATTGATTATAATTTTTTTAAAAAAAATATATACATATTTATTTAATATATCATCATGAATTTTTAACAAAAAATTGAATAGCTACAAACGATATTGAATAAAAATATTGAAGATGATTTTATTATTTTGTTATTACTTTTAATAGATACGAATAACAATAAGAAAAATTTATAGTTATTTTTGTTACTTATGTTGCGACATTTGATTTTAAAAAGTCACGAAAATTATACTACGACAATATCTGTAATAATTTTAAATGTTGGAAATATTTTGGTTATTTTTGCCGCAACTTAAAATAGTCAATAAAAAATTTGGTGACAATTTTTGTGACGAAATAATCAAAAGACACGTAATAGAAATATCTTGGACATTTTCGTTACATAAGGCGTTACTTTAAATAGTCAGAGAAAGTTGTTTTTAGCTTTTTCAGCAAATATTACTTACGGAATAGTCAAAACAAAAAAATTGTGACATAAATTTGTCACGAAATTACTTTCTGTGACTTTTAATTGTCACGGATTAAAATTTACGATTAAATTTCCGCAATTATCAACCTTTTTTCTAGTAGTGTTTTCTTAAACTCAACCTAAAGAAATACACCCTAAATTACTCAAACAAATACTCTTTATAAATTTAAATTAATATATATTTAATTTAATAAATATGATCTCCAGACAAGAAAAATAAAATATCGTAACATTTCATGCAAAATTATCACAATGCCTCACTTTTATTTTTATACAATAAGTATATTAGAAATAATACTACCATAATAAAATAGAAAGTTATAAATATATATTAAAAATTAAAATGCATATAAATAGAAAATTATAAATAAATTTTATATTAACAAATCTATTTGGAAATAAAAGTTATGAATATTAAATTCAAATCTCTAGTTTTAAATTTGTACGGTTTCTATAAAAAAATATTTTATTAAAAAAATATTAAATTAAAATGATAACTAAAACTAAAAGAAAACGATATACATAAATGAGAAGTAAGCGCCCAATCAATGTTAGTCCGTGTCGACCCGATTCAAATTATTGACCACCGACTTGCGCCACCTCACAGTCAACACCCCCATCTTCATTTCACCAATCTTCTCTTTATTCATATTTTATTGTCCATAATTATAATATAATAAAAATAATTATAAATTAATATTAAATAATTATAAAATATATATTTTAAAATGTGATTAAAGTGTATAATTATATTTTAAAAAAAAAAGATAATTTATATGGGACAAACGGATATAAAAATAGTGGAAAAATTAAGTAGGACGAATGAAGTACTATGTGTATATATATATGCATACTGTAATTCATTTTAATTATATATTACTACGTCTGTCCGGCTCTAATAATCTCATTTTATTTTTTGTCTGTTAATATTTGAATATTAATTATTATATAAAAATGTAGTACAAATTAAGGGTAAATGACAAAAATACTTCTATTAGTGTCTTATAATACTGTTACAATGATATTTGTGAAAAAATTATACAAATATAATGATATTTTTAATGTTAGAAACTTCTGTATGTTAAGAAAATAATTAGTGACGCGTACCTCTAGTAATTTAAACTTGTAATTGAGACAGTTATTTCGATCATTCTACAATTCTTTTGCGTCTACTAATTATATGTTTATTTATGTTGGACTTTTAATAAATATAGTACTTATATAAAATAAAGATATTTTAAAATTTAATGAAGTGAATTTTTTTAATAAATTGAATTTGCAAGTAGTTATGACATTTATGTGAATTGATGTAATATTGAAATGTACTGTCCAACAATAATAATAAATATAAATTAATAAAAATATAAAATTATTTGTTATAAATAAAAATTATATAGTTTTTGTAACATTAAAAAAAAAAAAAAACATATATCTAGTGAACAAAGGAGTATTATTATCATTATTCATTAATGGTTTCTTATACTTTCCATTCATATAAAATAATATTTGGATACGAATTTTAATATACACATAATTATGTCATTTCAAATAAAATGATGTAATTATGATAAATGGAAAGAATATATGTTTTGTGAAAAATATATGAATAAGTTAATAATATAAAACTAAATATCTTAGGTAAACTAAATATAAAGATAATTATAGCATATAGATAAGTGTAATGTTAAGTGTTAATAATTAAAAAATGTACAAGATTTTTTGGGTTGAATTAAAAAAAAAATAAATAAATAAATTCAAGAAATGAACAACACATCTTTTAAATATTTATTGTTAATTTATTTTTATGTGTAAATAAATTCGTAAAAAAGAAAAAGAAAGAAGAGAGAGATTAACTTAAAGATAAATAGGAACAAAAGTGTGTGTAATTTTAAAAATAAAATAAATTAGTCTAAATTAATTAAATAAAAAATAGGGTTGAATTTGATTGATAAACAGTAGTAGAAGCACCACAAAATATTTAGTGTGGTAACTAACATTTACTATTTAGGGTTGGCCAAGTCTTGACAAATTTACATTTATTTAAGTTAATCCAAATTTAATGCAACCATCGTATTTATCACGATTCCAATTTATTAGCAGCAGATAAGATGAAGATAAGAAAACGATTTTTTTTTTTACATTTACTTTTGATGCAGTGTTAGTTAAAAGTAGTGTAATTACATTTTTGTCCTTATTTTTTTGTGTAAAAATAATAATGTGATGTAAAATAAGGGTATTTGTGAAAAAAAGTAGGATATTTAATGAAATGTTAACTTTGTAATTAGACGTCCCAAAATAAAAATATATAAATATGGTAAATGGACAAAGGGAGTATATTTTAAATAAAATTGCTTATAATCCAAAGAAATCGGAAAGTTGGCATCATATTCGTTTGTAATTTAGAAATTACCTCAAATTTACTCGTATTTTTTAAAAAATATTACATAAAATTCTTTAAAAATTGCATAATATTTATATATATTTAAAATTATTGTACAAAATCCCCCTAAAAAAGAAATATTGTGCAATTATAAAAATATAAGAGGATTTTATGCAAATTTTAAACTATAGGAGAAACAATGCAAAATTTTCAAATCACATGTAAATTATAAGTAATTTTAATATTTTTTTAATAATATTTCATTTATATATATGTCATAATTTTACATTAAAATATATAATTTTATAAATATATTTTTTAATTACTTAACAATTATATTTAATTTAAATTTTAGTATATTTGGTACACAATTTATCTAGAACGGAGGGACTATATTTATATAATTCAAATTCTTTTGGTATTTCCAACTATTTAATTTAATTAATTTTTTTATATTTCGAATCCCAACCTCAACCCCAATATACTCATTTATTAAGATACACCATATTCATTATATAAATTTATTTAAATTTCATACTTCAATCAATGCGATGATTAATTTTTATAGTTCGATAGGAAATTTCTGTCGATAGCTGTAATATTTTAATTTTTATAAATTAATTAATTAATAATTAAATAAATAAATAATAGTTGAAGTGTTGATTTAACATTAGCTAGCTTGTGCCTATAATAAACCCATACATTTCCCAATATTTCCACACTCCACACCTAATTAACTTCTAACTACCTTCATTTTTTCTCTCTGCAGATCATTGAGAACACAAATGGATTTTGCCAATTCTCCGGTGTAAATAGCCACCGCCTCCTCCACCGCCGCAGCCGCCCTGTCTGATCTTATCTCCGCCGTATAAGTAACCACTAGAATTTCATTCACACATGCGCACAAATTCAATGATTATATATTTAGGAAGATGTGCAGTGATTGTAGCTAGCGTACCTGCTTGATTGTATTGATTTTTTTGCGGAAGCGAGATTCAGTTGTGTTGTAGATGTCGAGAGTTATGGCGGAAACCGCGTCGTTGTCGCCGCCGGCGCCGCCTGGCGGTGGCGGTTCGTGTGGAAGGAATGAAGTGACGGTGGAGATGTCTGGTGTTATGGATTCGCCGTCGTCGGCGGCGTCGTACACGACGCTCGGTCACCTTCTCAAATGTGTAAGCGACGTGCGGAAGGAGGTGACCGGAGATGAGACGCCGGCGCACGCGGCGTTGGATATGAGCAGCTCTGTCGCCGATCGGCCGCTCACGTTTGTTCTCTCTTTCAGTGACCTCACTTACAGCGTGAGAATCCGTCGCAAGGTTTCTCTACCAGGATTTTCTCGCCGTCGTGGTGTGGAGGATAATCGAGGCGCCGGAGAAACCGGTTCGTCGAAAACTCTCCTCAATAATATCTCCGGCGAGGCGCGTGATGGAGAAATCATGGCGGTTATGGGAGCTTCTGGCTCGGGAAAATCCACTCTCATCGACGCTCTGGCCAATCGAATCGCGAAGGAAAGCTTGAAAGGATCGATTACGCTCAACGGCGAGCGATTGGAGTCTCGGTTGCAGAAAATCATCTCGGCGTATGTAATGCAGGACGATCTTCTCTTCCCGATGCTCACCGTCGAAGAAACGCTAACATTCGCCGCCGACATCAGACTGCCGAGAAATCTCTCCAGATCTAAGAAGAAAGCTCGAGTGCAAGCTCTTATCGATCAGCTAGGCCTACGCAACGCCGCGAGGACTGTAATCGGAGATGAAGGTCGCCGAGGAGTCTCCGGCGGCGAAAGGCGGCGCGTGTCGATCGGAATCGACATTATTCATGATCCGATCCTGCTGTTCCTCGACGAACCGACATCTGGTCTCGATTCCACTAGCGCCTTTATGCTGATCAAAGTACTGCAGAGAATTGCACAGAATGGAAGCATAGTTATAGCGTCCGTACACCAGCCTAGTAACAGAATCCTTGGTTTGTTAGACCGTATCATTTTCCTGTCGCGTGGGAATACTGTCTACAGTGGCTCTCCCTCCGGTTTGTCCAGTTTCTTCTCCGCCTTCGGAAAACCGATCCCCGCCGGCGAGAATCGGGCGGAATTCGCCATGGATTTGATTCGAGAGCTCGAATCGTCTCCCGGCGGCACCAAAAGTTTAGAAGAATTCCACAGGTCATGGGAGGGATTAAAGAAAGGAAGTCCAGACCAATCAACAACAACAAAATCCCCAAATATGTCTCTGAAGGAAGCCATAAGCGCCGGAATCTCCAGAGGAAAGCTAGTCTCCGGCGTAACAGCGGCCTCCGCCGGCGGCGGAGCCAATCCTGCATCCAGCGTCCCCAACTTCGCAAATCCGCCATGGGTGGAGCTAACAGTACTGTCTAAAAGATCTCTTCTGAACTTCATCCGTACGCCGGAGCTCTTCGGCATCCGGCTCGCCGTCGTGATGGTCACCGGATTCCTCCTCGCCACCGTCTTCTGGAAACTCGACGACTCCCCGAAAGGAGTCCAGGAGCGGCTCGGATTCTTCGCGTTCGCCATGTCCACGACCTTCTACAGCTGCGCCGACACTCTGCCGGTGTTCCTCCAGGAGCGGTACATCTTCATGAGAGAGACAGCTCACAACGCCTACCGGCGATCCTCGTATGTTCTCTCTCACTCTCTGGTCTCCTTCCCTCCTCTCATCCTCCTCGCCGCCGCGTTCGCCGCCGTGACCTTCTGGTCCGTCGGCCTCGACGGCGGCTTCCTCTTCTACTTCCTCATCATCCTCGCCTCCTTCTGGGCGGGGAACTCGTTCGTGACCTTCCTCTCCGGCGTGATCCCCCAGGTGATGCTCGGGTACATCATCGCGGTGGCGATGCTCGCCTACTTCCTCCTCTTCAGCGGTTTCTTCATAAACCGCGACCGGATTCCGGATTACTGGATCTGGTTCCACTACATCTCGCTCGTGAAGTACCCCTACGAGGCGGTGCTGCAGAACGAGTTCGCCGGCGGCGAGTGCTTCGTCCGCGGCGTTCAGATCTTCGACGGCACGCCGCTGGCGGCGGTGCCGGCGCCGCTGAAGGAGAAGCTTCTGGAGAAGATGAGCGAGACGTTGGGGACGAAGATCACGTTGAGCACGTGCGTGACGACGGGCGTTGATATCTTGCGACAGAATAGCGTGACGGACCTCAGCAAATGGGGCTGCTTCTGGGTTACGGTTGCCTGGGGATTCTTCTTCAGGATACTCTTCTATTTGGCACTGCTCATTGGCAGCAAGAACAAACGCCGTTAATTAATTAAACGGCGTTAATTAATTAATAATAATAATATTATTTAAATATTTCAAGATTATTAATTTGGCGGGAAAACTTATTTAATAATGATAATAATAATATTATATATATATATAGATATATACTTTCTCATTTTATTTTTTTGATTAATTATTATTGGAAGTAAGTGTGTCTATATTGTTGGCTTTTTTTAGTCGTGGAATTATACGACAAGTCTGAATACTATTAAGAGAATATATGTCCGTGTTATGCAAATTTAATACCTAATTGATGTTGATTATTGTTGTCACACAAATTTTTTTATGACAATGGGTGCTGATGTTGAAGAAATTCAATCAACTTGGATCAAAGGCCAAAGCATGCTAGTTAAAATAAAATTATGATCCAATCCAATTGATTATTCCTGAAGCTCAATGACATTCAAAAAGGATTAATCAATCAATTGGTCATTACTCTCATCCAACTCGTGGTTAATTGGCCACAGCTCTAATTTTTATGAAGAGATTAATGGACAGTGAAGATGTGCAAATAGTAGTCATTAATCGAATTGGAAGTAGTGAGACAGTCGTTACAAAAAAGAAGATTGAGTAAGACAAATCAGTACGGATCATAAATGCAAGAGCAAGAGCTTCAATGCAAATTGAATGAAAGCATTTGGTAAGAAGGAAAAGAGCAAGCGTGCAGGGAATCACCCACATTCATCCACTCAATTTATATTGCCTTTGCATTTTCATTTCTTTACATTTTTCTTTCATTGTTTAATTTGTAGAGTAATGTTGTTTACATTTTGAAAAAACATTCTAAAAATAATAAAATTATATCTAAGTAGAGCACGAGGTTTAAATGCAATTTTCGTAATAGACATGAAATGAATGTCCTATTTCCAAGGAAGTATATAAATGTTCTTTTAAAGTTTGATTTTGAAGGCAATATTTGATGAAGAAATAATATATATATATATATTTAAAAAATCGTGAATATTGCATTTGAAAAGAATTAAAACTGAAGATTAATAATAAGATAGCGGCTTGCTTCGTGTTTTTAGTTAGGTATAAAAAATATATCCTTTTAGGGAATGCAAGCGAACAAGCTTTATAGTATTAGTTTTATAATAATATATTATAATTGATTAGGCGACCAAAAGAAATTTCACAAATAAAGTCAAAAAAGTAATTAATGAAAGACCATACCATACCGTAGCATAGCATAGTGTAGTATAACATGTGGTGTGATTTCTTGTGATTCTTAGCTTTGGTGTTTCGTGTTTGGATTTGTTAGCTTTCTTGTGATACATTCCATTCATAATTAATACTAAAATATAAGTATACACCTTTGTCAACAATTAAATAATTATTTTTATTAGGTCGGTAAGAGATTCAATTATTATTATTATTATTATTATTATTATTATTATTGTTGTTGTTGTTGTTTGAAATTCTTTGAGAAAATGATTTTGGAAACACCCTTTCACAATTCCCATTTACAGTAACTTTTGTTTTACTCCCTTCGCCCTACGTACTATATCCGTATTGCCGTTTCTATCTGTCTTACGTACCATGTCACTTATTTTTTTTTTGGAAATGATTATACACTTTAATCTTATTTTAAACTTTTTTATTTTATTTTTTTTAAATTTTAATTAAACTAATTAGTTATCTTAATTTTAATTTATAATTATTTATATTATAGAATAATTATTTTAACTAATACATTCTTAATTATCTACTAATTACACCCCTCTTAAAATACTGTGTCTACCGTGTAGCAGATACGGTATCTGGGACGGATGGAGTAATTTATTGTTTGAAATATTAATTTAAGCATGATATTTATGTCATATTAGATGAATCATGTGTGATATGTAAGATTAGGAGGTGTCAAAAATTGAATTCATATTTATGATCTTACTGTCACGAGTTTACCACAAGACATTGAATGTTTTATGACGGTCACTGTTTGAACTTAATAGTTTTGGTTTGATTTTTTATTTAAATAATGACTTGAATGAATTTTTTATAATAATAATTTTTTATAGAGTTGTGATGGTTGAATAGTAAAAATAATTAAGCAAAATGCCGAAAGAACAAAGCTAAATGGTAATATAAATATGTATTGTTTGTAATATAAATATGTAAGTATTATGGTTAATACTTGTAATATAAATGGTTTGGATTGAAATTGTTGCAGAAATTTACTAAAACCTCTGTGTTTACTTGTAAGATTATGGTTTTTTATTTTGATTTTCAATAATAAAATTTTAAATTAAAATAATTATTTGTAATATAAATATGTATTGATATGATATTTTAAATATAAAATTAAATTTTAGTATAATAAATATAAATAAAAAATGAATGTTTGATTAGATATATTTTTATTATTTTAAAAAAATAAAAATTAAATAATAAAATCAAGATAAAATCCCACAAGTAAACGGAGAAAATTATGTTGATCCATTATAAGGCCCTTGCCCCTTGTAAACTCTAGTGCTCATCGTTGAACTTGACCTGACCGACACTCGAGATTCAAAATTAATCCGATTCAAAAATTTAATATCAAAATCTCCAATCCAACTTTCAAACTCACAAACAAGAATGTGTTCATTTGATTTTTGATTTTTTTAAAGGTTAATACTTATTTTGATTTGACATAGTAGATATTAATAAATTATTTTGTATTAAAAATAATAAGAATTGAATAGTAAAAATGAAATAAAACAACAAAAGAAACACCCCAAATTCCAAACATTTAAAACAATCCAAAACATAGCGAACACGTTCTAAGAGGCGTGGTAGTACCACTAAATTGCTTCACTTGGTATAGTAGTCCCGGAGCTATCTACATCCATTAATTAATACTATACTCCTACAAATCTACAATAATTATCTAATTGATTCCTACCTTTTATTAATAACTCTATCCTTATCCAACGTACACATACCTTTGATTAGGGCTACAAACCAAATTATTCCGGTTTGTTTCTCTTACAATTTTTAATATAAAATATATATTTTCTATTTGCAAAATATTAAATTAATTATTATTAAGTTAAAAAAAAAAAAAATCCAAAAGGAACAAAAGGTATATATGGATGATTTTATTATGAATGATTAATTAATATTTATATTACTCCTCCATTCCGGTGTCATCTTTATTGCAGATACGAATTTAAAATTAATAAATAATTAATAATATATTAATAAAATAATTATAAATTAAAATTAAAATAATTAATTAATTTAATTAGAATTATAAATTAAAAGATTTAAAATAAGATTAAAGTATATAATTTTATTTTATTTTTTAAAAAAATGACAAAATAAGGGAGACAAAAATGGAAAGATTCACATGGTAAATAAGAGGGAGGGAGTGTAATAATATTATTGCAATTATTGATCAATCATTTAATTTGTTTCTTTTGCCTTCAAGCACAAATTTCTATTATTTATTCTTTGTGTTTCCCTCAAACAATTATATTATACATCATATTAATATTGAACTCAAAATTTTTCTAAACCCATAAAAAAAAAACCTCAATTATAACCAATTTATACTACTCCCTCTGTCCCATGTAATATGAGTATATTATTGTAGACACGGAAATTTAGGTAAAGTATAATTAGTAAGTAATTAAGAAGTGTATTAGTAAAAATAATTATTATTTAGTAAAAATAATTATATATTAAGATTAAAATAAGTAAATAGTTTAATTAAAATTAAAAAAATTTAAAATTTAAAATTTAAATGCGATTAAAATGCATAATTATATTTCCAAAAATAGAAAGGACAAGTTATATGGGATGGACGAAAATAGAAAATAGGAACAAATTATATAAGACGGAGGGAGTATTAAACAGTAATTTCAATGCACAACCCTAAAACCATGGATACATATATATATATATATATTATTTGAAGTATTTCCTAATTAGTTAAGGTTGTCTTTGTTGGTATGAGTATTTTAATAGATTCTGAATATATGATTTTGAATAAAAAAAGATACTGAATAAATGTATATATATATACCATAGATTAAAGATACTAAGTCACTACACATGATTCGCTTAATGTGACTATTAAATTCAGCCCGAAAATTTACCCAAAATGCACTCGACCAACAGTGGATACGGATCTTTACATTTAAAAAAAAAAAAAAGAAAAGAAAAAAATGATAGCTAAGTCACGTGGCAGGATGGAGCATTACTTGTGAGAAGTAGAATGTCAAAACTTCTAAGATACTCAACAGAGATAAGACAAAAAAAGCTTTGTCAAAAGTGGCCAACTCACAAAATCACAGCCAAAAGTATCTCTTTTTAATTTCTTGTCCAACATTTATTTGTATTAAATATTTCTCCATATTATACTTTTTGTTCCTAGAATCAACCAAGCGTATATGTTTCTAGTGTTGTTTAGTTAATAATAATAATAATAATAATAATAATCCCATGTGGCCCCTGTGGTATTTTCTTGGCCCTTACAGTGATAGCTAAATATCACTCTCCAAAGAGAATACAAGACAGAGAGAGACAAAGGATGTTCTTCTCAGATTTTTTATTCAATTATTTTACTATATTCTAACTACATAATTCTTTTCTTATAAAATCAAAATATATTTCACATTTAAAATATTACATTCCTAGCTTGTTTGTAATTCAATTTTAACTATTTCTAAAACAAAAAATATACAAACCACAAAAGACATCAAACAACTCTTTTTATACGAAAATGATTATAGTGATGATTGCAGATTTATCCGAATCAGCACGCGCTGCTTCCGTCGACTCTAAGGGTCATATTTATTTTTTGTGTGTTGATTTTTGAATATTAATTATTATATCAAACTGTAGTACACATTAAAAAATTTTTTGCAAAAATACTTCCATTAGTGTTTTATAATACTAATAGAAGAACATTTGTACAAAAAATTATACAAATATAAAAATATTTTTAATGTTAAGTACAAAAAATAAATGTGACCCTTAGAAACGGAGGAAGTATATACAAACAACGCACGTTTTTATTACACACAATACATGTAAACAACGCACGTTCTTATTATACAGAATACTATGTTATGTGCAATAAGAACATATGTTGTTTGTTCTTAATTACAAGTGCGTTGCATAAGAGTATATTATGTGCTATAATTAATTGATGTATGATGTACGAGACTATAGCAAATACTATTAATTCATATAGTGTATTTGTATAATATTAACACATACAATGTGTTGTCTGTAGTAACGTGGTATTTTGTCCGGTAGCACATAGTGTGCTGTCTGCAACACAGTGCTGAATTTCCGTAACCGCCGCCTTCTTACAATTTCCAATGTGTTTGTTTGGGGGATTGGATTTTAATTTCACTATTCAACCCATTTTTTTCTCCCAAAAATATCAAATCAAACACCTATTTTTCATTTTTTTATATTATACTAAAAATTAATTTTACATTCAAAACATCACATCAACACCTATTTATATTCATACAACTATTCAAATTCAAATTTTTTACTATTCAAATCTCAACTCAAAATCCAAACCCCAGACAAACACACATATCTACCAAATGCACAACTGTGTCTTATTGGCATAATATTGTTGTCTTCTAAGTCATGGATGTGCAGTTTAGTTAATCAAAACCAATTAATTCTGGACCATTCCTAATTCCTATACTACTCTAACTACTATGGCAGTGTCTATTATGTTTCCAAAGAAAACTAACATTGTTTTTCCAAGTAAGAAATGAAACAACTAGAACACGATCAAATGGAAAAAACACTACACTTACTTTCACCAGTTCATGTTCTTGAATCAGCAGAAGGAAGTCTTGTTATTTTTATAGTTGGGTCCGATTCATTATCGCCGGCATACCAGCCTGGTTTTATTTATTTCTTAGCCAAACAAAAAGCAATTCAATGATGCCAAACGACTGACTACTAAAAGACAAGAAGCAACAATGGAGGTGATTGCAAAAGTGTAGAAGTTTTCGGAACGAACCTAATTTTGTTAAGATATGTACGCCCTCTCTGCCATGGTGAAGTGATAAGTTTCATTTGATCTCGGACAGGTGATTTGGCCGTTATTTCGGCTAGCCATCTCCACGAGAGCCTGAAGACAGGAAAAAAGCAAAAGGTTAGCTTATCATTTCAACCGGATTACAGTTGCTGGATTTGTAGACAAACCTTGGTGCTGTAAACACAGCCGTTAGGCAAGACGAGGGGTGGGTTCTCGTGATCCATAACCTCTTTGGTTATGTAACAAATAAGTATCGAGTTTTGCTGTTTCGCGTACGGAAGTGGCTCTGCTAATGTGCGGAAAGTGTCCTGTGATAGAGGGTCTTCCTTGGGGCAGCGTTCTTCGTAGCACATTCTAAAGCCAAGTCAAAGAAAAATCATCCAAACACATTTTTAGGTCAGTGTCGAAAAAAGCATTGGATCAGTTTGATTGAAGTCATGACAAAGTGTGGATACTGTGTTTTCAGTGCAGATAAGCCTGCTTGGAGATATATTTCGAGTAGAGACATGGGAGTCATGTTATACAGTTTGTAGAACTCCTGTTTGAAATTGTCGATCAATAAATCCCATTGGTCTTCTTGATACAGGACCTGGAAAACAAGAGCTGGTCAAGTATGTGCTTGATTCTACGCTAACAATTAATTAATGTATTCAGCAACAACATATTGGTATCGTGAAAAGAATAACGAAAAATATATTCAATAATATAAAACAATGCAATAGAACAATAATCCAGTGAAACTTTTATTATTGAACAACGATACTAACACTTCCATCAGCATACACAAACAGAAACTTCATTTCTTTACCTTTTACAATTAGAGTAACCATTTTCACTCTAACTAAACAACAGATCAATTATATCAATTCAGTATATTGAAGTAAAAATCTCAAAAATCGATCTCCAAGACAAAAACATACCAGGATAAACCACCAGATTATCGGGCCAATTCTCCAAAAGATACAGCCTCATTATATTTGTAAAACAGTTGAATTGAATCTACCCCTTTCTAGGTATTGACGAGACTCGATCATATTACACCCATCTTACTTGATTATGCTTACTCGGGATTACGTAACAAAAATCTTTCCAATGATCATGATATATATATATATATTCAGTGCCTTACTGTAGAGTGTAGATATTTAGAGAAGCTATAACCAGCTGGTAAAAACTTTAAGCAAGAAATGTTAGGGCAAGAATCAAGTACTAGAAGCTAGCTAATTTACAGCACTCGAGCTTTCACAGTCCAGGAAAGCAGAAAAGGGATTTGCACCTTGTATCGAGCACACTGAGTGGTACTTTTAAAAGCAAAGGTTCCCATATAGTGTTGAAATTCTTTAAAATGAGTAGCTGCCCAAGGAGCCAGATGCTTCCGACAATATGTTAAGGCAGCCATCCTCTTGCCACACCTTACCAACTCAATGAACTCCTGCAGTCTCAACTGAAACTCAAGTTTACTCTGTAAAATATTCAGCATTAGAAAAGTTTGGCACTGACAAATGCTGTTGGCAGCATTATAGAGGTGAATAAATTAAAAATAAAAATTCTGTAAATCATGTATAGATCCTAAAAATTTCTATACACAATTGTTATAATATGCAACAAGATATATCCTCAAACTCTTTGCATACAGTTCTAGCAGTCAACCCTCAAACACTATTCGATCCAGTATATGACTATATGAAAAGCTTTCCCACCAGAGTGGCTCATAGGATTTCAACAATACAATTCTATGAGTTTTTGAATTGAAAATCCACCACAAGATAATAATCTGTGGGAGCAATTTGATGTTGTTGATGGGTAAGGAGACAATGTGGTTTCACAGTCAAATGATTAGTTGAAATAGAGAGCTATGGCACAGTATGCATGTGAAGTTTATGGAACTCTCAACTTTTGCATAAAATAGAAATTAAATTCTGATTTTACTAAGCTGCACAGCATCACGCTAAGATTCCCTGCACAATTTTTTAACTTATTACTCGTAGTACAAATGAACACTTCTTGGTTTGATTGTAAATTGGTTAAACTGGACGAAAAAGGAGCCGGATGGGTTCTGTTTTCCATTGGTTCTCAAGTCTGATTTTGTTTTCCCCTCTATTAGGTTTCTTCCCCTACATACAATATTCCCTATTCTTAAAGAATCAATAAACTTTCTTTCTCTGGAAAAAAAAAAAAAAGGGGGGGGGGGGGGGGGGGGTGGTGGGGGAGCACACAACAAAGTTAGGGTGTAATAATCAAACAGACACACAAATTACTCAAATCTAGAGAAAGGAAAAAAAAAAGGACCTGAAAAAGGTTGATCTCCATGAATATATAAGAAATGGTTAACAGTTAGTTTAATATCTACTTATACATCTCATATCTATAACATGCAACTTTTCAATGTAATGGGATGACACAAATAATTCCAAAAGATTATTCATCACATATCCTAGGTAAGGAAAAAGACTGCACATCTTTCAACTTGATATTGGCGCAAAGGAAACGATCCCTGTTAAGTCCAGAAATAGTCAACACTTTACAACACAAGGAAAAAACTCATGGGTAGGAGTAAAATATAAGGGACTTTACCTTTGATTTCTTCAACCAAGATTTGTTTTCAGCACACCATGATAGAGCAGGGGCTAAATTCCTCACATAAAGAGCATCGATAATTGTTTTTGCTTCTTGAAACACAGCTATGTCCACAAGATCCTGTCAAGATATATCAACTGTTATTTAAAATACTATTACAACATGTAGTAACAGTTATAGGGTAGAGGTCCGTAAACAACTAGTTTGATAGACTCAAACATTGCCTGCTAAATTCTATTGTTTCAAAATGGATACCAAAACCATGAATATTCATAGTAGTGCTTATAATTCTATATAGTCAAAACAATTATTGATACTTGCAACACAAAGGTTAAAATTGTGACTTAAATTGGAGAAACTAAAAACACTAACAGAACAGGCAAGGGCAACATTAGTGACAAAACTTTTACCTGAATTTGGCTGCACTCAGCAATTTTAGCAGCAGTCTCAAAATATGACATTCGCAACATGTGATCCACAATAACTCGCTTGATGCGAATTTGGTTCCACTCTGGTGAATCGTCTGTTCCAGATTTCATATGTTCCAGCCTAACTCTACATCTCTGTGCATGCGCTTGACAGGTTTCATCTCCTTCTGCCAACTGATTTATTGACCAAACAAACAGATAAATACAAAAAAATCCTATCCAACTCTTAATACGACTCAATGATCAGGTTCCAACAAGATTTCTGCATTCAATCTCCATGATTAAAATAGATAATATCATCATTATGCTGACACTAACTGTAGAGCTCTGTCATTAAAAGACCAAGGCACACTACACTTATCAACTCAATATTAGCCCTAACATCATAGCATTCTTAAAACTGTAGATTATATTGTTACACCACAATAACATGGATAAACGTAGATTAGAGATGTACAATATTATCTCTAATTGTTATGTTCTTGAATATTTGGTATTTGAATCTTGTTAACATCGAAAACTATGATTATCGTTCTATTTGATATCCTGCAAATCTTTTAACATCTAACCAACTGAACCAAAATATCATATATCGCGCAAACAAAGAAATTAAAGCAACGCCACATCAAAATACACCAATTAAAAGCAGAAATGAATAATTTACCTTCCTTTTGAGGCCTTGCAGTCGCGATACGAAAGAACTCAGTTGGTTAACAGCGTGGTCTCGCGATATGTCTGAGTACGTGGCATTTCCTACTCCTGAGATAACGGCGGCGGTGTCTTTCTCGAAGGCGCGCTGGGTTATGCGGATCGTCTTCTTGTAATTCTCGAAGGGCAAGCGAAGGAATTGATGCTCAAGTTTCAAGGTCTCCGTCAATTTCGCAGGTCTCCGCGGAGGAGAAACCTCTGCCGGCGCCGTGCTGCCGCTGGTCGATACTTCCACATTCGACATTTTCACAGTTTTCTCGGTTTTCCGCCGACTAGTCTATTGTGAAACGCGAACAGGAATCGAGCGCTTTTATAGTGCCGGTGTGAAGGGGAGTTACAGCTGCCGCACGACGCAATATTATAGCAATTAGTAGTAGTATTAGGGTATTTACATCGTTTTTCTTAAAAATAAAAAATATACGTTCCCTTCGTTCATTATTTCTATTTCTACGTTACTAGAGGGAATATATTTTATGTATTTATATTAAAATACAAAAAGTATAGTGCAATTTATTTTTATGGGCAGATTGAATAATGACTTGTATTTGAAATATAAATATACAAAAGTTTTATTTATTATATGGTATTGTTATCGTCTTAATTTAAAGTTTTTTTTATCATTTTTTATTTGTTTCACTTGTTGTAAAAAAAAATAATCATACATTATACAAAAATACCATGTATATATATCATTATATAAACAATTATTTTATAAAATTAAAAATATAAATATCAAAAATTCTTAAGCATCCACAGCCTAATAGTATAATACTACTACTCTCTCTGTCCGGAGCTACGGTATCCCATTTACCGTATACATGAGAATTTAAAAATATAATTATTAAATAATTAAAAATATAGTAGTGAAAGTGTATATATATTTTTTTTATTTAACTCTAAAATATTTTAAATTGCCTTAATTGATCAAATAATTAATTAATGATTTAATTAAGCAAATTTCCGTGCAAGTTGAAAACATTAAGCTGGGTCATTAGTTGGAACTCTTTAGGGATAACTTTAGTGAAACTTTCTAACGACATAAATAACCTATTGATCCTCTTTTATATATAATAATATTTAATTAGTTTATAGTAGTAACATATATAATTAAATAAATTTAGAATATATGTTTAAATATTTTTAAAATTATAATGTGATAAAAATATATAATATCATTTGGTAGAAAATAAACAGTAAATAAAAAAAAGTTTATTTATTTATAATTAATATAAAATAATTTTATAAAAATTATAGTCTTTTTAATATGGATAAAAATATGTTTTTTAGACACATAAATTCAAGAGGTATATGATTACTAATAATTAAAAATATAATACGTAATAAAAATAATTATAATGTAATAAAAATAAGTATAAATTAAAGTTAAATAATTAATTAGTATAATTAAAAATTTAAATATTTAAAATTTAAAATGTAAAAAAAAAATGATTAAAATGCTTAATACTTTTCAAAAAAAATAAAAAAAATGATATAAACGTCTTGATAGACAAAAATAGAAAGTATAATATTATATGTGAGATAAAGAAAATATATTATATAATTAATTAAATTAATTTATATTTATTAAGTATATACTTCCGCATTCTCATCACATACACTAATTTTATTTTGGTCTATCCCATAACAATTGACATCTTTATATTTTTTGGTAAAAATTATTAAACAAAAATATATTTAACAAATATAAATCAACTTAATTAACTACATAATATACAAAATCATAAATGACTTAGGACCACTTAAAACCACTTTAATTCTACATCTCTCTTTAAAAAAATAAATATTTTTATCTATATTTAAAACTACACATCTTTTATAAAATTGATTTATGTTAATTATAAATAAACAAAAATATATTTTTTTTATTTACTTGTATTATAGAAGATTTTACAAAATGATATCTATATTCCATATATTTTTTTAATTACTATATAATTTTAAAATATTTAAACATATGTTTTATTTTTTTTAATCATATATATTAAATTTACTTTAAAACTATAAATATTATTAATTATACAAAAAATAATATAATAATATCATAACTAATTATTATTAATTAATTAAATATCATTACTTTAAATATTGTGTTCATAATCAAAAGGTTGAAGTGGGACTAAGAAAGTATTAGTTTAATATTAAATTTTATTTAAAATTAAAAAAAAAAAAAGTCAATTGTTATAATAAATAAAAAAAATATATATGTCAATAGCAAAAAAAAAAAACTAAAAATAAAAAGAAATTGTTGTGGGGACTCCACCTCAAGGGCAAAAGTAAAACCCGCTGCAACGAAGTTTCAAACTCACGATTTGACTAAACTACCCTTCGGATTCTCTTAAATTCTTCACATATATATCGTCGGCAGGACTGCGTTCACTGCCCGGGGGAAGCATATATCCGAATCCGGCTGTTCAGTGAATTGGTAAGTTCATCTCTCAGTCTCTCGAATCGATTACTGATTTGTATGCGTTGTTGATTTCTGCTTCCATGGAATTTCGGATTCCATTTCTGTTTGTATATATATATATATATTTTTCTATACTGAGATTGCGTTGCGTATTGATTGTGAATGTTCGTTCTGTTGCATCTGCGTTTCTCCTTCCGTGCGAATTGATCAGCTTCCGCTGCTGTGGTGAATATTTGAATGATATATTCTTGTTTTGGTGAAGTTTGAAGCGTTTTAAAATTTGAAGTTGAATGCAAGAAAGCGGAGTCTTATGCGAACGGTCATTTCATCGCTTGAAGTAACGGCACAAAGCGTCTGAGATAAAATTAGGAATCCTTTGTATAGGAGAAAGCAGATTGAAGTGAACAAAATTTGGATTTGATTGTAACAGTTTGTGGTTTACACTGTATATATTGAATATGGGATTAGGATTTCATTTCATTTTACCTTCTTAGATTTCTTTGAGCTATGTAGTTTCTGATTCTATCCAGTTTGGGCAAAATTGTGTGGTTTTTTCTCGTTCGACATTTGATCATGTTTAAGTTTGAAGAGATTGGTAGGGCAGATTGGTCGACCTTTACGATAAGAATTTTAGATTAGGTCTGTGACAGCTTCTGGCACTAATGCTTTTTCTTATCGTTATTCAGATTTCAGAAGCACACTGAGTAGCTATTCAGATTTCAGAAGCACACTGAGTAGCTCCTTTTTTTAGTGCTTGGGAGCCTCACATGATTTTTCCTAACGGAAAGGTGTACGTGCAGCTATTAAATTAATGGAGTCTAAAGCATAAGAAAATCATAGAAAAGTGGTGCTAGTTAGTTCAAAGTATATTATACTATGTGTAGTTAATAGAATAAAATATTCTGCAGCAGGAATACCGGAGTTGTTCCCCCCTCTTTATCTACATGACTACATAGTTGTCTTCATCCTTTGCTTTTTTCTTAGAATATGGTTTCTTTTTCTTTTTCCCTGTTATTTATTTATTTATTTTTAAGTGTATTCTTTCTAGACCGTATAGATAGAGTGCTCTCTTGCACTTGTTTGGCAGAGCTTCTGGATTCTGATATCTTACAATTTGTTTTATTTTGAAGTCTGTGTTTCTGTTTGCTTTGAAAATTTCATCAGTTCTTTTATGAAGTGTCTATATATTTTAAGGTCAAGACCCTTCAGGCTGGATCTCAGCATCTGTTAAAATAATTTAATAGTGAAAGGGCACACCCAAAATATGAAAGATGCTGCATTGGGATCAATGAAAATTGTGTGTTCTTGTCTAGTTTAGCCTCACTATTGATACTCTCTCTCTTTCTTCCTGCAGAACCCCTAAAAGCTTTCGGTGTGGGTAAATTTTCTACAGGTTCTTTGTCAAGTTCTATGATAATTAGAGATAAATTGGAGTTCCAGCCACGGGGATGAAGAAGCTTTTCTTTTTCAGATCAAATTCATCTAGCAAAACTAACGATGATCAGCTCTCCCCACCGACAGATAAGCAAGTTTCATGGGAAAAACCACCGGAAAGAGCGGACATGTCTGCTAATAACAAGCATGAAGATTGGGAATCTCCCAGCTCTCCTTGTCTAAGAAGAAGCCTCTCCTTCTCATCTGGATCTCCTTATGATGCTGGTGGAAAGGGGCATAGAAATGAAGGTGACCGATTTGATACTCCTCATTCAAACAAACAACCGGGACAAAACTCCTCCCGGTAGGTAGTCTGATCTTTTGTTCTTGATTGCCTTTTTCAGTTTATAAAATGCTCAAGTAGTCCTTGCAAACGTAGTTGTCACCTTTTAAATTGAATAGTATATTATAATCTTTATTATAGGTAGATTTAAATTTTAGAATATAATATTATATTTGTTATTTAGTAAATGTAGAGTTTATACTATTTATTATATTATCCTATATCATAGCTAATTCTAGAATTAGAAAGAGCGAAACACTGTACGATGTGATGAATATAGAATCGAAGAAATAAATTAAAATGAAGAAGTGAAAGAATAGTAATATAAGACCAGCAATGAAAATGGTGAAAATGAAGAACAAAATTACTTATCAAATTTTGAACGTGATTAACTTTGATTATTTATCTGTCAAAGTAGTTGTGATCTATGTGTTTTTGCTTGTATAACTATATATGAAGTATGATTTATATCTTTTGTAATTTTATTGGTTTGAATGAGAATAATGAGATAATTTATAATTTTTTGTTATGTATAATTTTGTATATATAATATATATATATATATTCTTAAATTTTCAAATAGTCGTAGTCCCTCTTTGTAATACTATGCGAGGTTGACAATTAAGCTTACAAAGACATGGTTCGATCTTCTGTTGAAATTCTTTTTATGTTCTTCAGCTCTCATACTCTCACTCCTGAGAGGCAATGCAGGAGAAGATTAGCTGATGCAGCCATGATCAGAAATCCTCTGAGGGTTGAGAAATTCGATTCTGTTCCCAGAGCATGCTCTGATACATCTGAGATCTCTTCAAATTGCTCTAGTAGTGTTTTGGATCGATACATCGATGGAGAGCAACAGATGGGAAGGTGTGAATCACAACCCAATTCATCAAAGGGCAATCAGCTTCGAACTGAAAACGCGATCGGCAAGAGGCCGCCAAGAATTCAGTATCCGATGGCAGTCAATCAAAAACCAAAATCTCAGTCCTTCCGAAAAACCAAAGCATATCAATCTTCAGACAAGACAAGAACAAGAGAAGTCCATCCCGATGGTCCAATCACCATTCAAGATGTGTATGGAAGAACCTTCAATAGGTGTTCTAATGAGGAAGAAGATATCAAATTCTTCAAAAACAAGTATCCTTACAGTGATCCAGACATGGCAGGAAATCCCGATTTCGAACTACTTAAAATGTACAAGGAAGCCGAGGAAAGAGCTGCTATTCTCTCCGAAGAGCTCGTAAATGGAACCTTTCTCCATCTCAACGAGCCGAGCCTGCCGACCATGATTCAGACTATTCAAAGCTTAACAGAGGAAAAGTTAAACATGGCTCTAGAGATCACAGCTATTCTAGACGACAGAATTGCAGAGAAGGCATTGTTCACGGAAAAACTAAATCTATTAAGGGTCGAATCCGAGGCAAGAACCCGAAGACTAGAGATGGAAAAAACCGAGCTGCAGCGAGTACTCGAAACAGAACTGGACAGAAGATCAACTGATTGGTCCCTTAAGCTTGAAAAATACCAATCAGAAGAACAGAGACTTCGCGACAGAGTACGTGAGCTAGCCGAGCAGAATGTTAGCCTCCAAAGAGAAGTTTGTTCCTCGAATGCAAAGGAAAACCAACTCGGGAATATTGCTATGCAAGCTAAGGAAGCCATGGAAGAGAATCATTATTTGCATAAAACTCTTTCCGAAACGACGGAAAAAACTCGCGCAGCAGAAGAAGAACGAGACTGCATTCGACGGAACTACGAGGGGATGATTACCGAGTGCAAAGATATGCACCAATCAATCTGCCGACTCCAAAGAATCCGTAACGAGCAAGAAAAAACCATTTCCGGACTTCGGGAGCTTTGCGACGCCGTCGGAAGCAAAAACGAGCTTGAAAAAATCGAAAACCTGAGGATCGAACATATGAGACTAACAGGAGTGGAGCATGCATTGAGAAAAGAAGTAGAAGAATGTCACCTTCAAGTGAATTCCCTCCGGAAAGAGAATATCGACTTACTCAATCGCCTGACGACGAAAAACGGGAATACATTTTCAACCTTTAAGTTGGATCAAGAACTCCGAAATCGCATCGGTTTCTTGCAAGATAAAATGCTCCCATTTCTTACAGAAAGCAGCCAGCTCGGCGAGAAGCTGCTCGACGTTGTCAAAACCTCTCCACGGGACACAAATAGCGAATTTCTCGTCGAATGCGAAGCGAAGATTCGAGGTCTTCGCCGAGCAACTGAAAACTTTGGCGTCAGTTTTCAGACATTATCCGGTGTTCTTCAAGAGAAGTCAGGTCATTTAACAGGTAAGTCTCGTTCAATCGTCGCGGATAATTCAACACTTGTTGTAGATGATGATTCACACAACCTAAACAAGAAGAATTCGGAGGTAAGCTAATTCTGATGTTTACTAGTCTCTGTTCTACTGTCATCGTGTTACTAAACTCTTGGACGTTTGCTTTGTTCTTTTTCAGGACGTAATAAGATCTGCATTGAAGGCAGAAACTTTACTTACGAATCTGTTGCGCGATAAGCTTTATTCTAAGGAACAAGAAATGGAACAGCTGCGAGCAGAACTTGCTGCAGCTGTAAGAAGCAAAGACATTCTCGACTCCACGGTGGATGATATGTCGATCATGAGCCACAAAATGAAGGACTTTGAACTTCAGGTAAGTCTCGACATTAAAACTTCCTCTCTTGAAACTCTAGATGTGCAAATTTTTCGGTTTATCTTTTCCAATAGACGGCGGCAGTTACTGTGATGACTAATAATAGTACTGACAGCATATGAAACATAATAGTATATAAATACATGTGTGTTTGTTTGGAGGTTTGGATTTTGAGTTGGGATTTGAATAGTAAAAATTTTGAATTTGAATAGTTGTATGATGTGATATAAATAGGGTTTGATGTGATGTTTTGAATGTAAAATTGATTTTTAGTATAATATAAAAAATGAAAAATAGGTGTTTGATTTGATTTTTTTGGGGGAAAAAATTGGATGAATAGTGGAAATCCACCAAAATCCTTCAAACAAACACACGACATTAGGCTAATTAGGACTATGCAAATGATCACATTCCCATATGCGCCCTTTGTTCAATTTGAAAGTCTGCATTTAAAAATAATAGTATTTAATTATTTGCTAGTTAAAAGTAGTGTAAAAACAATTTTGTTCAAAAGTAATTATGTGATGATAAAGTAGAGATTTTTTTTAAAAAAAGAATGAGATCCATAGTTACTAAAAACGAAAAATAAGTACTTTATAATTGGACAATTCAAAATAGAAATGTATATCCTTTGTAGAGCTGTTAACGATCCGAGGCGAGCAAAGCCAAATTTTAAGTGTTTGTTAATGTTCACGAACAAGGCTCGTGTTCGTTCGTTAAGCTTTCGAGCTCGTTCGTAGTGTTCGAGTTCGGCTCGTTAAGAATTTTTGTTGTTTGAGCTTGTGTTCGTGTTCGACTCATTTAGGTTCGATTAAGCTCGTTCGAGCTCGGTTTGTCTTATTTTTTAAAATTTATATATAAATTATAAAGAAAATTTAAAATTATTTTATTTATATATTTAAAATTAATATTTTATTTATTTATAAATTATAATTGTATATGTATATATAATATTTATAATAAATATATTATTTAAACGAACGTTCTCGAACAAAGCTCGGGCTCATTCGTTAACCAAATGAGTCTATTTATGTTGTTCTATTCGGCTCGTTAACATTCGCGAACGAGCTTTAGCCAAGTTCACGAACTGCTCAGTTCGTTTAACAGCTCTAATCACAAAGAGTATATAAGATGAAAGTGAGTGTATTGGATCTTAGCAATATGTTTTTGAGTAGCTTGCTATTGACATATCCTCACTTTCTATTAGAGTATCTTAATTTTTATAGTTTTAAGTGTTTGTGTTGTGAACTATGAAAGAATTGTAAATATGAAATGATACTTTGTGTGATTTTGTTGATCTTTGTATTTATATATATATTGTTTACGTTTATTATTATATGTATATATTGTATTTCTCGGTTAATATTTTTCAAGAATGATGTACATTAATAGGTAAACATACTCTAAATCTCATCATGAGAACAAAAAGAAAAATATCGATCAATAGCACGTGCACAATGAATCTTGATAAAAATTTTCTCCATGCGATCTACATTTACGTATGACAGGCGATGAGAAAGGACGAGACAATAAGTCAGCTACGAGACGAGCTGCAAGAGTGGAAGAACGAACTGGGCATAGTGAGGGGAGTATTAGCAAAGGTGTCGGAGGAGAGGGACATGATGTGGGAGAAGGTTAAACATTACGGCGAGGACAACATGCTGTTGAGTGGTGAAGTCGACGTGCTGAGAAAGAAAATAGAGGCCCTCGACGACGAGATAATGCTGAAAGAAGGTCAGATTAGCATACTTAAGGACAGCATGAGTAGACCTTTCGATCTTCTCACAAGCCCGGCGTTGGAGGCACATGGCACGTGAACCCTCACTGCCAAAAAGGTACGCCTGTTAGTTATTTCTTATTTAAAGTCTTCCTCTTTTCTTAAGAAGAAAGTTTGATTTGATGATAGTAATAATATAATTAAGAATTATATATATATATACATGTATATATGAGATTTGTTGATTTGTTTGAGGGAGTTGAAGGGTGGTGTTCTTGGAGGAATAGTGGAGAAAGATGGTGAAGAAATTGTCAATAATGTCAATTATTAAAGAACCTTATAGTGATAGAGTGGTCGATTTACGATGAAAAAATTAAGTACACATCATATATATATATATATATATAAAATACAACATAAAAACTTGACAATACTATCATATAGTCACACACACATGGCATGCAAAGCTCATTTTAGCACATAAGTTTTCATATAAAATGATGCAAGTTTAATTGAAAATAATAATTTAAAGATGATGATATTTTAATATTACAATAAAATAGGTAAAGAAATAAAATAAGAGTTATAAAAAAATTATTAAAAATTGAAAAAGAAATCGTAGTATAAATAAAAATAATAATAAAACCTCCAATGCCTACCTGTCACACATGATTCGCCTACTATGATTTGTCTGTTGGACCGTATTAAGTTCGACCGAAAGTTTACCCAATGTTCACTTTTGGTAGCGGCCGTAAGTTGCCACGTCATCAAAATAATAATAATAAATTTATTTTAACGGACAAGAAAGAATAATTGCTAACCAATATAATAATCCACATAATGTTTATTGAGCCACCACGCGACAATTAAGGTATTGATAAGGTTAATCATGATTCACACACTATATCACAATTAATCTAATATATAACTTGCATGATATTAATTGATAACATGTATAACAAACAATCTACGCAATATAAACCACAACTGATCTTCTATTTGATGCTCATAATAATATTATGATGGGTAAATTCAATATAAATAGATCTCACTTTACTCAATTCTTATCTTCTCACATCCACAGCCCTTTTCACAGTATCCCCCACCTAACCCCCACAAAAACAATAAAATTAAATTAAATCATACAATACATCTAAACAAAAAGCACAAGAAAAAATGAAAAAAAAAAAAAAAAGAGAGGCAATAATAAACTCAAGATCACAAAGTCAGAAGGAAACTCTAAGAAAAGAATTAAAGGTTGCAGGCCAAAAAAACAAAACATTTCACCAAACTAATCCCAAAAAAGAAAACAAACAAACAAAAAAACTAGTAGCTGATATTGACTACAGAAATAATTAATAAAAATATTTTTCTCTTACATGCGGAGGTCAGGTCAGGGCAGACGATGTCACACGATGCCCGCTGGTTGGCGCAAACTTGTTAAATCCTTTTGCAAATGGCAAATGCCACTCTTGGCATGAATTTAACAGTTAGTCCTGTGTTGTGTTGTGTTGTGTGTGAAAGGTAAGCAATAAAGCTCAAAATCTCTGTACACCCTCCTCCCCTACCCTACCCTACCCTCCATTGCAAATTTATATCATCACTTGACTTGGGACAAACACTGCTGAATAACCAACCATTCAGCAGTTTGTACCAAATGACAATTGCGGCTTCAACTTTAATGCTTCTTCTGATGCAGCAGCATGGTGGAAACAGAATTGACTGTAGAAATCTGAAACAAGAGTACATATTAAAATCAGGCAAAAAAGGGACCATCAGTATGTACTGTGTTGGATTATCTCTAAATGTTAAATGATTCTTCTTACCTAAAAATTTAAGTTTGTAGAGACATTATATGTCAACCAACACACCCACCCCCTCATGTGCAAAGTCAAGGGACATCCTGCTCTAATACTATATTGAATGCCCATCTCGCCTAAAGCTTTTAGGTGTGGTCATTTGACGCTATATACCACTGAACCAAATGATCACAAAGGCGTGTCGCTATGTACTGTTGCTCTACCTTGTATTCTCTTACACTTCCAGAAAGTTAAAACTAACAACCCCTTGCCATCTCTGTAATAGCATCATTTCTATAAGGGGGTGAAGAGATAGCAAATAAAGAACAAACAATGGAGGTAAGAGGAAGAAAGAATGTGAAAACCAAAAAAAAAAGAAAAAAAAGAAACCAACAGGAGGAGGTAGGCGTCTAAGTTTTATTGATCAACGCAAGTAACCCTTCGTTGGAATTGTACAAAAGAGAAGAAAGTAAAGCGATATCACGCCAGCAACTTAGGGGGTCTCAAAAATATTCTCCAAAATCATAAAAAAGCTAAAATCCCTAACCAAGTAATCTACCGAGTAACTCATTGGGTTAATAGCTACAGATAAAACTCTAGATAGAATTCAGCTCAACTCTTTAACCCCCTTGTTTCCTTCTTGCAGACAATAAAACATTTGTTATAATCCAAATTCTCTCATATTAATGTCATAGAAATAAGTGAACATGAACAGAAGAAGAGATGGACTGCAACGGGGTAGGGGAAAAGAAAGAGGCACAAAAAGGGAGTAGAGAAGGAGATGGGAAGTGGGATAGAGTTGCCGACACAAAGGAGGGACTGTCACTAAGAGAGTAGATTAAGGATATATTAGGACATTATATATTTAACTTAAATTTTGGTTTTAAAATATATACATATATATATAGCCTATGGCTTTATTTTAATATTTCATTCAAAAGGTTAAAACAGCTCTTACAGACAGAGGCTTGAAACAGCATATAAGGTGCCATTTTGATTTATGCAATGTGGATGTATAAAACAACACCACTATTTCCTATAATAAATACTTTATAACTACCAGAGAAGGGGACCAAATCATAACCGAGGTTCAGTTAACAGATTAAAAAAAAAAATTCAATTGTACATCAACTGAAATCTTACCTAGGTCAAAAAGGAGCCTCCAGTGATTCATCCCAAACATCTGCACTTCCATTGGAGGCATCGTCTGCATCTTCCTCCATCGAAAGCCTAATGTATTCTCTGTGGGCAAAGCGATCCCACTCTGTCAAATGCGGGTTCTCTCGCTCCTGCCCACATATTAAAAAAGCGTGCAAAGTGAGTGCAACGTCACAAATTAGTGGAGTGAAATCTAAATATCGCTATCATTAAACAATGTTGCATCGATTCTACCTGGCGAATTAGAAATGGATCACGAGTCTCAAAGGCCATAAACTTGTTAAGATTAAAAAGAATATTTAATACGCTGCCTGAAAGTTTGCTTCTTTTGAAATCCTGTACTGTGAAGTAACTCTGATCCTGCATACAAAACGGATTAATTGTTATGAGATGTTCTGGTGTGTCGTGGCTCGCATTCCATAATGTATCCTACTCTCAAAACATTAGAAGTTTTTCTTAATCTCAATATTCCACTAGATGTCCTCTTCGTAAAAGCAACCAACTTAGTATGGAATGATGCCGAACCCCACCCTCGTTGCTTCTTTAACACCAGTATATGATCTAGAGACTTGGAACAATATAGCAAAGACTTAAAAAACATCATCATTCTGATCTCCATTCTTTGGTGCCAAACAACTTTATGAGCATGACCAGAAGCTTCATAGAGATGTCGATTATTAAAACGTCATTAGAAAAGGTATCAAAAACAGATAATGCATATCTTGCACCTTTCTATTCCTTTTGGGTGATAGAACTAGCTAAAAGTGTAAAATACCTAACCAAACAAATCAACATGATTCATTCAAACTTCACCTGTGGATTGATCATGTCAACTATTTGACACAATATATCTTCAAAAAGCACAGGCTCTTGGGCCATGCATTCCATTCTGTGTAACTGCTCTTCATAAAAGAATTGCATTTCATTCCTCGTAATATATCCATTTCCATCCAAATCTATGCATTTGAACCTGAGGGGGAAAAAATCATAACACATACACATCATAGAACAATACCTTATTACACAACAATAATTAACTCAAGATATAATTTGCAGTGAAAAACAAACAAACAAAAAGCACTCACCAGTCGCTATGAACCTAACCATATCCTTAAGCTGTTAGTATTCATTAGGCAGCAGTCTATTATGAAAAGAACACTGCTAAGGGTAGTGAAAAGTTATCTGTTTGGTTACCATTTCTTATGACTTTAAGGCTATATGTATCTCCCTTTAAAATAATAATACTAATCTTAAAAAAATAAATAAATAAATTTCCTTTAGCTGCTTAAACCAAGCTCAACACCATTTGAAACCAAATATTAGAAAGATGCAAACAATCAATATATTGTGAAGGGCCGTGATGATTGCCCACTTGGCAAGAAGTAGCAAACCACATGCACAAATAATTAAGAAAAGAATCAGGATCCACAATTCAACGATGTTCCACATTGTGACACCACCTTCAGAAGAATGACAGTTATATTCCCCAGGTGCCATACTTCAATAATGACTGGGCAAATATTAACGATGCTTCAAATAAAATCAACGTACCAATACTCAAGACTAGGTTCAGATGTTTTATCCTCCTCGGATAGTATGAAATAGACAAAATCCTCATAACCCATCTTTCCTTCAACCTTACTGGTGAACTTTCTGGGAACCTTAAGACAATTTTTAATATGAAACACTTAGAATCAAGGTCGAAGCATCCTAGTATATATCATTCTTTAGAAAAGCACATTATGCATCTTGAGTATGAGAAGGAACATAGGAACACACCTGAGAAAATATTCTATCAACAATCCTGTAGGTAAGTGCGTGATTGCCGTATCTAATGAGGCTCTCTTTGTCAATTATAAAATCATGATCCATATCCAGCTCCCAAAACTTGCAATATATAACGTAAAAATGTTCATAGGAGAAGTACCTGAAGAAAAAGGAGAAATGTGGACAAATAGAGAGAAATTACAAAATTAGGACATGAGAAAATGCAATAGAGCAGAAAAAAGTTCCATGTGAAAGAATACTGAATGTTCTACCAATACATCAATCACAAGGTTGCACTGGTGGAGATCTAGACAAATCATGAATTTATCATTTATTTATTTCTCTAATAAAAAATCAACACATAATATGGTAAAAAAATCAGGTACTACTATGTTTAATCAGCCCTAGAGCTTTAATGAAATTAATGTTTAGCATGCAACAAAAACATAGATTATAAAGGCTCATACGAAGTAGTAAAAAAAACAAAATTCTTCTGTAATCACCTCAAAACTTTGTTAATATCCTCTTCTTCATCTGCATGCTGCATTGCAGCAATTAAGTCTGACCGTTTCAGCTCCCTTAGTGTAAGACGATGGTTACCCAATCTATTCACGTGGTAAAATATTCTGTATATTACAGTTTCAGCTGGACAGATGACAAAAAAAAAAATGAACTGTTATCCATATAAATTAATGTGAATCAACATATATATAGAAAAGGTAAGTTTAACTTCAATTTCAGCAGGTCACAAAAGCACACAGTCCAGCCAACCACTGAGACATGCCTTCTGAATAGTAAACCAATGTTGCCCTAGAAAATAGAATCAGCTATAGAAATTGGGCAGATATTGATAAATGTAAACAAATTATTCTGCAAATCATCAATCAGCAGGGAATGTTTATTTAATGGTTAGAACAGAGTGCATTTATAACAGCAATTGCTGTATTACTTAACTCCAAATAACAATACAAAGCAAAACAACACACTAGCAAGATTATGTAGTGTAAATTTCCTAAGATGGTAAAAATGGTGACAACTACAACAAGGCACAATTCAGAAAGAGAAAACACACAGTGACACAAATAAATACCATAATGTACAGCGTACCATATCTTTCCTGAAATTCAGGTGTACTCTGTAGGAACTCTAATCCTGGATGAGTTGCCAACAGTTCTTGAAGCAGAGGTTTGAAGTCATCCTACATCATGTTCATAAAATTGTTAGCTTACTAAAGAAAGATAATATGATCAAAGAACTTTCATCAATTTCATTACTATTGATTGAAGAACACATTTAGCAGCCATCACATAACCTGGGTCAAATATTTGGAATCAGGCTGCTTTAAAACTGTGTATAATTGTGTTGCTGTATCTGTTGTCAAAATGTTCCCATTGACCCAGAAATCAACAAAAGCGTCCCTGTTTACATACCATCAATTGAAATAAGACAACATGCCCCACCAAAAAAAAAACCCTGTTCAAGGAATGAATCATCATGGTAAAATCATCTACAATTTATTGATTAAAAAATGTTTTGGCCTTACAATATATCAGTTAAAGATCTTTATGCTGGTATTATCAAAGCAATCAACTACCAACCCACGCAATGAGTAAAGTAAAATGTGTTGTACAAGAGTAGCTATTTATTATTGTTGGCTTCAAATTTCCAAGTTATTGAATGATCTCAATTGGAGTTGGGATAAAATAGAGATGGAAAAGGCATCATAAACTATAAAAAATTAACCTAGAATACAATTGCTATCATAACCTTTGAAAACTACCAGCTATAAAGCACCCACACTCCCACAGTCAAGATATACACTTGAATAGGTAAAAACTCTATTTAAATATTACTACCACTAAACCCTTGAAATTGAACATAGAGAACTTAAAGTTTTATTCTTGAACTGTGAAGATCAAACACACAAAAGTAGGACATATTTCATGTTTCCAATTACTCATTGTCAGTTTTTCAAAATCTTTTATTGGGATAGTGTGGTGGCTGAAATTTCTATTTCACACATCATGGAGGGCAGTCTCTTCTGCTCGCACCTTTCCATCTAAGATTAATTTGATGGGATCACACTGCAGGGCAAAACATAGAATTCTAATTCTGTTAACTAATAGAAGATCAAATTACCCACATTAATGGAAACCCTAACACTGAATTATCCAGTAGGCGTTGTTCTCTTTGAGCTTTTTTTTCCCTCATTATGCAATCTCACGATCTCCCTCCATATAAATCACATCCAACAGTCATTTTTCATACAAAACATCACATTGAATGACTTTTTCATCTCAAAACATCACTACCAAAAACACACACATACAAAAACAAAAGAGTACACTCATAGAGGTTTAGAGAAAATCTAAATATCAAGTATTTATCTAAAATCCTAATGCAATCATAATAGTGAAATCTGCAAGATATAAAAACTTTGATAGTAGTAATTAGGCTACTCATAGGGCAACAAACACAGACCAACAATAGGTCAGGGAAAGTATAACAGTAAAAAATCTATGTCTATATTTATTCATTGGTGGTTATTAGCCTACCGATGGTGTTTGAGTTTTTTCTTTTCTTTTTGCTTATTAGGTCCTTTTTTTCACTCCCTCAATTTCTTCCATCCTGTAAGTTTTCCCCTTGCTTCTTTATAAATAACATGAACTGCATAACATTAACAAAGGGTTTGTTTTCTTGTGGCCCTTTTTATTTTTTCCCCATTTTTTACTATTCAACCTATCATTTTCCCTTCGAAACATCACAGCCAATGTCTATTTTTCATTCAAAACATCAATTCCAACAACTATTTTCACCTCAAAAGCATTAAAACCAAAAACACAAAAACAGGGGAAAACACGTTTCAATACACACAAAGTAATCATGATCTATATCAATACTCCTGATAGCTGTAAATACCGTATAATAATTGCCTAGTTAGAAGTTATATAAAAAGTGGACTGACTTTGTGCCTTCCAATTTAGTCAAGATTTAAAAAAATAATAATATAAAATAAATATTCAAATACAAGACAAAACCGGAATTTTAGAAGAGACAAGTATTACCTTGTCACAGTTCCAGTGCCATTGGCATCAATCTTTCTAAAAAGAGCCGAAGAGGCAAATGATGGGAGCTTGCAAATTTCTTTAGTTACAGGTTTAAATTCTGCAAACCAAAATGCAGGTGTATAAAAATCCCAGTGAAAGTCACTGTTAGGTCAAATGCAAGCTTCACATGCACAAATGATTAGTGGAAAACACCATAATAAATAACCTAAAGAATTAACTTATAAAATACAGCTAATCTCACCATGAATCTGGAGTCCATCTGCATGACCATAAAAGAATTGATTGATTCTAAACAAACACCGCTCTTTCAATTCATTAGCTGGTGGACGGCCATCTTGGAAATAGAACTGCATCAGTCACAAATCTAGTCAAGATAAATATGCACCAAGTTATGAAGTAGAATAGCAGGTATAAATGTGCAAATCAATTTTCTTCAGAAAACATCAACACAACTAAATCAACCTGAGGTATAAGCTCCTTCACAGGCTCATTAACAAATTTCAAAGGAGAACCTAAAGCAGACGGGCCAGCCCTTTGTTTAAAGATCCGAGGAGAACCAGTTGAACTTCTCGGTGAAAGTGGTGGTGTACTCCCTGCAGGAAACATTGATGGCAATGTGTTGCCAGCTGCAGCATTAGAGCTAGATGTCGTTCCAGAAACATTCTGAAGACCTCCTCCTTTAGCACTATTGAGCAAGGATTTTACCTGAGTAAAGGTGAACCATTGTGAGTATTTGTGATTCAAATTTTAATTATCATGAGAGAGTAAACTTAAAAAATGCATTGCAATCAGCTAACTCAACTCTACCTCCACTTTACAAATGTCAAATGAAAAGGACTGAGAAATGCTGTATTTTATTATCTTCTAAACATGAATTCATTGCTTCAATGTCCTTTCAAGACATGCTAAAATTTGAATTGAAACTTGAGTTTTGAGTTACATCCTACGTGCTTATTGCTTATATACAACTCATAGAATTGTTACACCAAAAAACACATTTTACAACGATGAAAATGCACATAAACAATTGAGAATTCTTATATCTGTAGAGTTTTATGTGCTTATTAAGAGGATGCTCTTGGCAACATATATATTAGTGGGATGACACAATATGCCATCAATTAAGTATGGCTTAGTTTAATCCTATCCTTTTTTGTGTATACTTATTAGATTGTTTACAAGCATTGAAGAAGAAGAAGAAGAAATCCATATACTAATATAAGAGGCATCATCATAACTGAATGTTATACTATAAAGAGACGTCAGACATAAGAAATTCTTTCAATTAGACAGTTCCTTGCTCCAAGAGCCTCTAAGATGCACAAAGCCACCTTCCCTTCGCCTATAGCAGCTGAAAATGATGCAACAGCATACATTTTTCTTTCCATCTACCCATTTCATTTAAGCCAGTTCAAAGATAGTGTTAAAATGTTTTCCAACCAGATAAGACAACAATTAAATCCAACAAAACAACATCTAAAGAAAATTGAAAATTATTTCTTGAGCCACAAAATAACACCGCATGAAGAAACAAAAATGTAGAACACAATCCACTTGATTATATGCCACAATTCCACTAACACAGCTCAGAAAACAAACCACAAACCAATCACGAATCTTCCTTAACAAGAACGAGGGCAAAAACTACAGAAAAAATGCACACACACACACATATATATATATGCAGACATATGTATATTATGTGAGCGAACAAAACCATTACCAATGAATTGGTCTCCGGAAGCGAAAGCCACTGATCAAATAGCTTCTCGGCAATGTAAGGGTTGGACTTAATGGCCAGAGGAGACAGCTCCGGGAGCTGCAGGAGTTCAGCATCGAGACGCGCCACATCGCCATGGAAATCCACATCCATATCTCAAAAAAAATAAAATTCAAATAATGATACCGGAAACAACCAGAATAGGTCCTTGAACCATCAAAAAAGCCACGAGCCAACGCCAATCGGAAAAGCAACAGGAATTTCTGCAGTCACGGATCTTGGCAGAGCCCCAAGCGGCGAGACATGGAAGGAATTCGAGATGCAGAGATGCAGCATCAAGAAAACCCTAAATTGGGAATGGAATCGAGATCGGAGATGACGAAATTGCGGAGATAATTGAAAGCCCTTGAGAGAGAGAAAGAGAGAGAGAGAGGAGAAAAGAAAAGAAAACCGGTGCGATATTCAGCGCGCCCTGTGCGTGTGAAGGCAGAGTTACCAAAGAAGCCTATGAAATAGTGTTATTATTATCACTATAGTTATAATAATAATAATTTCAATAAATAAGACAACTTAGGGTGTGTTTGTTCGAGGGATTGGATTTTAAATTTATTTTTATTTTTCTCCCCAAAAATATCAAATTAAATATCTATTTTTTATTTATTATATTATATTAAAAATTAATTTTATATTCAAAATATCACATCAACATCTATTTATATCGCATCGTACAACTATTCAAATTCAAAATTTTTACTGTTCAAATCTCAATTCAAAATCCAAACTCTCGAACAAACGCTTGTTGTTACTGATTCAATTAGGTGATAGCTAATTCAATTAGGTGATAGCTAATTCAATTAGCTGATGTTTGGTAAAACAATTGTTTCATATTAGTTGATTATATGTAAAATGTTTCTAATATATTCGATTATGTTCTTTTGAGTTTAGAATGTTTAAAATTTTTTGTTATTAATTATTGAAAATTGTAAAAGTGTTACTATAAAAGTATTTATTTTTATTACAGTTAGATTTTTAAAAAATAATATATTTTTATTAAAATATATAAATAGTTTTTCCTATTGAAAATGATATAAAATATAAAATAATAAATTTTTCGTGTATATATATATTATGTTAGTTATCGATTAGTTTATTATATTTATAATTTCAATAAATTTAATATATTTAATTTATTTTTAGTATAAAATTTATATAGTGTATTTTTAATATAAAGATAAATTATTAATATTTATATTTTCTATTTTTTTTTTTGATTTTAATAAATTTATATATTTTACAATTAAAATAATTTTTATATAAACATTAATTATTTTAAATTTATAAAAATAAAACTATATTATAATGAAATATTCTAATATAATTAATAAATAATCAAAATATATTTATTTGTGTAAAATGCATAATAAATTTTTAAGGGCATACAAGGAATAAATTATTTTTTTTTTTTACAGAAAAAATTATTTCAAAACGTTGGATAAGTTAGCTTTTCAGAAATTAGTTTTTTGGGTCCAAAAAGCTATTACAAAAAGCTAATTTACCAAACACCTGAATTAGTTTTTTTGACTGGTCAAATAGCTAAAAATTGTTCAATAAGCCAAAAGGTCTTAAAAAAACTATTTGCCAAACACCCCATTAGGTTATGCTTAATTTAGAAGGAGACTTTCGGAGTTGTTCTTTATTACTAATGTTTTTATACTTTAAAAAAAAGAAAAATAAAAAAATAAAAATCAATGTGTTTTTTGCTAATGTATTTTATTTTTTTTCTTAGGGTGTGTTTGTTTGGGGTATGAATTTTGAGGTAGAATTTTAATAGTAAAAATTTTGAATTTGAATAGTTGTATGATGTGATATAAATAAGTGTTGGTGTGATGTTTTGAATGTAAAATTGATTTTTAGTATAATATAAACAATAAAAAATAAGTGTTTGATTTGATGTTTTTTTTAGGAAAAAATGGGATGAATAGTGGATATTAAATCCAATCCCCCAAACAAACACACCCTAATACTTATTTTTTATTTTTTAAATTATACTAAAAATCAATTTTACATTCAAAACATCACATCAACACCTATTTATATCACATCATACAACTATTTAAATTCAAAATTTTTACTATTCAAATCCCAACTCAAAATCCAAACCCCCAAACAAACACACTCTTAATGTATTTAGTGTGTTTTTTATTATTTTATTTATGTTATCTTTATTATTTATTATATCTTTATTTAGTGTGATTTTGAATTTTACCATTTCAAATGTTTTTTCTTCCAAATAATCTAATCAAAACACCTATTTTTTATTTATTATATTACAATAAAATTAAATTTTATATTCAAAATATCATATCAATATATATTTATATTACCTCAAATTATTTCAATTCAAAATTTTACTATTCAAAACCAAAATTTTAGAAATGAACACACCCAGGTAAGTCCTCCGTTTATATAGATAGTTTTGAAATTTTGATAAGAATTAAAAAAAATTGTTGAGTTGAAATATATTTATATATAAATTATAAAGATGTTTTGGATAATTATTTTTATGGTAATATATTACCACCCTCCGCTTAAGAGTTACATTTATCATTTTCATTATTGTACCAAATATTAAAAATATTTTTATACTCCCTCCATCCCATTGAAAGGTTACCCTTTTTTATTTTCCATTTTCGTCCGTTCCAAAACAATATTTTCTAATTTAGTAACTGTATTATCTACTTTACATAATAAATACACTTTCAACATACAATATATTACACAAATGCCATTACTTGTATATTACACCATACTAATAGGGTACTTTTGTTTTTGTTTTTGTTTTTTTTATTACAATCCAATATAATACTAATATTAAAAAATCTACGTGTAAAAAACAAACGCCACCCTTTTTGCTGGACGGAGGGAGTATTTTTATTTATACTTTTTTGTACAAATGTATTTATATATAACACTTTTTATATAGGACGAAGAGAGTATTATTTTGACTATATGTTTTTCTAAAAAATTATATATGATTTTTTTATAAAATATATTATAAAATATTATTTTAATAATATATCCGTTTATTGTGTCCATATTTTCATTTTTGTTTATCCCACTTATTCTGTCATTTTTATTTTTTGAAAAATAATTATACATTTTAATCCCATATTAAATTTATGACTTTATAATTTTTTAATTATATAATTAATTATTTTAATCTTAACATAAAATTATTTTTATTATATATTTATTATTTTCATTAATAATTATTAATTATCATGAACGAAGTATTACACAAGAAACAAAATTTTTCAAACCAAATCAAAATAAACACACATAAATAAATACAATCAAAACTAAACATTTAATATTAAAAAACAACAATTTAATACTTAAATGTAATTAAAATTAACGAATTTTTATTAAAATTAAAATTATATACACTTTTTCTTACCAATGATACTAACTTTGATTTTTTTCCCATTCGAAAATAAAAATCAAACACACCAATAATATAACTATCTAAAAACAGAGCATCCAAATAACAGGGTTCTTCACTTCTCCTCCTCCGCGATTCCTTCCCTCTCCGTCGACTTTGGATGACGATGATTGAGCAGGCCAATCCCGGAAATCCCGGCCCACCGGATTTCTCTCACCTCCAAGCCACTATGCAAGCCATCGAGATGGCCTGCACTTCCATTCAGGTGCTTTAATCATTCCATTTCCGTTACACGCTTGTTTTGCTCCTACTCCCATACCCAAACCCCCGTCGTTTTAGTTCTACACTATAATTTTGATTTGATTTGGGGCACTGGATGCGGCGCTGATTGAATCCAAATTGACACACACACACATATATATCATTTTCCGATCGGTGAAGTTGGATTAGGGCTAGCTACTGCTATGTTTTTGGATTTATATATAAGCTCCGCCTAAATTGAGGCGGGTTTGATGTTGAAGTTCATTTTTCATATGTATTTGATGCTGTCCTATTAACTGAAGAACATCACATGAAAAAATCTGACATAATCCTGAATGCTCGTGGGAGTTTTTTTTTTTTTTTTTCGTGAGGATGTATTGTAATTATGCCCTTGACACGATTTGTTTCTTGGAATTTATTTGTATAGTCATTCTTGACCTTTATATCCTAGACAAATTCATAAAGGCTCAAAATGTCCATTTACTATAGACAACAATAATCTAGGAAGAGTATAATTATTAAATAATTAAAAATATATTAGTAAAAATAAGTATCTTATAATGAAAATAGTTTTAGATTAAAATTAAGATAACTAATTAGTCTAATTAAAATTAAATAAATTACAAATTAAAAAAATTAAAATGAGATTAAAGTGTATAATTTTTTTTTTTCAAAAATGGAAAGCTAGAGAATAAGTGGTACAGACGAAAATGGAAAAGTAGACACTGTAATTTAGTTTGTTTGACATATTAGTAGCAAACTATAAAGTCTCCATCTTAATTATTATTATTATTATGTTTATTTTTCTTCGTCGGGGGACGGGGGACATATACGTACTGAAATGTATGGGAAACTAAGCAGATGCATGGCAATCCAGCTGCCGAAGCCACCTTATTGTCATTAGGCCAGTCACCAAGTCCCTACCAGACATGTCAATTCATTCTAGGTATGCTTGCATTAAACTTATGAGATGCTGTTTATATTGGCAAGAAATTGTTTTAGGAAGCTTAGCATGTCCATGCACATGGCAAGATATTTTACAAAGACATACTGTTGTAGCAAAGTGCTGCTTATCATGCTTTTACTAATTTGTTACCTAGAGACAGAGCACATCATTTTCAATTATTGTGTTGAATTTCAGACTCATGAATGTGCTCTTTTATTTCATTATTTTTGTGTCATGCATATTTTGATTGGGACCATCAAACGGCTTTGCCTTTAAGCCTGTATTCATGTTTGATTTTCTGTTAGTCTGTGCACTTTTAGATTTTCAGCTGTCTAATCTACGTCAGAATTTTCTAGGGCTGTTATTAATATTTATTTGGGTATTTATGTTTACTCCTGGTTTTGGCCTGGTTGTGATTAGCTTAAACTAAAATTGGCATGTGATTTTTACCTAACAGATGAACACATTTTATCTTTAGCGCATGTGGTTTCTAGCATATTTGCTGAAGAATTTTACTTTACCAACTTGCTTTTGTGATGAAGCAATATTATCTCTTGCTAAAATAACAACATCTTTCAGAAAATTCTCGAATCGCAAATGCAAGATTTCAGGCTGCTCGAGCTATTAAAGATGCAGCCATAAGAGAATGGAGTTTTTTGGAGGCTGATGACCGGAAGGGGTTGATCAGGTAACTTCACAAGTAACTTCTTTATTACCTATTCTTAGGTGTGTGTGTGTGTATTATTTTACAATTTCTTGAGTGGAGAATCTAATCACTTCCAAGAAGAAACAAAATACAAAAATCAATTATTGATTGCTCTGCCATTTAGCATTCTGGCCATTCTTTAACTGAATACAATACCATTCTTACTGTTTATGCACACAGTACTCTTTGATGATCTCTATGCATCTGTTTTGCTGAGCACAGTAGGTGGGTCCAGTGATCTTGACATAAATTATTCAATGCGAGTGCTCTTATTCTTATGGACTTTCTTTCTAATTCACTTTGGCATCCCAAGACAAAGAACCACTTTGTCTATACTGCTTCAACCAGGGAATTAAACTCGTTAAATACATTGTTATCAATTCCTTTTTAGTTAAGCCCTATCAGTTTCTCATGGTTTCTGAATCAAGCAGTTGTTCAACTGATTTGGGAGTTGCCGATGTGTGCAGTTTCATAAGTATTAGCCTGGAGTTGTGCTTAAGCACAGGGTATTGGTGGTCTGATTAGTTTACTGTTTCACAGTACTTATGCGTGAAGTTTGGATGAAACATGTTATGCTTCAAACCTCTTTCTTGTGTGTATGTGTTTTTTTTTTTGTTTTTTTTTGGTATTCTCATCTGATTATTTTTTTTTTTGTCATCTTACGCAGTTTCTGTTTATGCTATATCATGAAACATGCCGATTATCCTGAGGGTTTTGTCCTAGTTAAGGTCGCATCTGTGGCTGCTCAATTGCTGAAAAGAGGATGGTAAATTTCACTTAAGCTTTACCCACATTGCCAAGGGTAAACCACCCGTCTAGATGTCATACAACTATTCTAATTCAAAATTTTTACTATTCAAATCCCAATTCAAAATCCAAACCCCCAAACAAACACACCCTAAAGTTCCATTGACGGTTTGTAGTGTATTATGTGGTCAGTTTTTTCACATTCTCTTCTTGGAGCAAGTATCTCAACTTGATTTGGTTTTATGGTAAAAAACAATTTGAAACATTCATGACTATTGGTTTACAATTTTATGTCTATTATTCTCTGATCCGTAATATAAAAATCAGATTTTCTTCCTGAATTGTCCTCTATAAAAAATATGCATAAATATGAAGAGTCTATTTGCACTCTCGTTTTCTTTATTTGAAGATCTTACATTTGATACTGTTTAGTTACAGATAGTTATAAATGGTTGCAGTTGAAAGATGTAATAAATTTTCATTTCTACAATTTAATGTAGGCTAGATTTTCCAGCTACAGAGAAGGAGGCATTCTTCCTTCAGGTAATAATGACCAGAACTTACATAGTTTTGTAATCCATGTGTGCTATTGATGAATTAAACTATTGGTTGGTGCTTTTGGTTTTGATATTGGTAATTTGGTTTACATGTTCTCAATAGAAGATCTTAATTGGCTGTAATTTCTCTGCTAGCATATCATAAAGAGAAAAAGAAAATTTAGGGTCTGTTTAGTTGGTGACGTTTTTGGATGTGATGTTTTGTGAGAGGAAACAATGTATTTTATAGAGAGTTGTGAGAATTTAGAATAGTAGAAAAAAATGAGAAAAGTGACTTAGCGACCAAACTAATAGTTATAGTGTTTATAATTTTTTGGGCTTTTCTGCTTTTGTTTTGGCTTTATATTTGTTAGTTTATGCTGTGGTGACGGTGTGTTTAAATTATATATTTCTTGTTCTGATGAACATTATATACATAAAAGTATTGAGTATATACTTAATTACCCTATATATCTAATAGCATCATGTACAATATTTTATCTTCTTTAAGAGGCCTTAAAAGCTTGAAGTTGGTGCCACATTTTCCTTCTTTTGAAAAGAGAAGTACTAATTATGAAAAGTTATTTGCAATACCTATTTCGAAGATATAACTATATTGGTACTTTTTTTTTCATCATCAACAGAAAGGTAAATGCTTGACCACTAGTTACCAAATGTCAATCATCTGAGCCTCAAGAGAGGTGGCCGTAGATATCTTCACATATAATCGCACAGTCATATCAAGGGGTTTCCTTTTCTTCTGTTTGTCTTTGAGGGAAAGTTGATGACTTCGAAGTTAAAAGACTAACTAGAAAATTTGGTTGTGTTAGTCTTTCTAAGATTGTTTATTTTGCATGTCACAACTATATACTACTATTTTGCAGGTGCAACAAGCAGTCAATGGGAGTCATGGTTTGGATGTGCAGTTTGTTGGAATCAATTTTCTAGAAGCTTTGGTATACCTGAAGTTCCTCATCAAATATTGCCTGCAGTGCTACCCAATTTTCTGTACCCTAAAATTGGTGTCCTGTGAACTTGCCTTGTTCATTCTATGTTTGTGTTACTATCCAATAGGTATCTGAATTTTCACCATCCACATCCAGTGCTATGGACCTTCCTAGAGAATTCCACGAGCAGTGTCGAATATCTCTAGAACAGGACTACATGAAGGTTACTATTATACTGAACTAAAATTTCACATTTACACTAGGGCTACTACTATAACTGAATGTTACATTTGCATGATGGTTACTATTATTCGGAACTGAAACTTCACATTCACATAAGGTTACTACTATAACTAACTTTTACACTTCAAATGATGGTTACTATTAGTCTATTATACTGAAGTAGAATTTCCCATTGAGATATATTCTTTGTTGTTGAGCATTAATTCGTTGTCTTTCTCACAATTGCAGGCATTCTACTGTTGGGTGCAAAATGCTGCCTTTAGTGTGTCAAATAAAATTATTGGGACCACTTCTGAAATACCTGAAGCCAAAGTCTGTTCAGTGGCACTTCGTTTTATGCTTCAAATCCTGAACTGGGACTTCCGAGGCAAGGGTGCTGCTGAGAATTCAAAAAGAGGGATGGATGTTTTTTATGATGAAATTAAGCAAGATAGTGACTCACCTAGAAGGACTGAATGTAACTTGGTGCGGGTAAGTGATGACAATAACATTTGTAATTTGCAAAGTAGTTGATAGATACATGCTTGTCTTTGTTAAATTGTTCTTCATACTCCTCCACAATTGAGTCCAAACCAATTTGTTCGTGTACTTTAGCTGAGTTGTGCCAGCTCAATTCCAATCCTGATTAATTGGCCTCCCTCTCCATCCTTCTTCTGAGCTTGATTTTTGCATTTTCTTGAATGGTTTTTTACTTGCTTGTGTTCGTTCACATTCTTATACAATTTGTCTAAATCTTGTTTAAAGTTTGTAATGAGGTTATTTACAAATTTCCCTATGGAACCTGCAACGCATTCGTCATATATAGCTTATGTATTTACACATTTGTATTTGAATGACACTATGGAATTTTTGGGGACTGATTTTTGTTGTATCTTCTTGTGTGCTGTCTGCAGCCTGGTCCTGCCTGGCTTGATGTGTTGATTTCAAGTGGTCAAGTTGGATGGCTTTTGAACTTCTATTCTGCACTACGGCAAAATTTTTCCAGTGATGGATACTGGCTTGATTGCCCTCTTGCAGTTTCTGCTCGAAAACTTATAGTGCAACTTTGCTCCTTAACAGGAAGTGTATTTCCATCAGGTACATTTTATTTCTTTACATGCTATGAAATGATTATTATCACATAAGTTTATCCTGCTAAGTATCTTGACAACTGTGATAATTTGTTTTTTGTGATGGTTAGCAGTTACTGACAACTTTTGTTATTTTGATTCTTTTTACTATGTTTTAACATGTTGCATTATAAGTCTTTTTTTTTTTTGAGAGAAAGAGTCTATATGCATATATATAGTAGGAGAAGGAAAAGATTACAATGCGGATAGAAACACAGGGAAAACCAAAGACGTAATAAGCTTAAAACTTAGAGTTACAGTTTACATTCGGCAGTGGTTGTGGCTTTTACGACTTGTCTTTGTTTGCTAACTATTGAAGCTATCTCCCCCACTGTAACACCATGTTTTATTTTCCTCTTGGGAATTGTGATGCTGGTTGCACCATGCCACTTAAAATATATGGTAATTGCAGAGGACAAAGAATCCCTGCCTCTGTAATGTTGACTGGTCTTTTAGACTTGACCCTGTCGACACATTCCTTAACAAACTCGTTCATGCTTGCCATCTCTCTGATCTTTTGCCATCTTTTACTCCCCTTTACCATCTTTAAGGAATTGCTGTTTAACGAAGCGTTTATTCTTGTGTTTTATGTACTACTGGTTGCTTTGTAATTTAGACGGTGGGCACATGCAAAGGCAATACCTTCTGCAACTGCTAGCTGGAATTGTACAATGGATTGAACCTCCTGATGCTGTTGCAAAAGCAATAATTTCTGGAAAAAGTGAAAGGTAAGGGCATTTAATGCCCAGTGTTTTTCTTTATCCATTTGTTTGATATGTGGCTGATTCAAAATTCTCAGTGAAATGCTGGATGGCTGTCGTGCCCTGATGTATGTGGCAACAGTGACTACCCCAGTTGTCTTTGATCAGCTGTTGAAATCTTTTAGGTAGGTCATATCCTACTGGTACATATTATCCAGCTGTTTAATTATATAGTTCTGACAAAAATAAATAAATAGAAAAAAAGGAAGGTCCTCTATAATACTCTATCAAATGTTTGAATGAGCATCTTAAGATTCCATAGCTGCTTGTATGAAACCGAAGTGGCATGGATTTAAAACATTCCATCTTTGTGGAAGTAGATAATATTAAGCCTGTTAGGAACTGAGATAGATAGTATTTATGGCTTCTGGACACCCTGGATGGTACAAAAGGAATATTTTTTTGTGTTGTTTTCATTGAAATTGAGTTTATAACTTCATGCGCAGGCCTTATGGCACAATTGCTTTATTATCGGCCCTAATGTGTGAAGTAATCAAAGATCTCATGCAAAATCACACGGAAGAAGAGACGTGGAGTTGGGTGGCGCGGGACATCTTACTGGATACTTGGATAACCCTTCTTACGGTATGTAGGTGTTTGGGCTTATATCCCCTATGTTAATCCTTATTGAATTATGCTTTAAGCCTTATTACATTAGCATCCCTATTACTTTGTTTTGGAGGAAACTAAACACAACCAAACAGACCCCTTCTTTTTGTCCTTTTGTTTTTTAAGTCATGGAATGGGGTATCAAATGTTATGACTTATGAGATGTAAAAAAGATGTGGAGAAGATTGTATTATCTTTTTTCCTTGCTTTACAATACATGACAGTATGACACATGTATTTATAGGCAATCTAGAGATGGAAAGGGAGATGAATCAAACCTACTGCCTAGTAACTCACACCTAGGGACCTTTTTTTTTTTTTAATGTTTTCTACTATTCAATCTCTCAACTTCCCTTAAAAAACATTGCATTCAACATCCATATGTCCATACAAAACATCACATACAAATACTATTTCATCTCAAACATACCAAAATCATACACACAAACACAAGAACACATACCTAGTAACTCTCAAATCTAGTAGATTACAAACCTACCTAACACTAATAATGTCTCTAATTAGTATTTAACATCAATCTTTCTGTTCAGTTTTGGCAATATTTTGTGTTTGTGTTTAATGTGAATTTTATGTGGTGCATGCTGCTTGACTAAACAGTTGGATGGTAGTGGACGTAATCATTCACTTCCACCTGAAGCCATCAGTGCAGCAGCCAATCTCTTTGCATTGATTGTAGAATCTGAGCTGAAGGGCAAGTCCTTATGTTCATCTCATATTGCTCATATTATTTCTCTTCTGGGTATTCACTGTGCTTATTGTTTTCTAAATAGCTGCATCAGCATCAGCCTTTAACGATGAGGATGAATATGATGAGTACATTCATGCTTCTGTTTCTGGTAAATTGCACATAGTCTAATTTCATCAAGCTTTCCCATGAACACTACCAGTTATTGTGTGTGTAATTGTTTTATACTTTAATCACGCTGTCTTGTAGCTATGGATGAAAGGCTTAGCTCTTATGCTCTAATTGCTCGAACGGCTTTAGGGACCGCAATCCCTCTTCTCACCGAACTTTTCTCAGAGCGTATTAATAAGCTTCATCAGGTATTCTATTAATTGATATTTACTCATACTGTGCTGTGTACATTATGTAAAATTTACAGTTCCACTTGAATTTTACATGGTTCATAACTTTTTTCAGAAAAATTTTCCTTACTGCACCTTTCTGCCATTATCTTCTTAAAATATATGATGAGATACAAACAATTGCTAGCTCTTTCATGGCTTATAAAAGACAAAAGTGATTTGATTCATCATTCATGTGCTTTTAGAAAGAAAAGGGAATTTTATATTAGGATGAGAACTAGAACATAAGAGATAACAGAAGTCATCCAGGGAGCATGTGGTAGATGATCACACACGGACTGCAAGAATTACAACCAAACAAGAAGATAGGATTGTCCAGAGGCCCCACGTTTCAATTGACATTTAGTCATTCTAAACTCTTATTTACAACTGTCTATAAGCCACATGGGTAGAAAGACTAACAAAACCTGCAAACAAGAATAAACTCCCCTAAGGAGAAGTAAATAGCAAAATGGTATGTCCAGTGCCATATCCATTAAGGACATGCACCCAAGCAGCTTACACTATGTTTCCAATTACAAGTGCTTGCCACAATATAGCATTCTTGGACATGGCTCAGAGTTCCTAATTATGCACTGTAATCATCTTTAGGGACCTAACACATTTCCTACTGAATATCTACACAATATGCTTGTTAAGTCAGAATTATATTTTATAACATGTTCATGTTTATTCAATCTTTTGTTTTAAATACTACATTTATGAGATAGTTGAATTATGAATGCAGATCTGCCTTTGCACACAAGTAATTGTTAATCATTTTCACTCTGTTCCTATTAGATGGGGTAGTTGTTCATAAACCCTATGCCGCTATTTTGGTCTCAGATTCTCTTTTTGTATTTTGGTTTAGTAATCATTGCCGTTATCTTGCATAAATTGCTTTCTTGATCTGGGATTCTCATGCAATTTCTGGTTCTTTTAGTGCCACTACTTATTTTATCTTCAACTTCATTAATAATAATTTTTATGCTAATGTAGGGCAGAGGCAAAAATGATCCAACTGAAACTCTCGAAGAAATTTATTCTCTTTTACTCATAATCGGGCATGTTTTGGCTGATGAAGGACAGGGTGAAACCCCTATGGTAATGAAATGTTATGTTCATTTCATTTTCTTTGGTTCATGAAATAGAACTCTACACAGTAACTTTAATATTTCTTCCTCTCAGTTCTGCTTCATGCATGCATTTCGTTCCCCAACATGGAACATCCTGTTTGCTGTTTGTCTATTCATCGTCTCTAATTTCTAGTTTTTTAAATTTCCTCCATTCTCTTTACTTGGGGTGCCTCTAGTGATATTTTATGCTGGCGTGTCAACTTTATGACAATTTGATTCTTTAGTTTTCATTTCTCATACAGCCATTGTCCATATCCTTTGAAATATATCTTCTGCTCCTGATGTTTTTTACCACATTCTTTTTTGAATATTTATCTTTTTAACTATTAATGCAAAAGATCAAACTTTCAGCGTTTCTTCTATGCGATTTTCCCCCTTCATTTCACCTTTTTCACTAATAAATAGTTCAGTCATCAAAATATTTGGATGCACAAGCCCCATGGTACTGTTTTTGCGCCTGCCCATGAATTATAAGTTGTGTTTATGCGTAAGAACATATCATGCATCTGTGCAAGCATATACTGATGTTTTAGATGCTTATCAGCTTCATATTCATTTATATGATTCTAGGGGGGGAAATTGTGTGGGTTTAATGATTTCTGATTTGTTACAATATGGAATATCAGGTGCCAACTGAGATAGAAAGCCACTATACAAACATTGTGGAGGTGGATAAGCATCCGATTGTCATACTTTCTGGGTAAGTTCCATTGTTGGATTTTGTTTATAATACCAGTTTCTGATTCCCAGGTTAAATTTTGTTGAGATACTCCACTCTATTGGAAGCGGAAAAAAAGAAAAAAAAAACTTTTGATTCTCAAATGGAAGTTGAGTTTGGAGATCAATAACCTTGCCACCTTATTGCACAATGCCCCTCCATATCCTTTGAGCACATCTCCTGCTACGCGCAAATGAGGCATATTTATTTGCGAACTGAGGAGTGAGAAGATATGCTGATCTTTCATTTTGAATGCATCTGTATGAACCCTCCTTCCAGATTGGCACCCTATATTATCTCCTGTACCTCTTGGATTTCATTGCCTATATGGTCCTTATAATTTTCATATAAGTAGTTTTTTTCCTCCAAATAAGTATATAAATCTAAACACGTGATGTGCTAAGTGTGCTCACTTAAACTCTGTACCCCTACTTTTATTCCATTGATAACTCCGCAAAAATCACCATTTACTCATTCTTTGTTCACTTGTGTTTTCAAATTTGATTTTGCACTATTCAGAACAAATTCTCTCACTAAGAAACATCAAATTCAAAACCTAATTTTCATTTACTATATTATATAAAAAAATGTATTTTCTATTCATATCATCACATTCAACAACTATTTTCTACTCCACTTTTTACTATTTCTAAATCATCCCAAGTTTCCAAACTCTAAAAAACTTCCAAAACATATATTAACGCAGCTTCATATTTTTGGTATGGAGGGGAGATGATATCCTTGCATTGATGGATCATCTTTTGTTAGGTTCAAGGACTTGAACAAACACACTTTGGTTGTTGCTATACAATGAGAAGATATTGGTTTTAAAAAGTTGGGGTTAATAAATATGCAGTCTTCCAGTGTGCTTGTGTTTCTATTACTTGATGTATTGAATCAGGAGCGAGTCATTCTTTATACCATACAATACTCTTAAATTCTTATTAAGCTGTATTCTAAGCAACATTTTTGTTGCTGTTATGTCAAACTGAATTATGAATGAGGACAACACAAAAGAAAAAGTACACATGCAAATTTTTTCCTAATGATATAACACATGTACTCTTTCTGGAATCATGTCAGACTACAGGACTTGATGTTTTTCTGTTTATATATTTAGCTGGTGGATGGATTTATTGTACTCAATACGGTTTAACCAATTATATTTTTGGCTTTTGTACAGCTCAATTATAAGGTTTGCTGAGCAAAGTTTAGATCCTGAATTGAGAACATCATTTTTTAGTCCTCGACTTATGGAGGTATACATTATATTTCAGTATTTATTTTTCTATGTATTGCTGCATTATCTGCTGTTTTCTTCTGATAATATTCACAACCTTTTCTGTCCATTCACAATCATCATGCTCCTTTGATTGAAGCAATTACCAAGTCCATTATATTAAGGATGCATTTTGTTGAAATATATTTTAGATAGATATTTTGAGTAATATTATTTAGATTTGTCAGTTATTATTTAATCATAACTAGATTAGATTGTTAGATTCATATCTATATCTTAGATATGTTTCATATCTATATTTATATCTATTTTAGTTAGATTTAGTTTGTTAGGATAGATTTTCTAAACACCTATATACATGTCTACTTCCCTTTCCTTTCTTCACTCGGAATGAAATAATATTTTTCCCCTAGTTTTCTATCCATTGCATCCAAATTTTCTAGGGCATGGATGCATCCCTCTCAGTTGACAAATTTGCAAATAGCGGGTTTTTGAAACTTTGTAAAATTAAATAAAACTGAAATCTAGTTTGTTTTCTTGTCATGTAAATCAAAGTTATCTTACACCAAAAGTACCACTTCCAGGTTATCTATTTTGATTGCAGAGTATCAAATTAGATGGGTGTGTGCTACACTAGATATTAATAAATACCTCTTTTCCATGTGCAAAATAAAATTCTTCTAGTATAGATCAGGACATCTAAGAAGTTACTGTTATTGTTATCTCATCTGAAATGAAATGTGTTGAAAGCTGATAGTTCAGCCATGGGAACTAAGATGCCAAGTCATTATTCAAGCTGTTGGCATTCAATATATATATATATATATATTTACATATATATATATATATATGAATATAAAGTGTTCCTTGTTCATTTAAGACCATCTTGGAAAACCAGGCTAGAAACAAGAGCTAGAAGGAGAATAGAAATGAGGAGCTAGGGTGTTTTGTTGATCTTTCTGTTTGGCTGAGAAACTATAAAAGGACTACCCCGGGCATAATCAAAACTACCCCGAGCCCCTTTCTCTAAATGGTCTGCCAAAGCGTTTGCACTTCTTGGTACGTGGCTGAAAATAAGGAGGGGACACATAGAAATGAATCCCCTATGTTTGTCAAAATTTTAATCATATACAGTACCTTCCCTTTGTTTTTATGACATGATGTTGCATTAAGGGCCAAAGTTCACAAAAACCAATATTTAACCTTCATTCTGCCCATTATTGGATTTTAAAATTCATTGAAAATGTTTGGATCACTCCAAACTGGCAAGATCTGCAATTATGTGTCATGCATGATAACATTAACATAGCTGTTTCTTGTGGAAAATTACATGTGTTTTGATCTGTTGGTGAATGGTCTGAAATTATTGGTAATTTCACTGTTATACAGTAAGTTTGGTTGTGTTTGCTTTAGATTGTGATTTGGATTTGAATTTAATTGGGTGGAAAATAGTTGTTGGAGGTGATGTTTTGTAGAGTTTGAGTTGAATATGATGTTTTTGTGCGGGAACAAACTTTTCACTGTAGATTGCTTATTGCGAAAAGGGCGTCGAAAATACAAGATAACATAGTATTGATTGTTGTGCCAACTGATTGGTAAATTATGTAACATTCAAAAGGATATCCTTGAACGTGTCCTTTGAGTTTTGTAATAGTTGACTGGCAGTGAATTTCTTTTGACATTTGTCTTTTGAGTTTTGTAATAGTTGACTGGCAGTGAATTTCTTTTGACATTTGTCTTTTGAGTTTTGTAATAGTTGACTGGCAGTGAATTTCTTTTGACATTTGTCTTTTGAGTTTTGTAATAGTTGACTGGCAGTGAATTTCTTTTGACATTTTTCTCAGGCTGTTGTCTGGTTCCTGGCGAGATGGGCTGCAACCTACCTGATGCCACCTGCAGAAAGTAGAGGAAACAAAGGCAGCTATAACCAGCACTCCACTAATGTGTTGCTTAGTTTTTGTGGAGAGAATAATCAAGGAAAAATTGTGCTAGACATCATTATTCGTATTTCTTTGACTACACTTGTCTCTTATCCAGGGGAGAAGGATTTGCAGGTATTAAATCCATGTCTTGTTATGGATTTTAAGTTTCCTTATTTTACTTTTTTGGTATCACTTTGATTTTTATCCAGTCACTTCCCATAAGTTCTACATATAATCAGCAGTCTCTTATGATAAATTTATCAGCAAGTGTTTGAGTTCATCTGTATTGCAATCTTATTCAGTTACAAGTAAATATTTCATTGTTTGATAGCACATGGTAGAAGTCTTTATAATTTGTTCCATTGCAGGCGCTCACGTGCTACCAATTAATTCATGGACTTGTAAAGCGAAAAAATATTATTTCACACCTTGTTACCTTGGTAAGTTGCATTTCATCTCCTTTGAGTTAAAAACTGTTTGATGTTTTTGTTTTGCATTTCATGTGTTTTCACTGGGATTATGCTTATCTTGTTTTGCATCTCCTTCGCATTGTATATAGAATATAACATATCGATGTACTAAGCCATTCAAATACGAATGAATATTATAACGTCTTATTTTGAGGTTCAACTTGTAGCATAAATGCGAAATGAACTGCAACATCACAATGCTACTTTCCCAACTTGTCTTTGCTAGATATCCATGATCGCTTTACACAAAATAAAATGATATATGCAATCTTAATGGATGGAAATTGGCTGCAACGAAAAGTAAGTCATAAAGATACTTTATACTATTTAAATTTATACTATTTAAGTGTTTGGACAAGTCTCGCTCTCTCAAAAAAAAGAAAAAGAAAAAGAAAAAGAAAAGAAAAAAGGAAAAAGGAAAAATTGTAAATCTCTAAACCATTATCTTATAGAATGGGGAACTCTTGCTAAGAATCTTTTTCCAATTTCACTGAGACTGCCGAACTTGGACGGCATAATACAAATTATTGACTTGGGAAATTAAATTCAGTTATAGATCTATTATGTATGAATCTGTTTTATATAAGGAAGCATATCGGTCCAATAATAAATATATTCATCAATATTATCTAGAATTATAAAATTTGTCTTTCTATGGATAGTAAAAGTATAATATATTATTAAGGAGCAAAATAGGTTAGAATGCTACATCCATTTTTACACTCCAATGTATGTATATATATATATAATTTCCATGACTAATGTTAAATGACCATCTCACGCTAAAGGTGGTAGGGATATGCATAATTATCACATATTATATAGTCTTACAGCAACTAATAACTATCGAAAGTTTTTATATGTTTGTTCTATTCATTGTGATTTTCTTATCGAAGATGTGCTGCTTATTGAAATTTATTTTCTTAATTGCAATTATTCTATAATTAAGACCTGCATATTTTGTATTCTTTTTTTTTTTTTTTGCACTTCTCTCTCTCTCTTTTCAGCCTCAATCCAAGTTAGTTTTCATATGTTATGTCTGAGGATAGGTGGACATTTACATAATTCTATTTGATACCTAGAGATTTACTATCTTTTATTTACATGGAAATAATTTATTGCATATTTCTGCTGTGGATACATATGTGACCCTTTTACTTATACAGGACTCATGGCGTGAGTTTGCAATTGTTTTTGCTAATGAAAAAGTATTTTTCTCATTAAATGCGGCTCATCAGGTAAAGATCCTACTACTGTCATTGTCATAATTATCCTTATCAACTCCTTTTATGATAATCTAGTGTGGAATTAGATTTAATTAAATTAATAAGTGGACATGAAAAATATCTGTTCTTTCTACGCATTATATGTGAATTGGATGTAGTGAGATAATAATTAAATTGATATAACTGAGAGTTTCTGACCAAATGCTCTCAATTACATAATTGGTTTCTTTCATTCTTCAGTCACTCAGACAAACACCATTTTATATTTTATATTCAGAGGCCATTATTATGTGTGTCTAACACACATGCACACATATGTGTTTCTCCTCTCCTTTTTCTCTTTCTATGTCAGCGCTCCTTAGCCCAGACACTTGCCTTATCAGCTTCTGGGATGAAAACTAGTGAAGAATCAAATCAGTGAGTTATGGCAGTTAATTTTTTTCATGTTTCGTATAGTTTGGCAATTGTCTATGATTGTTGTTAAACTAACCTTATCTTGTTTGCATTTGTTTGTAGGTATATGGGAAGTTTGACAAGCCATATGACAACCTATTTGGTGGAACTGTCAAGCAAGAATGATCTCAAAGTCATTGCTCAACAACCTGACATAATTTTTCTGGTGAGTTTCTTCCATATGCCCTAACATTCACTACTATATGGAGAGAAATGTGCAGTGAATATCATCATCATCATCATCGTGATCCTTGATAGGTTACTTGCTTGTTGGAGCGTCTTCGTGGAGTTTCCAGAGCCACAGAACCTTGTACACAAAAGGGAATTTATCTGATGGGAATCTCAGTGATGAACCCTATTCTGATCTTTCTTCAAGCGTACAAAGATGAGGTGTGAATTATACAATGATTTCTTCTTAAAAAATCTTTATAGAAATCTCTATTGAAATTACAAAGAGAGATTTCAAGAAAACACCTAGGCTCATGGATGCATGTCACTTGTCAGACCAACATATGAGGCGGACAAAAGTGTATAACACCACCAGACTATTCATTACAACAATCAAACAAAGCTCTTAATAATTCTCTTGCAGTTTTGAACTTTTTTTTTTTTTCAACTCTTAATAGTTGAAAAACGTCATTGTTCTTATTTGTTGGGCCTTATTTTGGCATGCCCAAGGACTGTTAGAGCTATGCACGCTTTGCTTCTATGGAAAAGTTTATTAACAATATAATATTTCAATAAACCTTTTTTTTTCCTTGGGACTTGAGAGCTTTTCCAGCATCCCCAAATATTTTATGCTTTTATTCTAAAAGATGACTAATTTGTTGTCTTATTTTCCACTGTTCAAGCCTGTAGTTGTCTATCTTCTACTCAAATATGTTACCACTTGGGTGGAGGGTCAAATCATCTACTTAGAAGCTCAAGAAACAGCTGCTGTCATTGATTTCTGTATGCGATTGTTTCAGCTTTACTCATCCCAAAATATTGGCAAGGTAAATGCTTTGGTTCTAGATTTACTTACAAACATTTGTGCACACTTCTAATGTTCATGAAAAGAAGTGCAAGATTGTGAGATTAAATTTTCTAATTGTTACGAACAAGGGCATATCTGTGCAGGTGTTAAGAGTTTATTGCATTTTCAGTGATATGTCCACACAAATAGCATAACCTACTAGGCATGCAGCTTGTAGGAGGAGTGGCAGCATTATCAACTACATTCAAATTGAGACTCTTGGAGTGCCAAGGATATGTTTCTAGAACACTTAGTAAATCTAAATATGAAAATGTTCAAAAACAAACAAACAAACTATTGTTTCAGCTGGACTTGCCAACCTCCATTGAGACATTTAAGATCAATAACAGTTTTTATGTTCACTCTAGTCTTAAATTCTAAATTTTCTATAATTTCCTAGCTGTCAATATTATTTGTGAGTGACCATTATCTAGGAACCATGATCTATTATATAATTTCTTTAATTTTACCACCTATCCTTTATAGAAATAAAAGAATTGATTCTCAGCTTGATCTCAAATTATATAGTTACAATTAGTGATCACTCACGAAAAAAAATGTTCATTTTAAACTAATTTGTTGCCTGCATCTAGAATTGGTTCTAACAGAGACATTCTTATAGCTAGCTACCTAAGAGGCATTCATACAAGATTCCACTTGGCTGAAATTTATAGTGACAATATTTCAGAGATCAAATAGCTAATTGCTAGACAATGATGGCAGCAGACAATAGTGAGGTGGTCAGGTAGTTAGGGTCTGTTCCTTTGCGAAAGCGAGTCTTCATAGGGCAATTGTCACTGAGGAAGGAGAAGCCCTTTTGAAAGAAGTTATTCCAAAATACCCAACAAGCATTAGCTCTCCCTGAAAAGGTCGTGGATGCCGATTGATATCAATAGGAATCAAAATACTCATCGGACATCCAATTGCTTTTCTTCTCCTAGCCATCCAGTTAGATATGTATAGAAAGTTCCTTCCCCCCCCCCCCCCCCAATTGGTAACCATAGCCGTCTCGTGTCCTGCCTTGAAGTCTTGGATTTGGATTGGGGTTTGGAATTAGTAAAAATTTAATAGTGTTTGATGTGATGTTTTGAGTGATGTTTGCTTTTTTTTTTGTAAAATATTAATGAAAAATAGGTGTGATTTGATGGTTTTCGAGGGAAAAAAGCATGATAAAATCCAAACCTTAAAACAACACACTTACAGAGGTCAATATTAGACTTGTTTTTGCTTCAGTGAAATCTAATTTTGTAATATGAAGATTACAAGCTTATAATATCTTAACAAAAGTTACTCCATAAGCCCATTGATTTTTATTTTTTATTTTTGGCTTTATTGGAGAGTGACCCTATTTTATTCCTTCCTCAGATTTTAGTTAGCCGGTCAAGCAGTTTACATACTGAAGCAGATGCAGATAAATACAAGGATTTGCGAGCACTTCTACAACTTCTTTCAAGTTTATGCGCCAAAGATTTGGTAACCTTTTCACTTATTTATTCATATTGGATCAGATTTTTTCTTCCTTTCCATCCTACTTAAGTTGTTCCCCTCGCTTTCATCTGCTGCAACAGTGCGTCTTTTGTGATGCCCTATGTCTGAAATAAACATGTTTTTACAGGTTGATTTTTCATCTGAACCTGTTGAATCATACAGCAATAATATATCTCAGGTATGTCCAGGATGAGGTTTTTAAGAGGAGTCCTCTATGATGAATCTCGTTATAGTCCTGGTGACATTCTCTTGCAGGTGGTATATACAGGTCTTCACATAGTAGCTCCTTTGATTACTTTGGACCTGCTGAAGTACCCCAAACTCTGCTATAGGGTGAGCCCCTTTTCTTATGAGGAAAAGGCATGCTAGGGTTTGCAGAACTTATAAAACTATGTTGATTTGGTGCAGTATTTCTCACTGTTGTCGCATATGTTGGAGGTGTATCCTGAAATAGTCTCACAACTGAACATTGGGGCATTCAGTCACATACTTAGTACACTTGATTTTGGTCTTCATCACCAGGTAGATTGAACTCCAGATCTATGGTATTTGTGCATGTATAGTATAATATCTTTTCTAGTTCCGGATGCATCAGAACTGTAACTTGTTCCTATAAGATTTTTCACTTTGCTTCTATATCCTGTTTTTATTTCTTCTGTGATCAGGACATTGAGGTTGTTGATTTGTGTCTTCAAGCTATAAAAGCACTAGCATCCTTCCATTATAAAGAAGTAAGTGCTGGTAAAGTTGGGTTGGGATCGAATACCACCAGCTGTAAGGATACCGATGGAAGAATTCATGAAGGCATCCTCAGTCAATTCCTTCGTAAATTGCTGCAGCTTCTCCTTTTTGATGAGTATAGGTGAGCAGGCAATACAAAAAAGAAAAAAAGAAAGAAAAAGGACTCCTTTTCATAGAGTACATAAGGAAAAGAATCTTCTACTACACAGTTTCATTACTTTCATTATTGTCCTACAGCAGAGACAGTACCTTAGAAAAGACTGAATGATGCAATCTTGTAGTCCTATTTTAAGTATTTGGAAAAACTAACATATGCAACACTGGACCTTTTTTTGTTGCAGTGTCGATCTTGTTTCCTCTGCAGCAGATGCACTCCTTCCATTGATACTCTGTGAACAGAGTGTGTATCAGGTAAGTTACAATATCTCATGATGATCCATTATAGTCCTCATTATATGATTGATAAAAGAATCAGACTTTTACATACCGATTCCCGATCCTTGTTAGCTGTGGTACCGATCCTTAAAAGCGGGCTCTAAATTCTTGGGCACGGAGATTAAGAAAAGTGGTATTTTAATGTTGTCCTTGTACTTCTCCTAAAGTTAAAACTCGGAACTTTTATAGGGCTAGTAATATAATTTTTTGATTAAAGTAGACTGTGTAATATGTTGGGTCGTCAGTGCCAATAGTGCAAATAGATCGAAAAATAGTTGGTAGAAATTTAATAAGGGATTGGACTTTTTTTACAAAATATAGTATGAGTACACTTTTGGTAGACAAACTAAAGTAGTAAAACGAGCACACTTTTTGTAGACAGGAGGGAGTATATTTTTACCAATTAGATTTGTTGCAAAATTCTTGAATATGAACCATTTGCCATAACCCACAATTCTAACCATATTATACCTGGAACAGAAAATTGTATTTAGTTTGTGATCTGTCTCATTTCTCATATCTGTACAAATCATATCTCTTGCAGAGCTTAGCAAATGAGTTGATAGAAAGGCAGACAAACCAAATGTTCAGATCTCGCCTAACAAATGCGCTCCAGTCTCTGATAACCGCAAACAATCTCTCGTCCAATCTTGACCGTCCCAATTATCAGAGATTCAGAAAAAATCTGCACAGCTTTCTCATAGAAGTTCGCGGATTTCTCCATACTGTATAAGCATGCAGGCAAAAAACTGTACATTCTTTGGAGACCATAGTTTCTACTCAAGTTCCAGTCCGAGTTCGATCCTCCATTGATATGTTTCCCGTAGGTTTCCTACCTTCCACTTAACTCAATACCCGAACTCTCATTACTTAACATGTGCTATCCATGGTTTTGCAGAGGAAAGGCTGTCTAGTATCGATCTTGATCTTTTGCATAAACTACTGTATAATGAAAAGGTTTACAGGCGCTCGCCACATTGGATTGGACCGGTGTCCCCATTCTGGAACCATCTTACTGGAAATACTTGAAAAGAGAAGCTTGGAAGATTTTTGTGCAGATTGCTTTATGGTGAGTTTTGAGTATGATGAGCACATACATTTGTGAGTTTATCTCCTCTTTTTGTCTCTTTGGTGTTTAGGTTTTTGGTTTCATTTTTAAGAACAGTTTACTTGTGGTGGTGATGATGATGTTGTGTTTAGACAGCTTTGCAAGATATATCTGAATCCTGATTTGCTGCAAAACAATATTCATTCTTTATGAGATTATTTATACATGTTAATGAGAACAAATGCTTATTGTTTGGGTTTGATTTGAAACGAATCTTTTATCTGAATTTTGGTGTTAATGAAGTTTTATTGGCAAGTGTACGTGCTGAATAATGTTATTTTGATTTGAAATAGAAAACAAAAAACATTAGGTTCTGTTCATTTGGTCAACTTTTCTTAATTTTTACTATTTGAACTATCATATTGTACTTGTTTTTTATTTATTTTTTATATTATATTAAAATTTAAGTTTACATATCAATACTTATTTATATCATATCATTTAGTTATTTCAATTCAAATATTTTATTATTCAAATTCTAACTCAAAATTCAAATTTTTAGACAAACACAGCCATGTATATTTTGAAATATTTTTATGTTTTGAAATTTCCTAAAAATTAAAATATTGGTAGAAAGTAGATTTTAAACGAAGAGATTTAAAAATTAATTCAAATTCAAAATGTTTTGTATTTTTGAAAATATATTTGGACGACATAATATTTAGATTATTAAAGGGATAAATGAGCTATTTATGTGGAGATCCGTTCTAGTGCAGTATTAGCATTTTTTTTCAATTTTCAATTTTAAGTACTGTCTTTGATCGAAATAATTAAAATTGGTGGAGTTACTCGTGTTCTTAAAAATATTTTAAATAATACTTTTATTCAAGAAATAGGAGTAAAAATATTTATAAAAAATTATGGATAAATAAAAAATATGTATAATTTTAGAAATACAATACTCCCTCCACCCATCGTTATAATTTGTAAAATTTAATTAATTATCTATATATTTATATTAATTAAATAAATTTTATATAATTCAATTTCCAACCGAAACAACTTGCCGCCAAGAATGGCGAAGACATTTCCTTACACCAATAAGACAATGCAAATTACATACAACACACATTAACTGTCACTGCTGAATGAATGAATGCTCCCAAGAACAACCTTATTTCTTATTCGATTCAATGTTAGATTTATGATCTCGCAGCTCCTTAATCACTCTCTTCCAGAAATCTTGTAGTGGAATCCGTCTGGGAATCTGATGATCGGCGACCGAACAATCTTGCCTCCCTTCACCATTCCCCACCTGCAATCGATTCATTACGATTATGTATAATGTACTCCGATTATCGTATCTTCAAACCCTAACCCTAATTCCCAATTTGATTTTTCGTAATTCATACCTGTATTTCATGACCAGGACATGCAGGAACGTCGCCAGGAGCACCCTGCTGTACTCTGCCCCGGCGCATTGCTTCATTCCTGATCCAAACGGCATGAAATGCTTCGCCGCGAAGCTCGGTTCGATCTCCTGAAATTCCCAGAAGAACAATTACGGGTAAGATGTAAGAATGATTGATAATTGTTATGCACCGTACGTACGTACCTTCCATCGCCATGGATTGAATTTGAGCGGATCCTCGAATTGATTAGGGTTCAAGTGAAGTCCGGCTGTGGCAATCATTATCACCCATCCTTTGGGGATTGTGTAGCCTGCAGCAGTAGAATTTTAGTCCATATTTGGGGATTTAATTCTTTTCAAGCAATTAGGGGTTGGCGTTTACCGTTTACAGGGATGTCTTTCAATGCACGGCGGAAGAATCCGGGGGCGATATTCCCCAGCCTCAGGACTTCATTGATGACCTGAAAGATTTCAGTTGCATTCATGATGGAACTTCGAACAGGAACATGAGGTTTATAATAGTTTCTGAAAACAGGGCACAGCTTTGGGGGCAATTAATCAGACCTGAAGTGTGAATGTCATTGATTTGTACTCATTCCATGTCAGTTCCGAGTCTGGATTTTCCCTCTTCTTGATGATTCCTTCGTGCTCCGCCTGATTCGCAATGAAAATGCATACACTATCAGATGAATGCTTGTGTTTGTCTATATATATATATATGTATATGCAGAGAGAGAAAGGGAGCTGATTTCGCACAATGAGTTCCTCCAAAACTTTGGGATGTTCTGCAAGCAGCTTGAAAGCCAGAGCCAGAGTGGTCGAAATGGAATCAGAAGTGACAAATAGCAGCCCGAACATGAGTTGAACGATGAAGTCCTCGTTTAAGAATGATTCGGTGTTCTTGTCCTTGATGATATGGTCAAGTAGATCTCCATGGTGTCTTTCAGATTCTGCAAGCCTTTTTGTCACCACGTCCCGCATCATCGTCCTCACTTTCTTGTGGATCTGCATAGACACAGTCCTTCCTTTGGTTATTAACAAAATGCTTTTAGTTTGATTATATATATATATGTATGTATATGTATATGTTCTATGGTGATGACGATTATTAACTGACCTGCAAGCATTTGTGATGTGCAGTTCCAGGAATGTTGATAGGGAACGACATCAGGCCATCCACCAAGTCACGGAACATTTCACTTATACACATCGGTGCATCCCCACTGAATATTTGCTTCGCAGCAAAGTCGATTGCCATCTGAGATATACGGTACCATACAATGTTTGGATGTGATTTGAAGTTTTGATCATCTAAATAACGACTGATTCTTGAAATATACTTTTGATTTGATACAAATTGATGGTTAGTTTGAGAGAATAGTTACAGAGTTCTTGACAAAAATGACTGAACAAGTATCGAATCCTTTTGGTATTTCAAGTCAACTGAAAGGGAATGCGAAAGTTACCGTGACAGCTTCACTTTTGACTTCAACAGACGCCTGGCTCGACCAACCGTCAAGAGTTTTCCTAACCATAGTTTCCATCTGAGGAAGAAGTTTTGTCCTAAGAGCTTCAACACCAAAGTGATTCAAAGTCAAGTTTCTTGTGTACTTCCTCGAAGATTGGCTCGCCTGGTCGAACACCTCAGCAAAGGTGTCCATAGACCACGTGTCTACCAACTTCCCATCCTGTCGTAGAAGGAAGTGATTGAACTCAGGATCTACGGTAATGATCACCGGCCTCCCTGCCACATTTGTCCGAAAAATAGGACCATACCTGAGACAATATTGGTAAAAAGGAATCAAATGGCGTCACACAATGTTCAATGGTAATGTGATACAATCGACAAAACATTATAGACCTTTTATCTTACCGTTTCATTCGGTTTTTTATGAAGGGCGGGAGGTCAAGAGAGGCGCTCGGGATGACTAGCTGGATGGTTTCTCCGATGAGCGGGAGGCCCATGGATCCCGGAGGGAGGACACCATTGCACTTGGGGTTCCTCCATCTGTAAATCCAGTGTGTGGCATAAATGGCAGCCAATGTACCAATCAAGACAACAACTGACTGCAGATTAAACTGTAAGTCTTTTAGGACTGATAATACTGTTTCCATTGAGTGTTTTTGGGCACAATATATGTTTATATCTCTGTGTGTGTTTTGGTTTTGTGGGAGAGTTTAGAGGTGAATATGAGATATGAATATTTGTGGGGGTGGGGGGTGTAATTTATAGATGAATGTGGAAAGTGATTTTATGATATTTACAATGTGGTTGATTGGTAATGTTTTGTTTCACATTTTGGTTATTTGGTACAAATATGAGTCACACAGTTTGTGGAAAAAGACACAGAATAGAACTTTGGGTTATCATAGTTTGAATGCACTTTTGGTTTGAATGTGCCCTTTTTTGTCATCTCTTTTTGATAGATTTTTATTTGTTATATATGAATCATGTGATGGGAATGTAAAGGGGGTTAGTGTTTTCTTGTGTTTTTGGATTTTAAATTGCAGTTATAAATATATATATATATATATTTAATGAAAAATAAATATTTGAAATACAATATTTTTTATAGGAGAAAATAATAGGTGCGTTCTTTTATCCGATTTTTTTCGAATTTCTCCTATTCAATAAAAAAATAAATAAAAAATCAAATCAAACATTTATTTTTTATATTATACTCTCTTCCTCCCAATTTAAAATATTTTTTACCATTTTCATCTATCTCATTTCAATTTAAAGTATTAATTTCTTATTTGTTTTTAAAAAAGTAATCATTAATATTTTTAATTTTTACTTAAATTACAGTAAAAAATTATTACACCCTTTTAACGATTAAGAAAAATATATTATTTTTTAATTTATTATAAAAATCCCAAAATACCCATTAGATAGAGAAAATCAATTTTAAATTTAAAATATTATTAAATCATACAACTATTCAAAAATAAAAAAAAATAAAAAAATAAAAAAAAATCTAAACCCCCAAACAAACACACTCCATATAAAACTGAAAATATGTTTTGATTATAATTTTTTAATAAAAAATAAATATTAGATAAATGTTTTTGTTTGTTTGTTTAAAACTATTTTATTATAGATTTATATGATCTAAAATAAATTTCAAAACATGGTATGTTATTTTAAGGTTCTCTTAATATTTGATCTTCTATCAATGGTTATGATACATGTGATATAAAACTATTCATCTTTTATAGAGCTATTTCTATCTGTCATTTACTTCTATTATAGATTTCTCTTGAACCTATGTGAAATGTTGGGTTTGTTTGCACAGGTATTCAAGGCTTGATCCTAATAAAAAATAAAAAATAAAAATAAATTATTTTAAATATGATATAAATATTTTAAATGAAAATATATAAATTTATATATTATATTTTAATTGAAAGTAGATGTTAGATTCTATAGTTTTGAAAGTGGAGAAAAAATAATGATTGTGTTCTTTTATAAAAAAAAAAATACACATATGTTTTCCAAGAAATATTAATAAATTACACATATTTATTATTGTATATTTTTTACACAATTTTTCATAACTTACACCAAAAAAGAATATCCATTTAAATTATCTCACAAAACAAATACACCTTATACTCATTTTGTTCTATATGCTCATATTATCAATTTATATATTTTTTCCGCCCCTCGAGTCTTTAGTATTTTTTTTATATAATTCTAGAGAATTAAGTTAAATGAAGTATTATTCAAAATAAAAATTAATATTTAATTATATACATATATATTAAGTAAGATAGTAAATGAATAGTGGTAAAGATAGTTTTTAAGTTTGCTTTATAAACTTTCACTAAAAAAATAAATGTGTATGTGACAACTTTAAAGTAAAATGAATTATAAATAACCACGTATAATAATCCCAGTAAGTTTGTGATGTCAATAATATTTTTAAATTTATATATAATTTGAGGATATTTTGGTAAATAGAGTCGAGATAAATTGATAATTGAATAAAAAAAAAAAATACATAGATTATAAATAAAAATGTGTTACTTAAGTGAGACAATTTTAAATAGAAAATGTGTCGATGTAGGTGGAACTGATGAAGTAATATATTAAGGAATATACTTCTTTTGTTCCGATTAAAAATATTGCTTTGATCATTTTTGTCTATTTTGTTCAATAATATTTTTTTTCCTTTTATAATAAAAGTAGTTACACATTAAAATTAAAATATACTTGAATAAAAATATTAAAATTAGTTTAAACACTTTAACTAATCAATAAAATATTATTACTATTTTTTAATATATTACAAAAACTCGAAACATATATATTCATATAAAAGGAAGGGAGTATATACATAAAAAAATAATAAAAATAAAAATAAAAATAAAAATCCAAATCATTGAAGCACCATAATTTTATTTTATTTTTATATTTTTGTGTGAGATCATTGATTCATTGTATCCTTAGAATTTGATTAAGATGTTTTGTAATTATTGTTGTCCTCAAACTTTGGACACCAAACAACTATAAAGAAAGACAAGACCAATATTTAAAAATAAATGAATTACAACTTAAAACTGCAGCACACTGGATTGAGAAATAAATAACGATCTATGGTACAATAATTGAATTAAATAACCCCCAGAGGTCACAATAATTGAATTTCTTATTTTACAGGAAACAAATTTATTAATTCTTATTACAATGTAAATAAACCAACAATGAATAAATAATACTCCCTCCGTCTCAGATATCGTGTCTGCTACACTGTAGACACGGTATTTCAGTAGGGGTGTAATTAGTAGATAATTAAAAATATATTAGTAAAAATAATTATCTTATAATATAAATAATTATAAATTAAGATTAACATAACTAATTAGTTTAATTAAAATTAAAAAAAAAATTAAAATTTAAAATGAGATTAAAGTGTGTAATCATTTTTCAAAAAAGGAAAGTGACATCATACGTGGGACTGACAGAAAGGCAACGTGGACATGGTATCTGGGACGGAGGGAGTAATAATAATAATAATCTCAAACCTAATTTATAGTATTTTTTCAAAACACCTAAATCTAATGTGTATCTATTGAGTTTTATGAATTTGAATATCTTTTTTAAATATAAAAATTATTATACATGAATTAGATTTATATTTTAATGTAAAAAACTATAATCTTTTCTTCTTTTTTTTTTTTTTTTTGCATAAGTTAGTTAAAATAATGAAAATTTAATGGTAAAAAAAATTAGTATACAAACTAAACAAAATCTAATTATTTTATTAATTTTCAAATAAATATAATATATCACATGCATTTATTATTTTTTTATTACCTAAACAATTATTTATACATCAAATAAAATATATATATATATTTCTTTAAATAATTTTACAAAACAAACACAAATTTCTTATAAAAATAATAAATACCTTAACGGGAGACAATGCGAGTAAAATATATATATATATATATAGTAGTACTAAAAATCAAAATAAAACTCAACCTAAAAAGCTGACGCAATGCATGAGTCAGAAATCACATGCTAATTTTAACTCGTGGCTAGCTTGTTTTGCTGTATTTTAATCGATTAATTTTTGCCATACACTAATATTAATGCATATTATTTGAGTTCAAAGTAAATTAATAGATCAATAAAAAATGGTTAAATATGTACCACGTCACCTTACATGCCCCGCCACGTATTAACACTCCTTACGTATAACAAACACATTTAAATATTTGAGTATTTAGATATGTTTTTAAAATATTTTTGAGTTTGTTTGTTTGTTTGTTTCTTTTCCATTTTGATTGAACTTGAATTTTAATTTTTTTATTAAAAAAATATTTTTGAAAAATATAGCGTACAAATAATAAAAAATAATCTAAAATTGAAACGGAACAAACAACACTTTAAGAAATAGTAAGAATATTAAAGTAAAGTAAATATCTTAAATACATATTTAATTGTAAAATATATTTTTTATATATAATATTTTAAATGAAGAAAATATCTAATACGTTGAATATGTTCAGTCAATATTTTATTCTTACAAGATTTTAATAATATTATCTAAAGAATAATACACAAAAACTAATAAAAATATGCATTATCTTTCTATAATCCTTTCTATAAACACTTCAATAAAAAAATTTATTACATAAATACTAAACAAATATTCATCATTCTCTTGAAAAAAATTAATGTCAATAACTAATAGTATCAAATTTTATTAAAAAAAAAATACAAAACCTTAATTTTCAAAATGACTTTACTTTCCCATTATATAATGCAAGACTACACATTTAAATATAATTTTGACTTCAATTTTAATTTTAAGCCGGACAATTATACATATTTAAAAACAATATAATTTATAATTAAATTTAATATGCATAGCGTATTCATATAATATTATATTTTTATATTTTTATAATTAAATTTAATATGATGTTTATATTTATACTTATGTTGACGGTCGGCACTGTACTGATGTCACCCCATGCAGCACAGTAACCGCCCTATTATTATTATTATTATTATTATTTCGTCTCCTTAAATGATTTATTTTAAGTTAGAAATAGAATTTTAAATATTGAATAATTTGTAAATAATTAATCAATATATTATAATAAAAATAATTATAAATTAAAATTAAGATAATTAAATAATTTAATTACAATAAAAAAATTATAAATTATAAATTTTAAAATAAAATTAAAATATAAAATTATATTTAGAAAAATAACAACAACAATAAATTAAATGAGAAGAAAATAATATTATTTTTATTGTATCATATTATTATTATTATTATTATTATTATTATTATTATTATTACAACAGCGAGCACTCCTCCGTTGAGAAAGGAAGAGAACACCAAATTCGTAGCCGCCAAGCTTAACTCTCTCTCTCTCTCTATATATATATATATAACAGACAGGTGCTTTCATGGCGGCCGGACTGTTGGAATATTCCAGGTGCACCTCATAGCAGCTACCTTCCAATTTTCTACTGCTCCATTATCGCATATATCGCATGAAGGAATCCACAATTAATTATCATGTGCGAGACCTTCAATCGAGATTACCAGTTGTGTGAAGAGCTCGGCCGCGGCCGTTTCGGAGTCGTGCACCGCTGCAACTCCGCCGCCGGCGAGTCATTCGCCTGCAAATCCATCTACAAGCACTCCATATCCTCCGACGCCATCGACGGCCGCTGCATCGACAACGAGGTCAAAATCCTGCGTCTGCTCGCCGGAGGTCCGAACATTCTAGCGATTCGCGACGTTCACGAGGACGACGACTATCTCCACATCGTCACCGATCTCTGCGACGGCGGCGATTTGTTCGACCGCCTGTCCGCCGGCGATCGCTTCTCGGAGCGCGACGCCGCCGTCGTTCTCAGGCAGCTGATGGCGGCGGTCGCGTTCTGCCACCGGCTCGGCGTCGCGCATAGAGATATCAAGCCGGAGAATATCATGTTCGACTCGCGCGGTCGACTGAGGCTCGTCGACTTCGGAGCCGCCGAGCTGTTCGGAGTCTCGGAGATGAGCGGCGTCGTAGGAACGCCGTACTACGTCGCGCCGGAGATTCTCATGGGGAGAGACTATAGCGAGAAAGTGGATGTGTGGAGCGCCGGAGTGATTCTGTATATAATGCTGGCCGGAGCGCCGCCGTTCATCGGAGACGGACCGGCGGAGACTTTTGAGTCGGTGCTGCGGGCGAATTTGCGGTTTCCGGCAAAGTTATTCCGATCTGTGTCACCGGAGGCCAAGGATCTGTTAAGGAAGATGATTTGTCGAGATGTTTCTAGAAGATTCTCAGCAGAGCAAGTCCTGAGTAAGGATTTACCCCCTTTCGTATTCCTCCATTGATATTTACAGCACTCGATTCTCAGTAATTTACAGTTCTGATTATCTCCGTTCATATTCCTCAATTCATATTTATGATTATCAACAGTTTACAATTTCTGATGTTTAATCCCTTTTCATATTCCTAAATTCATAGTTACAGCACTTGATTTTCAACAATTTAGAGTTTCTAATGCTTAATCCCCTTTCATATTCATCAATTCATATTTAAGATTCTCAACATTTCACAGTTTCTTGTGCTTAATCCCCTTTCATATTCCTCAATTTATATTTATGATTCTCAACAGAGTACAGTTTCTGATGCTTAATCCCTTTTCATATTCCTCAATTCTTATTTTCAGCACTCAATTTTCAACAATTTATGGTTTCTGATCCAAATTCCAAACCGTAATATGAATCTTCTAATTTCAGGACATCCATGGATCATAAATGGAGGAGAGACATCAATTGAGGATCTAACCTAATAACTCATGAATGATTTGCTCCTGCGGGTTGGAGCTGAGTCGCCATAGCCAGCCAATCTTCGAAAATGGAGGAAGAAACATAGGAATTAGCACTGTGAGCCTGTAAGTCCCCTGTTCTTTGCTTCTTAGATTCTGGCTTTATTCCCTCCCTATGGTTTCTCTACGCATTAGATATATGGGAGAAGATGAAAAATCACTGTTGATCATTTTTGTAAATATCTGTTGACAATATGATCTATCCCCCTCTGTTTTTTTTTTTATTTTTATTCCTTGAATTCTAAGCCTGTACAAGACACATCACACAGTGTGATTCACACAGGCATAGCTGAATTGATAAGCCAGATATGAACACTTTTGAGAATTGATTCTACTTCGCTGCGGGGATCACTCTTGCGGGGGCTGGATGTGTTACGTGATCATTAATTAAGAAAGTTTTTGTTCGTTGTCTAATAGAATTAATATATTTTTTTTGTAAAATAAGAAGAATTATAAAAAAAATGTTACTCTATATAGTAATAAAAAACTATGGTATAGATTGACAATATATTATATTATAAATGATTTTATTATTTCAATATTGTTCGAGTCACACCGTGCAAGTTTCACATACCTCTATTTGCTCCTGAGAGGGTGTGTTGACCGTTATTCTGAGCATCCGACATGTTTTAGATTCCGAGTTCGAGTTTCATCATTTTTATTTGCGGCATATGTATGTGCAAGTTTCGCGTACTTTCACTTGCACATAAAGAGGTGTGTTTGAGGCTCTTATTTGCGGATATATGAATTAATGATGTATTTTTCTAACAACTTGAGTTTTTAGGTAAAATGGTCATTATGCGCATTCGATAGGTATCAGAGTCTTAGATCTCGAGTTATGTATGTACAAGTTTCTCATTTCTTCAATCATACCCTCAAAAGAAAGGTGTAGGGGTATACTTATGACCGTGAGGTTATGGGTTCAAACCCAACACTTCCAGGTCACCTGTGTAGGGGTATACTTATGACCGTGAGATTATGGGTTCAAACCCTCAACACTTCCAGGTCACCTGCCATACATGATTTGCCTAGTGTGACTTGTCTTGTCGAACTTAATTTGCTGAGTATTATATTCGATCGAAAATTTACAGTGGTTATTAGTTGAGGAAAGAGGGAAGCAGATAAGTGTAGGCCATGGGGCTTGCTTAGGGGTCGTTTTTGTGGGGCCAAAATAGAGTTGGAGGAATGGGTGATTCTTGATCTGTGGGGTTGGTTGATGAATGATTACATTTAATAATATGGATAAGGGGAAGTTTATTTGTAATTGTGTCAAAGTGAGCGATGGTGACGATGATAGGGATATCACAATACTATAACCCCAATCATACTGTTGGCTGCAAATTTAAGTTCTATATCGAAAGTTGTAAAAAAAATTTTACATCTAAGTCCCAAGTAAATTTTACTAGAATGAGACTTTTTGAAAATTATTTAAAAATAAATTCATACGAACTCAGTCAAAAACGAACAATATCATAGTTGAATTGATACGGTCTCAATAGTGGTATGAGAGACTCACTCTTCTTAAGTAATTCCATTACATTCTTCTACCCTTATCTTAATTAACATTTTAACTCAACTCAATTAACCTCCACATTCATCATTCAATAATACAACCTCTATCTAATAGAGTTTCTTAAAACTTGGAAATTGGAGAAATATTTGAACTCAAAGATTTATTGAATCTAATTCAATCAGAATAATCTACAATTTGAAATGGTTAAATTAGATATTTTTATTATTACCTTTAAATGTGAATTACAAATAATATATCAATTATATATATAAAAGTATAAAATCAAAATTCTAACATATAGTTCAAAATTTTTATCGTCCATAAGCAAATTTATGTCTTATTAAAATTGTGTATAAAATATAAAAATAATAAATAAATATAATATATTAATATTTTTTGAAAAAGCCTACAAGAGCTGAATCATTGTCTATGGTCTGATAGAGGTTGATGAGGTGAGGTACTAGCCCATGTGTTTCTTGATGCTTTGTCAGAAATAAATAAAATGTCCCTCTAAACCTCCCATGTTGTTGCGGATGAGAGAAGGAAGGAGAAAGATCCCAAATCAAAACTAATGATAATGGAGATGGTAAGGTATTGACTAGGGTTAATTGCATTGATCCTAATCAATATAAATAAATAAATAAAGCAAATAACATATAATTTAAAATTAAATCGAAATTATGTGTTGATAGTTCACTAATAGTATAATGTGGACTATTATCATATATATATATATATATATAATATCACTTCATATATTTTAGTTGTATTATATTAAATATAAATTATATTATTGATTATTATTATTTTATATGTAAAAACTTATTCAACTTCAGAACTGTAGACATAATAATATGTTAAAGAAAATAGTTGATGACATTGATTATACATACATACACTCGATTATTGTTCTCATGTCTTAAAAAAAAAGAAGAAAAGAAAAGAAAACTGATATTACTAAATAATAACCTTTGAACCACATGTACACATTATTGAGCCATATAATAAAACACTCAAAAATCAATATACTTATTTGTTAAACAAACTATTAGGGTGTGTTTGTTTGAGGGTTTAGATTTTGAATTGGAATTTGAATAGTAAAAATTTTGAATTTGAATAGTTGTGTGATGTGATATAAATAGGTGTTGATGTAATATTTTGGATGTAAAATTGATTTTTAGTATAATATAAAAAATTGAAAAATAGGTGTTTGATTTAATGTTTTTGAGAAAAGAAAATAGGATAAATAGCGAAAATCCAAATAAATCCCTCAAACAAACACCCCTAAGGGTGTATATACATATACATTTTATATCAACGGAGTAATTTAAGTTTGACTTTTACATTAAAATAATATAAAAACGTATATATTTATTTTTTTTAAATGATTTTTTTTGCCAAAGACAATAACGACAAAAAATTTAAAAGTTTATAATTTTGAACAATTTAAAAAATAAATAAATATTGTAATATAAATAGATAACAAATATAATATTTTATAAAATATTGTAAATACAAAATAAATATTTAGCAGTATAACATTTTTATAAGAAAATACTATGATAGTAAAAATAAAAATTCGAAAATATCTATTAAACAAGGATGCGTTTGTTCAGTCACAATTACTTATAAATATATTAATTTTTTTTCACATCAAAATACAATATAGATTAAAATTCAAATCAAAACCAAACACCTAATGCATTTATATGATGAATTAAACCAAACCATGCTTGCTGAAAACAATAGAAAACTAAAGTAAATTATGGACAAAAAGGTTAAACTATTAGGCTGAAGATCACAGATTTATTTGGCAATCAAAAGTCTGGGAATATCAGATAGAACACATCAAAAACTAAAATCTTCCCTCAAGAACAAGAAAAAAAAGGTATACTAAAACACAACAACAATATTAAGGGTACCTGTCGGACAAGGGAAATACGTCTGTCCCATTATTACTTGACACCGATAACCGACATGAGGAAGCTAAGATTCTTGTTAAACTCCGAAAGATCATCGGACGAATCAACAATGGAAGATGGTGGCTCGATTCCGGTGAACAAATACAATGCCTTGAGCTCCTCAAAGTACGATGCCTCGTTTGGTCTCTCGAACCCCACTATCGCCCTTATCGCATCGATTTTCTTCCAAATATCTTTCTCGCTCGGCGCCGCCTGCCATAGATGTAAAGATTAATTATTTTAGAATAGTCGCGTAAAATAGATGCCCTCAAAAGAACGTTGCATAGCATGGAGCTACTTATTAAGGCTCCGTTTAGATAGATACTTTTGGAATTTAGAAATTTTGAAAATAATAAATAATAAAAAAAAATAAGTATTTGATATGATATTTTTTTATTAAGAATAAATATTTGATGAGAATTTTTTTAAAAAAATAAATTACATAATGACAAATTCTAAAAGAACTTATGTAACTAGTGATTTTTCGGAAAATTCATCTTTAAAGTAGATCAGCCTTTTCAACAACGCCAAACTTTGTTGAGGCTGTCTATTTATTTTGTCAAACAATGGCTTTAATTCAAACTAAAACCAAATAAATTAAGCTAACCTCGTTCGATCGTAACCCGCTATCTACCGCAGGAGCATCAACTTCTTCCCGCTTCGGCTCGGCTACGGTCATTGCTATCTCCACAAGATACTCGCCACCATTATCTTCCTTCCCCGACTCTCCTGCAGCTGTAGAACAAACTCAATAAGTGCCTAATGGAAATGGTATAATCATAACTGATTCGATCCTTCGACTAATCGTTTTACTACCTCTTACCTCTTCGATCATCACTAACTATTATAATACCATGCAAAGATTTGTAACACCAACTACCTTTGTCGTCTATCGGCATGTTTTCAGCAGTTCCGCTCGGTAGCACCAATGTTGTTTCGTCTTCGAAAATTGCACCATCTTTATCACTCTGTCCCACAGGCCTCTGTTCTTTCTTTAACAACCCATCTACTATGTTTTCTTGCGCCGCATTGTCCGCATTTTCACGTCGATCAATGATTCTCTCTATGTTATTGTTCATCAAAATCTCATCAGCTTGCTCATTTTCACTAGCAAGGTTGCCGGTTTTATACGTAGTTGTTTCTTGGACAGCCTCGAAAGACACCATTTTTTCCTCGGATAATTCCTCATGCTTCTTATGATCATCTGTTTTTGTATCGGCATCGACGCCGGATGCAATTAATCCACCCTCTATGCTATTCTTTTCGACCTCGTTTGTCACTAATGGCTCATCAAATCGACGTTCTACGTTACCCGACGTAGAATCTTCGTCGAATCGACCTTTATTGTTGCTCGATTCCTGGACACCAACAACCACATTGCTCTCGAATACAATTTCCTCATTTATACCATTCTTTTCTCCCTCATTCTCCGCTAATGGCTCGACAACTCGACCTTCGATATTACCCAACAAAGAATCTTTGTCCTCGTCGTCCCTCGATTCCAAGACACCAACAAACATCATATTGCCACTGCTATCTGTTTCCATTGCAAAATCAACCTTTGATTCAATTCCCTCCACATTCTCCATTAACGGCTCGTCGTCTCGACCTTCCACATTCCCCTGCCTATCATCATCTTCATCGTCCTCACTGTACCTCAATCCGGGGACAAAAATAGCATCACCATCATCATTCTTTTCACCTACATCTTCCACAAATGCCTCGTCGAATCGACCTTCTACATCACCCGGCAAAGCCGTCGCCCCTTTCAATCCCGGGACGACAATAACATTACCGTCATCATTCTTTTCACCTACATCCTCCACAAATGCCTCGTCGAATCGACCTTCCACATCACCCGGAAAAGCCGTTGCCCCTTTCGATCCCGGGACGACAATAACATTACCGTCATCATTCTTTTCACCTACATTCTCAGCAAATGCCTCGTCGAATCGATCTTCTACTACATCACCCGGAAAAGGCGTCGGCTCTTTCGATCCCGGGACGAAAATCACATCACCATCATCATTCTTTTCACCTACATTCTCAACAAATGCCTCGTCAAATCGACCTTCTACATCACCCAGAAAAGCCGTCGGCTCTTTCGATCCCGGGACGACAATCACATTACCATCATCATTCTTTTCACCTACATTCTCAATAAATGCCTCGTCGAATCGATCTTCTACTACATCACCCGGATAAGCCGTCGGCTCTTTCGATCCCGGGACGACAATCACACTACCATCATCATTCTTTTCACCTACATTCTCAATAAATGCCTCGTCGAATCGACCTTCTACATCACCTGGGAAAGCCGTCGCCCCTGGGACGACAATCACACTACCATCATCATCATCCTTTTCACCTACATTCTCCACAAATGTCTCGTCGAATTGACCTTCTACATCGCCAGGCAAAGCCTTCGCCCCTTCGTCGTCCTCGTCGATAATATTGTCATCATCAATCGTGTATCCAACTCCCTCTTCCATAGCATTCTTTTCATCCTCAGTCTCGGATGATTCCTCGTCTACTCGAACTTCGAAGATCGATGGGGCACTATCTTCATTCTCCTGTGATTCCAGGACAACCACCACATCATAATCATCTGTCTTTGTAGTACAAACTTCAGATACAATAGCCTCCTCCTCTGTTCCGGCGGCGGCGGCGGCGCCGCCGCCGGAATACTGAGTCTCGTCGCCATAACTGACTTGCTCAAGCAACCTCATCTCTTCTTCCTTTACCTCTCCAGAATTCAACTCTTCCTCTACCAATTCAATCTCCATTCCTTCTCCGTCGTCCTCCATAGCCAAACCTGCAACACCTTCTCCTCCTTCCTCCTCGTAAGTTATGTATTTGATTTCCGGCGGGGGTAGAAGTTTTCTCATGAGATTCTCAGTGCCGACGTAGCTAACGAACACGAAGCCGTACGGAACTGAGAAGGCGAAACCTAGCGCGGAGATCACCGCCAGCGGAGGAAGAAGGACAGGAGCAGATGAGACCACAATCCCTACAATCGCAACCTTCTTCCCCAATCTCATCCCTGCGCTCAACATCCTGCTCAATCTGCTCACCTTCTCGCTCTCCCCAACCTCCTCTCTGTACTCCACGATTTCCGTTATCTCGTCCTCTCCTGCTGCAGAATCTTCCATCACAGAAACCTACAGACGACGGAAATCTATTATGTATAACACAAAAAGCCAGATCACCGATTCAGTCGATCGGAAGTCGGAACAATCGAGTAACTAATCACACACCTGATAACGGCGAAGCTAGCTAGCTATGGCGGCAGCTGGTGGTGGATATTTGAAATTGAATCGCCGATTCCAGTCGACAGAGAGTAGAATCAACGGCGCGGTGTTGCCGAAATTCCTCAGCCTATTCAAACATACCTAATGTCGCCGGAGCTAGCTAGCTTTTGTATACTGCGGTATTATACTCCACGGCGGAGGTAGCTATGGCGGAAGATGGTGGTGTGTGGTTGATTGCGCCGACTCTGATGGAAGGAGTGGAGATCGACGATGATCGATGAGATGTGGCGGAATGGTATGGGCTGGGGAGGACACGCGTTAGTGCATGTGTGCCACGAGGCAGTCTGCTGCAGCCATCACTGCATGCACAGCTTTTCTGATAGAAGCTCCTGGACTTTCTACTCCGGATGTATTCTCGCCCTTCGTCTCTTTTGATGAATGGCTGAAATATGCCTGGTTTTAGTGCTCCGAGGTCTCGTATTAAATAATCCCAATTCCCAACAGAACCTTCTGCACATATATCCTATTTTTTTATTATTATTATTTAGCTTATATCTTTATTATTTAGGGTGTGTTTGTCTTTGATTTTAAATACACAATTTATTTTATTTTTTTAAATATTAAATTAAATATCTATTTTTTTAATATTATATTAAAAGTCAATTTTGCTATTCAAAATATCATATCAATACTTATTTATATCATATTATATGACTATTTAAATTTAAAATTTTTACTATTGACATTTCAATTCAAAATTCAAATCGACAAACACACCCTTAGTGTAGTTATGTAGTGTGTTTGTTTTGATTTGATTTGAAAAATTTTGATTTGAACTTAATACTCGATTTGTTATTTAATTGTGTGTTTATTTAATCGGCACGAATTTTAAAAAAACAATAGATAAAAATAAAATTTTTTATTTTTTCAGTACAGAAAAAATAAAAAAAATAGTATTTATTTATTAGAAAAAAGACAGAGTATTAAAATAAACGTTAATGAGATACTTTGTGAGAAAATAAATAAAAATATTTTCTCAAATTTATTAAAAAATAATAATATTTTATTGATTAATAGAAGTATATAAGAGATTTTAATATATTTATCATTTGAAATATTAATTAATTGTATTTGCAATGTTATATTTATAATACAAGTAAAAATCAAAAGTATTTTGATATTATTATATAATTATTTTTATTAAAATAAAAATATATATACTTTTCATTATAATAGAACAAATTAGTAAAATAAGTACCTTGATTTGTGACTGTAAAAATATTTTTTTCAAAAAATTCAAAATTCAAATAGTAAAATATATAATTTGGTGAAAAAAAAAAATACACCTTTGATATATACTCTCTCTTAGAATAACTCTACTTTTTGTCATTATTTTTCAATACACAAGTATAAAAAGATTTTATGTTTCTATAAGATGTTAATATATTTAAATTTATGTGAAAAATCAAATGAATATATTAAGTTCCGTCTAAAATAATATATATATATATATATATATTTAACATAGTAGGTTTGTTTGGGTTTCCTTACCCTAACTTTCAAATTTTTACCTTTTAGTTTTGTATGTTTTGAAAATGATATTCATTTTCATTTGCCAAAATTAACATATTTGGATTTGGCACAAAAATTAAAAGTATATATATATTTTTTTTTTGAAAAGGTAAAAAAATACTAGTTAAGAGCATTTTTTGAAAGTTAGTTAATAATTAAATAAAATGAAAATATAATGTAATAAAAGTAGTGTCAATTAAAATAAATAAATGTTTGGTGGATAATAATTAAATATTGAATATTTGATTTTATTAAAATTAACAATAGGATAAATTTAACATACTACAAAAAAATAATAATAATAAATAAAGTAAATTAGAAGATCATAAGTACATTTTTCTCTCTCGGAAAATACTTTCTCATATATTATTGTTTTAATATCAAACTCCACTAATATTTTCCAAATCCAATAAAAAATAAAAAAATAAAATAAAAAATAATAAAAAAAAAAAAACAATTTTGATTCGTTACCAAGGCACTGTTCAGACGAGGGCTGTGTCTTTTGTGATTTTTCACTCAATTTTCATTATTTATTTAAAATTAGGTTTTGTTCTTTTTGTAATTTCTTCTCATATATTTTCTAAAAAAAATTAATACAGATATTCATTATTTTTATACTATCTTCACAATTTTTTATACGTCATATAAAAAAATTTACCTCCCAAAAATCTCACAAAATAAATACACCACGAATTAAATTAATTATTTTTATTTTTATATTAAATTAAAATTAAAGTTTTATTTAAAATATCACATTTATTTATATTACATAAAATAATTATTCAAATATTAAGTTTACTATTTAAAACTTCAGGAAAAATAAAAAAATAAAAAAAAAAATCAAATCCACAAACAAACATGTTCAAGAGAATTTTAGGAGTTTTAAAAAATTTGAAAATAATTAAAAATTAGTATTAATGTAATGTTTTGTCCGAAAAAAATACTAATTAATGTAAGTGTGTGAGAAGTTTGATATTTTTGCTCTTTTTTAACTTTATATATATAAAGTAATTGTATATATAATAATACGTTTGTTATTTAAGTAAAAATTAAAATATTTTAATATTATTACACGATTACTTTTACTAAAATAAAAAAAAAAATTTATAAAGTAGATAAAAAATACCGTCCATCAATTTTCTTATATATGTATATATATTTAAAATGTATTTAGAATATGGTATTTATAGACTAGGTTCATCAAAAAAAATTTCTTTTATAATTTTTTCTAAAATAAAAATAAAAAATTGATGGCACCTATTTCTCATGAGTGTTCAATTTAATCTTGTGAGTTTAATATATCTATGTGTTGTATTATGAGAAATATTTTTTTGTTTGAAAAAAAAATCAAACATATCTTTAGTTTATATTGTACAATATTTTTTTGTTTTACTTAAAAATATCAATTTTTTATTATAATAAAAATAATCACACATTAATATATTTAATTTTAAAATAAATTACAAACATATCATTATATATATATAAAGTATAAATGGTAAAAATATTATAATAATTTTATAGATTTGTATTAACTAATAAAATATTATAATTTATTAATATATTACAAAACTTTAAAATAGTACATTTGTTTGGGACGAAGAAGAAGAACATCTCCGACGAGTGATTCCGATCAATTTTCGAAGATTTTTCACATAGTTTTCTCTAAGAGTGCGTTTGTTTGGGGTTTTGGATTTTGAGTTGAGATTTGAATTATAATATTTTTATGATTTGAAATAAATAGGTGTTGTGAAATTTTGAACAATACACTAATGTGTTTGTTTGGGAGTTTGGATTTGAGTTGGAATTTGAATAGTAAAAATTTTGAATTTGAATAGTTGTATGATGTGATATAAATATGTGATGATGTGATGTTTTGAATGTAAAATTGATTTTTAGTATAATATAAAAAATGAAAAATAGGTGTTTGATTTGATGTTTTTGGGGGGAAAAAATTGGATGAATAGTAGAATTTTGTTAGAATTCTACAAACGAACACACAGTTTTCTGTGAGGATTAAAAGCCTTTTTTAATGAGTTTCTTTGACTGTGTTAGATTGTATTTGGGGTGTGTTCGTTTACAATACTTTTATAAATTTCTGTTATTAATTAAATTTGTTTTATTTAAAAATATCAAAACAAACCTTTATTTTTCACTTATTATCTTATATTAAAAATTAATTTTATAACATTGTACGACTTTTCAAATTTAGACATGGTTACCATAGCCCTACACTGAGGGCTTGCGCCGAGCATCACTGCCCCTTCGCCACTAAAAAAGGACAATATATGAATTTGTCAAAAATTGTACGATCGTTATGTAAAATTGTGGTTTTGGTTTGATAAAATGATTATTCTCTAATAAAGATGTATTAATTTTAACTTTCTTAATATATTACCTAAAATATTTTATTTTTATATTTAACAAAAGATATTACTTTAAATATTTTTATTATAAAAGATAAAAATATATATATATACTCTCGTTAAAATTCATATTCAGAATTTAAACATATTTTTAGGTAACAAATGAATTACTTCCTTCGTTCATTAACAATTTATTTATTTATTTTAATTTCGTTCATTTTATACAATACTAACAAAAATAATTTAATTTTTTTATTTTTATTTTTACTATATTTTAATATAATACTAATATTTTTAAAATTTTATATGAAAAATAAATGAATATATAGATACAAGAGAGAGGAGAGAATAGTTTTTATAATAAATATGTAAATTAATAATTTATCTGTTTAATTAATATTGAAATGGTCCTCTAAAATAGAGTATGTATCTTCCCGTACCTTGGATAAATAACAACTGTGGGTGGAATTGACTTGCCGCAAATTCATTCTCAGCCACAATAATTCAATTATTTAATTAATTGTATTAAATTTAACGACTGCTTTATTAATTCAATCATTAATTTGTACTTATCTGAGCATGGGATTGGGCGGCCATTTTTGTCCCACGCTTACTTTAAATCTGGGTATTTATCTAATCGTGATATTTTTTTACAGGTTAATGTTATTTATTTGTTTAAAGGGAAATTATTGAATAAATGTGGATATTTATGCTTCCCAAACACGACAAGTAATAATAATAATAATAATAATAATAATGATTATCGATGGGACTCTGGAAGGAATAAATTATTGATATATAGTGAATGTGCTAGCCGCCCTTAAAGAATTCAACTCAAAGTTGGGGCCAGAAGTTGAGTTCTATCGTGGAATATTATACTGAGACGATATTTTGGGGTGTGTTTGTTTTTAGAATTTGGTTTGAAGGAAAAAGATTTTACATGGAGCACAGACAATGATACTCTCTCTGTCCTATAAATATCTATCAATTTATTTTTTTTAAGAGATTTTAAAAATATTAGTAATATATTAAAATACATTAGAAATAAAGTAAAAATTATTAAAATAACATTATTAGTATTGTGTGATATAAATGTAATGATATTTGTGTAATATATTGTAAGTTGTAATGATATTTGTAATGTTAATTAGATAGTACAATTACTAAAAAGAAATGAATACTTTATTACGAGACAGACTAAAATGGAAAAATAGATAATTTGTTATGGGACAGAACTATTCGATTGTTTTTTACACGAAATTTAAAGTATATTAGTATTATATTGATACATAATAAAAATAAAGTATAAATGATTAAAATAATTTTATTAGTATTGTATAATATAAATATAAATATAATAATATTAATATAATATATTGTAAGTTGTAAGAGTATTTGTAATATTAAGTGGACATTACAATTACTAAAAAAAAAAAAATTTTATTACGAGACGAACCAAAATGAAAAATGAATAGTTTATTAATTGATACGTATGTATAATTATTTTCTAATTGAACTGCTATGATAAAAATACTTCATCCGTCGTTATTCAAAAGTATATTTTTTTACCATTTCTACATGTTCCACTCAAATATATCTAATATTTCATTTTAATATAAATAATTATACACTAATATCAAAGTATCCTTATTTTTTGTTTAAATTATAAATATATTATTACATATATGATTATTTTATATATAAAGTGAAAAGATAAAAATATCAAAATATCATATACATTTTCACTAACTAATACTCCATTCATCCGTATTCTGAGGGTTACATTTTACATTTCGCGTCATTGTACTTAATATTAGTCTTGTTTACTATTTTTGTCCGTCCTAAAACAATAGTCTTATTTTCATAATTAATCATATCACTACCATTACTCTTTCATTATTATTACATAATTGCAACTATATTTTACACTAATATACTCACAAGGGCAAAAATGTCTTTTATTTATATTTTTTCACCCACTGTTAATATAATATTAATATATTACGTGTCTAACACAACCAAGACTATAGTTCCCGGACGGAGGGAGTATTATATTTTTATAAACGAGTTCTATTAGTATTACAAGACACTAATAAAATTATTTTTCAATTTTTTCTTAATTTGAAATACGTTTTGATATAATAATTGATATTAAAAAATTAACACACAAAAGATAAATGAGACCCTTAGAACCGGATCAAAAGTAATACTCCCTCCGTCCCTTAACAATTTATCTATTTTTCTATTTTAGTATGTCACATAATAAAGTATCAATTTTTTTTTTTAGTAATTGTAGTATTTACCTAACATTACAAATATCTTTTCAATTTACAATATATTAAACCAATATCATTTATTACATTTATATTATACAATATTAATAAAATTAATTTAGCTTTTTTATCTTTATTTTTATTTTATCAAAATATAATATTAATATTTTAAAATTACATGTAAAAATAAATGTATATATAAATATGAGACGGATGGTGTATAATAGTATATTTTAATCTACAACAACACCGTATGGGACGGACAGTATATGAATTAAAGAAACATTATATTATATGTCCAAATTAATCTGAAAGTCAACCAGCTTATATTAAAGTTAAAAATGTAACGAGATATTTTTAATTTTTGCTATTTTTTAAAACAATAAGTAATAATTTTATTACAGTCCTTATTTACATGACGTAGAAATGGGAAAGTTATTTATTTGAACGATTCAATACACTGTGGGAGTGGCGTTAGTTCTATAACAAAAGCGACTCCAGGATCTAAGATCCATAAACGATCTTCACCGTTAATTATCAAACGTCGACTCAACCAACGGCGCGAATTGTTTTTTCAGCTGAACACACGGGAGTCGCTAAAATTATAAGTCACTTCTGACCTTTCCGCCCAATGATGTAGAAGCGAGAAAATGGCGGACAAGCGGTGCCCGTCGCTATTGTGCGCCTCGTTGGTTGCATTTCTTATTCGTGACGCACCAATCAGCGGGCAGTATATATAAACCCACCGAGCATCAAATCTAATGCACAACACAGTCAGTCGCCGGCGATAGTAAATCACAGTGGTTTGTTAGCTTCTCTCTTCTCCAAATTCCGCCGAATTTCGGAGCTTGAGTTTGGGAATGACGAAGGTGTATCCGAATGCTGCGTCGCCTCTGCCGCAGGTTTGCGGCGGCGAATGTCGAGAATTGGAGGCGGATCCGGTTTCGGCGGTGCTCACCGTGTGGAAGAAATCGCTGATTTTCAATTGCGACGGATTCACCGTGTTCGGTGCCGACGGGAGGCTCGTCTACCGCGTGGATAACTATATGTTCCGGAACAAAGGCGAGATTGTTCTTATGGACGCGCTCGGCAACTGTCTGCTCACTGTTCGTCGTAAGGTATGTTCGGTGATGTCCGTATTGCGATTACTTTGTCGATCGGGAGGTTTTGGATGATTTTCTGAGTGAGTTTTGTGAATCGGTTTGCAGAGACTTAGTCTATCGGACAGTTGGACGGTGTTCGACGGCGAGACGGCGGATAATCCTCGTTTTTTTGTGAGGAAAAGCGCGAATCTCCTCAACACCAAGTGCGTGGCGTCCGTCACCTCCGCCGGCGGCGGACGGAGTAAGAACGAGATGCTGTACGAGATCCAAGGGTCGTATCCTCGGCGGTGCTGCACCTTCTACGACGATAAGAGGAGGCAAGTTGCGGAGATCAGGCAGAAGGAATCCTCCATCAAAGGCGTAGATTTCGGAGCCGACGTTTTCCGCCTTGTCGTTAACCCTGGAATGGACGCGGCTGCAGCCATGGCAATCGTCATAGTCCTCGACCAGATGTACGGATCATCCACCGCCAGATTCTTCTTAACAAATTAGCAACGGCAATTCCCTCCGATGCGCACCTCCGCGGATCCTCAGATCTCACCTCTGCGCCTCTTCAATTTCCTCGCCGGAGCTTCTGGTTTTCTAGTTTTTGATGAAACACCTCAGCTCTTCAGGAGGCTCTGTACATGTGATTGTTACTGAATCCTTGCGAACCTAGCAAGGATCTGATGTTATTATCATCAATTGTTTTGGAATTTGTATGCAATAGAATGCATTTAAGCCTGTAGATTCCCATCTAACTAAAGTTTCTATTGAAATCTGAATGAGATTGCAAGGATCTACTTTTGTATTTGTTTTAGTGATAAGAACATTGAGCACCGACCAGTACAGCTGTCAAATCCAACGGCTGAAAAGGCCGTTATATTCGTCAAAACGATATTCGAAACTTTTCACCAAAGCATTTATTTCCTCTCCGAGAAGCTAACTCACTCTCTGCTTCGTCTTTTTCTCAAGATCGATTAGCTAACACTCCGCCGATTATCGGAATTTCAGGTCACTCGTCGGAGGTCCGGCGATGCAAGCCGCCGTCCGGTGCCCGGCCGACGCCTTTGCGTACAACAGCACGCGGTGCGCCTGCAATCCAGGATACCTCTACAACTCCAGCACGAACAGCTGCAGTCTGTTTTCGGAGAGGAGTCCGAATGTGGAGCTGAGCAGCGGCGTGGACTATGAATCCTCCCTGGCGTTTCCGGAGACGATATTCTCCTTCGATTCGATTAAGAAGTTGACGCAGTCGCAGGCGGTGTTTCTGGAGGCGACGCTGGCGATGCTGCTGGCTTGGTTAGGGTTTTGCCTCCTCCTCCGGTTCTCCTCCCTTGGCTCCGACGGCCGGTCGCCGTGGTTCAGAATCCGGTGGTGGATCAGCCGTCTCGACATCTCGTTCGCTACTCACCATTGGTTGGATGACCAAAAGCCTGTAATCAAGCGCAAAACGGAGCTCGGTGGAACCTTCTCCATTGCCAGCTGGATTCTCTTCATCGGACTTTTAGCCGCGTGAGTATTACTCTTACTGCTTTCGTATATTCATTTTGTGCTTTGTTGATCGATTAACACCTTTTATTTCTGCTGAAGGTTTACGTATCAGTTAACTTACAATTCCTGCTATCATGCTTAGGTTTCTATTTATGTTATATAGAGTTAACTTTTCATTGGCAATTGCTGTGTATTCTTTGTTTATGTTTACTATGCATTGGAATGTGAAGGCAAAATTTTCTGATTCAATTGATTACTTATTGTACATATGTGATACCTCCAGAGTTGGCTGTTATTTGGCCAACACTCTGTGTGGATGAGTTGGTATTAGGTCATCTGAAGATTAGAGATTAAATGGATTAAATAGATTACTCGTGTAATTTCATATTTTTTTTCCGGGAGCTTTGCTGAAAAAATTCTAGATTTCAGCTGTGCTTGTCTCAAAGGAGTAATTTGAGGATGGATGACCTAGGAAGTCTTGATAACAATGCTCACATTCCTTTTTTAAAGCTCTTCTAAAAGAACTTTAGAGTTAAGCGTGCTTGCAGTAATTTGAGTCCCGGAATGACTCGTGTTGACCGGTGGAGCCAGTCTACGATCTCGACATGCTCGACTTCACGTGGCTTGCGAGCCAGGGTGTCACAACATATTTATATACAAATCTAGTAATGTAATTAGGAGACTAGCCTTAATTAAGAAATTGTGTATCTAAAATCCTCCCATGAAAGTTTGTGTTCTTTTGACATTTCCCCTATACTTATTATTGTTTTTACTTGACTTCTTATGATCAATTACACTTGCATATCTGTATGTTATTTTTTTAACTCTGTAAAACTTTTCAGGAAGTGTCAAAAGAACTCTTTTGTGATACATTAAGGATGAGGGCGCCGTTGTTTTAGGTTAGGGACCGAAGAAGATAGGAAACATAAACCAAAGAAAATTTCATTTTTGAAACTGGAATAAGATAGTAGATTAAAAGGCAGATTAAGAATTCTTTGAAGTTTCACTTGCAAACCATTTGAAATGTAGGCTATGATCCTCTTCTGTGATAAAAAAGTCCCAAATTGAACGAAAACTTAGCTGTGCAAATCTTGGTAGGATTCCCAAAGCTAAAATTACTATTGTCCTTAAGACTGTAGTTAGTTCAATTAATCTATAACACCGAAAATTTTAAATTACAGGTGTGATGGATTTAGAATGACAACCTAACACGAGAATATTTGGTAGGTTCATTAATAAACTTAATTAACTGAATTTAGTTATCTTTAGAAGAATGAATTTGCTACCAGACTCTCCCATGCTGCCAGCTGCCTATATTGTCTATGCATTACCGTTTAAAGATGTGGTCATGACTGCAGTTTGTAAGCTCTAATTATTATGGTTAACAGTCCAAGATGGTTTGGAAAAGATTAAATTTTGTAATTTTGTCCATTTAGTTAAATGAATTGGCTTAGCATTTGTTAATTTTCTGTTTGTAAAGTGAATTTGGCAATGTGGGATTTTGACAATAAGAAATAGAAAATGCTAACATAGACTTCCAAAATTTCAAAGGTTAAGGGTTTGATGGGTTATTTGGTTGCTGACAAATTCGAGAACTTTACACTCACTGTCATTAGTTTCAACTCATAACACCGTCCTCCGATCCACTTAAACCAAATGAATTTATGGACTCCACCTCTTGATTCAATGCTGCATTCGAGTCTTAGAACTTTGACTCTTGTTCTTGCTTTTGATCTTGCTGAAAACTAAATCTGATTTCATTTGACTTAGGCATCAAATTGCTTCAAGTTACTATATTAAAGCTCCCAAAAAATTATTCTCCTACAGATATTAGAAATATGGCATGTTTTTATTTAGTTGTAATTATGCACTGTATTTAGGTCACTGTTTCCACAGTCCAACTGGAGGGGTGAAAACTTTTCTAAGTTAGGATGTTTTACAATGCTTGTCATCATCCTTGGGATTTAGTGTAAGATTTTCTTACTTATGTCAGGCAAAAGAATTTCCGAATTTTAATCTAATTTGTAGCAATTTATATTTTCAAAATTTTGCTTTGTATGACCTTCTATAACCTGTAGGTTGCTCTACCAAATTATTTCCAAGAGAAGTGTTGAAGTACACACTGTCAAAGCAACCAATGCACCCGATTTGATTTCCTTTTCGAATGACTTTGAATTCAACATTACGACAGTGTCCAGCATGAGCTGTGCACAGCTGAGTGGTCTCGGCACTCTTGTGACAGGGAATCCATTTTTCGGCGATCAAAGAACCGTTCCCCTTTCAACATTTTTCAATTATTCTTGTCTGAACACCACCGCAGGGCCAACCATAACTTTTAAGTGCAGTCAGTGCCGGCCTGTTAGAGATTTTACTTATGTCTCCTGGCAGTTTGTCGATCACCTGAATAGCCCAGCCACTGCTGTCGGCTTTCGGTTCAACCTTACTGTAAGGAACCATGGTGACAAGAAGCATTTGAGTTTTGTGAGTGGGACTCTGAAGAATGCCACGGATTATGACGGGACACCTGTTACGTACAGAGGGGCTCAGCCGAACATACTGAAGTTCAATTTGTTTCCTAGAGTATACCATAATCACCACAAACTAAAGCTCATTCAACCTCTGTTTCACGAGTTTCTTCGTGGATCGTATTTTAGTGATAGAGGCCAGCTTCAGGCTTCACTCGAGAGCTCCAGAAATGGCCTGATCAACACTACGCTGTATTTCAATTTCCTCTCGTCGTATATCATTGAGATCGACAATCAAAACATTTTAGGGCCTGGTAAGCCATTTCTCGATATTCTTGGTATATGTCTTTACTCTTCTTTAATCTGTTTCTGCAGAATGACAAAATGCTTTCGATTTTTAGGTAGGAATACTTCTAGAGAATGGAACTGTATTAGCAATATTGAGACAAAGGAAGATATTGACACAACGTGGCTTTCTTAGATATTCTATTCGATTAGGTTTTGATACTTCATTTGGAAATGTAGTTAAACCAAAATCGAGCATCCTTCTTGATTCCATTGCTATTTTCGATATATTTTGCAGTGAGCTTCCTTGCTGATCTCGGTGGCCTTTATTGCATAAGTATTGGTATTTTCTTCTTCTTCTTGGTGCAAGTATGATCCTAATTTATTCTGGTCTATATATCTCGATTTCTTGTTTCTCTTTTTTTTTTTTTTTTTTTTTATTGTGAATTTAAAGTGCTCGATAATTGATTGTAAGTGCAAGTTTACAATGTTCACATTTGTAGTGTGAATACAGAGTCAAGAAGCTTCGCCACGAGGATAGCGTAATGAAAATGATTAGAAATCGTCGAAAAGCACAAGATCGTTGGAACAAGGTGAGCTTTCTTTCCACAGAATTATGAAAAGCTCTTTAGTCGGGACTGCCTTTTCTATTCTGTTTAATCTCTATTCTTCAATCACTCATACGTATACATGTGTGTGTAGTTGAGGAAATATGTGAGATACACTTGGGGACCTTGCTCGTTGGGTGACGACACAACTGAGTCGACAGACGTATGTTGTAATGGCATTATGTCTAAATCTCTCCATAAAGATGGGTCCTTACATAGACGAAGAATGCGACAAACACTGGACACTATTAGTTTTGATAAAAACGTCGCCTTGCCCGATGAGAAGGTGCACTTTGTTTTATGGTTCTTGAACACATGATTTATAATTCAATAAGTTGTTCAGCTTGGATATTTATACTTTCCATCAATTCATTCTGCAGAAATCTGTGCCAGAAGATGTTTGCAGTCGAGTGATTCAACCATTCTCAACGGAAGCTCCGGCGATCCCAGAAAGAAGTTCGTCCTACACAAAATCTAAGCCGGTGAGTTGCCCATATTTCTTTTTTATTCTCACTTCTTCGTCACTGCATTAGTTTCCCACATTTTGTATTCGAAAATTTTTAGTGAAAAATAAGGCTCCATTTAGATAGATAACTTTAGAGTTTTGAAAAATTTTGGAATCAGTAAAAAGCTATTTGATTCGATGCCTTATATACGATGAACTAAATATTTGATTCGATGTTTTTTTTTTAAATATTACTGTTGATGAATAGTACTAAAACTTCTAAAAATGAGTATATGATACTCGCACCATTCCAATTGTAATCTCGCACTAATATCAAATATTTTTTCATTTTTATATATATGTTACTAAGATATCATTACATTTATAATTATTTTATACATAAATAAAAATATCAATTGAATATTTCTTTTCTTCCTTTGATGTTAAGCTAATAGAGTAGGCTTATATATTTGCAATTGTTTTCCAAGCACAGGGAAATTCGGCATCCCATGTAAATGAAGAACACAAAGGGTGCGAAGGTAGCCATCGTTCTTCTTGTGCCACCGTGTGCCGGAACCACGGATGTCCTTTGCCCAATATTGCTAATCTACCACCTCTTCCATCTTGTGGTCAGTTTATCTCTCCCTCTTCGCAACTTTCTTTTTCGGAATTTTCACTTTGATACATTGCTTGATAAATAATGTGTCGTGTGTATAACAATTAGGATAAAAAATAAAAAAAATAATAAAATAAAATATTGTTGGGACTTCCGTTTGCGGATATATGAATAATGGCTTAGTTTACCTAACAGTTCGAGCTTTTAGGTGAGATGGTCATTAACATCCGACATGGTATCAGAGCTTAGGTTAGGTCTCGAGTTCGTTTATACTATCTGAATATGATATATAAGAGTGCTAGTATAATAATTTTGGACTTTAATATATTGAAGAACTACTATATGATTAGGAAAGGAATAATCTATACACCCTAACTAACCTATGATAATTACATAACGATGGGTTGTGTATCTCTAAATTAAAATGTAAGATTAAATAGGTTCTGTTAATATTCTACCACAATTTATATAAGAAGGAAATTACAAAGTAAAGTACATTATAATAATTTCATTCCTTGTATTAGCCAATGTGAGATATGTGTAGTAGCGCGGGCTTTTGTATTGTGCAGAATTCAGCAGCGGCAATATTGGTATAAGCGATCTTGAGCAGAATGTGCGAAAGTTGTATGAATACAACGCATTGTTGAGGGAACAGCTCGTTGCAGTATCATCTTCCCTCTCCAAGGATGAAGAAAAAGAAGAAGAAGAAGAACATCTACAGCGATGATACAGGTAATGCGCACAAAATCTAATGTAAATATGCAAATGAAAAATAAAAAATAAAAAAATACAAACATGTTTTCATATGTAATTTTGTCATTATTATTTATTTAAATTTATTAGTTAAATACTAAATAAATTATAATATTTTGCCCCGAGATTTAAATGCTAATTTCTTCCCTGTATTCAGGTCATAGCCCCCGAGCGGACAGAAATACCTAACCACTTGATTTACAAGGACGGGTATTGTTGAAGTCGGAGTCAAGGTTGTGTATGTTGTTTAAGTGTTCAACACAAATGCTTTTGTGTTGGTGTGTGCAAGTACTCTGTATAATTTATTCCCACTTTATTTTTATACAGGTATAATTAATTTATTGTTTATTATCAACGATTCTATAAATATTTGTATCTTTGGTTTATAGTTGGTTTTGTATTTTAGTTTTGATTTTAGTTTTAATAATAATTTAATATGATATTTTGTAAAAATGAAAAAAAAAAAAAAAAAACAGTTCATATTGCATAATAAAAATTATTAGAAAAATAGAAGAGAACAAATCATTTATTATTATTTGTTTATTTGTTAAATTTATAACAAATAAATAATTATTAATTTTTTAATAATTATTATATAATATTTTAATTATTTCTTAATTTCTATTTTCTATGCCAATAAAAAATACATGGAAAATATATTTTCTTTTTGGCTGCTCCTTAAACGCAACCATATTATTTTTTAAAAAATAAATAGAAATACTTAAGTGTGTGATTAATGAATATTTAATCGGCGGTAACAAAGCACGGGTAAATTGGCCAACCAGCTTCTGCGTGGAAATATGCAGTGGATTGGCCGCCATTGTCAGACCTCCTTTCCCTTCCGCGCCACCGCCAATTGCCCTAACATTGTAAGCCTCCGTCTTTGCAATTCCAAATTACTCTTCGATTTCCGCTGCGGAGGTTTGATTTCGTTTTCAGTTGTGTTTGGATCGTCGTAATCTGCGCTCTTCGGCGATTCGTCTCCCAACTTTACGAAATCAGCAGTGCCACTGTTTTCAGATCAGAGCGGGCATGGTTTTGCCGGTGGTTTCGATTCCGCATACGCCTCTCGGTATATACAACGGGAACGGTAGTAGCTGGAGCGCCGGCGGTGGCGATGGCGGTGGCGGCTATAGTTCCGTGCAATCGTTGCCAGTTTTTGCAGTCTCTTCTGTTGGTGGAGAAAATGTGGCAAGGAATAGAAGGATTGCTTGTGCTTGTGTCACGCCGTCTCAGGATTTTACGCCGGTAAATTTTGCGGTACGCTTCAATAGTAGTTAGTTAGAGCTTATATGTTTATTGTTTCGTTTTCGTATTTTGGATAATTGGTTTTTATAGTTTTGGAATCTGCAATATGTGTTTGGATTTTGATCACAGGTTATTTTTGTTACTAGTTTTTACTGTTATCATTATGTTTGAGATGATCTGCACTATGGACAGTATTCATTACGCTTGCTCTGTGCCTTTTAGTTTTATATCTGCGTTTAGAGAATTTAGAAAATTTGTCTGTGAGCCATTGATTTTTCCTGTATCTGTTCATTGTGCAATTTCTCATCTACCAGCATTTTATTCTATTTTTAAAATCGAACTTGAACTGATAAACTGCTGAGATGGCTTCATTTGTGGAATGTTATTACAAGTGGATAGTTATATGCATTTAATTCCTCCTGTAGTTCTTATTTTCAGTTCTATGTTGCGGGGGAGGATTATATCTGATTGTTAATTTTCTCCAGGGTGGTGGTAATCAGATGGAAAACTTAAGCGTTGAGAATAAACATGACAATGATTCTGATGTGCTGATTGAATGCAGAGATGTGTTCAAATCCTTTGGGGAAAAACATATCTTAAGAGGTGTGAGCTTCAAGGTAGCTTTCCTTAATTATGCTTTATATCTGATTAGAAGACTTCAAATTTTGGACTTTTGACGTGCATAATCTAAATATTTTCTTGTTAAGTTTGAACACGTAGAATATGCAAGGACCCTCCTTTATGCTTTGCAGCAGGTGGAGCCTCTACGGGGATGGCTAAGTCATATTTAAATTTGTTGGGATGAGATAGAATTGTTAAGGTCTCTACTCATTAATCTACCCCGGTTAAACCTAGCTGCAAACATTGATTACTAAGTGGTTCAGGTAGACCATTTTTTGTTTGGGAATAATAGAAAGTTGAATTGAAATAGATTTTTGATGTGATGTAAAAAAGTATTTGATTTGATGTTTTGAATGAAAAATGAGTTTTTGATGTAATGTCTAAAGTAAAACATAAGCATTTGATGTGAGATTAAATAGAATTCCGAACAAACAAACCTATAGGAGTTATTTATTCTCCTTAATCTAACAAGATTCTTTTTAACTGATTAAAGTGAATCAAAGTGTTGAGGTATAGAGATTTTTTCAAAATTGTTTCAAAAAGCTTAGGTTTGTAAGTTTGTGTTTCTTTCCCGTTAATGTGGAAACTATTGTATTACACTGAGGCGGAATCTCACATATTGTTTTTTCATTCTGAGCATTAATCAGCGACTTCCCCTGAGAATTTTATTTGATGATCGTCAACGGGGCTTGATATAGGGACCTATGTTATTCAAGTTTGAAATTTGTTGGATAACGATGAATGTTAGGCAAAGTGATATAACTCATAGTGTTACAACTGGAGTCTAACTTCCATAATCCTTATTTCCTTAATAAATTCCTATTTCAAACAATTTTTCTCATTGATTTTACATGCTTGTCCTTTTGTAGATTAGGGATGGAGAGGCTGTTGGAATTATTGGACCATCTGGAACAGGCAAGTCAACCATCTTGAAGATTATAGCAGGACTGCTAGCTCCCGATAAGGCAATTCTTCTAACCCTATATTAAGCTATATGTATGTATACGTGTGTATTATTTGAAGCGAGTACTTTACTGAATATGTTCCTGAGCAACTACTATTTGTCTATCTTGTGGTTCAATTTTTCTTAACAATTAGGGTGAGGTTTTTATTCGAGGTAGAAGGCGGGATGGTTTGATCAGCGACGAGGAAATATCCGGTCTTAGAATTGGCTTGGTGGGGTTATATTCTTTCTCCTCTAATCTTGATTGATGTGCTTTCTAGGCAATTTCTTAAATCCCTTCCCAAATGTAACAGGTGTTCCAGAGTGCTGCCCTTTTTGATTCTTTGACTGTTCGAGAAAATGTTGGTTTTTTGTTGTAAGATACTTAGAAGCTTTTTTTTATGAGTGTTGTCCTTAGTTTTTAATGATATAACATGTTGTCATCATGATTGGCGGAATATTCTCAAACTTACAGATATGAGAATTCAACTATGTCTGAAGATCAAATTGCTAAGATGGTGACAGAGACTCTAGCTGCAGTTGGATTGAAGGTCTGCAATTATTTCGTCTGCGCTGCTTTGTCCTTCATTACAATAATCATGTTGATGATTCATTATTATTGATTTTCATTAGCTGTAACGTAATTATTTATGTTCACGAAGGACTATTTCCGTATCGAAGCAGATTAGAGTAATTAGATTCACTATGATACATCCATCGATGACTTTCAAAATGACTGTATCATCGGGTACTTAGTAGGATTTGTAGAGATTTAATAGTTTTAAAGCCACTAGTTAAGATGGAAGGAACCCGAAAAATTGTTGTAAAAGCGTAATTGTTATTCAAACCTTTCAGTGTACGGACTTATTATGTATTTGTTAGGAAAGTCAGGTTTAAATGAATGCTTCTGCAGGGAGTTGAGGACAGGTTACCTTCTGAATTGTCTGGAGGGATGAAAAAGAGAGTAGCTCTTGCTCGTTCCATAATATTTGATACAACAAGCGATGCTGTGGAACCCGAGGTATTCAATTGCTACTTTCAACTTCATTGTTTTAATCGTATTTTAAAATTCATAATTTATAATTTTTTTATTTACTAATTACATTATACCTAATTAGCTGGGACGGAGGGAGAATATACATTGTTAATGTAATTCTAATAGCATTCTTCAGTCCCTTGGAAATCTCGATCTTCTTTAAATTTGCTATCGAATTGCTTTTCTGACAATTCAAATGCTTAAGGCTATATCTGTTGATTCATTTTGAGCGCACACATACGCCACTAGAAATTTATGTTGAATGCTGTAATAAGATTGAGCTACTATGACAACAGTTATCTTCATCCATATATATATTATATTCATTTAGTTTCTTGAATTTGATGAGTAGGTGCTCCTGTATGACGAGCCGACTGCTGGTCTAGATCCAATTGCATCGACTGTTGTGGAAGATCTCATTCGCTCTGTGCATACAAAAGGCACCGATGCCCTTGGGAAGCCCGGGAATATTGCATCCTACGTTGTTGTTACTCATCAACACAGCACAATCAGAAGAGCTGTTGATAGGTAGGTAGTATTCGGTTCCTAGCACTTGTCAAAACTTTTGGTGTTCTACATTTAATGATGTCATGTCTGATGTTGGATGTTGGATGTAGGCTATTATTTTTGCACGAAGGAAAAGTTGTTTGGCAGGGAATGACTCATGAATTCTCCTCCTCATCAAATCCGATTGTTCGGCAGGTAAAAGTTTATCTACGGTGTTTGTCATCTCTTCTTGGCCAGCAACTTCTCTGTTTTTTTTTGCTATTTGGACTCTTGCCCTTTTTCAAAAAAAATTAAAAAAAGAAATATATAGATATTTTTTTTATAAAACGTCACATCAAATACTATTTAAATATAAAATTCAATCTAAGGATTTGTTTCTTTTACCTTAAAACTCCAGATTTTTACTTATTTGGATTATGTTTTTTTCGAAAAAAAAAATAATAAATTTTTTCCGAGAAATGTGTTACTTCTTGGTCTATCTGAAGTGATTATTTCTAGAAGCAAAGAATGAGAGTAGTATTTAATATAAATGTAGTTTTTGGTAGTAGTGAAATATGAATGAATGATTAGTTGGTGTTGATTGATGGTGGGTCAGTTTGCATCGGGGAGCTTGGATGGCCCAATTAGGTATTAATTAGTGTCAACAAGAAGACATACATGAAGAAGATGTAAATGAAGATGAAGAAAGAGATCTTAATAAATGAGGCAAGTGAAATATTAATCATCATCCCTCTTTAAGTTAATTGCTTTACTTCTCTCTCTTCCTCTCCTATTATTATATTACACTTTTTGAGTATGAGTAGTAGCTAAGCTAAGTTAAGCTAATTCATTTCCATATGCCATGTCATACAAACCTTGCTATGTTTTTACAAGAGTCTGAGCGGATAGATAGTTAGAATATATTCAAATTCTTTTCTCTACTTTTAATACTTTCTCCGCCCAATAATTATTTTTTAATTTTGTTTGTTCACTCAAAAGAATATATTCTTTTAATGTAATATGATAATTTATATACAAATATTAAAATGTTTTTCTAACTTCTATAAAAATATAGTATTTATTTGCTTACTTGCAAGGATATCTAACCAATTTGTTCTCTTGTGATATATATATATATATATATAAAAGTATTAATATGATATTTTAAATACAAAATTAATTTTTTTTAAAAAAAAGTGTATATAATTTAATCCAAATTAAAAAAATCACAAGCAAACGGAACCCAAGATTGGAAATGATCTATTTTACATAAATCTCCAGAATGCATTATATAACTGTTCTAATGGTAACTATAAATTTCAAAACCAAATTCAGTTTTAATATTAACAAATCCATTTTTCATTTTTAAAACCAATAAGGCAGTTTCTCACAAATTTATATATAAAATACTCCAATCCCTTTGCTTCCACTTTCTGCATGTGTCAATTCAAAGGGATAATAAACACGACATGTACACATGCAGATGAACTATCAATAACAGTAAACATACCAGAAAATAAAAAGTGCATAGCTAGGGTTTGTTTGGTTGTATTTTCTGTAACCTATTTTCATTATTTATCTACCATAATTTATTAGTTTTTTCCTTCAAAAATATCATATCATATATAACCCTAGTCCCTAGTAATAACTTTCATTATTAACAAGAAAACCCAAAAACATCATCACCTTAATATCTCATTCCTATAATATTATTATTCAAAAATTTACCAAATTATGCACTTACAACTTCCAACCACTTTACTTTTACCTGGCAAATCTGCAGTCCCCAAATGTTGAATTGATCTAGTCTCGAGCAGCGCCGCGCCACCGGAGATCAGAAACACTTGGTGGTGCACGGTTGCTTGGAATATCTGGACTGATGACCAGGCCTTGTGATCCTTAAGCAATTGCATACAAATTTGTCAGATGAAGGTGAGAATATGCAAATTTCATGAGATGGAAAGGCAATGGCACTCAAAACTTTAAAAAAAAGTTACCCATGGTAGTCTCTGACTTTATTTGTGAATTTTCAATTCAAAATTTTACTATTTACTAATTTTTTCCTTATAAAAAATATTGAGTCAACACCTATTTTGTATTGATTAATTTTACATTCGAGTCATCACATCATCACCTATTTATATCACATCAAACTATTCCAATTCAAAAACTAACTATTCCAAACAGTAAATGCAACTCCAAAACCCACAAACAAATGCTCCCTATAATTTCTCATATAGAAAGGATTTAGGCAGAGTACAATATGCTAAAAGTCCTAACAAACAAATTCTTTACTTGCATATTGCATATCAATATATACAAATACACACACACACACAAGCACATATATGTATGTATCTATGCTCTGAATTCCACAACTCGAACATTATAAAGATTTCACATCAACTATCTAGATTGTCAAAACTTAACATATATTTTTATTTAGGATGCAGATTCAGACAGGAACTGAATTTCTAATTTTAACTAAGTGGCGGATAAGCAACCATCATATATATATACAATCTAATAAGACGTGATCTGAGCAGGCTCTCTTTCCGTTCTCCGGATAGTAGATTGGAACTGTGTTTCTCGGGTCATCTCCAATCCATCAACTACATTTATCCAGTTTTAACTCTAAATATGCAGTTGTTACAGTAATTTTATTTCAACCATAACTCTATTTTTCATTATTATTCTTCAAATATTCAATTTTTTCTATTATTTTAAACAATTTTTTATTTTTATAATTTAAACTAATTTATAAAAAAATTAGAAAAATAAAAAATAAATTTTAATTTTTTTTTTTTTTTTTTAAAAAAAGGAAGCAACGCCATAGATTGGGTTTAGGGTTGGAGATGGCCTCATAGATGCAGTTCAGTCTTATTGCAGTCCACCCACTAAGCTTCAAATAATATTTTTAATACGGGAAAGCTTATAACTCATGTAAGACAGTTTTCGAAGGTACCTGCCATTATCCCGCGCGGAGGATTGTTGATGATTCGAGGATGGGTTGAAACCGCCTTTACTACGACATGTTCTTATTCTGCTTGCTTTCTTGCAAAGCTTTTTTCTGCAATCTGCATGAAAGTTAACCAAACACTTATCAAAAATAATGAATGTTCCAGTTTGGGCAGCTGAAACCAGTTTTCCGGTTCAACTCTTCAAGTAGATGAGGTTCAAGTAAATGAAGTAGAAGTCCAACTTACAGAAGTAAGGCGGGTATGAGCATCGATTGCTCAATAAAATTTAAAAGAAGATACAATCATGAAAGCAAGGAATAAAAACTAGCAAAAGTACTTTAATGAAAGCAGTTTGCATTATTTTTTACCTGCAGATATGTTAGAGATCTATGTAACAGTGTAGATCGACACAATTCAAATCTACAGGATAGTCAGAGACGGAAATTTCCACAAAACTCTATGAAAAATTAATCTTCGGTAATGGAACCAAACATAAACAGAAACCAATTAATCTCATAGTAAGATCATAAAAGCTTCATTAATATCACAGCAGATAGGTATAGAGCATAATGATTCAACAACAAAGGAGTAATGTAACAATTTGATAAACCATGCGCGGACTATTGAGATCACCACAAACTCCTATTGAACTGAGGCAGCAAATAAAATTAGTTATCGACATATTCTAGAGAAGTAGGAAAGGAACCATAAATCCTTTGAAATAGCTTCTTGGTGTGAAGTGATCCGGGCGTAATCTGAGAAGGCCAATGAGTCAGATGAAGCCTGCTGTGGAAATATACGGATTTATAAGACTGCGAAAATGATACAAAAGATGTCAGAAAAAGATTAATTATTGGTGTTAACAACGGTGACAACAAGACAAGACAGATTCATACAACACAGCAGATTTGACAAAAGGTCAATCTAGTCAACTGAACTGCATCTTTAGAAGAGCAGATTATGTTGGAAATGAATTCTGTACATCTCCAGCCATGAAAATAAATTTACAGGAAGCTGTTATTTTATTTATCTTCCGAAAGACCAGAAAAGGCAATAACTTAAAATAGCATTTCGCAGAAAATTTTATCACTCTGACTCAATGTTACTATCACCCGAGTGTCTCTGCCGAGCATCTGACAAAGAGATACGTCTGTTGTTTGTGGAGCCTGCTTCCACCAGCCCTTCAGTAGAAAAACCAAGAGCAACAGTTCCTGCCGGTGATGCCAAATAACGACGAACAGCTGGAGAGTCGGTCGATGTGGAAGCAGCAGTATTGTATCCAAAAACATCCATTGGGTGGTCAAACTTGCAGCTTGGACCAAACTTGCAGATCCCATATCTCGAGTAGAATACACACATAGGCTCCCCCTAAAACCAACAAAACACAAACAAAATTGTTCTAGAGTTTGTTACAAGCACACATCAGTGTAATCACCACAAAGTTATGATGGTCTTTAAAGTTAAAGCTACAAATTATCTCATTATAGCGGAAAGTAGAACTAAGAATAGTTTGTAAGAAGCTAAGTTTTGGAGTCTAGAAAAATCAAACTTAATGTGAAACTTAGCAGCCCATTCCTATATCGGTATCATAAAAATAGATCGAAAAGCAGCCCAAAAAAACAAATTATCAACGGAAAATATATTTGAATGCTTAAAATTCATCAATATTAATACTAGAAACTAACTACTATGATAGATTGAAATGTAAAATGAATGAAAGAGAATTTGTTTTTTTTGTGGTTTTTGACTGGGTAAAAATGAAGGAAAAACCACAGAGAAATATTGGACATGCCATACCGGGCGTAAAGGAAGTCCGAGTGGACTCAAGGGACAGTCGGGAACAGGGATAAGTCTTTCTCTAGGATGGTGGAATTTACATACTGCACCAAATTTGCAGTCCCCGGTTTTCATGTAGAACTGGCATTCAGGTTGACCTGGTCTCTCAGGAAACACATTTTCTCTCTGAAATGCATAATATCCCATTGGAACAGAACCAGAATGAAATTGAGATCCTACATTTCCAGCTTCACCCTGCTGTGATGTACCATCATTCTGGTTGTTTCCTGTGGTAGCATGTTGGTTTTCTGAAGATAGAAGTTGACCCTGGAAAAGAAGCCCTTTTAGCGGAAACAGAAACCAGATGTATCAAATCTTTTGTCATAAGTTGGTTCAGAACCAGAATAAGATAGATTTGTCTTAGTGTATGAATGGCTGAACCAGTAAGAACAAGAGATATGAAAGGAAATGAAGAAGCATATGATGAAGATCCTGTCGAGGAAGGAAGAACACGAGCTACTATCGAACAGACCAATTAACAAATTGAATGCAGACAACAATTTCATGTGCCCGTCGACATTCCTATATAGAACGGATCGAGTAAATGTTGGAAATTTAATGAATTGAAATAAATGAGAGCGTATTCGAACAAATGCAATTAATAATAATAGAGAACATAATATGTGACTGTGATGTGCATAAATGTTATATATTACTATTCACACCTCGTAAATTCATATCATGTAAAAATTTCTCAGAATAATTAATTTTCTTTAGGTTTTTTTATATAAAGAACTTATACCCTACTGACATATTTGTATGCTTTGTTTTTCATAGTTTGCATGCTTTACTCTAATTCAACACAGTAAAAAAGAAGAAAATAGATAATAAATAAATAAATTCTTAGAGAGATTACACTGTAGGAGTTCCATCCTGGGAGAGTTACCACTCCCTGCTGCATAACCAGAGGTGCATAATTTGAAGGATTTTGCCACCGTGGACTGGGGATAAAAGAAGCTCTTGACAGTGGATATGAGAGCTGACCAGTTGTTGGAGAATGAATAGTAGGATATACAGCAGAACCGCGTAAAGAGACCATCATATTAGATGGCTGAGGGTGGTGGAATTTACAAGTGCTCCCAAATTTGCATAGCCCATTTTTCATATAGTAAGCACATTCTAACTCATTCTGTAGCAACACAAAATAAAAGTAGATATGAAAAACAAACTTTCACAAGATCAAGAAAAACAAAATCCATCTGATGTATATATACTTTCAATGATCAAAGCTAATTGTAAAAGGACATGGGAAATATAGTGCATGCTATTTTATTTTATTTTTTAATATTACATGCATAGATTACACAATCCTTCTCTCCTCTGTTGAAAAAGCCACGTCAAGAAAGGGTCGGCTTACTCACACAACGTGGTTTTTCATTCAGTGATGAGCTTGCACTTCATCAAATAGATATTTGGATAGATAGTTGCTAATAAGTTTCTCTCTGAAGCCGCATGTGCCTAATATTCCATCTCAGTATCTCACAAGAAAAGTCACATTAGGGTTTCCCTTTGAAGGTATTAGAGATTACCTGTTTTACATTGACTTCCATAAAAACTTTAAGGCAGCTAATATTTCACAAATATCCATCAGTACCCAGATAAAATTCAAAGCATGTATATGTAATAGTTTTTAACGTCTAGTCTATGGCAGTTAAGTAAACTACAACGCAAAATAATACACACTCCAAATGTGTTATAAGTTGCCCACATTTTAATTTAAACTCGTCGGTTAATCATCACAGTCTAAACCATTTATCCCACTATATGAGATTAGCTATATGGATCATGTATTGACATTATATTAGAACTCTGGAGAAATAATATAAAGGAAATAAATACAGATTGGAAGGTAAAATATGCAAACCGGGCGAAGTGGATAACCCAAAACATTTAATTCGACTCTTCCAGCAATCCCAGCTTTGTCTCTAGGATGATGAAATTTGCATGTGGCTCCAAATTTGCAGGTTCCTGTTTTCAAGTAATACTGGAAAAAGTAGAAACTATCAAAAACCAAGAAATGATACAAGCAGATTGAGCACTAATATGCTAACAAAATGAAACAAATACTGAAGAAGGCAATAAAAAAACATCCACATTCATCATAGATCACAGAACATAATATCATAGCTGCAAGAGAATGCTGTGCCATACTGGAAATTAAACTAATTTTTAAGGGAAACAATGATGACCAAGGTTTTGCAGTAGACTTTGGGATTTTAAAAACAAAATCGGTGAGAGCAAGTAGACATATACTTCAAAAATATGCATGCTCCCAACCAGGACAAAGAATATTCATAAGAAACAAACATCTTCAATGCACATCTGTAAATGCAGAGAGGATGTCAAACTATTGATGTTAAAACAAGTCGTAGCCAATGCATTACATCATTAGCATTCCAATCAAAGCCAATAACCATGTACCAGTGCATCTGAGACCAACAATATAGTCCCGCCTCAAATACCAACAAAATTTCTTAAGCATATTGTTGTATCATTCTTTCCTTGCCCAATCAATGTTATTGCTAAAATTGGTTATGACTGCAGCCAGATTCTGATTAACATGCAATGAATCATACATTTCAAAGAAAAAACTTAGAGAGAGGAACATCATGTTCTAGATCTTTCAAGAGAGAAAAACTGCAAGAATTCACCTATTTGACTAGAAAATTATAAAAGATAAATTATGGGTTGCTGCTGTGTAGACCTACCAAATCACTGAAAGAGGCGAACAGATAATGTAAGGCTGGAAAATAGTGTGTTTGCAGACATAATTTAATGTTTTGGACATTCAAAAAAGAGATGAAATTGTAGCTACTACATATGGGAGTATAAAGGAATGAATCAACAAACTAACTAACAAATGATAATAAAGCGATATACCTGACATTCAGGTTGTCCTATTCTCTCAGGATATTCACCTTTCATTCTTGCTGTGGCAATGGCCTGTAGTTGAGAGGAAAATAGCTTGTCAAACAGGGGTAAATAAAATTGAACAATGTTTAAAACACGTGAGGAGTCAAATTTACTTCTATAAATATATCAATGGATTCTGGTCTAGTTTTTGTTCTCAAAATTGAGAGAAGGTTAAGTTAGTATCACCCACTTAAACACACCTAGGATTCACCAAAAGACTAACCATATTTTATGAGATTGATTCAAAGAGATTCAGATTTACATCAAAAGATATTATCAGCAATTAAATAAAATCATAGCCAATACCAGTTTCCGGTTGGGAGGGTGATTAAAGCGGCACGTACTCCCAAATCTGCAGAGGCCTGTTCGAATATAGTAAGAACAATCTGGTTCACCGTCACGCACAGGATAAGGTCCAGAGTCCATTTGCTCCACTGATCTCATGTTCATTTGCCATAAAACATCTGAAATAGAACTTGTCATCAGTTTATCATAACTTGTCCTCTAAATTCAATTATGTAACAGCAGAGAAATCCTCCACATAAACAAAGATGTGACGTAAATTATATACATATAGATATATATACATAATCATATTTATACCACCAATTCCATGAAGTGGATATTCAGGGAAGAATTAAATTTTGAATTATGTTATGAATTTGTTTTCTTAAGACTTTAAGCTAGTGAAAAATGAGTAAGAACTTCCAACTGTGCTGGAAACCAAAATGGTGACCTTAATAAATCCCAAGATACAATATCCTGAAAGGAATAAAAAAATGTAAAAGAGAGGTGGGTTTGAAAAAGCTTAAAATGCAACAGGCTTCCTTACTTGCGATCAACTAATGTGTAAACAAATATGTGAAAACAACAAAGCAAATTATGAATACCATGAAACAAGGCAAAATGAATGGAGAAGCACGCGATGATCTAAATCACGATCAACTCCGGTCATGCACCAAATGAGACAAAAACTCACCCTTGCATACAAAATTTTATTAACCTCAAATTTTGCTCTGTTGCTTTGATTCACTTACATTCATTAAGAAAAGTATATAAAAATCACCAGATGATATTATGACAGAGCAAAAGCTAGTGCATTTCTATGCAACCATCACCTGATCAAAATGAAACAAAAATTGATGTTTTATGAACAAAATCTCAAATCACTATATTGTCATCCCACTTATTAATCAAAAAATCTCCTTGAAAAGAAAACTTCAAAGCTTATGCATTAGAAAAATAAAGAAATATTTAGAAACCCTGTCAATTCCACAAGTTGAACTCAAAATAGCCATGGCATTTCAATGTATTTATCAGTTTAAACTTCTATTGAAAATCGAAAATAAATAACACAAAATTATGAAGAATTCGATAGATTATAAAATGACCTTTGAATTATCCTTTTTCTAAAACCCTAATTCTACACATGCAAACAACTCGAAAGGATCACTAGAGAAATAACCACAGCTACAAATAGGTACGTGGTCGTCTCCAATCAACGCACAGACAAACCAGAGTATAAAGCAAAACAGAACACGAGAAGGTAAACCTCAAGCAAGTACTTTCCGCATTCGATCAACTAGCCACCAAACAAAAACCCGTCAATTCCAAAAAGGACGGCAAAATCATCAAAACAACACAATCAACACCTTAAATACAGAAAAATAATAACAACGACAACAAACACAAAAACAACAACAAAGATCACAAGCACACACACAAAAATACCGATGATCAAGTACGTAACACGAAGGCACCAAAAACAACCAAGCGCACAAAATTAACCTTGCTGGTAGGGGTTGAAGTGAACGGAGGAGGAAGAGGAAGCGGAAGAAACAACGGCAGTGACCGACACTCTGGACATTGGAATTCACGACAAAGCAAATACATGACATGACATGCCCCGCCGCTACCGAACTCAATCGAGGAGAAGCAGACGTCAAAGCTCCATCGCCGGACGCCGCCGCCGCTGCCGCCGCCGGAAATCAGCAGCAAAGTGAGAGGCGTCGGCCACTCATGTTGTGAGCAAAAGGCAGAGAGAATAAAGGGAGGTGAAGAAATGAAATGAAATGGTGTGGTGGTAATATTAGGTGGTCGCGTAATGGCGTTGTCTCCTCTCCACATAAAGAGTGGTCGAAAAAATAAAATTTAAAAGAATAAAAAAAAAAATTTGAAATTGAAATAAAGCAGAGAAAATGAAATAAAGAGAGAAGAAGAGAGAATAAAAATCAACCAACCAACCAGAGAAACCGCCCACGCACTCACTATCGTATCACTGACCCATATCCGGGTCGGATGATCCTATCCTACCCGACCCATTTCGAGATCCAACCTCTCTGGTGGTATTTTTCTAGCAATATGTTCACCTACATATTCCATGTACTTCTTCCATGTCGCTGGCTTGTTCTGTTGTTCACATTTTTATTTTCATTTATGCACTTTTATTTTATTTTAATTTTTTTTAAAATTAAAATTTTTAATTCTAATTAAATTAATTAATTATTTTAATTTTAATTTAAAATTACTTTCTATTATATTATAATTTTATAACATTCTCACGTATATTCAATCATAAAAAAATTATTAAATAATTACTTTTAATGTATTAAATATTGAATTATTGCCGAAGAAAATACTTTATAATTTAGAATATTCATTTATTTATGTGATAGAATTTACTTAACTTAACTTGAACTACTTAATATATTAATTTCAACAATAAAAAAATGTTGAATATTAATCTATACTCAACATGTATATATATATATATATGAAATGATGATTAATTTATTTACTTGAAATTTATTTTTGTCTTTTAATTTTAATTTTTTTTGTAATATAATGTTATAAAATATATATACAAATTTTTTATAAAAAGACATAAAATCATTATATTTTCAAACCACATTTGATATTATAAATAATATTTTTTTTACAAAAATATTAAATTAAATTATTTAATATATTATATTAATAATTAATTTTTTTATACTTTTATAAAACATCACATTCAATATCATTTCCCTCCATAATTTTTTTATAAAAGTAGGGCCATTTGGTACAGAGAATAGAATGAGAGTTGAGAGTGGAATTGGAAAAAATAGAATTAAATAGAAAATAAAAAATTTTCTTGTTTGATAAAACAGAAAATTTAATTGAGAAATATAAAAATCAGTTGAAAAATATATAAAAAAATGCAGATATATGAATGATCAAATAAAAATAAATGATTAACCGGATAAAAAAAAAATTAACTAATGAAAATTCATGAAAAATATTTTTAGTAAATTTTTTTAAAAAAAAATTATAAATTATATACGCTGTTTTTTTAAATTATATCGTAAAAATTAAATACTTCAAAAATAAATTAAGTTTATTTCTTATAAAATTGAAATAATATAATTTTTGTCTTCAAAAATAAATTAAGTTTATTTCTTATAAAATTGAAATAATATAATTTTACAAAAATTATAGAAATTAAATAGTACAAACAAATTTTAAAAATTTAAAAAACCATATACTACATAATTTCTCTCCGTTTCTCAGCCTCTGCCTATGCCTATGAGAAAGAAATGAAACTAAAGAAATAAAAATGATTTATTTCTCAAGTTTCATTTCTCTGGTTTGTTCAAACCAGAGAAATGATACCATTTTTATTTCACTGTACCAATTACAACCTTAAAACATAACATTTTGTTAAAAATAATTACATTTTATAATAAAGAAATAATAATAATTAGTTCGTGGTTATTAAATTTGAGAGGAGTTACCCACATATGACTTCTTCCTTCGGTGAAAAGGAATGGCTAATTCCTACCAATTCAAGAAAACTTGTATCATTACAAGTCAAGCATCCAAAAGGGCAGTTTGTGGGAAACAAATGCCATGAAGAGGACATGGTAACAAACAAAACAACCTTAATCTTCTCATCCATAACACACACAAACAAAAGATCAAGAAACAAGAATTTCTAACTACATTACTCGAAAACCAAATCGAACTCCGAAAAAATTCTTACATCCTCAAGAACAACAATCTCGCCACACGGCGACATGACAGCGCGTGCAAGAGAAATATTCAGATTCCCCAATCGTACGCCCTTTTTATGGCACCAAAGATACCCGAAAGCATTATGTAATAGAACTCACTATGATCCAAAAGCCTTTCATTATCGATGCTGCGGGGGAACAAATTCTAAGCTATCTTATGTTACATGTGTTTGACACCAACAACACGCGCCCACCCAACCCCCCCAAAAGGTGCAACTATTTTTGTCCCGTATTGATTGCCTAGCTTTATATAAATTCTACCAAAAAAGTGTCTTCACTTAGTCCCGGTTATTCAACCAGATTTAAATGAATGCAAACAAAAACCGGCAGAGAGATGAATGAATAATACAAAAGTACAAAACCACAGCTACACACAATACCAATGTCAATACACAGTCATCGTTTAAAGCCTAGATACTAGGACAGGCGCAAGGCATGTAATATCGACACAAAATTATGCTATGTAAACCAATTAGTTCCCGGAAATCACTGTAGTAAAATAACTAGTCCTATAGTAAGTTTTGGGTGTGATCTCCATAGAAATTAAATACCCCAATATATGAATGGGATGGGTAAGGTATATATGGAAGCTAATGGTACCTGACCACTTCGATGTGATTATACAACTCCAAGAATAGGTAGAGTCGTTGTTTTACCTGCTACGCAGAGTTTAGTCACTATCATCATTGTCATCTGCAAGTAATGAGACAAAGATTAGATAAAACAGTTGTATTTGGTAAGTTTACGGGAGTAAGGAAAGTTGAAAAAATTAACATTAAGTATAGCATAATAAATTTCCTTCCAGGGTAATAATGTTTTTTGCCTCTCAAAGTCAAATTTATTGACCATATTATTGGTGTACACTTACAGCATATAAAAATAACGTCGATGCAATTTTAGGAAACTTTAGAGGGTAAACGAATTTATTATGCTATACTTAATGCGAGTAAATGATCAAATTTACTACTGTTACTTCACCTTCTCTAATATCGTAACAAAAACACACCAACTCTATTCAGCAGGATGGAACCAATATAAAAAATCTTGGAAGGTTAAAAATTTATGAGGGAAAACTGAAAACTCCAAATTAATTAAGTTTACCTTCATCGAATCCCTCGCTTTCTTCGTCCTCTTCCTCTTCTTCCTCATCCTCCTCCCCATCATTGTCGTCGTCTTCAACTTCTTCTTCGTCATCATCACCTTCCCCTTCTTTCTCCTCTTTCTCGTCTTTAGGCTCCTCTTTCTCTTTTTCATGTTCTACTTTCTTAACTTCTTTCTTCTCCTCCTCTTTGTCCTCATCTTCACTTCCATCGATGTGAGTTTTTTCGCTGCTGTCATTTTTTTTGTTTATCTTGGTACCAACCTTGTCTTTTTTGGTAGGAATTTCAGGCTTCACAGGCATTGCAAAACTGAAGGATGATCTTCGGCGTGAACTTGAAATAATGTTGCTCATGTCAATACCTTCAAGTTCTCTGGCTGTTTCCTTTCTCTTTCTACAGTTCTTTATTTCTGGGAGAGTGAAATTTAACAGCATTAGTAGATCACACAGGTAGATGGAGAAATGGGGTAAATAGCAAGATAAATTATTAATAAAATTAACTAAATCTCAACAATGGACTACACAGATACAGCATAATTTTAAGAAGTGCAGACAAATCATAAAAGCACAATGTCAAGCAAATTCTCATTTGTAATCTAACACCGCAATAATACAACATGCTGCTGGATATTAACAAGAAGAATATAAATCATAATAAGCCAACATTAGTTTGAAAAGGCATTAATGATGTACTAAAAAAGGTCCATTTTTATAAGCTCAAGTATTTGTATGGTTTAATTAAGGCAAAAAAAAACTTGATCATCTCATATGAGGTTTAGTAAATTCTCGACTCTGTACTTCATGCTAGCATATTCAACAGGCATGCAGTGCACTGAATAGTCAATCAGAATGAGGGGGATTGCATTAAAGAGTAAAGATTAAGAAAAAAAATGCCTCCAACAATCAATTTCTCACTGTCGAATATTCTAAGTAAACAAAACCGACACACACTAGTCTTTGACAAGAAGGTATATATAGAAATGGGCTGATCCGAGACCAGTATATCAGCAGAACACGTTAATATAGAAAGACTCGTTAATTTTCCATCACATGATCTCCTGCAGTTCAATTATCAAAGTTTCCAATCATTTTGCAACTTATTAAAATGTTGGGATGACACAGCCTTATTATGCCACATAACTCATATCATAACAGTCAAGTGTATATTTTCCACAAATAAAAGCTATCCGAATTCGGAAGATCAATAATTTTACCTTTCTCAGTGGGGTTTTTGGACAGCCCTTCTCTTGAAAGAATCTCTTCTAACTCCTTGACTATAAAGGCTTCCCTTTTGTGGTCTGGTACTTGCTTAGCCTTCTTGTATATTGAAGGAGCAACGCTGTCAATAAATACCAGATAAGGCTCTCTCATAACAAGTTCATTAACACTAACAACAAAAATAGGTCAAAATCTTAACAAACCTCATTCCACAAGCTCTGATTATGGATTTCAGATTCTCTACCTTTTTCCCATATCCAGGAGTTGACTTGTCTTGTCTCTACTCATCAAAATACTAAAGTTAATTCAAATCTAATAGTGCACATTGGAGAACTAGCATTGCATACTGAGGTAAGAAAATCTGGCAAGAAAAATAATCAACCTGTGATGATTTTTCAAGAGATGATTGAGATTGGCCATCTTCAGATAAGCTTCCATCTGCATCAGAGTCATTATCTTCCCTTTTCTGCCTCTTCACAAGTTTGCTCTCCTTGCCAGAGCTATCAAGTTTTTGCCCAGATTTTCGTTTCTTTGTCGGTTCCACTCTTTTTACACTCCTTTTAGAGGTAGCCGCCTTTCTTGGTTTTACTTTATCTTCCATCCCATCACTTTCACTGGCTGAAGAGTCAGATGCATCTCTGCTGCTCTCTTTAGATTCATCGCGCTTTAAATTCTGAGATTTCTTCTTCTTGATTTCCTTGGCGGATTTAGCCTCTTGGTGTGGATTTAACACCTGTAAAATGTTAGATCAATCATTTTAGCCAGAGAACTTTGGAAGACACGGCAAAGTTGGCAGCAAAGTATTCTTCCCACCTGATCTATTTCTTGACTAATAAACTTTTTAAAGGGGTCAAGAGAGCCTTTAGCAAGTCCAAGATCCTCCTCTAGAAGTCGGCGGACTCCACCCAAAGTAATATTTCTGGAAAAAAAAAAAGTTACCAATAAGCATTTGCTATGTTGACACTTTCAGATGTAATGGCAGCAAAAGAGGTTAAGCATCTGAGTAACATCGTGCACAGTGTCGCATGAGCTGCTGAAAAAAAAAAAAAAAAACTCATTGTTGACAGCAGTAACTGGATTGCTGCTACCTAACCTTATCAGCTGTTATGAAGTGGGGTTCTCTCATTCGAGCAGGAAGAGTCTTACCTCATATCTCAATTATTCGCTGATGAAATGATCTTGTTATGGTGTACTCCTCTACTTTTTACATTTCTATATCTCAGGTATATTGTCACAAGGTAATATAAACACCTATAAACAATGAACAATGAAGAAAAAAATGTGCATAAAACTAAAAGTACGTACTCAGAATTAGATAGAAAATGATCAGCTCTATCCCAGATTGCTTTTTTAACGCTGCTCTCAGTAACAGAAGATCCTTTGCCATCAGTTTCAGATTTTGGTGTTAAGACACCCAATATAGGGGAGTCTTCCATCGTTTCTTCATCTCCTGAGCTAGATTTTTTCATATTGGGCTTCGTTTCATGCTGCTTGGGAGATGTTGCTGCTTCTTCTTTATTTAAATGCATGTCTTTCTCCACATTTTCAGAATCTGTTTTAGGGGTATAATCACCAGTGCTATCCATTTTCTGAAGATTAGAATGAAAAAGGGTAAGAGTTAAAATACTATGATTCTCAGACTAAAATAGCAAAACTGCTTTGAAAATGACTAAACATTTATCTCCATATTAAAGCTGTTAAAGTTGATGAGCTCCGCTTTGCGGCCCATAGCCATGCTTTGGGCGAGTGGATATGAGTAGAAACACATGCCAATAATATGAGGTAAAATGAAATGCAAATTGTTAAAGAGGTATTCGAATATGGAGCGGACACTAATATCCAATATTGCCTTAATCTGGAAAGAACATTATAATAATAATTATTATAATTATAATATTCGGTAGTCCACGTGTCCACAGGCACTATATTGTTGGTAGAAAAAATACACCTCTCCCAAATATCTACTGCTACTTTTGTCCTTGTTTTATGTAACACGTGTTACCTAGCGATCGATCACTCATTCTGAAGCCATCCTAGCCGACTTTGAATTTAAGTAAGAATATCATAATTCATATGTTCAGAATTAGAAGACAAGCCGAAAAAGGGAGAAAGAAACTATTTTTGTAAGCAGCATTGATCAATCATCCATTTAGGTAACAATGCATTATGCCCAACAAATGAAGTACGACAAATCTTGGAAAAAGCAACCATAAATGGATAACATTAATTTAACTCAAAAGCGATTAAGTGGGTTGATGTCTTCATGACGATGATCACAAAAGTTTCCAACTGATTTTATAATATCTAATTAATTGGAAGCATGTAAATATCAAAACATGCGTGGACACACAACACAAGAATACTCAACCATGAATATATACTCTCCAGTCTTCAATTCCACCATAATCATAGATTGGCATTTTGTAAGAGGACAAATATGGAACAAGTGAAAAGTGAAATGATTAGCCATTAATGTAAAGTACTAGCCATCATTTGATAGACATTCAATTAGAGCATGCAGTATCATTCAAGATTGATAATGGTGGCAACCAAAGAAAATAAAAAATAAAAAAAATGAACACACGCGCGCACACAGGGAGGAAAGGTTGGGGGATCGGATTGGATTTACACTATTCAAACTCATTTTTTCCCAAAAAAATATCAAATCAAACAACTATTTTTCATTTTCTATATTATACTAAATTAATTTTACATTCAAAACATGACATCACATAGCATCATTCAACTATTCAAATTCAAAAATTTTACTTTTCAAATCCCAACATAAAATCCAAACCCCCAAACAAACACACCCTACCTAAGAAGAAAAAGTTGGTGAGAAAGAACAACTCATAACAACTATCAAAACTAGGTTTGATAATTCAGTATAAGTTATTGAACAACATGAAAGTGACTATTCTTCAAATAATTCACGGCACCAAACATAAGCAGCAATGTACGAAATCACGTTTAACCTTTTCCAAGTATTGCCGAATGAATCGCTTGTGGGCATCCAGCGCAAATTTTTCGAGGGCTAAATCCTTCTCCAGCAGTCTCCGAACGGATTCCAACGTCAATGAACTGCACCAACGCTTAAAAATCAGCCGAATAACAATCCAGGCGTGGACACAGCGGCACATACACACAATCAAGAACAAAACTTAAATGTATATATATATGTGTGTGTGCGTGCGTTCATACTCGGCTTGTTCTTTGAAATGCTGAATTCGAGAGGTGATGGCGCACTCTATCCGCTGCTCAATCCCCGGCTGTTCTCCTTCTTCTTCAGCCATTCGATCAAGCAAACAATCAAGCGCAACTTTCGGTCTAAGCTATCTGCAACCGCGCCTGAATGCTGTGAAGCTTTGGAAACACGACGGCGAAAGCAGCGGCGGGAATTGGAAATTGACTGAGTTGCTGCCAATCGGAGCGAGGGTTTTGGTTTTGGAGGGGAATCGAAAATTCTAGAACGACGCGTATGTGATTTCGGATCCTCTTTCGGGGCCCGACGTAAGAACCGATTTATGTCTTACGTCGTACCGTTCCCAAAGGTTTTTCATTTTAATTTGTTGATATTTTTAGTAAAATTATTAATGACCCCTTCAAATAAATTTTTTAATTTTTTAATAATAAATATTTTTATTTGTATATTTTAGAAAAATATATAACTATTTCATAATAATTATATATAAATATACATTTCTTTTATTAGTATTTGTATTGTTTACTAATAATATACGTATAATCTAAAAATTATTTTTTAATTGCCATTATTCAAAAATAATAATAATTAATATAAAATACTCTCGCAAAAGAATAATATTTATTTTTTTCAAATAGATTTTTAAATATTAGTATTATATTAGTTTATAGTGAAAATGACAAAGTTGCCCCTATTATATTTGTGTAATACATTGAAATTTGTAATAGTATTAATTATGTTAAGTATATAGTATAATTACTAAATTATGAAATAACATTATTTTTTGGGACGGACAAAAATAAAAATTAATATGTTCTTATGGAACAGGCTGAGTATTAAATTCTGGTCACCGTCAATTGCTTTCCATAATCAAATGAACAATCTCAATATGAGATTTTGCAAACCAAATTAGAATAATGGAGAAAGTTTGTAGTTGATACTCCCTCCGTCTCATATTTATGTATTCGTTTCTTTTTTCACAGAGTTTTAAAAATATTAGTATTATATTGGGATATAGGAAGAATAAAGTAAAAATGACTAAAATAACTTTATCAGTATTGTATGATATAAATATAATGACATTTGTAAGACTATTGGTAACGTTAGACATAGTACAATATGGATAATTGTTTCGAGACGGACCAAAATAGAAAAATGAATAGTTTGTTTTTTTTTTTTTTTGTAACGTGAGAACTCGTAGCCGCTACTCGAGAGTACTCACTACCGAAAGTACGCATTAGGGGTGTGTTTGTTTGAAGGATTTTGGAGGATTTCCACTATTCATCCAATTTTTTCCCCCCAAAAACATCAAATCAAACACCTATTTTTCATTTTTTATATTATACTAAAAATCAATTTTACATTCAAAACATCACATCAAACCCTATTTATATCACATCATACAACTATTCAAATTCAAAATTTTTACTATTCAAATCCCAATCCAAAATCCAAACCCCCAAACAAACACACCCTAGGTAAACCTTCGGTCGAACTCAATAACCTGCAAACTAGGTCCGACAAACCAGTCACGCTAGTCGAACCATGTATGACAAATGAACCACCTCCACACTACTGAGTCATCCCTTGCTGCACATAAATTTTTTATTTTGAAAAGAACATGAATGAATTGAATTCAAAATTTCAAACTCAATTCAATTTGTTATTTAACATTAATGGAACCCAAAATTTAATATAGTGAAATAGAATTGTTCATGTTTCTTATATAGAAGTCACCCTTCATATTCTATTTTCTCTCTTATTTCACACACCAATAAAATTTGAATTGGTTGCATTGTGACAAGAAGGTGAATACAAGCATTCCATGGTTTGGTACAAAATCGACAAAGTGAAAATTAAAAGGAAAAAAAAAAAAATACTAATATTTTTTCCATTGTAGATTTGACGGCAATCTAATGGAGATACTCTTCAACTAAATTACCACGAATAGGAAATCTCATCGTACTTGCTTTTACAAAGCATAGCCGTGTTCAATTCATATGTCACCTTACTACTTCCATAGTGTCAAGTTAATACATTCCTTTAGAATTTCAACGGTGAGACAACAAAATAATAATTTAATTTTTTTTATAAGATTGATTTTCATAATTATTCTTTAATGGGATAGAAATGAAAAAAAATAAGTTTGATTGAGACTAATATTATTATTATTTTTATTATATTCATTCTAATTTTTTTTAATGGACAATTCTCAATAAATATTATTAAAAAAATACAAATATATACTACAGTAATATAAAAATATATTATTCATTCATTAAAAAATAATCATTCAATATAAAATATTATTTTTATATTACCAATACAATTTTATATTATCTCATGCAAAAATATTAATTAATCTAAAAATATTGAGCGAACATACTGAATTATGTTAATGCGTATACAATATATATTAATTTTTCATAATGTTTATAAAAATTCTTAATATGTTTGATCTTGATTTGAAATTGTAATTATAATTGTAATTTAACTTTTGATTTATATACTATTTTAATATTCTTTATATCACCATTCAAACAAATATATTTGAACTCTTCGTTTTTTTCAAAAAATATATATTTTTTTTTTATAAAATATCTCATCATATATTATTTTTATATCAAATTTAAATCAATTTTTTTTTCAAACCTATAAAAGAAAAACACACCCATCATCTTATATCAAATTTCATAAATTTATTTTTTTTTTAAAAAAATCAAATCAAATATTTATTATTATTATTATTTTTTTAAGTAGATGTTTATATACAATATTACATCACGTAGGTTGATTCTCTATGATTAAACCACAACCAACCGCGCGCTCTGACCCAATTCGATTCCAATGTACGGAAGCAGCAGTTATAAACCCTAACCCAATTCCATCCCCACAATCGTCGTCTTCCCTCTCCCTCTCCCTGAATTCGGCGCCGTTTCAGAGGTTTTTCACTTATCTATAAATCTACACTGTAAATTCTGCCGTGGTTGATTCCAATCGAGGCGTTACGGACCTCCGAACTCTGCTGATTTCGCCACAAAACTCCAGAAAATATCGCCAGCTCCATGGAAGGACTGGACGTCGACATGGACGCTCCACTTTCTGAAGCGTTCAAGCGAAAGAGAAAAACAAGGAAGAACGAATCTCTTGCCGCGGCCGAAAAATCGACCGAGGCAGTAAACAATCATCAGGTTGCTCTGAATCTCAAAACCGACATTCCTGATGGTGTATTGGTTTCTGAATTTAACTACTCTGTAGAGAGTCACTTCAAAGACATGGATATAATTTCCAAGCTCTGTGGATACCCAGAGACCACTCTCAATTTTGATCACCCAGAAATTAAACGAATTTCCAGTTCTACAACTTTTCTGAGGTAGGAAGTGCTAATTATATTTCGAATTCTTAGGATTTTGGAATGTGTATATGAATTTTCCTTACCGCATAATTGGACAAATCAATTTATATATGGAGACTGGTTGCAGAGAGTGGAGGGATTTCAAGTACCCTCCTCGAGATGTCAGGTTCGTTTGTCAGAGTAATTCGAACGACAAAGAAGTAATGGGTGCGGTTACTTTACCTCAATTTTCATCTGCATCTGTTCCGAAGGTATTTTATAGTCTTAATTCGACGAAAGACTGGTCCTCCTAAATGTTAATTGAGTTTTTTTCAAGATTAATGGAATTTCTTGGATCTGTAGGAGACATGCGTTGGAGGCAGGGCTGGTACAGAATCGAGGTATAGTTCATGATTGAGATGTGCTTACAAAAATCATTAAGATTGTCCCATTCTCACGACTAAGAGTGTGTTTGTTCAGAGTTTTTATTGTGAGTTATAAGAAATTGTGAAAACATTACAAAGAAATGAGATATTTTATGTGTTTACTGATTTTTATTGTTATGTATATATATTGCATATTATATGTTACATTTTTTGAGAATTGTGTAAAAATTAAAACAAAGTAAACACATTTTAAGATTTTTATAAATTCTTTTATTTATTTTATTTTTCTATACTATATATACATATATTTAAAAAAAAAAGAATAAAAAATAAATGGGACCCCAATGTAGATCCGTCCCTGTGTGCGTATGAAGCATCTTATGCTGTTGATTATTGAAATTTGGTTTTGTTTCAGCAGAGACTTTGTAATGCATGTTGGTGGTGCAGTTTGGGCATTGGACTGGTGTCCCAGAGTTGAGCATACTTCGAATAATCATATCAAAGCCGAGGTATTTCTGTTCGCAATGTTTTCACTTTTCGCGCTATTGATGATGCTAAAATGCTCTTGAATCATTATATCCAAGGCTGCTGAATTGTGCAACCTGTGTTGTTTTGAAGCCACACATTATCTATTAAACTTCACATTGTAATGCTCACTTCAGGTGTAACTGTAATACTGAGGTTGTGTTTTAATTGTTAATATTGACTTTGTAGTTCATCGCCGTTGCTGCTCATCCTCCTGAATCTTCATATCACAAGATTGGTGCCCCTTTGACTGGAAGAGGTGCCATCCAGATATGGTGTATGCTAACAGATTCTGTGAAAGAGATGGTACCTTATCAGGAGTGTAAAAAATCAAGATCCAATGGCAAGAAAAAAGGTGCAGGTAAGTCCAATCAGTCGTCTGAACCGCCCAGGCCAAGAGGGAGGCCAAGGAAGAAACCAAATAATGACTCTGTGAAAAAGATAGATACAAACAGTCTGAACGAGCAACCTCTTGCTATTGAATATCCAGAAAGCCCTGCCACATTTTTTTCTCCAGGTAAAAAAGATACAGGTAAGTCCAATCAGTCAGCTAAAATCCCGAGGCCAAGAGGGAGGCCAAGGAAGAAGCCAAATAATGACTCTGTGGAAAAGATAGATACAAACATTTTGAACGCTCAAACTCTTGCTACTGAAAACCCAGAAGGCCCTGCCATACTTCTTTCTCCAGATGAAACTTCTGGAAATGCCTGTGAAAATATTGATAATGAAGACTATTTAAGAACACCGAAAGAGTTGAATTGCACGGAACATTCAAATATGTTACTGCTGACTGCACCTGAAGATGAACATAATAAAATTGAGGCAGGGAATGAAGCCCAGGTTCACAATAATGGTACACAAAATCTTAGACAATGTGAACTTGGAGAAGATGTTGTAGTGAATCAAACATGTTCAAGCATCACTGTAGATTCCATGAACCCCGAGAATAATGTAACTTGTACTAGTACTTTTAGCAACCACATTCCTGTGGAAGTTGAATTGCCTAGAATGATGCTATGTCTAGCTCATAATGGGAAGGTTGCCTGGGATGTAAAGTGGAGGCCAGTTAAGTCTCAGGACTCTGAATCGAAGAATGTAATGGGCTATCTTGCCGTCTTGCTTGGAAATGGTTCCCTAGAAGTGTAAGATTTATTTATTTATTTTTTATGCTGCCATATATATTTATGTATTTATATCGTTCTTCTGTCGATGCATTATAAGAACATTTTGTCTAAGCTTATTTGTTTCTTCTCATATTTCAATAACATGCTTGGAAAGTGTTGATTTTGAAAGTTGAAATCATAATTGCCATAATTACACGTGCTTACAAGTTACTGTATATGTATATATACTTATAATCTGTTGTGATATGGTTTCTTGAGAATGTGCTATTTATATGATGGATACATTATTGAAGAAATTACTTCTCAGAAAATCCAAACACTTCATATAATTGGCTTAAATAATGCAATCAGTTAGATCTAGCGTGTTCAAAATCGGCATTGTCATACTCATAATGGAGCTGATGTGTGAATCTGTGCTCTTTCGAGTGGTATATTAGTAGAGTATTAATACTTATAACCTTTGCTACATATGATTGCAGTTTGTTCCTCTGGATAAGAACCTCAAGCTCAAGATTAAATTCATTGTTTTTACTTATGGCACAGCTGTGGAGACATAATACTATGTCACCATTCTTTGTATATAGATTTTCTACATGGAGTAGAAGCCGTACTTCCTTTAATAACACCCTTCATTTAGAGTAGCTTGAAATGGAACCTAATTCGTAGAACCTCACATTAAATACTGGTGTGCATCATGTAAAACACGGCTCATATCTTGTTCACCCCATCTATCGATCAGCAGATGAGTTGACTGATGTCTTTGCAAATCTTTTACTTTGGTTGTACGCTTAATTTTCTTGGTTTGTTTAGCTATCTTAGGAGCAGACTTTCCTAAGTTTCTCACTTTTCTTAGTTCTCAGGTCTTTCTTTTAGTCCACCTATGTCTCTACCTTTATATACTCATAATTGTAATGTAATCTAACACTTCTCCTATAATTTGTAAAATCTACTTACTTTCCAAAATAAATAAATACGGAGGTTGTGTTATACTCGCTGTCACACTAACATAAATAACTTTGCTCCTTTATTATTTCCTTGGGGCTGCTATATTTATTATATGAAATACATGTGAATCTTGCAATAGATAGTTTTAGGTGTGTCTCTTGAGTCAGCATTTTCCAATATGCAATGCAATTACATCCCCGTGTCTAATTTATACCAAGGGTTTCTCATGATGATGATATGATGCACAGGTGGGAGGTACCTTTTCCTCATGTACTGAAACATATATTTCCTGTTGGCAAGGAGCAGTGTGATCCTCGCTTTGTCAAATTGAAACCAGTATTCAAATGCTCAAAGCTAAAGTGCGGTAACCGGCAAAGGTAATTAAGAGTTATATCCTTCTACTCTATTGATTCTTAACATAGGTATTGAGATGCTTGGTTTAATCATGAAATTATTCTGAAGTTCATATTAGCTGACCCTCTATGAAGAATGTAGTGGTTGTTTTAAAACTCCTACAATAATTGTGTATGCCATGGTATGCTTCACTGTGATGTACTAGTGCTTGCAATGTCAAATTATCTTAGCCTTTTTCTGATAGAATTATTAAATGAGGGTTGAGTTAGTGATTGTTATTTTGTACGCTTCGTAAAATGAGATATAAATCTGAGACAGTCAATATAGATGTGAAATTAGGAACCTTATATGTAGCATTTTAATCGGGCACGATCACCGTGAAGGATTTAGAAATTTTTATATTGACATTAAGGTTGATAAGCATCAATTTTCTGAAGTCTGAACAATTATGTACTTTATTTTTTTTGCAAGAATTTTGACTTGCTACTGTTTTGCTTGCAGTATTCCTTTAACAGTGGAGTGGTCTGTATTATCTTCCAATGATATGATTTTGGCCGGATGTCATGATGGAGTGGTAAATTTCAGCATTGATTGATGCTAAACCTTATGTTTAAAAATCAGTTTTCTCTATGTTTTTGCTTACACATAAATAGCAGAAGTTATTCTCTTTTTGATTTTTACTTCTTCTGTGTAATAAGTTCCTTTCATATGCAAAATATGCAGGTTGTGTTATGGAAGTTTTCAGTTACTGATTCATTAACAGGTATTGCAACTATAGAATGAATGTTCCAAATTGATGTTTTTCTCTTTCATCCCAGGTGCAGAAACTGATATGTTGCTGCAAAATCTGTTTCTAAGTTATAGGTCATTGTCTCATTTTCAATTTTTAATATTCCAGAAACAAAGCCTCTACTATCATTCAGTGCAGATTCTGGTCCAATTAGAACGCTGGCATGGGCACCAGTGCCAAGGTCTGTGTACATTATGAATAATTTTTAGTATTATTTAGTCAATTTAAACTTAATTTTATACTTTTCTCACATGTTGTGGGTTGGAGTTTTTATTTCACATATGTGCTGACTTTGTAGTTCCCATCTCCTATTCATACCTGAACAACATATACTTATTCGGTTGTCTTATTTGTTATATAATCATTGCTGATTGCTGATTGCTGAATATTTTCAGTGATTCTGGAAGTGCGAATGTCATTATCACTGCAGGCCGCAAAGGCTTTAAGTTTTGGGACATAAGGTATGGATGAATTTGGCATGTTATCACCTTAGTGTTGATCTCATTGCCAGAATTTGTTGGACATATATAATATAATGGTTGTGCGTGAAGCTTCCAAAATTTATCTACTCTTAATTGTGCCTGCCAGAATAAAACATCTGATGATGGCCTGTGTAAAAATAATTATATGGAAAATTCCAATCTTCAAATTTGTTAATAAATATAAGTTCAAATCTTTTACCTTTAAATAAAACAATAAAAAATTTGAAGCTCAAGAGTACAGAGTACATGTGAAGGAAAGTTAATATGTACCTTGGCCACATGCATTTATTGTTATCACTTATTAAATTAGCGCATACAATACACTTCTAACTTAAGAAAAATATTCATATCTGTCTCTATTCCTGATTAATTATCTCTTAGATTTACCTATTTATCTCAGAGATCCTTTCCGACCATTGTGGGATTATCCAATTCAGGGGTATACATTTGGTTTAGATTGGCTGCCAGATCCAAGGTATATTTAAAAGCATTCAATATTATTCTCTTTGATAATTCTATACACAATTGACCTTTTCAAATGTACTTGCAGGTGTGTCTTTGGATCCACCGATGATGGAGCGCTGTGGTTACTCAGTTTAGCGAGGGCAGCATGTGATATTCCGATAACCGGAAAATCGTTCACTGTCTCACCAAAACAAGGGTTTCACATCTTTCTCTGCTCTTCATTTTCAATATGGAATGTTCAGGCATCTCGATTGACAGGTTCCTTATGAAATTCTTCGATCAATTAACTGCTTCACATGTACTTAATAAGCACTTTTGTTGTGTGCATGAAGGAGAGGAATTGAATACAATTTTGTGGTGCATATAACTTTAGCAGTTTAAACTAGGTTTCTTTTGTTGATATAGCTTCAGACAAAAGTTGTCTGTTCATGTTTAATTGTTGCCGAGGGTACACAGGCATCCAACCTGGCTTTTCAATGAACAAGTTTATATGCATGTAGATTAGATTTCCTTCTTACTTTTGAAGGATTAAAATCAAGCAAATCGACTCTTTTCCACATAGCTATATTTCTACTTAACTGTGATATTAGGTCTTTGATCTGCCCATTACCAACCACTGTTATAGCAGATATAAATGTGCAAGTCTCATGTTCTATTGCTCACATATTGTTTTCTTCACTTCCTTTGATTGGCTCAGGTATGGTTGCATACTGTGGAGAGGAAGGATCCACGTTTTGCTTTAAGGTGAAAGTTTTCTAATTTTGATGTTTCATACTTTCATTTATTTTCACGTTGAGAAACTATTGTTGTCCTAAGTTCACAAAGAATTTAGTGTTAGCATCTAGACATGATTCCTGAGGCATTAACTACTTGAACACCCATGCATGCATGTTTTTGTATGTATTAATATCTCACTTTTTGAATTGACATATTACTTTCATGGAATAGGCATTTTTCAGTTTACAACATTTACCTTGTAAGTGAATTCAACATGCCAGTTTGTTTAACTCTTACCTTCCACCATGTCATTTTACCTTTAAGCAGCCAACGACAAAATCAGTGAGAGATCCCTCTCGAAATCGTACGGATCATTATCTTTGTGGATCTATGTTGGAAGAGGGATCAGTCCTTGTTGTAGCCACGCCATCATCTAATAGTTCGTACCACAAGAAATCCCCTAACTTGAAACGCGCTGGTACAACCAAAGATTTCGACAAAAGAATCAAGCAACTCATGGATAATGCTCAAACACGCGACGAGCCAACTCAAGGTAACTGTATGTTTGGTTGAAACCTCTCTCTTCAGATTACATCTCTAACCTGACTTGTCATTGCAGCAAAGTGCAGTGGTAGGGGTCTCATTGAACATTGTGGATCTGACAGCTCATCAGCAGCAGCAGAACAGAAAGTGAAGAAAAGCAGCAAGAACAAGATGAAGGTGGATCAAGAAAATCCGTCGTGCACAAATGAGGAGGCTGATGGAGACACGGAAATGGAAGCTTTTCCTCCAAAGAATGTCGCAATGCATAGAGTGAGATGGAATCCAAACAAAGGCAGTGAACAGTGGCTCTGCTATGGGGGAGCTGCTGGCTTGGTTCGATGTCGTGGCCTTGATTTTTCAGTTTTCCAATAGGTGTGGGGTTCCCGTCTCTTTAACTATGGGCAATGGGATGTATATATGAAAGACTAAAATAGAAAATATCATCGTCTTAACAAATTTGTGTGGCAATTATTATCATGAATTCATGATTGACATGTACAATGACTTTATTGCAGGTCTTAAGGAGGTTTTCTGGTCTCAACCATAAGATGGTGGTTGGATAAGTAAAAGTTTGATGGTGTGACATCAGTGATGTATGCTCACAGTGGTTTGCAGGTAATTTTTAATGGCACAGTTTTGCTAGTTGATTGAACAATGCTATTAATAAATTGTTAGGTACTGACTGGAAACAAAGCTTACCGTTGCCTAAAAACATGCCCACACACATACAATAAAATGTCAAAATAAGTGTAATACCAGATGACAACTTTTTTAATTCAGATAATCTCATTTTTCCCTTTAGAAAAAGCTTTTCACTATCTAATTTCTTGAACCAATTTACTCATAGGATTTTTGTCAAATGTATTCTGTTTCCTGATTGTTTGAGCTTTTTGTTCTTTTATTTTTTATTCCTTGGGATTTATCTATTCCTACATTCTAATCTTCTTTCTTGTTAAACATTTGGATTTTTGGAGAATAAGCATGCCTACATCAAATAAAAAAACAGTTTTATCATTTTTTTATTCCTGTTTCCAACTATTGTTTTATTAATAGGAGTTTGTTGAATTTAAACGATATTGAATTGTTTGAAAAAGTGATCAAAAGATTTTTGAATTGATGAGAGCACAGAATATAATCTTGGAAGCATGCATATAATGGTGTATATCCATTGTGCATATCCTTATATATGAATATAATTTAGTTAGTCTGCAATTTTTGTTTGTGTAAGTTAGACCTTATTATAAACAGGCAGAGGTGAAGCTATGTATGTTAAAAACCTTTTAAACTTTCTTTCACTACTTTCAATAATGTTTCTGATTATGGAAACTAGGCAGCTTATGCTTTATTAAACCTACAATTTTTTATGGTGGTGATGAACTAAATCATTGGATCTTTCACCAAATTTCATGCAAGTGTCAAGACCTTTGGTATATTCCTGTTCGGGATGGTGGTGTTGGATTTGACCATTATCTGTCTACACATGGCAATTGCTGATAAATGGATTGAGACTCTCAAGTATGTTACTCCTGAAGATTGTGAATACATACTGTTCTGTGTGTAAAATATGGCCTTCGAATACATCTCTGAACCATTGTTTGTCAGTGAGTACTAGGAACAAAACTCGATGAAGAAACGAGGATGAAGACGAGGAATGGAAGATATTGTGCTCGCTCTTGCGAACACGGGATGGCTTGAAAACTATGTCATCTATGCAGAAAGACCAAGCACAAGTTGGCAACGAAACTGTTGTGTTCTGGTACACGGATAAGGTGATTCTTACTTATATATTTGCCTAATTATTAGCTGCTTTGTTTTCTTGTGAAATCAATGTACTTGCTCTGTTAGCTTTTCCTAGAGAGATTATATTTCTACTTAATATACAAAGCAGGGACTAACAAAACTAGGAAAACTGCCGAAAAGTCGTATTAGTCAATCTTGTGAGAAATGCAACCCTTAGTAGATCTTGGAATAGCATTACAAAAGATGATTCGGCTTATCACAATAGGATTAGGCAGGGAAGGATACCTAAATTTCATGGGAAAATGAATTTCGATATCCATGTAAAATCAATTGTAATATCTTGATGATCAAAGTGATTTGAAATTTGAACTTTTGGAGGTACGATGTCAAACAGCATGATAAGCTCAAAACTTTCTTCTTTCTTCCTGTAGATATTATTATGATAAGAGACCTTCGAGGGTGTCCCAAATTTAATTTTGACGAATTTCCAGGGACGTGCAAGATATTGTCAGATTCAATAAATTGACAGGGCAATGCACAACTCCTCGAAGAAAAATATGTGCACTAAGTAAACTTTCAGCAAAGCACAATAGCCGGCAAACTACGACAGTAATAACCTTTTCTGTGACAAGCAAGGCAAGGGATAGGTGGGCTTTGAACCCATCGATTAACCACGCCGACTCTAGGAGGTGTTGTATTCTTAGCTATCTGTATATCTTGATGTTGCTGATCTAAGTGATGCATTTGTTATTAATCATGGAATGATATTGATAATGCATCGGATTGATGCCGCAGCAACTTTGTTACTAACTAATTTTTTGAGGGATCCACTTTATATGATTCTAGGCTTGTTGAGGATGGGCATGTAAGTGTTGTTTTAGCTAATTTGTTAATTAAATTGCCCGTGATGAGTATTCAGTCAAGATTCCCAAATTTTAAAATTTACAGGGGTTTTTTTTTTTTTCTTTTTTTTTTTTTTTTTTTTTTTTTTTTTTTTTTGTTTCATTAATTGTTCGGTGTTTGACGTATTTGCATTTGTGAAATCTGAGATGAGGCTAGGCTGCTAATTAGGGTTAATTTATACTATGCTGACTAACAATATTTCTCTACCTATTGGTTCGGTTGGAATAAGTCCGAATAAACATGTATTGAATGAATTATTATCATATTTTATAGGTTCGTATCATATATTTATATTATGTTCATCATTTTGATTATTGTACAATTAATACTAACACGATGTCAACACTGCAATATATTCTCTTCATAATATAACAAATATGGACACTTGGGATGAACATCAGAATAAAAAAAAACCAAAATATTGGATTTAAGTATTTCTTAAAGACCAAAATATCTTTAATTTATGTAATTATTGTTAAAAAATGAAGATCATGTGTGGAGAGTTAATTATAAAAAATAAAAATAGGACTATTATTTTGAAATATATAAAAATAGCAAAATAAGACTTTTCTTTTGAAGTATATATTAAAAATTATATATCTTGTACTATCAATTTGTATATAGATTACGCTCTAAGATCAATTATGGTGTACATTTATTAATTTTAATCAATATTCTAACCATGGTTCATTAGAGCAATCAAACAATGTAAATAATCTTGAGGACTGGCCGATTATAATGACAGCCCGCTAAGAGGTCAGTCAAATAGGCCCTCCAAAGACTCAGTTTCCATAATTAATTCATTCATTTCCCACTATTTATTTATTTTTTTAAAAAAATATCATATTAAATAATTTATTTAGTTTTTCCAAAATATCAAATAATATACTAATTATTTATATATATTTTTTCAAAATCTCCAAAAACTCATGCCTATACTATTCACCAAGAATGCACTCCACGAATAACAGTGGCCGATTTTCAAGTTCATAATCAAGCTATAGTTTTTGTATTTATTTATTTTATTTTTTTGGTTCTATTTTGTTATATGTTAAGTTACAAGTTCAAATCAAAGATCGAGAGGGTGTAAGGAGTATTAAACTATGACCGCACAATCATAAATTAACATTAACCGGCCATCCTTTTACTGCACTTATCTTACTTCTATAAGGAATACTTTTACTCTTCCAAAATACTAATAATAATAATCAAAGCAGACAATGGACTACTGACTATCTTAGTCTGAAAGAAAAAACCACACCACTATAGAGGAACATCAACTTTCTTTCAATAAAGAATTATAAGGTTGGTAGATTCAATCATGCACTAATTAGAAAACTACTTATCACACACACACACACACGCATGTAATAATTAAATAATAATCACAAATAAATAAATATATATATAGATAATTAAGGCAATGAGAAGTAGTAGTACCTAATTCCTTGCATGGAAACACCACCTCCTCCTCTCATCTTTAAATCCAAGCAAACTCACTCTCCAATTAACAACAACAGCAACTTGTCCTCTGTCAATCACACAATAATGAAACGATTCTTGTAAGAATCTCAGATTAGAAATACATTGCTTGTAATCAACTCATATTTTGGTAGTCTCCATCCCCATGCTTCACTTCCCCACCCAATAAACAACAATGGATAAGAAAGAAATAATTAGGACATCGCCGGCTGTTATTGTGCTGACAGCACACGAAGTATAAACCAGCAGCGCGGGATACATAAACCGACAACACAAAAGAGTTAAAAAGTACTCCCACAGTCCCAATTCAAAATATTATTTTTACCATTTTCGTTTGTTCCACTTCAAAGTCTTCACTTTTTATTTTAAAAAAAATAATCATACACCGATACCAAAATACCTTTTAACTTTCATTTAAATTACAATCACAACATTACATATACAATTACTTTATACATAAAGTCAAATGCCAAAAATGTAAAAACTCTTACACACTTTCACTAAGTAATAAAATACTATTATTTCTTAATTTACTACAAAAATCCCCCAAAGCCCCCTATGATTTGGGACAGAGAGAATATATGTTAACATAACACAAAAACAACAAATAACGATAGTCCACGCAATGTATATTACATTTGATCTTGGCATACATGATATATTAATACAGGGACTATATAAAATAAAACAAAAAACACATGCTAACAATTTATAGTGTTGTATTGATTCAAACCATATGTCGTCTAATTATATTTCATATGTTGATTAGGGTTTATCGCTATGGTGCTGATGAACCCCAAGTAGCACCCTAACCACTCCTTAGGACATCATAGACCTCACTATCCAAAGTAAATCAAGAAATGAAATTGAATTGAAAAATAAAATAAAGTAACTTTTAAAATTTGGTGGCATGGAATGTGGGAAGAATGGCTTCTGCTTTAAGACAGGCAAGTGAAGTAAAGAAAGAAGCAAACCCCACCATTGTGAACTAACAGAGAGAGAAAGAAATAAAGAAAGAAACACACATTAGCAGTCTCCCATAAATAATAAAATAAATAAATAAATAATGATACACACAAGTCTGAAAAATCATCACACATATCTACATCAAACTTAGAAGCAATCCCACCCCTCATTATAGATCTGCTGCCTTAGATTATATACATACATATATTTATATGTGTGCGTGTGTGTGTCTTGGAAATAAAGCAAAGAGAGACAGCATATATATATATATATATATTTACATAGCTACATTAGCATTTGTTTGCACACCTACTTCATATATATAACTTGTTACCTTTCTCACCAATTTGATCGGCATGAGGGACCGGATGGAGAGGTTCGTGCTGCTTCCATTCACAGCAGGTTGCATCTCTGAGTCGAGCATCGCAGTTGGGCTGCACCAGCAGGCGAAACGGTCGAGGATCGACATGAATTCGATTACTCCCACAAGTTCTGCTCTTTTCAGACACAACAGCATTATATACACATATATAAATATATATGTATATATGATGTCTTGTTTTCGACTTACCTTTTGTTTTTTATTCTGCTGTGAAGGGATTCGGGAGAGAGACAAAGATGAGTGCGATGAGTTATCCGAGGAGGACGACGACGAAAGCTTGTCAGGCGAAAACCCGAAGAGCCCTTCGAGCATTTCATCAGTTCCCAGGTTCCAGAAACTGTTCAAGAACTTCAAGAACCTGTCTCAATTATTCGGTGAGCGATTCGACGCAATCTTGAAAGTTCTAGTCAAAGAAACGACTCTATGTACTAATTACTCGGTCATTTCTGTTTTTCTTTTTTTTTCAGCATACAAAGATGAGTTAGAAGAAACCGAAGAAGAAGATGCCGGGATGGAGATTGGCTTACCTACAGATGTGAAGCACGTGACGCACATCGGTTTGGACGGGTGCTCGAACTCGATCCTATCCAAGGGATGGAATAATACCCTCATCGAGTCGCCGGGCATGATCGACCAAGCTCCATTCCCTCTCATGCCACTCGAGCTCGCCATGGCAGCCCGAGCTGAAAATCCCACTGTCCGGAGTTTGCTGGAAACCAAATGAAAACAAACTACTCATCGACGAAGCTGCAGAGCATTGCATGATATCATCAGGGTATTAAAAAACAGGGGTCGATTCTTTCTTCTCTGTAGTGTTGTTTACTTTCGATCTTTCGCTATTTGTGTAAATGTGTGGTAACCTATAAATGATACCTTCTTAAAGCTATGCAATGATTCTGAGCTCTAATTTTGCACAAACTCGGAAAATAAAGCCTCAATAACTCTAGCAATCGTCATGTTGCAGATCAAATACATAACTTTTCAAATTCATTTTGAACTATTCATCAACAATATCTCTATTGAAAAAGCATCCCATCAAATGTATATTTTCATTTCAATATTACTTCAAAAGCCTATATTGTATACAAAACATATCATCAAATATCTATTTTTTATTTCCAAAACTCTTCAAAACAGTGAAACACTTCCAAAACATATCTGAACATTGATCTCCATCCATTGGATATCGAATATGTTGGGAAAGATAAAACAAAAATACGAAAAATCAAACTAAAGTTAGTCATGAACTTACTCATATGTTACGAAATTTACCAACAAAAAACATAATCAAAGAGCCTTAGTTGAAGAAGCATCTAAGAGTCCTGCTCAATATTGTAAGTTTCTTAACCCTGTGATCAATATTGAACTTCACAATTCCTTGCATCACTATTGAACTTCAACTAGCAATAAAATACACATCAAAATCAAAGCCAACACTATATTTATACGACTCGAAGAGAATTTTATAATTGAATAACAAGCAAAATAATGCAAAACTATAAAGACCGACAAAAATAATCACCAATACTATGAGTAATTCTAGATTTGAAATCGAGTAAGGAATGACTAGTTTTGTCACCAATGTGGGATCTGAAAATTTTCTACGGCTTAAATATTCTACGGAAACATCACATCCAACACTTATTTTCTTATAGTTCAACAATGATTTAACCTCAAAATTATTGGGGAAAAAAAAACAATATGTTTACACACTTTTTAAACTTTTGTTGCTATTCATATTTCAAGTAACTTTTTTTCTCACAAATATATCAAACAATAACTTTTTACTATTCTCCTCATTTTCCAAAATTTCAAAATTCCAAAATTTACAAAACTTCTATACGAACCGATCCTACAAGATTTGAACTTTTTAACATAACCAAGCATTAAAAACTCTTAATTATACGAATCTGAAAACAGGTGAAAGCAAGATTCAATTATTACCAGAGCAAACAAGTTGCTGTTCGTCCACAGGTGCTGTCCATGGATTCAGGAAAGGAAGTTGTGTCGGACTGGACCTGTCTATCGACGAAGTCGAAACATCGGATGGAGCAAATTTTGAGGCTCTATGACGACTGCCATCACTGGGACATTTTATCGAACAGGTATTGGGCATGGTGGAGAAGACCATATTCGGTCTCATGGCCTCCTTTTCTTATTATGATCCTGCAGCGTCAATGGAGTTAGTTAATCCTTTTAATTCTATTCATCGACTCCTTCCCCACATTCCCCAAGAGATCAACCAATTCGTGTGCAAGTAAACCAAAATTTGCAGAGAGAGTTTGTGTATTAAACTGAAAAGCTTTGACCGCAGTTGTATCATAATCAGAGAGCAGTGAGCAACATTATTATATATTATAATTATTCCATTTCTACACATACTGTATATATATAGAGAGAGTAAGAGAGAAATATATATAGAGAGAGAGAGGGGACCAAACCCTAGGGCAATCAATTTAGGGTTTCGGAGATTTGACGGTCATGACGGGGAAGGCGAAGCCAAAGAAGCACACGGCGAAGGAGATTGCGGCGAAAGTGGACGCCGCCACCACCAATCGCGGCGGAGGAAAGGCCGGCCTGGCCGATCGCTCCGGCCAGGAGAAAGGCGGCCACGCCAAGCTGGAGTGCCCTCTCTGCAAGATAACCGCGCCGGATCTCAAAACGATGCAGATCCACCACGATTCCCGCCATCCTAAAATCCCCTTCGACGAATCCAAGCTCAATAACCTCCACGCCGGCCACGCCGCCGAATCCTCAAAGCCTAAACCCGGCGTCCGCGGCAGCCTCAAAAAGTAAATTACTTAAATACCCTCCCGTACCCTGCACCGCCATATTTCATATAAACATACATAGATACCTATATATATATACGCATTTTCCTGCAAGTGTATTGATATCTTGTAATGAACTATGGAACAGTAAAAGCTTGTTCTGCCATAGCCTAACTTTCTGAAAATCTAGCAAATTCTTACAATAAACTCTTGTATGAATTTGCATCGATAAATTCAACATATGATCAAAGGTTGCTGTGTAGTTCTAACAAATTCTAACATACGATCAATCGAATGCAATTTGCTTTGATAGTTTTAGCATATGATCAAAGGCTGCTGTATAGTTCTAACAATTATTGTTCATACCTTTTCTAGAATTGATCGATGCAATCGAGTTTCTCCTGCTGTCCTGCATATCCATTATGTTTAATTATAATAGCTCGTTGTAGGCGTCGTCGCCGGCAATGTCTGCATTCGAGTTTACAATGCTCGATTTGTGATCGTTTGTTGTACTAATTCATCAAAAGAATTCTTCCTCCTTAACTTCTGCAAGTTAGTTTAGGCTGTTCGATTTTGAGTCGAGCTGTCCTATTCCATTTTCATCGATTTTCTGCTCGTCATTGTTCGAAGCCTCTCTCTTCCCAAGTCAGGGGCAGTGGAGCTTTCACTTAAATATTTTAGGTGGGATTTAGGTATTTTTGTCTCGATTTTGAATACTAAAAATTTGGATTTGGATTGTGATAGTTGTTTGAAACGATATAAATATATATTTGTAAAATATTTGAATGTAAAATTAAATTTTAATTAAATATAATAAATAAATAAAAAATAATATTTAATTTGATGTTTTTGAAATAATAAAATAGGATATAAAAGATATTTATTTTTGGAAAGTGAGATGTATAGATATTGTTTTGGAGGGTGATATATAATTGGTCGCACCACGCATTTGAACAAAAACTAACAAATCATATACGCTTTAAGTATCCAACCTATTTCCCTCTCTATATACAATTATATACTCCTACGTTCGCAATACAATAGTCTTATTTATCATTTTTGTTCGTTTTTAAAACAATAATTTTATTTCTATAAATAACCATATAATCATAAAATTATCTCTACTTTTTTATTTTTATTACATAATTGTCACTACTTTTAATATCAATATTCTTTAAATATCGTATTCAACCTAATTAATTTTTAATATATTAATAAATAATAATATTTTATTAGTAAGTAAATATATAAAATTATTTTGATATTATTAACTTTTGTTTATAAAGAAAGTACTATAAAATAAAAATATTTTGATATTAATATATAATTATTTTTATTTTTTTTAATAATATGGGAACTCAAAGTCGCTACCGAAAGTGTGCAATGAGTAAATTTTTTACTAAACCTAATATCCTACAAATTAGATTCGACAAGACAAGTCACATTAGGCGATTTGTGTATAGCAAGTGATCAACTATATATTTTGAATGTAAACTATTTGGACTATATATCTGATTTTTTATTATTAATTTTTTTTGGGGGGCTTTAAACACAAATTAATAATTAAACACATCTGATATATTTAACTAATGTAGGGCAAGTCCCCTATAATTAGTTGGTTAATTACATCACTAACCAACCAACTAGCCGGGAATGGTTCAACAACCATAATATATATAAATAATACACAATTTTATTATTCGGCTGCGAATTTTCACGTCATTAAAAAAATAATTAAAAAAAAATAAAAAAATACACAATTTTATTATCCGATCAAAAAAAAAAAATAATAATACACAATTTTATTATACATAACAATGTTGTACATGATAAAAGGATATGTTGTATAACAATATACGATGCGCTGAAATCAACTGTTGTATGAGACTATAACATGTGTTAATAGTTCATATATCCAATTTGTAATATATTAACGCATACGGTGTGCTATTAGTACTAATATCATGTGATGTTTATCAGCATTGTAACTGCCGAAATTACCAAAATCAATTACTCCATCGGTCCCATGTATTTGTCTTGTATACCGTGAATATGAAATTTTAGAAGCTACATAATTAATAAATAATAAAAAAATATATTAGTTTTCTATTTTATACAAAAAAAAATAAAGAAAATTACTTTATACTCAAATAACAAAAGTATCAAAATTTATTATACACTTTCACTCAACTGATCAATAAAATACAATTATTTTTAAATTTATTACAAAATTCTAAAAATCTATTTCGGGAGGGAGGAAATACTATAAAATAAAAATATACTCCCTCCGTCCTATATATTTTGGGTATGTTACTATAGATACGAAAATTTAGGTAAAGTATAATTAGTAGGTAATTAAGAAGTCTATCAGTAGAAATAATTATTATTTAGTAGAAATAATTATTATTTAGTAAAAATAATTATAGATTAAGATAAGATTAAAATAAGTAAATAGTTTGATTAAGATTAAAAAAAATATAAAATTTAAATGATTAAAGTGGATAATCATATTAAAAAAAAAAAAAGGAAAGAATGTGAGACGGAATGAAAATAAAAAATATGAACAAATTATGTGGGAGGGAGAGAGTATCATTTTGAATACTACACACTAAAGAAAAAAAAAATTAGAATTTACTTTGATGGTATTTATCCAATTATTATTATTATTATTATTATTATTATTATTATTATTACTATACATTCAACCATTTTAAATAGAAATTTTCTTTAAGTTGATTCAAAATTGACCACCATTAATATTTAATAATGCGCCATTTTGGACTTGCCCACTTATTAGGCAATTTTATTGATTTTGGTCGTTTATTTCATGCTCTTACTATTTATTTAATTCAACTGCACGTGACAGGTCACATGCGTGGTGTCACTTGTCGTTATCCAATCAAATATGCTCATAAAATTAACTACTAATATTAATTAACTTCTTTTTCAAAATACAAATCAACAGTCAACGTTAAAATGCACGTTTAATTAATGAATTTATCTGCTTGGTGTTTTTTTTTTTATTACGTTAAATTTATATATAAAAAATTGGAATATCTATAAAATATTTTCGGAATAAAATTGGAAATAATAATAATAATAATAATAATAATAATAATAATGAGCTTAAAAAACAAACCCAAGAAAAAAATGTACTAACTTTTAAAATTGAAAAATGTCATTTTGTGAGTGAAAATATCCGAAATTTTTGGTAACGTTTTGGGTATGTTACATTTTTCAATAAACAAATATTCAAATCTGATTCAATCAATATCAAATAATAATCAAATAAATTTGGAATAGTATATTTATTACTACATTAAGTTTATATTTTATCCGTCCGCCAGATTTATTACCACTTTCTTTTGTAGTCTGTTTATTAAATTTATGTCATTACTAATTTTTGGTAAAGTCAAAAAATTAATATTTAATTATTACTTTCAATTTAATATTTATTTACGACAAATAACACTAATTTTATTATATTGTCTTTATTCATTTACTTTATTTTTTAACTAAATTTAAAAATACTATTAATATTAAAAAATCTACCTATAAATGAAGGTATTGAAAATAATGCTCTATTAGTCCCAGCTAATTTGTCCAATTTAGATTAGTCACCTAATTTTAGACACTGTCTAATTAGTAAATAATTAAAAAATATATTAGTGAAAATAACTATAATTTAATAAAAAAATAATTTTGTATTAAAATTAATATGACTAGTAGATAATTAAGAATGTATTAGTGAAAATAATTATCCTATAATATAAATAATTATAAATTAAGATTAAATAACTAATTAGTTTAATTAAAATTAAAAAAATAAAATTAAAAAATTTAAAATGAGAGGAAAGTCTGTAATCATTTTCCAAAAAATAAAAGTGGCATGGTATGGGAGACGGAAGGAAACAATAATGTGAACATGGTATCTGGGGTGAATGGAGTAATAAATTATGTGTATAATTGTGTATATATATATAAAAAAATAAAATTATGGTGTACGAACGAAAAGAAACAGGGGACACTTAAAAAAGAATAAAAATAAAAATACAAACAAACAAATCCAGGTATTAAAAATAATAAAAAAATAAAATACAACAAAGAGCCGCATGTGGGTTTGGGCGTGGGTACAGAGAGGAGAGAGAGGGAGGGCAATGTGATTCAAGAAATTGGCTATGGAGGCGGAGAATTCAATAACGGCAGACAACAACTACCCACTCCAAGAAGATCCCATTCCATGGTGGTTGTGCTAGTAGAGCAGTAGTAGACACCCCACCCCACCCCACCCCCACCCCGCCACCCCACCATTACTCCCTTTCTTTATTTATTCGCGGAAGAAAGCAACTATGTCTTCGTTGACCGCCAGATGCATTGCTCTTCAAAAACCCCTCTCTGCCTCCCTCTTCCTCCATCGCTCCTCCACTTTCACTCTCAAATCCCTACTTTTTAGATCCGATTCCAGATCTCGACTTAGGAGCTTCTGCGCCTCCACCGTTTCCACAATGGGTGCCGTCGTCGACGATTCCACCATGGACGCCGTCCAGAGGCGCCTCATGTTCGAGGACGAGTGAGTTCTTATTGATTTATTTTTGCCGTAATCTCAAGCGTCTGTTTCGATAGATTTACGGAGAATGGGAATTTGGTGTTCGGATTTTCGGGTTCGTTGCGAATGTGCTGTCTATCTTGTGGAGATTGTTTGTTCATCTCTTTCGACTTTGAATTTGTTTTCCGATTCAGATTTTTACCCGAAATGAACGAACGGTTTGGTAGTTTTTGTGCGATGAATTTGAAAGCTCCTTTTCATCCTTTTGTTTTCTCAATCTGTGGCTGTAATAATCAGATTTCTTTTCTGCAAATTGATTTGTTGTCTTCCGGTGAAGCGAAAGGGTTTCGTGTAATTTTCTGAGTTTGTCGTTTCCACTGCGTCATATGAATTTTTATTCTTGATTGAATAAGAAGATTTAGGCCTTTTTTCAATCGAAAAGGTCATTTTCATGGAAGGATTCTTATCCACACACACACACACACATGCATATATACATATATCTAAAGCTTGAACTCTTTGCAGATGTATATTAGTCGATGAGAAGGACCATGTCGTCGGCCACGACACAAAATATAACTGTAAGTTAGAGTTTGTCGATCATTCCTGCTGATTTCAATCACAAAAGATGATCAGGATAATCAAAATTACGAGTTAGCTAATCGTGTATTTAGCCCCAACACTATGATCCGTTGAGCTAATGAATTCGCCATTGCAGTATGTCCTCGAACTTGTTGAAATCGGATTTGTTGGAATTTCTGTGTACGATTTGGACAAAATATTTTCAGTAATTGAAAAATCTTTCAATTCACCTACTTTTCCTAATCGTGAATCTCATTTCAATCACAAAAGCTGACCAGAGTATTCAACAAGACAGTTTACCTAATCGGGAATTCATTCGAACACTGATCTGTTGAGCTAATGAATTGGCAATTGCAGTATGTTGTCGAACTAGTTGAAATCGGATTTGTTGGAATTTGTGTTTAGGATATGGACAAAAACCTTTCAATCATTGAAAAATCTTTCGTTTAAACTTGTTTTCCCTGACGCCGCAGCCCTTTTGATGTTTCAGGCCATCTGATGGAGAAGATCGAGGCTGAAAATTTGTTGCATAGAGCTTTCAGCGTCTTTCTGTTCAACCCGAAATTCGAGTTGTTGCTGCAGGTATGTGTTGATTGAGTACGATAAATCGTAGCTGCAAATAGAATATTTCACCAAATTGTGAATTTCTGGCCTACAATTTCCTTTACTGTAATTTACTTAAGCAAAGCTCCATACATCTCCCGGGCTTACCGTCAGTTCTTCCTATGCTTGAGAAACTTTGCATTCTTGATTTTGTAGAACAAGATAGTGTTAGTGCTGGAAAATGTTGAGATGGGTTAGATTTTTCGGTTAGGAAGTTAATTGCTTCTGCCCTTTTTCAGGAGCATCTTAAAAGTTCGAATGTATGTTTTCGACTGCTTAACAGCTGAAGCCATCACATAAAACAAAACCTTTTTTTTTTAAAAAAAAAAGTTTGTGAATATATATAATTATATATTTGATTTCATGTTTGAATATGGGAATGATAAAAGTGAAATGGAAACATGAAATTGGAAACCTATGTGGAATTTACAGCTAACTATTAAACCATGGATTTCCGAATTTGAAGGAGTTGTGTAGTTCTACCTATACAGTGTAGTTCGGTATTTTTGCATAATTACTATCTGGGCCTTAATACTTATATGGCTTTTTTTGTCCTTAAGGATTGAATTGGGAGTTGGAATTTCGATATCCGACTTTCTTTGTTTGAATTGAGAAAAAAGATCCAACGACCAGGATTGCCAAAAAGATTATAGTTAAGAGAAAATGTAGTTCTTAGTGTACCTAATTATAAATTATTTGCCCGAGAAGATCGATGTTTTTGTCTCCACAATTAGGCATAGAGTGTAGAAAAATTTATATTTATATTGCGCCGTATTATAATATTCTTATGAACACTATTTCTTGGCCTGAAATTCTTCTTCCAGCAACGATCTGCGACGAAGGTGACCTTTCCTCTAGTGTGGACGAACACCTGCTGCAGTCACCCACTGTACCGGGAATCCGAGCTTATCGAAGAAAATGCACTCGGTAATTCATTATATTTTTACGTGTCATACGATCGTACATTTCCGTATCTAACCTGAATTCTACGTATCAAAGGGGTGAGAAACGCGGCCCAAAGAAAACTGCTGGATGAACTCGGCATCCCCGCCGAAGACGTCCCCGTCGATCAATTCACTCCTCTAGGCCGTATGCTGTACAAAGCGCCGTCCGACGGAAAATGGGGAGAGCACGAATGTAATCCCCGCCGTTTATAAAAGTTTATCGCTTTTGTTGCGATTCTTGTCGTAGTAACGGCTTCTCGTCGTACAATTTGCAGTGGATTACCTTCTGTTCATCGTGCGGGACGTCCGGGTGATGCCGAACCCGGACGAGGTAGCTGACGTGAAATACGTGAACCGAGATGAGCTGAAAGAGCTTTTGAGAAAGGCGGACGCGGGCGAGGGGGGATTGAAGCTGTCGCCGTGGTTCAGGCTGGTCGTCGACAACTTCTTGTTCAAGTGGTGGGATCATGTTGAGAAAGGGACGCTCCAAGAAACGGCCGACATGAAGACTATCCACAAGTTGACTTAAGCCCGGACGAGGTTAGTTTTAAGTTTTCGCGAGATCAATCAATAAAAAGCGCGGCCCGGCCCGGACCCGATTAATAAATCGCGAAAAATGATTGTCTTTGTGTTCGTGTGTGTGTGTGTTTTGATCATCATCATCTATATGGCTTATTTTGGTGATGGAATGGTGTTTTTGGGTGAGGGGAGGGATTGAGTTTTATGGTGTTTTTAGGGTGTGGTTTTGTTGGGTGTGTTTTGGCTGAATGTAACTTTGTTATGTGCCCCTTTGTAAGGCCTTCTTATGAATTAGCATTCTTTACTTGCTTTTTTGGGGTTTTTTTTTTTTTTTTTTTGAATGAAATAATGGTTGGTTGCATGTGATGTTTTTGTATGGAAATTTGAATCTTTTCATTGTGGAAAAATGAATGAATGGAATTTAAATTGAAATGAATATTTCGAATATAAAATAGGTTTTGATGTACTTGTGTTTTGAATAAAAAATTAATTTTGATGCTTTTTATATACTTGGGTTAGAAATTATAAATAATGAAAGATAGGCTTTGAGAGCACTTTTAAATAAGCCCGTCCATTTTTTAAATTTTGGGATCTTTTTCTTCTGTAAAAAGAAATGGTGTATAATGAATGAAAGATTAGACCCACCAATGTTTTTTTAATTTAGGCTTGGTTTTCTTTAGTAAAAAAAATAATAAATAATATCAGATATTTATATATATACATACATATTCTATCACTAACAAGAAATAACAATTCAAAAAATATCTCAAAATCGAATCACAAAACAAACACCACCACATGAAAATGAAAGATGGGTTTTGAGAGATTTGAAACAGAAACATATTTAATATAATATTTTCTGAAAAACTTATTATTGAATTACTATTAATCACGCAGGCATTGAGAAATAATTTGCATATTGAGTAAGACTAATAAACACATTCCACAGCAAAATCATTTGCCAACTTTAGTTCATACATTAAAAATGTCTTAAAAACACGAAAAAAAAAAAAATGACCCTTATCCCTGTACAATGTTTACAAAGCAATGTGCAATAAAATATTTTCTATGAATATACACATTCCTAAACAATTCAAAATCCAACACTTTGTGTTCGGTTTCTTTCAAACCAAAACCATTACCTATTAGACTATACATCACTGCTAAAACCAATCGATTCTCGACACAAAAATACTTTATTTCATCTTCATAAAATATCACATCAACTGCTATACAAACAAAAATTCAAATAGGAAAACCTAAACACAAACCAAAACCAAGCATACTCTCGAAGCTAACAAACAAATTGAGACAGTAAATAATATACTCCCTCCGTCTACAAACTAATGTCCTACTTTTCTATTTGGAACGTCTAACAACTATTGTCCTATTTCCTTTTTTAAACACAAATTTTATATTTTTACCCTTTATTCATTTATTATTTTTCATCTCTATCGTACAATTAAAGGCAAAATTGTCAATTCATAACAAAAAGACAATCACCTAAAAAATCGTGCAATTATATTTTAGGACAATAGAAATTGGACGGATGAGTATATAATAAGTAAATCCAGGATGCCCTCCTTACTAGTGACAAAACACTAACAATACAATCATAAAAACAAACACTAGAAACTGTAATTATTTTAGAAGTTGGAAACCACATATCTTCTTCTTCTTCAATTCTCTACAAAAATATAATGAATCCAAATATTACATCTTTTTTTTGGGCATGAAAACATAATATATATATATATATATAATAAACTCCACAGAAAAAACAAATGCTCCCTTCCCTCCCTCCCTATCATATTTCTCATTGTCCTGTCAATCACAAAAACACAAATTTCACCTGCACATTCATAGATAGATCCCAAACTTATATAAGAAACAAATTACTCGAAAACGAAGATTAAATAGGATTTATCACAGATAGGAAATTCCAAAAGATGAGATACGATCGAAAAGAAAAGAATGTGTTTACCAGTATGAAAATCAATTTCCTCCCTTCTGCTTGAGCGTGATCTTGTCGCCCAAGCTGAGGGCAATGCCCTGCGTCTTGCTCCTTATCCGAATGTATCCATTAAGTTTTCCGTCAGCTTGCTTCTCAACGCTGACATTTACCAAAGCGTCCTCCCCGAACACACTTTTCGCATACAGATTAGCAGCCAGAAACCCACATTCACCTTCGAGAGCAGATCTGGAAAATAACACACACACCCAATGATACGTTGGCGTAAAAGGAGCAATAACAGAATATAAACTACCTTTAGAATTTCTTTGGTGGTTATGTTTGCCTAAAAGTAATACATGGTAAAAGAATAGCTTTACTTGCAAAAGAGGAATCGGCGGAAATTGACTTACGGTGCAGTTAGGCATTTCATATTGGTGGAGTTGATTATGTGGTCAAGGAATTCTTTCTCATTTGTAATTGTTGTATTGACAGCAACCTGGAGAAAAACAAGGAAAAGGGAACATCGAACAAAAAAAGTATACTGAGTACAAATTATTGAATACCTTTAAGAAACAAAAGAAACAACACTACTGCAGAGGAATATGTAAGTATGATAACATTGTAGTTAATGTACAAGCAGGAACAATACTTATTTCTGTAAAACCAAAATTTCATATCAAGGATAAGGGTATTTAATAGCAACATTTTATCAATGGTCCCACAAAAGAATCAGAAACATAATCAAGAAGTTATTTCTAAAACCACTCTTTTTTTCAGAATCGAGTTTCAAACAATTTATTCTTGAAAAAAAGTAAGGAAGGGAAAAAAAAGGGAAATAGTTTCACCCAAAATTATTTACTTATCCAACAACAAAATAAGATATCATTAGAGAACGTAAACCTAATTAGAAACAAAAAACAAAGTGAATAATTATGTTACCTTATTCTCCCATTCAAATTCAGCCCACATTGTTCTAAAAGCAGAGTCGCTACAAGCAGCAGGGGATATGTAGTCCATAATATCAATATGGATATCATTGAGAACGACAACAGTCCTCTCAAGAACATTCGAGGTCTCATAAACAATGTTGCCAAATATAACTCCAGTTTCAGTAGAGGAGACCTTGATGTTTGCTTTGATTTGCTTGCTTGACTGGGGAGCAAGTGTATAATTCTGAGGCCGTTCAACAAGCTTAAGATCGCCCATTGTGGCCAGCTCCAGACAGAGATTCTGAAGGGTATCCTTTGTTCTATTAATAACCGTAACATCCAGGACAATATCATAATGATGAACTGTCACAAAAGCTTCAGCATATACAGGGTCGCTGAATCCTGTCAGTTGAATGATACGATTTAACTTATTGGCATCATCTCCATCCTTGACAAATTCTCCAGTAGCACGTTTAAGATCGTCTTGGACCTGATCTTCCAACTCCAGCTGGCTCATGCCCTGATCGATGACAACAATAACAGAAGCAATTAGAAAATTTTATGTTGCATCTCATGTAAACCACAATTATGGTCATCACAACAAATTGTCTTAAGTTATAACAATGTAACAGCTATTCTTGATGTTTCACACATTAACTAAAGGTCATTGCAAAAAGGTATTCGAATTTTGATTGATATGTAGGGAGATAATAATCGATTACTACCACAAGATGACACCTAGCATTAGACATAACGGAAAGTATAGATCCAACATAAACATAATGATGAGTTTTAAAAATACTGTTTCAGTCCTCAAGCCACTGGACGGTTAATTGACCAAAACTGTGGGGCATCGGAAACTGCATTCATCGAAATACTAAAAAAATGATCACAGATGCCTGTTTTACCTTGCGACTCTTCAAATGGTAGAAGTCAATAAGGTCATCTGGCTGTGAATGAGAAGTCTGAGCTTTAGCTTTGATTTCTTCAGTTTCACGCAGCTGTTTGTCTGAAAGCATTTGAACAAAACTCTCACGGCAAGATTTCAGCCAGATCTTCTTCACAGAATCCCCAGTGTTACACAGCAACCTTATGCAGACAACAATCCTGTCATAAGAATCATTGTCAATTGGGTGAGGGAGAACTGAGGACTGTCCCAACTGCAGCATAGCTATCATAATTAACAAAGCATCAGTCGAAGCTTTGTTAACTTCAATTTTAGATGGCTGAACTTCTTCTAATCTCAGAATGAGCTTTGCAAGAGTGCAAGCAACAACTGCTCCAAGGAAAAAATCACCAGTGAGAAGAAGCGATCTCAAATTCCCAGTCGTCAGTGATCCTTGGACAACAGTTGGAGCAGAGAAAGCAGTCTCAGAGGCAGCACTTTGAGTGGCATATGTTCCATCAGCAAGAATTGCTGGCCTTCTAGAAGAAACAGTAATCGAAGGCGCCTGCTGTGTTTTCTTCGAAGAATCATTAGTTTCCTCATCTTCAGATATGGAAAAGAACGGTAATTCTCCGAGGCACTGCTTTATAGTAGCAATGCCGCTCTCAACTTCAGAAAGCGAGAGACAATACTCTCCAATAATCCAAAGAGCACAACAGCATACTCTTGCAGCCCGGATCTGATAGAAAGTGTCGAGAAGCCTGGTGATGATAGAAACTCTTAACTTCGGGTTGGTTTCAATTATCTCACGCACAAAAATGGCGACATCCATTGCAGATGCTACATTGTTGTCTCCCAAGAAATCCATCAATAAATGGACCACCGTGCTTGCCACTTCAGGGAACTTAATAGCACACGAATGAATTGCTTGAATGAGCATCTGACGGTACTCCCCATTTTTTTCAAGCTCTCCACTTTGAGTTTTCACTACTTCCTTCTTCAGAGTTAGAACCACCTCATTGACATTGCGGGGAGTGATCAATTCCAAAACAATATCGAGTGTTTTTCTCCGGATGTCAAGGTTTGGGCTTGACAGTGCCCTCAAAACATCCATTATCATGTCGACCAAAATATCCTTGTGGGAAGACTTGAGCTCATTCAACCGATCAAGCACAATCAGCTTAACATTATTGTCACTCTGAGAGAGAAGAAGCTGGCAATATGTATTTGCTGCAGCTCTTATAGCTGTGGGAGCTGAAGACAGAGAAACAAGAGTTCCAGCACATTCATAAACTACAGCAGCCGAAGGAGCATTCAGCAAAGAGATGATAATCTTGATATATTTCCCCTTTTCAGCTTTATTTGTCCTGCAAACTTTTCGAATCAGCTCCAAGACAACCATTTGCATCAGCTCCCCCCAGTCCGATACTCTGTCAACATTAGTCAAAAGGTAATTGATAGCACGATCCTGGGCGCAGTTGAAAAGCATAAGAAATGCATTTCTTTTAGCCGACGAATCCTGCTCTGACGACAAAAACTTCTCAATTGTCTCCGGAGCATCAACCAGGAGCTGCTCACCTTGTGGGAGCTTGTATATCGACATCACAGCAAGAATTGCATTTCTCCTAACATAAGGGTGTCGGTGCTCCAAATTCGACATAATAGAGGGAATTAAAGGTTCGATGATCTCCACTTCACTGAGCCGGCAAAGGAACCTCAAAGTGACACCACGGATATACTCATTAGGATGTTGGAGATTATTCCGGAGGTTCTGGCAGATTAAGATCATTTCCGGCAACACACGCCCCTTCCCATCAGTCTTATCAATGATTTCCAAATAGAGCAACAGCAGCTTCTGGACCGTGTGGTCCTCCGACGGTAGAACATATCTAACTATCGTAATGAACAGCTGCGGCAAAGTTTCACCATTTAACAAAAGCATGATAGCATTCTTCATGGCGTCAATCTTCGCTGGAACATCGTTCCCTTCAAGGGCCTCCTTGATCTCATTAGCCAGAGCTGGAGTGCCCTTGTCGAAATGCACCAGCAGAGAACAAGATTTCTCCATTTTTCACTAGAAATCAAAACATTAAACTCAATTACTTTGCACAAAAGTTTACAAATACAAGAATTTCCAAAATAAGATCTACAATCCTGCCATGATTATCTGCTCTATTAGTACCAACTGTATGCCTTCAACCAAACAAAGCGATAAAGATGTTTATACACAGAAAAGAAACTAGTACGAAATGGCCAGCAATATCAAAACTCATCAATAAAATCAGATCTAGCAATGCTATTCAAAATCGCTGTTGTAAAACAAACACCAAACTTAAATTTTCGAAATACAAACAAACACACAATCAACTCATACAAAATTGAACCAGAACAAACGAGGAAGAAAATCGCCGCTTTCTCCGAGCAAATCAATAAATGCGAAATAAAAAATTCAAGCACCACAGAATTCTTAAAATCTATAGGCGCATCCATAGAGATTCCGATCCGTTTCAGGCATTGCAATCGAATCAAACAAATCCTAGCAATCCAGATCCAGAACACCTCTACCCCTAATCCAAACAAAGACAACTTAATAAATCAAAAGAAAGATTACCGATTGACAAAGAACAGATCCGTGCGGCGTCGTTGAATTCGGCTCACCGCCCAATTAACTTCTTCAATGTAGAAAGCAAAGTCACTGCCCTGAGATAAATATGTAGCTCGTCCCCGATCAGATCTAGACATGCCATTGGTTTCGAACCGCCGGTCCAGACCGTCAGTTCCGGTTCGTTAAAAATCGAACCGAAACCGAAGGTTCGGTGGATTTTCACAAACCGTGAACCTCCGGTTCGATCAACCGGTTTACAGTTCGAACCAGCGGTTCAGTATGCATACACATAGTTACATATATATTTCCCAAACCTGGATGGCAGCCTCGGTGGCAGGGGGAGCTGCGGTGACGACGATCGTGCAAAGGAGAAATGGCTAACGAAGAAGGAGGAGGAGAATAGTGAAGGAAAAATTAAGAGAAAAAAAGAAACGAAGGAAATGAGACGATTAGGAAAGACGAGAAGGCCGAGAGGAAGAAGGGTGAGAAATAACTGTAGGTCGCAGGACTAGGGTTAATTACAAACTTTAATGAATTAACTTTAATTTAAAATATTATTTAAGTCACGTATAATTTATTTTTATTTTCCGTTACTTGTTATTTTTATTTTTAAAATATAATTATACACTTTAATCATATTTTAATTTTTATATTTTATAAAAAATTTAATTTTAATTAAACTATTTAGTTATATTAATTTTAATTAATTTTAAACACCTTCAAATATAAATATAAGGTTTAATTTATTTTCACGTTAGCATTTTTCTTCGGTTTGTTGACGGTGTGGAAAAAAAAATAAAATTTGATTATATTGGAACAAAAAAGATAAGATTTGATTATATTTAAACTGATGAGTTTTGATTATATTGGAACTAAAATTGATAAAAAATTTATATTATGACCAAAAATGATGAATTTTGATTATATTGGAACCAAAATTAATAAAATATTTATATTGAGACCAAAATTGATAAATTTTAATTATATTGGAACCAAAAATAATTTTTTGCCCTAATTATATAAATTTAACCCCTCATACGGACATACTAATTCCGCCACTGAGAGCAGGCACCCCTTATGTTTACATATATTTTCAAATTTGTTACAGTACTATTCATAAAAATTTATCTTTAAAATATGTCACACCAGTTTGCACAATATATAAAGTTCTTTATTTAACTTTAAACTAATTTTCAAAACTTCGAAACAATGCTAAAACATATTTAAACACAACCAAAGTTTTTACCCATGGCGAAAATTATTTAGTAAATTTTATATAGACCTATGTTGAGACGCCGAGCAACAACCAACGCACATTACACAGTTAAGTTTCGCCAAATATAAGAATATCTTGAATCATCAAGGGGGCGTAAAATTTACACAGTGCTATTTCTTTTACTACTTACAACTTACATTGCATACGCACAAGGTTTTAGAGGACCTCAGGTGGATCTCGTGGCCTCGATGGCGCCTACCAAGTCTTCGATTTTGGCTCCCGTAACTTCCTTAACAATCTTGCCGTCCTTCAGAATCTTGAAGGTCGGAACCACCTTGATTCCGAGCTCTTTCGCCAATGGCTAACATTATATAGTAATGTAATAAGTCAGATAGGAAGAGGTAAGAACTAAGAAATTTATCCTCTGTTTACATGCATAGTTTTGAAAGTTTTCAACATTATTCGTCCAACAATATTTTGTAATTCAATACAATGCTAATAATACATCACACTACGATAGACAGGACATGATGTGACAATGATAAAAATACACAATTTATGTTAATATAATACAAAAACGACAGTAGTTTGCGCATTACGTATTACCGTGAATCTTAGCAAAGATATATATGTCCATATAGCATATTCTCAACACATGTTCGGTCTTTCATGGCTTGGCAAATCAGTACCATATTGATTTGTTCCAATTAATATTGTAACCAATCCGTTTTTCCGAATCATATCAAAGAATTATTTAATCTCACAAAGCATCACCTCAGATATTATAATGTTAACTATTTTCAAAATTTGTAAAAGCTTCAAAGTAACAAAAACTTATGTCTAATGGAGCTTAGGAGTGTCGTCGAACCTTGTTATCTTGGTTGCAGTCCAGCTTTAAGAAGAGAACGTCATCGTATTTTTCAGACAGTTGTTGAAATTTCGGAGCTATCACTTTGCACGGGCCACACCTACAAGTTGAATGAATCGAAGCCAAAGTCATGATAGATGGAGGATGTTCGAAAAAAAGAGTTTCAATCTCTTGTGCTTTCAACGCCATTTTTGCACTATATAAACTATGGTATGAAGTTTTTTTTTTTCTTTTTTCTTTTTTTTTTTCATTCAAAGACATCATTTTCGACAAACTCAGGTATAAAAATCATATCCAATAACTATTTCTCATTTCAAATGGTCGAATCCAGAAACACCATAAATATCCCAAAACAGAAGTAAACATAGCAGTTGCCCCCGAGAATAAGGCAATAGAATCATGTTAGGAAATTCTTAGCCAAGCATTTGTATAAGCTAATTAGCAATTAGACGAATTAGCGGTGAAAACTAATATTCAATATGTTGTAAAAAGGAAGTTAAATGAAGTTCCCCAAATCGGCTACTTGCAGATATCCTCACAACCGTGCACCACACCTTGCTTCTACAGTTTCCTTTCTTTTTTTTTGTTTATCGATATCAAAGCAGTTGATTCTCGTAAGGACACAAAACTCACTCAGCCGTAATGATATTCGCTACTCATATAATCTCACGATTAGTCAAAATATTATCCATAAAGTACAGCATATACACGTAACAATAAAAGTCAACAATAACCCACAAAGCATCATTCTCTATAATCACAATTATTCGTACCACACAACAAAAGCATCTAAAATATAAACACACTAAACAAACTTTAAAATTTTCTATACAATTATACTGAGATACTTCTTCCGTGAACTGATTTCCTGAGTCACCATGATGAGGCAAAACAGCCCATTTTCTTATAAAGACATCAAGTTGCCATTTCAATCTAAAGGGGTTTCTAACAATCACTCAATCGAAAAGCCTAAGATCAAGAATGCACAAAGCACCTAGCAGCTAGCTACTATTTGAATGCCGGAATTAATTCACCGCAGTTTACAACTAATCACAGAATTAAAAACAAGTTAACAATTAAATTCGTTCACAATCAATGACAGTGATAAAACTACATCGACAACTAAGTATTGCACCTTCTATGCCTACCCCAATTCTACAGAGTGACTTATACACGGCATTTCAGTAAAGGTGACCTCAAACCGATTCGAACCTGATATACCATCATATTACTAGCTCAAGCTCGTGACCAAAACTCTATGCTAGATTTTGAACTCAGTAAAACTCACTAAGACGAATAACAAGTGCTTGTGTTTGCATTCGGAAGAACCATTACAGAATAACCATTATTTACATGAAACATGATGTGCTTTGGATTAAACGGCCCTTGATCTTGCCTAGTGAGCTAGAATCGGCAGCATCACTGAGCAAGGATTTTATTCAATCAATTGTATTTAGATTGATTCGATAGAAAAATAGCATACGCTGTACACACCAAATTGCAGTGAGAACTTCAGGTTGAACTTAATTTCGCCAAAATAAACAAAATCATCAGTAGAATTGGAGAATAAACGTATCTCCGATCTTCAGAAACTAATCAGATAGTAAGAACTAAGAACCTTCCCCAATGTAGATAAAATTCAATCCAACAACAAAAAAAACCCCAAAAATTGACCACTCCACAACCATCGGTGAGCTTCTAAATCAACATAAGAAAATACCAAACAATAAAATCACGAAAAATAAAAAGTAAAACAAACTCACCACTGGGTGTACATATCGAGGACGACAACCTTAGTGCCCGCGGCGTTCACAATTGGCCAGAACGTGTCCTTACTCACCTCCGTCACCTGACCGACCACCGCCACTGCCTCCGCCGCGTCCAAGCTGGATCTGACTCGGAACCGCGCGCTCAGCCGCCTCTCCTTCCTCCTTACATTCGCCGGTCGGTAATCCGTTCCGATGCAGACAATTGCCGGCTTCCTGCCGGCGATTAGACCACCGGACACCGAATTCTGCAGCATTGAGGCCCTCGGAGCCGCGGAACTGTACAGCTGCAAAGCCATCGGCGATGATTGCGTGACGACGAATGCCTTGTATGTATGTACGTATGTGCACTGTGCTGTAGCTCAACAATATATATATATATATATATATGGAATTAATTATAATGAAGAATAATACTGGACCGTTAAATTGAGCGATAAAAGACTGAAATACCCTCGAGGTGGCTGCTGTTGGGCGAGGATAGAGGCGTCATTTCATGAAATTTATGTGGCACTTGTGTGACAATAAAATTAATGGATAAAAAGGAAAATCCCTGCCACAAAATAGATATTGGAAAAATATTTGTCTCATTCTCAATTGTTTTTAAGAAAATATATTAGAATAAAAAAGTATCATTCCCATATTCTTGTCCAAGTTTATTTATTTTTAATTATTATAATTATAAAGGAGATATTAGTTTAAATATTTGATAATAATAAAAACATATATGAGTAACTGATCTACTTTGGAGTGCTGGTTATGAGATGGTGATGCTCTCTATACATGTCGTTATTTGATTCGGATCTTTGGAATATATCGAATTAATATTTAAAAATAAAAGATGAATTTCTGATTGAAAAGTATAATAAATTTGAAATCCAAATACATTATTAATATATCATAATGATAATTTACATATATCCCCTGTGATGGATGTTTTTATTTGAGTTTTTCCTATTACTGTATATATTTGTTTTAAGTTTTTAATGTAATATGATCTTGTCTTAATTTCTTGAGAGTAAAAATACCTCATTTGGATAATTTTTTTTTTTTTTTTTAACAAATGTCCATCCATTAGTATGAAGTATTTTTTTATTTTTATTTTTTAAATTTGTATTAAGTTTTTATATAATAATTAATATTCAAATATCAATGCCAATAAATAAATGAGACCCAGAGATAGTATATATTATGCTGTTAAATATGATAAGATATAATCTTTTTTAAGCTAAAAATAACAATCTATTTAATTTTAAAACTGAATTTTCTATTTGATTCTCATTTTACCATTCAAATTTCATATCGTATACAATTCAATTTAGTTTAAATTATTGTACTACTTTTGTCCCGAAAGAAGAGTAACGTTTAGATTGTGCTATATAAAAATAATAACATTTATGTAATATATTAAAAATTGTAAGGGTATTAATTATGTTAAATAAACAGTACAATTATGATATTTTGACAAAAATAAAAAATAATATTTTTTTTATGAGACAGATGAAGTATTTTTTTATGCAAAATTCAACACCTATTTTTTTATTGTTTCATTGACCCACAGGTGTGGGACATGTGAAACATTGAGTTATAATCCCTCCGTTCCAAAAGAAATGGTAGTTTAGAAAAGTAGAAATAATTTTGTTACGAAGTAGGGACCACAATTACTAAATAAAAAAATAAAACAATTGTTTTGGGACGAACGAAAATAGAAAAATAATCCAACTCTTTTGGAATAGAGGGAGTATTCATTAAAATTGTATACCAGACTTACATGAACATATTTTTCGTGAACCGGAAGAACCAGTATTATTAAGAATTATCTCCAGTCGCTCAAAATTAGTAACAATTCATATTTAATACTCCATCTTTCCGCCAAAATTACAAAGAAAGTATTACTAATTTTGGCAGAGTCAATACGTATTAAAACTTAACGACGGAGGGAGTATCTATCAAAAACTTGTGGGCAGACAGGCCTGTTATTGTCTGGGCTTTTCTAGCAAAAGAAAATACCTCAAAGGATGATTAACAAAATGAATCGGACAAAAGACCTTTGTGGAAAAGATATAGCCAAGTTTACCAAAAATCCATTCCCTATTTCCTACATAACAGGTGTGTTTCTTTAGCAAATTTTTTTTTTTTTTTTTTACTATTTCAATTTTTCATCTTTTGAAAATATAAATATATATAATATATACATTTTGCCCATTCATATAACATATTATTTAAATACAAAACTCAAACCAAGTAAAAAAACACACAACATTCCTATGAATGGTTTGGAGAGGCAAATTTCTTCTAAAGATATATTCTCAGTCATCTCACAGTTAATTTCAATACAAAGTACAAACATAACACAAATACAAATACAAATACATGGTATAAATTAACCTTAGTCAACAAATACATACCACAACTGATCTCACTATAAAGTACATATTATGATGATTGATGACACAGTTATATGATATAATATGACATAATAGAGCGATAAGATCATACAACATATGGTACAATTGATCTCAACTTAAGGACGGGTTAATATAACATAAATACATGAAATAATTTAACAACACGTGATAATAATCCACGCAACACTATCACAAATGATCTCACCACAAAACAGTCACCACAGCTCTATTCCTTTTAAAAAAAAGAAATCTAGAATATATATATATATATACACACAATCACTAAATTACCTACAAAAATACATTTTATTATCATAAAACATCAAACAAAACATCGATTTAAGCATAAAACACAAAACAAACACGACCACATGATTGCTAATAACAAGAAGAAGATTAAACAACACTATACACTAATTGGATAAACCAAACATGACTTTGATCAAGCAAGATACATACCATTTACATGTATTCCTGGACTTTGACAGAAGAAGCCGATACGATGATACAAACACAAGCGAACAATCAAGAATTCCATAGGACAAATTCATAAAGACAGTAGCTATTTACTTTACAATTACCTGGTCGTGGATCGTTATCATTTTGCATTCATGACACAGCTCTCTGTCCCTCGTCCACAGCAACTTCTTTCACAGATATTTGTGAAGGCTTCTGCATCGGTGAAGATGATAACTTTAACAATGAACTACAACGTCTTTCAACATAAACAAGTTTACATATTCGATTGCTTAATATGAGTAACGGAAATAAGCAGTCTCTGTATGGTTCTATTAATTGCCCGATTGCGTGTCAACATGTTTGGTAAATTACATAGAAAATATCATTGGCCCATATCACATCTATTTTTTTTATGCATCAAAAGGAATTCAAATTGTTGTTATGCATCTTTACCAAAAACATGGAGATGTGGAATTCATTGTACAAGTGAATTGAAACAATATCTAGCACGTACATCTCAACTACTCAGTTATATTATATTCTTCTTCCTTACCCTATTTTACTTGTAGTACTACCGAACAAAAATAATCAACAACTAATATTTCTGATGCTATCAACTGTTTCCAAATAATAAATTTACAAAAATGAAAAATTAAAATTAAAATTAAGGGACTGGTTGAAGAGATTTAGGTTAAAAGTATTTTGATTGACTCCATCAAATTCATTAAGACACTTTTTGGTTGGAAGAATTTGCGTTAGAAGTAGTTCACACAACTTTATCAAACTCATTGGTTTTATTTGGAAACATGATGGATTTCATGTCTGTCCCTTTAAGATTTCAAATACTTTTTAGATCGTGTAATTTCAAATGCTCGTTACAACCAAATGATGGATTTTAATTATAAAATATGAAGTATTTCAAATTGGAAGTAACTCAAACTCATTCATTTTAAAATTCACCTTCAAATCAGAATCCATCCCACCAACTGACTTAGTTTGACAATGCGATGAATTAGAAATCCATCCTCGTTAAGAGTCCAAATACTCACTTTAATGATGTCATTTCAAATACTTTCATGCAACCAAATAATGAATTTTAATTACGAAGTATTTCACATTCAAAGTGATTAAAATTCATTCATTTAAAATACACCGTCAAATCCAAATACATCCAACCAAGCCGACTGCCAACCTAAGACCTTGTTTCGTCAGCAGGATTTGGCTTAAAGGTATTTCAAATAACTTTATTAGATCCATTAGTTTCGTTGGATTTCAAATCTACAAAGTTGATTGTGGATTCGAAATCCATCGCTTTTAATATTATAAATACTTGTACGTCATTTCAAATAGTCCTTGTAGCCAAATTTTGGATTTTAATTATGAAAATCCGATTAAACTCAAATACATAAAGTTAAAATCCACTCTCAAATCAAAACCATAGAACAGTGCGGGCCTAAGTGAAAGGATAACATCATCCAAGGGAAGCAAAAGTTAAAAATCTATACACAAAACATCATATGTCCCATATAGATCTCCACCTGCACAACTAAATTCAAGAACAATCATGATTCATGATCTCGTCTGTCAAAAGCATACCAAACAAATACTATAGCCCACCCTTTTATTAGTAATTGCATAACAATTGCAGATGCCCGACAAGAACACTGAACAATTAAGGAAACAGAAGCAGGTAAAGCCAAAAAAAATCCTATAGATGTCGAGATTCTGGATTATACCTAATTAGCTAAAGAATGCAGAATAATCAAATCGACAAAAGAAAATGTGCAAATCGACAAACCTCAGCAAGCCGACCATGATTATGGTCTAACAAAACGACGACGTCCCCATCTCGAACATCCCCATCCTCCGGAGCGCTGCAATCCTGAGGCGTCTCGAAAAATGACAGCGAGAATTGCTTCGAAACCACACCGACGTCGAAGTAGATCAGACCGGAGCTCGGGATATCCACCTGGATTCCCTTCACCGGCAGCCATAGGAAGAGCTCCTGCGCAGCCACTCCCGACAAATTACCAATCCTTCCGAAACTCAAGTTCCCCGTTATCTCGCAATTGTATCTAACCCGCGTCTCGAATTTCGCATCGCAGGAGGAAGGTGAGAGCAAACGGAGCAGGAATCGGCCGGAGGCGGGGTCGATGGAGAAATCGGAGATGCCTTTTGGGAATAGACCGATCGGGAGGGCGTTGGAGATCAAGGCACCGTAGAATGCCGATTCCGGCGACGATTCGACCGCCATAGCTAGGGTCAATCCGAAGACAAGAATCACCGACCAGTTACGCGAAGTCATCGTCGGAATTCTGAAGGAACCGATTGGGCGGGATTAGGGTTTGAATGTGGAATTTGGGGATTATTGGGATGCGCTTTTCCTATTCATTTTAGAATTTGTAACGTCTAATTTATTTTAATATCAGTTTTAACTTTAGAGTGTAATAAAATTAGATATAAATACATATCCGAAGTCATTAAAGAAAATTTAGCTTGTGGTTTGTTGTATTCTCTAAGTTTTTTTTTTTTTTTTGCATTTTTCTTATGTAAAATACTTCTTAAAATTAGTGATTCGTTATAAACTTTTCGTAAATAAATAAATATACTTATATAAATAAATTTTTTGTATACTATTTGATCTCAACAATTTTTTTTAGATAAATTGATTTTTTATTTATAGTATGGAAACTGTTCAACTCAACTATTTTTTATATGAAATGATTTTTTTTTTTTATGTATAATATAGAAACTGTCTAGGTAATATAAAAATGATATGAGAACTGTGTGGTAATATAAAAAATACTACATTCGTCGGGTCTTATTTATTTTTTGCGTATTGATATTTCAATATTAATTATTATATAAAAATAAAGTACAAATTAAGAAAAAATTGCAAAAATATTTTCTGTCTTATAATATTAATAGGATGACATTTGTATAAAAAATTATACAAATATAAGAATATTTTTAATGTTGAGTAAATGTGACCCAGCCGAATGGAGAGAGTAATATTTTATGTCGAATATATATTATTAATGTGTTTGTATATTTTTATTTTTTAATAATATATATAAAAAATTGTTAAACTAAGAAATGCTAAACAGATTAATTATTGTAATTTTTATGCTTTAGATCACATGCCGAAGTGTATTTTTAATTCAGCATATGCATACTCAATCTCAACCATTAATTAATAAAGGGTAATTAAGTCAATTTAAATATAATCTTAAAATTAAAGGTTGAGATTCATTTTCAGCATACTGAATTTATAACATTCAGCATATGATCTGCATTGAACTTTTATTTATGTGACTTTTATTTATGTGTATTATCACTACTTTACTTTTATATACTAACTCCGTCCTATTCTAGGTATCTTATTTATCTTTTACGCGTGATCTTTTAATATTAATTATTATATTAAAACGGAGTACAAATAAAATAAAAAAAAAACTTGCAAATATATTTCTATTAGTGTCTTATAATATTAATAAAATAATAATTGGACAAAAAATTAGATAAATATAAAAATATTTTTAAAATTGCAAACACAATTATTAATAAAATCAAATTAATATATAATTAAACGATTGTATTTAGAGCCTAATTTTATTATTTGAAATTAATTTAAAATAGATTACTGATTTAAATTTTTATTTAAACAATATATATATAATAATGTTTTGTAAAAGTAAAATTAAAATTGTAAAATAATTAACCCAGTTGATGACTTGACGTGCTTTTCAATACAGTTTCAAAACATTCCAAGTACTCAACATTATTAGCTTATATTCACAGTAAAAATTTTGAAAGCACCCTAATTTCAAACGAAATTCTTTTCAAAGTATATTACTCAAGTCATCCGGAATTAATGTATCAAATATTAATATTTTTTATGCATATTTTACAAAAACAAAATTGTGTTATAATAAGAGATAGCATTATTATTATTATAGTAATTTGAATAGAAAACAACCACAATTACAAAAGATCAAAAATATTCGCAAAGTATCAAAACAAATAGATATAAATAAATGAATAAAAAAAAAAAACAGTAAGATTCTCCACAATCTCTAAATCAAATATTCCCTTCGTCCCATCGGAATTGAACTATTTGATTAAATATTCCCTCCGTCCCGTCAGAATTGAACCATTTGATTAGGGATACCGCATTTAAGGTGAGGATGTTTAATTAATTATGATATTATTATATTTTTTCGTATAATTAATAATATTTATAATTTTAAAGGAAATTTAATATATATAATTAAAAAAATTAAAATATATGTTTAAATATTTAAAAATTATATAACAATTAAAAAATATATACAATATAGATATCATTTTGTAGAGAATAAAAATCTTCTATAATAAGTAAATAAAAAACTATTTTAGTTTATTTATAATTAATATAAATCAATTTTATAAAAAAATGTGTAGTTTTAAATATATATATATAAAAATATTGAGTGAATCCTAAATCATTTATGACGTTGTATGATATGTAGTTAATTAAGTTGATTTATATTTGTTAAATATATTTTTGGTTGTTGAATATGTTTTGGTTTAATAACTTTTATCAAAAATTGAAAGATATCAATTATTACGGAATAGACAAAAATAAAAATAGTATCAATTGTGATGAAACGGAGAGGAGAACATTCTTAGGCCCGGTTCAGACAAGATTTTTAGAATTTTGAAAGTATGAAAAAAAAAAAAAAAAATTTGTAAAAAATATATTTGATGTCATAATTTTTTTAAAAAAATAAATAGTATCAAATAAATGAAAATTTATTATGTAAACAAGGCCTTATACTTGTGAAAGGCATCATTAAGCAGCAAAATTGTTTATAATCGGAAAATTTGCACTATTATTCCTCATTATTTAAAAACTGTACAATAAAATGATAGATGCTATTACTATTTGACTACTCCAACTTTGGAGATTTTATACAATATTTTAAAAAAATCGATAGAATAATAATGCTTAATTTCTAAACAATAATGAGAAGGGTGCAAACTTCAAGTTATAAGCAATTATGTGAATTGAGTGTGATATTAATTGGTCCACAATGCAGCCGGTCCATTTTTATATGGAGGCATGGAAGCTCCAACATTTTTCAAAATGACAAAATCAATCTAACAACTACTCCTATTTTGTTTATAGAAAACAATAAATATTTCCAAAATATCTGAAATAAACCCAAAACAACAAAACAAAATAAAATAAACGTTTAGGTTTTAAATTAGGAATGAAAAGAAATAAGCTGATCAATGAAAATGCGCAGTGTTTTTCACAAAGACCAGACCAGACAACATTTTACCGAGAACATCCAAAACTACCAAATTGGAGTAAAATTCACCCAATAATAGCACAGGCAGTTGCAAAATATTTTGCTAGGTATAACACAATCAGTCCCAAACTGGTAATAATAACCATAACTACCAGACCAGATAAAAATAAAATAAAATAAAATAATATTCGGGCATACCGGTAGTAGCAGGTACAAACTTAAACTTCATACCCTTCTTCCCTTATAATCTGCATCGGTGACCCCATCTAACTGCGGTCGTGTCGCCTGGTGAGAAAGACAAGCCCGGATAAATAAAAGCATCGACATTGAAATGACAATAAAGACGGCATAACAAATGGAAGGCAAGTATTCATACATATAACAATAATCGAGTAATGCATCAATACGAATTTTCAGCACATTTTGGATTATTTAATCATTGTTAGGTCTTGTCTAGTTATAGTGATTGTGAGGAATTATGTAAGTGATTAAATAAATTTTATCCTTATGTGTAGGGTGGCAGATACAAAACCTGTGTCGATCATATTTCCGGGTGTGTTCTCTTGACCGGGACCGAGGTCTAAGGTTACTTCTTGAGTCGTAGTTGCGAGAATGGTCTCTCTCTCTTTCATGCGATCGATCATAGTCACGGTCATAATGCCTGTTGCGATCTCTGCCCCGGCGGTCATAATCCCTCCCACGTTCGTGGCTACTGCCTCTATCATGGTCCTTGCCCGTGTCCCTATCATGGTCGCGACTTCTCTCATCTCTTACCCTGAACAGAAGCAAGAAATTTTCAGTCCCGGGTCACCAGATATCGTAATTGAAAATTCAAAAGTACCTCCTCTCTTCTTCATTGGCCTTGCGTTTCTTGTCCCTCCCTTCCTGGCAATATTTTTAAAAAAATGAAGCTAATACGAATTCGGAGCTCCTCTCATTGCAAAATAAAAGCAAGAAAATGAATTTGAAGATATGCATATCAAAGGCAAGGAACATTACAGTCTCTTCATGCAATTTCCGATTTCTGATTTGTTGAGCAAGCTTATCATGTGCTAGCATTTTTCGTCTATATTGGCTTACACAGAGTTTGGCCAAAGATCACATAGCATATGCCACGAATTATATGACAACATATAGTTAGAGAGAGGGTAATTTCACACTTCATATGGCACTTGGACTTTGGAGATGGTCGCAAAAATCTGTTACTTTATGAGAAAAGATAACTTTTTTACAGACTTATCAAGAGGATCATAAGACCAAGACAGTGTGAGGCAGAAAGTATCCGCCACGAAAATATGCACTCTGAAGGAAACCTCAATTCTCATAACCCGTCCATTCCATTCAAACTCTTGCTTATTTAAGTAGATTATATATATATGTGCAAATTTAAGTGGATTAAAAGAAGGCTGAAGCATGAAGAACTATATCATATCTCTTGCTTATTCTTACATGAATATGAAGGAAAAATTATTCAAGTAGCAGGGATCTAATTTCAGAAACGAAAGCACCCACTAAACAATGCCAACCATACCCTATACAGAGATATATACCTTCACAAATCAATGCCAACCATAACCTATGCAGAAGAAAGATGGGAACACCAAAACTTATTGCACTTTTGTCGGTTAAGACAAACACATATATGTTCCTAATTTTTACTTTGTCAAAGTTCCTCTCAAGCTAGTAAACCTTATTGTTAAGTCCAGATAAAACTTTAAACAACTGATTCTTCTTAGAAGTGTATAACTATGTCTGCGAGAAGCTAAAACAGAAAACCATCATAACATAATAAACAAACTGCCTGCAGCAAACTCAGCTTCATGCTTCATAAATCTTGAGCAAGTTACAAATGAACAACGATCCTCCATCAATAATCAATCAACTTTGAGTAACATAAAGAGAACATATGAATGAATGCGTATGGATAGTGAACAGCAGGCATACCTGAAGCTCAGCTAACTTTTCTCGAATTAGCATATAGCCTAAGTGGAGCTTTCCACCAAAATGATCTGCTAATCGGCGATCACTGGAAACCAAATATGTAAATATATTTTGTCATAGAAATCTTAAGGCCCTATGTAATGAAGTGATTTGGATTGAAATCTGAAGAATCCCAAAAGATTTTCTAGCTACTGTAACATGATCTATAAACATGAAACAAAAAATAACGCACATTCTTTAGCTGCAAAAGTTATCCTCGAAAAACTGGGCCCAAAAAAGCCTGTTGGTGACAAGGAGGTATTGTCGGTCAAACAATGAAGTACCCAAAACTCTTGAAACTACTTTTTCATTTTCACAACAGGAACTACGTTGTTTCAATAGAAAATCTAACAACCATTTACCTGTCATAAACACTCAAGAATGCTCCACAAATGTCACAGACCCGAAGTTTTTGATCAGTCTGCAAGTAACAACTGTATCAGACTCATATTAAGCAATCCCAATCATTCTTCCTGTTTTCATGTTAGGAACAGCATTGCTACCATGACAACAGAAATGAACAATCTGAAACAAATTATGCAGATACGATATCAAAATGCCATTATGTATGTTAAAAAAAAAAAAAAAAAAAAAAACCATTATAATACAGTAAATTCAACTAACAGGTTCCTGCCTTTCTGGCAGTTGGCAGTAACATACTAGAGTCTAAATTCTCAAGAAGCCAGAGGTAGACTTACAATGCGAACATCAGCAGCCGTGTACTTAGATGAATCTATCACAGGTTCATGTCTGGCTGGCAGCTGATAAAATAAAAACACATGTAAATGACAGTGTTTAAAGAGAAAATTGACTTCAATAAAATAAACCATTGTAAAGATACATGCTTAAATTCAATCATGCAGAACTTGGCCAGCTTAACAGAGAGACAGACAGTGCAGCTAAGGATTGCCATCAAATTGTATCTGCACCTTGGCGCAGCAAGCAAAATGATATTTGTTTAATGAGATGGTAATTACCTTCTTCAGTGCTTCAGCCTCCTCCAATGCTTTCTGTGCTTCATCGACCATTCCTTGTTCACCTAAAAAACACATCAAAACACCATAATCAAGGTAGGTAATGTTCATACAACCAAAACACTATTCCTTGTAGCACATAAGGAAAACCAAAAGAAAGAATTAACTTCCTAGAAATTTTTTAGGTCTAGATGTATATCAAGTTCAGATGACTACATATGAAGTTCAAAACCCAAAGACACGTCTAGCTCTAGGCACATGGAGTTTTGGTGACTAAAATATACAGATTAATTTCTTCCATTAAAATCACATCACGTCAATGTTACACTATATTCACAACATACATACATCACATTTTCATAATGCATGTCAATCATTTAATTGCAAACAGCATGTCCATCTTACCAAGATCTTCTGCTTTCTTGAGCTTCTCATTTATCATTTCTTGTATGTGCGGGTCTGGCACAGCAGCTGGAGTAACTTGAGAAGCATTTACCAGGGGCTGAGGAAGAGATGCACGATCCTTGTTGAAAGCATCCAAAAGAAGCATTGCCTGGCATTCAATTAAGCAGAAAGTTTATCCACTGCTGCCTTGTTTTCAATGAAAACATAAACTATGATAGGTGCCATGAAGCCTTTAAAACCTGCATATCTGCTCTTTTAATTCTTAGTTCATCAACCACTTCCAGGGCTCGAATCTTCATGTCCATTTTTCCTTCGAGGTCTATAAAATCAGATCGTGCAAAGCAAATTGAATCAGGTGAATGTCTATTTCTCTTCTTAAATTCTTTATAACAGTATTTGTAGATGGCGCACAGCGCAGGGCCTGTACCATCCCATGGCAAATGGTGCACACTACAGCTTCTAATATATATTTTTAATTATACATAACACACACATACAGATATATATATATATGCAATTAATAACACATGTTTCAACAAACTAATATAATTATTCAAATATCTTATGTTTTTTAAAAACAGAACTATTAAAATAAATTGAATACTATTAGGAAAAAAAAAAAAATACCAGAAACAATATATATATATATATATAGACATATATAAAAGAAACCAGTTTACACAAACAATTGTAACAGCAGCTGCAAGCTGCCTTACCTGGCAGGAGACCATCAGCGCAGTGGGAAGCAGAAGAAAGTGTGAGGGCCAAAAAGGTGATATGAAAATAAGGAGGGAAGATGGCGGCCTAGGAGCCAGAGGAACTTAGAAAGAAAGATAAAGTAAAACTAAGCATATCCTTATTAATTACAAACAAAAACAAGGATGTTTGCTGTGTTTTGGTTTGTATTGGGAATAGTAAAAATTTGAATTCAAATAATTGTTTGTTGTGAGATAAAAAGGTGTTTGATGTAATACTTTGACTAGACAAAAAAACTTAAATGCAAATAGGTGTATTATTTGATGTTTTTTCGGGAAAAGAAAAGATAAGTTACTATAGAGGAATAGTAAGTGTTGTTTGTTGAAAACATGGCCCACCACCCTTACTCGTTAACCCTAATAAGTAAAACTAAATAACATGAAAATCGTGCTCTTTGCCACGTGTCATAGAATTCATCTCTTAGTGTTGCAAATCTCAATATAGAAAATGGCACAGAGGCTGCACCATTTGCGCTATATGCCATGGCACGCCACTTACAACTGTGATCAAAGATCTGATTTCTATAAAAGACCATGCCATCTAGGAAATGCTTTCTTGCACATATCAAGATATTGTGTAATGACTGCATAATTAACCTCCACATATACATGTTTACCATAAGATCAGCACCATCAACAAAATAATTAACAGGCTTACCAGATTGATCAGCTTCTTTCATTTTTTCTTTAATTTGCTTAGACAGCTCAATAATCTCTGGTGTCTGCAGTTCCACTATATTTATCAGCACTGCTACAAATGACTTAAAGGAGGGAAAAGGGTGAAGACATATATACCAGGGTAACTTCTGATACAGAGATTGCAATAGCTGCCTTAGCATCCTCTTCATCAAGTCTCTTCAATGCCCTTGCAATCTTTCGATCACACTCAACAATAAGTCTGTCAATGTTATCCTCCAAATCTCTGTCGTAATTGTCAAGACCCTTTGCCCTAGCCTCTTCATATCTGAATATGAGTTAAGAAAACAAAAGAAACCCTTCGAGGCACATCAAATAACAACTCCATCTCATAGAAATACCTTATGGAAAAACAGAGATTAGGGTTTATTTTCTAGGACTCTTCTAATTGCAAGCAAAAAACCCCTTGTAGCCCCAACTATACCTGCCAATTATGACTGATTTCCATGGCCACAAGAAAGAAGAACGAACATAAAATGGTATATTTTCCATATAAAGGATACTCTTTCCTCAACGGCAATGAGTGCACCTTGGGGCATGGTCCCTTATCCATTTTCTACACCGCAATGAATAAAAACAATATTCAATTAAAAAATACACCCGAGAGCAAACATTCGTGAATTTCACAGAACAAACACTTATTTTCTCAAACTAAACTGCACGGGAACTTCAAATTATTTCATAATCAACAGCAAAAATACCGAAAGAAACATTAACATAAATCACAACTCAACTTCTAGCCCTAACAGCACCTCCCCATGATCATGCTTTCTCCAAATCTTATAGAAAGATAAAAACATATATATATATATATATATATACAAGGCTAAAGTAAAAATTAAATGCATCCAGAGAGATATGTGTAGTAGCACTAGTGGACGCCGTCGAATACATACGGTGAGCTGAAAAAGTTCGTGAGGACAGAGGCCGGCAAGGAAGAGGCGGCAGACGTCGCGATCGAAGTACTTCCGAGTCACCTCCTCGGCGTCGCCGTTCCGATTTGCCCCCATCAGAACATCGAGCTGCTTCCTCAGCGCATCCATGGCTTCTTCCGCCCTACCGAATTCGGATGCTGATTAACTCTGGGATTGCGCGTAGATTAGGGTTTGGAGTGGGTTTTCATTTTGTGGTTTTTTATTTTAGATATAAAAAATGGAATGCATGGAAGTTTATAAAAAAACAATAATTTCATTTTGGCCCCTGATGTGCGTGGAAATATCTAATTAGTCCCTGAATGAGTGAATGTACTGTATATTTTTAGTTTTGGTGTTTTCTTCTAGCAAAAAATTAGATGATATATATCATATCAATTCATTATTTTTATAGTAAAAATTATTTTTTATCTCATTCAATATTAAAATTATTAATTTTGCTTCAATTCAAAAAATTATCAATTTTAATCTCACTTAAATGAAAATTTATCAATTTTAGTCCCAAAATGATTGACTATGACTGAACACGGCCGTGTTGTCTTGAACACGGACGGTCGTGTTGGATGACTCAGAAGGTGACCGGGCGTCCCAGGCAGCCAACACGACCGTGTTGATTACCTTGCACTTCTGAACACGGCCGTGTTCCTGCCCGTGTTCTTGTGTTCTCAACATAGCCATGTTCTAGGCCTGTTCATGTTCTCAACACAGCCATGTTCTAGGCCATATTCACGACCATGATTTCAATATAATTATATTGTAAGTCATATTTATTATTTTTTTCCCTTTTTTGTTAAAATTATTTGATATATATATTTATAATTTAACAAAAATATTTTTTACAATTATTTTATAATATAAAAAATAATCAATTTTTAATATTTTTAAAATATATTTATAAATGTAAAAAAATGAATGGATCGAACATGAATAAATGATTAATCTAACAAATGAGAGTTTTAGCCAGTGAGAATTCATGAAAAAATTATTTCTGATGATTTTTTTTTTTAAAAAAAATTATAAATTATATACGATAAAATCATATTTTAGTATAATTTTTTAAAAAACATTGTAAAAAATTAAATACTTGAATAATAAATAAAATATAATTTTTATAAAACTAAAATAATATAATATAAATAATTATAAATATTAAATAGTACAATAAAGAATAAAAAATAAAAATATATATAATACAACATCATTTCTGTCAACTTTTCTGAATATATGAGATATCACAAACACCGAAAGGGTGGCCGAGCGATGCTGAGGAAGATGCAGACGGATGCCGAATCGGGGGCGTTCCAACGCAGAGAGGCTAGCGAAGACCCTTCAAGACGTTTGGAAACCTTGTAGAATATTCTCGAACATTCTAGATGTTCCACGAAAGAAATGAAAATAAAAAAATAAAAATGATTTATTTTTTAAATTTTATTTATCTAACTAAAAAATAAAAAAATAAAAATGATTTATTTTTTAAATTTTATTTATCTAACTAAAAAATAAAAAAATAAAAATATTTTAATTTATCTGCTGCCAATTTGCTGTACCAAATACGTCATAATATATTTTATATTATATTATTTTTGAAAAATAGTAACTAAAATAAGTGCTGAAATAACAACAATAATTTTTTTTCCTTATTTAGGCGTCAATATATAAAATAAACAAACGAATCAGCCTGGATCAAAGAGCTTGCAATGGCGGCCAGATACTCCTCCATCTCCGCCCTCGTCGTGCTTTCTCTATCCCTCTTCCTTGCAACTGCCGTCTTTGCCTTCCAGTCCGACGAGCTTCTAGTCGACGACGAGGAATTTGGCCTCGAAGGCGGCCGATCTTCAGATTCAGTTGCCGATAGCCGACCGGTTTCCACTCCGTCTGCTCGCAAGCGCTCCTCGGATTCGAGCTCCGATCCGGACTCCAAAATACAGTTTTTGTTAGAACATGCGTTCGGAGACTCTGATTTCTCGCCTGCCGGCACATTCTCTGCTCGAGTCAAGACTTCGTCGCATGGCGGCCAGGTATATTGTAATTTGTATGTTTGCTGAAGAGGTTTGAGCGTAAGCGCCTGTAACCGTTACTGTTTGACTTGCTCTGATGTTATAGATGATGCAGTCTTGCTTTATTATTGGATTCACAAATGTGTTGTTTTTAGATATTGGAGATTCTCCGGAAGTTTTTCTCGTGCATTTGCTTTTCGCTATGAAGAAAAATGTTAGGGTTTCGACACTTTCTCTACTCGACATTTTGATTTTCCCATTTCCTTAAATTTTTTTCGCTTCTGTTATTAGATTTTGATTTTGATTTGGTTTTTTGGTGTGTGTTACACGCGAAGGAGGGAGAAAAAGAAAATCCTTAAGGAGAATAGTGTTGACGATGCTTGTTGGGTGTGTAGTGTAGTTGCTCGACTATGTAATTGGAAAATCGATGCATTTGACTTGCCCACAACCAAAAGCAGCTGGTCCTTTATCTTACAGAGTTCGACGGTACTCTGTTATGGTCGAGTCACAGTAATTATTGAGCAGTATTAGAGTTAACTCTGCAAAATTTGGGCTCGAAGTTTTAACATGAAATGTGATTCTGTATTAGCTTGTTACTTTTGTTTTAGAGTCTGAATATTAACTATATGTGCTCATTACAGACTCTTACAAAGCTTCGGTTCTCAAGGAATCCCTTTGACGAGGCAGAGAAGGAAAATTTTAGGGTAATTTTTTTTATTGAAAATTTGATCATGGAGTTTCTGCCAATGGAATATAATGAAATTTTGTGAAATACTCTGCAGAGTCTTCTCAAGGAAGACGACTTTTATAGAGTAAGGCTGCCCTCTAATGTGTTAGGCCTGCCTGGTAAAGGGTATGCTGTGTCTTCTGTAAAGGCGGTAAGTATAAAAATAAATTTGTTCCCTTCACGAAAGATTGTTGCATGTTTATATGCTACTGTGTTGTAGCTGTATGTTGATTGCTGCATTGATTGATATTACAAAACAGTAGTTTGGAGTAATATTTTATTGCATGTTATTTCTTCTATTTTTTTTGGATTTTCTAACGACTTGTTGGAGCTGTTCGATGCAATTTAAAGTCGTAGTAAAAAAATCCTTTTTGAAGAGGTACTAGAATCAGTTATTTATTGCTTAACTCAGGTCTTATTGACGGTACCATGTTATTGGTGAATTCTTGTTTATAATAATATGGTAAAACTGGGCTTTCTACAAGCAGCATTACATGTTCTAGCACAAAACCAGTGTTTCTTAAATTTTTTATGCTGTCATGTGACATTCTGACTCATTGGTATCTAATGCACGCAATCTTACCATGGATTAAGATACCACCTATTACTCTGTCATTTCAGGTTATAATGATCAGTTTAATTGTTTCTATGGTCTGTTACTTCTTCTGTTGTATGTATGTGGGCATCGACTTTGAAAATGGGCGATTATGATGTAACAATTAACGAAGAACTTCTTTTCTCGCAGAGATGTCTTCTACGGGATGCACTAGATGAGTATTTTGTCATACACATGGTAATAAATTCCTAATGAATAGAATTTATGTGGAAACTAAAGTTGAATATTCACTGCACATGTCAGTCAATTTATTATTATAGTATGCCATGGAAAATTGGAAACGTAGTTGACATTACACTTTCTGTTGGATAAACAACTTCTATCACTTCATTTTCAAATTCTGGGCCAATGGTATAGTTATTATCTCCTAGATTCATCATGAGCTGTTTTTATGTTGTATCTAGACTGTATTGAGATATTTTATATATGCTTCTTAATCTTATAACCGAGCAATTATTTGATAAAAAATTCCGTTAAGAGTGGTTCAATCTTCTTTCCCGTGAGGTACAAAAACTGGGGTTTCCAGCTTTAATGAATTTCTGGTCACAGAAGTTTTATGTAATATGATCTTGATTTACTAACTGCTGCTGTGTTTATTGTTACTCCGCTTAATTTCATGTGTTATTTTTCTGTAGGAAGGTGTAAACATATTGGCTGTGAATTATGGTTCCCCGGGATCATGCCAGTATCCACGCCAATTAAAGCTTGTAAGTTGTCCCACTCAAATCATTTCCAATGCCAAGGGCTACTTCCAGTTCATGTCATTTTAGCACTGATTTGGCTTCTTTAATTTTCTGATTGTCCAGTCCCCGACAATATGTAATTCCTTTCTTTTATTTTAATTTCAGCCTTCAAAATGGTCTTTTAAGTCGCATACAGTCTTGAAGAACAGCGAACAAGCTCCTAGGTAAATCTCATCTCTATAGATCTGAAGGATATATATTTCTTGGGTACCTCAAACCCCCCCCCCCCCCCCCCCCCCCCTTCCCCAAGGATTATGTGTAGTTTATTCAAAGCTTTGTAACACACCTCCACATGGCTATTTTTAAGTGTTTATGCTGGGGCTGCAAGTCCCATATTGCACTTTTTAATTACAGAATTAGAATAATTGATGCAGCCACTGCGGATCTTCTACTGGTATCAGTATCTTCTTAAGACTCTTTAAGCGATTCAAGAAGAGAGGAATAGGGTTACTATATTCTCGATTTTGAGCTTGTGTTTTGAGTTTTACATGTACTATAACTAGGGGTACTATTTTTGAAACAGAACTCCAGTTTTTACAGCAGAAGCTGACGAAAGTGTCGAGGGAGAGGAACTGAAGCCACCAGAGAAGTCGTTCTGGGCTAAATATGTATGTAGAAAAACATTATACCTTCTTGCTCTAAGAGACTCAAGACAAATATATAAAAAATTAAATAATAACGATCATTTCTGGTGCTTGGTTCTCCATTTGCAGTGGATGTATTTGGTCCCTCTTGGATTCATTCTCATCAACGCCATGACTCAGGCCATGAACATGGCCGAGGAACCGGGTAATGGCCAGGCAGGTGCACAAACACCACAAGTGGCGGCAGGACGTGGCCAGGCTGCTCCTGTGCGAAGAAGATGAACATTTCCTACAATGTTCAAGAAGCCGCTCATCATTTGGTACGCCCCTTTTTCGTGATCGAAATTTGTATGAGCATATTGAGTTAATTCCACAGCCAAATATTATTCTCTCATGCATAATGATTGTAGATTAGCTTATTTGAACAATTTTTACCGTAGTCTTGAGGCCTATTACAAAAATCTAGGTTGCGTTGTAATTGTTATGTGATTTAAATAGTTATTTCATACGATGAATTGACTATAACGATTTTTTTTTTTTTTTTTTGGTGTGTGTAATCTATTAAATAAAAAATAGGTATACGATGTGATTTGTATACTCCTTCTGTCAACATATAAAGTAAACATTTATTTTTGGCGCGGTGTTTAAGAAATAATAGTACTTTAATTATACTAGATAGTTAAAAGTAGTGTAATGATATTTTTGCCCTTATTTTTTTTTTTGTGTAAAAGTAATAATTTTATATAAAGTAGGGTATTTGTGGAAAAACGTGAGATATTTAATGAAATGTTTACTTTCTAGCTGGACGGAGGTTTATAAGAATCATCACATCATATATAAAAATAACACGTGTGTGTAACATAGAGTGTGTTATTGAATGTGATGTTTCTTTTAAAAAGGGAATTGTTGAAGCACGGTGCTATATTTTCGTTTAGATCAAGAGTGCCTGGATATTATGAGAATCTAATCTACCAACCTTGTGTTGGATTTTGATAGATTTTTGGCAGCATGAAGTAGAGAACATCTCCCGATCCTCGTATTCCCTCCCTCATTGGTCGGCAAAATCACTTTTGAAGTGAGCTATCTATTAAGTTTTTCTGTAAGTCGAACATCGTCGATAGAGTCGCATCATCTTTCAGGTAGAACTATGTTCAATTATTTAGCTCTAACTGTCTGTCTGTGGGGATGTTTTTGAAGTTTTGAACTTCACCACATATGTCTGTATATCATTGAAGCTTGAATCAATTCCAATGTTCATTTTTGGACTATTTCAACAAAAACACCTGTGTTAGATCAGTGGTCGATTTTTTTGAAATGTTGGGGTGTGATTGTTGTGTTTTGATTTGAAAAAAAAAAAAGAAAAAGAAAAAGATTGACTAGCTATAGAAAATTGTATAAATAATATAAAAATAATGAGTGTATATGGTATATTAATTTTTACTTTTAGGAAATTTTGAAAAAAAGAAACAAACCTATTTTATATTATTTTCAAGGCAAAAATTATTATTTTTTAAATAAAAGTATATAGTTATTTTTTTACATTAAGATTTTAAAATAGCAAAATAAATATATTAATAATACCTTCACAGTTTTTTTTAATCAATAACAAAATTTGTTAAAAATTTTAAACTCTAAATAATATAGTTGAATATTTTTAAAATATAATTAATTATCAAGTGACAAACACATTTCAAAATATAAGTATCATTCTTTTCAATTAAATTAAAGGGTGTGTTAGTTTTTATTTCAAATCAAAACCAATTAGTCCTACATTTCAATAATAGTAGTGTTATTTTCACAAATAAAATATTACTTCTTCCGTCCCTTAAAATCTATCAGTTTTTTCATTTTGATTTTACACGTAATAAATATCTATTTTCTTTTTAGTAATTGTATTATTTATTTAACATTACAAATATAATTTTAATTTACAATATATTACATAAATGTCATTATGTATTAATAATAGTTTAGTCTTACTTTTATTTAAATTACGTCTTATTCTAATATAATAAAACTCTCTAAAAAAAAACAAATGATAGATAAATATGACACAGTGATTAAAGTATTTTAATATAACAAACTTTCATAATAATAATAAAAAAAACTAATATGACTTGTATGATGGTGTGGGTTTTAAACCCAAAGTCCCTAGATTCACATGATTTGTAAATACATGATTTGTTGTTAGGCATAAAAAATATTAAAATATATATATATGTATGTAAAATTTTCCGATAAAAAAAAAATATATATCTAAAATTCATAATTAATCAGCTTATCTAAAATATCATTGGCCATATTTATTATTAAAAATTTATTATTTTCAATAATTAATTTTATTATTTTAGAATCATTATTTACTCTCACTAGTCACGAATTATATAAGGGTGGTGTGTTTGTTTGAGTGTTTGGATTTTGAATTGAGATTTGAATAGTAAAAATTTTAAATTTGAATAGTTGTACGATGTGATATAAATAAGTGTTGATGTGATATTTTTTGAATTTAAAATTAATTTTTAGTATAATATAAAAAATAAAAAATAAGTTTTTGATTTGATATTTTTGGGAGAAAAAATTGAATAAATAGTGTAAATCCAATTCAATCCCCGGAACAAACACACCCTTAATAGTAAAACTACTGTTAAACCAAACCAAAACAAATCCATTAATTACCATTATGATAATTCTTAAAAAACCATTTAAACACGGAGCAAAAAAAAATCAAGGCGCCAGCAAAACGACGTCGTCCGCCTGACCGTTTAGCAGCGCCTTTTGTGTATTTGAATTTTTTAGTAAACTAAAATGTGAACGTTACCCCACAGAATTCACAATCTCCCTTTTCGTGTCTATCATTTCCATTTTTTCAAACTCGGAGTTCCCTCTCTTTCTCTCTCGCTCTCGTCATCGTTTTTTGGATTCAGCTCCACCATCTAATCCGAAGAATCTTGTGCTCATACTCGTTTCCAGGTGGAATAATTCTCCTCGATTCGCCGCCGGTGTTGTTTATTCATTTGATTTTTTCAATTTTAAGCACATATATTTTGTAAGTATGTTTTTAGTCGATCTTACTTGTATTGTGAATTTGAACTGGATTTTTTTGTAGTAGAGTGAGGATTTTTGTTCTGATTTCTCGATATCTGCTTATTTTGCTGAAGAAACCATGGGCGTCGAAAACTATCATGTAATACAGCTTGTGGGGGAGGGTTCATTCGGTAAAGTGTACCGAGGCCGCCGCAAGTTCAGTGGGCAGGTTGTGTTTTAGTTTAGTTTCTAATTTGATTTGAATAATTATTGATGCGATTTGATTGATTATACTGTGGTTGGGATCAACAGACGGTCGCGATGAAGTTTATACCTAAACATGGGAAAAGTGAGAAGGACATCCTGAACCTAAGGCAGGAAATAGAGGTATAGATGGATTTCTTGTTTATATATACACTGATTCACTGATTGTAAATTTTTATCTCTATATATATATGCATTTGTGTGCTATTGAATTTGTTGCTATTCGGTAATGTGGAATTAACTTGTTTCGCTGAAAAGTATTTATGTGATTCTAAGAAATAATGAGGATGGAATTATTGCTTTTGATAATGCCTGTGTGTACTATAAGGGTGTGTTCGTTTGTCAAATTTTAACAAAATTCTACTATTCATCCAATTTTTTCCCCCCAAAAACATCAAATCAAACATCTATTTTTCATTTTTTATATTATACTAAAAATTAATTTTACATTCAAAACATCACATCAACACCTATTTATATCACATCATACAACTATTCAAATTCAAAATTTTTACTATTCAAATCCCAACTCAAAATTCAAACCCCCAAACAAACACACCCTAAATATATCTCTCTTGTAATTTTATTTTTTGCGATATACTGTGTTAAGAGCGGCCAATTTTTCCAAAATTTTATCTCAAGATGTTTACTCTTTAATTTGGAGTTTGTTTGTAGGGAAATGAAGCATTATTTGTTTGAGGCTGTCTTCTGAAGTTGAAGAAAACTGGATTCGACATTTCATGTTCTTTTATCTATCTTCTTTTGTATTACATTTTAATATAACTAATCTGCCCAGCTATAGATGTTGTCCTCAATAAATAGATGTGTGTGTGTGGTAGTGATTGCTTATCTTTTTTCAGTTGAATTAAACTAGTATCTGGGTGGAAGATTCTACTTTATACACGGTTCTTTACTGCAAAAGTGGAAAACATCTCTCATGCTTTTATACTCCAAAGTGATTGCTTGTTTTTACACCCCTGTTTTCCTTTTTTCCTTCCTCCATTCCAACTCTTTATATTTTTTTAATAATGACACGAGTGAACATTGATATTTGCATGTTGTGGTCATGTAACTCATTTGTTGCCTTTTGTAGTTGTTTTGTTATAAGTTTTTGGGTGTTGATATTATGTTTCAAAGCTAATTTAGCTACTTTTGTTTCATGCAGATTCTTAGAAAACTGAAACACGAGAATATTATTGCAATGCTAGATGCATTTGAGAGCCCACAGGAGTTTTGTGTTGTTACAGAATTTGCACAAGTAATTATAACTGTTCCCATTTACCCACAAATAATTCTTCTTTATAGATCTTAATTTCTAGGTAACTGCTGATGCATTAGTTGTTAGTTAAGAAGATCTATCTTTTACAGGGCGAGCTTTTTGAAATTCTTGAGGATGACAAATGCCTGCCTGAGGAACAAGTACAAGCAATTGCAAAACAACTGGTAAGCATCAGACATTGCTTCTGCATCTTTGGCCGGGAGGGTTGTAATGTTTTGACTTTGTATGAAATCTTATCATTCAAATAGCTGAAGTGGTTTCAAAATGTTTCAAGTTATGATTATATTACTTGTTAAATTGTCAGGTGAGAGCATTGCACTATCTCCATTCAAACCGTATAATTCATCGTGACATGAAACCACAAAACATCCTCATTGGTGCAGGATCTGTTGTTAAGGTACTGAATGACAGTAAAATTCATTGTCTGTATCTGTTCATTTCATGTATTTGCTTTCTGAACTGATTCTTGAAAGAAGATACTGATATTTCCTTAAATATTACACTCAAGCATTTATATATAGCTTCCATCTTTGATTTTCCTGAACTATTCTTGTTTAATTCCCCTAGTAACCCAGAACAATTAATAAAACATCTGAGTTTGTTGCTTTCGTTTCTCATCCTTAAACAGCTTTGTGATTTTGGTTTTGCCCGGGCTATGTCTGCAAACACGGTTGTCTTGCGCTCCATTAAAGGTAACATTATAGTATCTAAATTTCTACTGATATTTTTGCTTTGCTATTGTTGCAAGCAATCACTGTTGACTGCTTTTTGAATGATTTCTCTGACCTTTTGATTTGTATTGATTATTAGGAACTCCTTTATATATGGCCCCAGAGTTAGTACGAGAACAGCCATACAATCACACTGCTGATCTCTGGTCCCTTGGTGTTATTTTGTAAGGCATTTTTTGCTTTCCATGGTAACAATAGATGACTAGTACATACTTCTTGTGAGACACAAAATATTTTGTCAAGTTTTTTTTGTATTTATAGAAATTGTTGGTTTCAGTTTTTAGTCTTAATATGCCCTTCTGCTTCTGCCATCTAATTACACATTTGTTTATCTAACATTATAATCCTTGTAATCATGCAGGTATGAACTTTTTGTTGGGCAACCTCCATTTTATACAAATTCTGTGTATGCACTCATTCGACACATCATTAAGGTAATGTAATGTTTTTCACTCTTCAGTTTTTATAAGGTTAATGTGTTTATTGATAAGGGTTAATGTGTTTGTAACAGGATCCAGTTAAATATCCAGAAAACATGAGCCCAAATTTTAAAAGTTTCTTGCAAGGTTTGCTGAATAAGGTAATGTTTGCACAGGTTGATGCTTGTCAAATAAGCTCCATATATTCATGATTTCTGACTTTATCTTTATTGATGGTAACAGGTTCCTCAAAATAGACTTACATGGCCAGCTCTTCTTGAACATCCATTTGTTAAGGAAACTCCTCCAGAAGTTGAGGTGAGATTGGATACTTATCTGTATAAAGCTACTTGTAGAAGTCTTGGTTTCTGATAAATAAATCCAGCTACTTGTTTTATATGTTATATGTCCAGGAGTCACACTTGCTTACAACACCATCCCCTAGATGTGATTCAGGACTGAAGCAAGAAAGGAAAGCCCAGAAGGCAGCTGGAATTAATGTTGCAACTCCAGAGGGTAAGTCCACTGTTATTCTTAACATGCCAATGCAAGTCCAGACAATTGTAAGGGGAAGTATTTAGTGAAAAAATATATGTGAATGTAGGTCCAAGTGGTTCTCCTGCTGGTAGTGAAGCTGGAGTTGTTCAGTGCTCTCCAATCAATCCCCATTCCAATAGATGTAACTCTAAAATAGAAGATAATACTATTCCAAATGAGGAGTTTCCAGGTTTCCTTAGTCAGGGTGGTGTTGTACAGACAGGTAATATGAAGCTTTTTTATTTTCCCATCAGTCTTGCACTTAGCATACAGTATTCTAGAATTAACATGATTCGGTTGGTCTATTCACACTTGTCTTCCATCTCATTGATTTTTATTTTGTAACCACTTTCCCTGTAGGATGATGCTCCTAATGATTATTAATTGATTTAGAATTATGAACTTTTAAAAACCTCGTAGTTTTTGTTTGTGCAATTAGGGACAAATGTAGGAGCAAAACAGTAAAATGAATTTTTGAATGATATAATTGAACATTTTGACCTCTAAAAGACAATACATTTGAATTTCAAGGTTTACCCCAACTACTATGGAGGGTGCTTTTGTAATTCTAATGAATTTTCTTTTATATTTAGGTTGCCAAGTGTTGGATCGCCTGGAGAATAATTCCCGCACAAGTAAGGGAGCACATATTATTGGTCAAGACAATGAAGCATTGGCTACCATTTTGCTTCCATTAAAAAAACTGTGTGATGGATCACCGAAGGCTTTCAAGTAAGTTTCTCAGTATGTTTGTATCTGTTTATGCAGATCAGTTTCTTGTCAGGTATGACAAAATGCTTAATGATATTTCTTGTGCATATAGTTTTTAAGATTTTTGCCTCATAATCATTTCAGCCAAGCTGTTTATGTAAGATTTTAATGTCTCAATTTTCATATAGGGAGCAGGAGGTTATTTCTTTGAAGCAGTCTATGAGGATTCTTTCAAATTTAATTTCTGCTGAAGCTGTTAATTCAAAGGGGCTTCAGGAAGAAATAATTAGTGTTCTTCTTGGATTTACTTCTGAAATATTCCGGTTTAAAATATCAACTGGAACTGACTTGATGACAAAGGTAATACATTATTGTACCTTTTAAACATAGACTGCTTGAGTATGCTAGGATATGGGGTTAATCTGGACACTTGGTTATGTAGTTGAATTGAGACTTGTTTATTTTCTTTACTACCAAGAAGAACATCAGTAGATTTGGAGACTTGTTTTTTTTTACTACCAAGAAGAACTTCAATTATGCAGTTAAGTTAGTTCTGGTTCTTATCCATGCTGTTTGATGTCCTTTTATATTCTTTACAGAGTTTATCAATCCTGAAGAGGTTGCTGGATAACAATGGACTTGGAATTGGTGATTCATTTTATAAACATTGGGTTACTGTAGTTAATTTATACTCACAGGTTGGTTTCTTAGATAGCAATTTTGATTTTTTAAATTCTGTATCAGGAAATATCAAATGTTTTCTTTAGGCTTTCATATTTTTGAAACTCCAGGTTGTGTGTTGTAATGATGAAACATCTGCAAGACTTCTCTATGAGTGCACTTCATGTGTTGCGGTCATGTTATCTCAAGTAGCACAGTTTCTCAGAGCGTCTAAAGAGATATCTTCAGCCTCGTCAGGGGCAAGTAAAACTGTTACTCAAATTTTGGATCATGCAAAATCTTCGGGTGTTTTGGATAATTTATGCTCGTGCTTGGAATATTCTGGCTCAAGTCTCGTATCTGGATCTACAAATTTGTTAAGAGCTGCTTATGAAGCTTTCCAGGGAATTTGGTCGCTTGTTGATGCATGTGAACTCCTCTCGAAGAAATCAACCTCATTATTTCCGCTAAACTCTTTGCGAATCCCTTCTCTACTTCAACTTGACATTAATGACTGCAATGAGCAACCATTGCTTGGAAAAAATACAGGAGAAATCATGGATGTGATCACAAAAGCATTTCTCAAGTCAAAAGCCACACAGGTTGCTATTCATGTTTGCCTTCGCCAACACCAAGAAATCAGTCTCTGTTCTGTGGTGCAGGTATCTGTTGTATTTCGTGTCTTTCTCATCTGATGTGCCTTCATTTATTTGATTAGGTTTTTTTCATCCAATTACTTATATTCATTATTGTGTTCATGATTGAGATTGCCTGCATTAATCAGATTCTCATCTCACCCCTTTTCATCCATCCAAGTTATGTTGGGCACTTTGCCATATCTGCAAAATAACGACGGGTTCTCTGTATTGCAGCTTATTCACAGATGTTGCTTGCATAGTGAAGTTATGGTGAACTTTCTTTGTGGGTTGCCTAACAAACTACCTGTGACTACTGTTGTAAGTGGTGGTGGGGATAACACTATTGTTTCAGAGATCTTCTCCATATTATCATTTTGTGCTGCTTTGAGTAAAGAGACCACTGAAGCAGAAGCAGATCATTCAAGGCCCAAAATGACGGATACCCGTGCCTTGGTTATGCACTCCTGTCTTCTTCTTGCCACAATCTCTCAGAGTTTGAAATCAGCAGGAAGAAATTCCGCACTGTTTATGCTGACTACGTCATCTAAAAAGCAGGCCTCTCGGTTATCAATCCTTGCACACCATTTTTCTTCAAATGATCGGATGCAGTCCTCACTCCAACCTTCCTGTGCAGCTGCCATGCTAGCTCTTGCATCAATTCTATCTCTTGATAAGGGAACCTCAGTTGAAACTGCCATTTCTGAGATAGCTCTTCCTTTAATTCCACGAACTGCCACACTATGTGAACATCTTCGAGGTCCTGCAAATGATGAAAATGTGGTGAACATTAACATGGTGAAGAGGATGCTACCTTGCAGGCATGGCATCAGGGATGGTTCTGTTGGGTTATTAGAGTCCAGGCTGAACTGGGGAGGACATATGGCTGTGCAACAGCTATGTGCCAGTGGCACTCCACAGCTTCTCATCGATTTATTGGCCAATAATATTTCAAGTACTCAAAAAATATCGAATTGCACTCAAGATCAAATTGGATTATCACCTGCTGGAGTCGTGTGGACTATTTCTTCAATTTGTCAATGTCTTTCTGGTGGAGTTTCAACATTCCGTCAAATCATGCTAAGGCAAGAACACATTAAGTGCATCTCTGATTTAATATGCGACACTCATCTTAAGCTAATTAGGTTGTGGACTGGACCTGGTGGAGGGAAGAATGGTGTGAGAGATACCGTAAATGCAGTGATAGACCTCTTAGCATTTCCTTTTGTAGCTGTACAGAGTGTGCCTGGTGTGCCACATGCTAATGCTTCCGTGAACAGCGGTTTCCTTCTGAATATGGGATCTCCGGGTGGAAAGGTTTGTGTCGAGGACAAGGACATGATGAAAACAATACAAGCATCGATGAAAAAGTATATTCAAATTCTTCTGGAGGTCAGTCACTGAAGTCTTTCTTGATGATCTTTTTTTCTTTAATAGTTATGTAATCGATCCACCATTGAATGCATTTCTTTGAAAAATTTTGGAATAACTTAGAATTACGACACATATGATGCTGCATGCCTATTCGTCTACTACATGTACTGATTGTCAAGTTCTAGTTTATCTGATCATTAATACATTTGAATTCTGTGTCCGCCACATGCTATGGGGGTTAGCTTGATGATTACTTTTTGTCGATTCATAATGTTCATATACACAATCTATTGTTTTACCATAGACAAAATAAAAACTCACTACTCACTCCTGTTTTACAAATCCAGGCTTGGTACATTTAATTTAGATGATAGCATAGTTTGGGATGATAATAATGATACAACATGGCTATGGGCCACAGGATGCACAGACGAATATCATTTCATGTTTTCATCTTCTGGATGCAACAATTCGTGTAATATGCAGAGTTTTTTTGTGGTGTTGAATATTGTTTTATTGTTTGTCTGATGTAGTTGCTCCTTTCTTTGTAGGCTGATGTGGCAGCAACTGTTCTTCGTTGCTTGGACCACATGGAACTGAAAGACATTGCTAGGCCAGTTGCTTTTATTGCCAAATTATCTACCCAACAACCACTGGCCGACCAACTTGTAGGCAACGGCCTATTGCATCCAACCAGAGCAAAGAAGTTTCTCAACAGCGCCTGCCCAAGAGAAGTCATCCTCGACTTTCTCATGATTGTTTCGGATTTAGCTCGAACAAACAAGGTAACACGTTATTCAGGTTGCGTAAGCTCAAGTTCAAATTCAAATTTTGTGAGATATATATTAAATATTAATTTAATATCTTCCCGAGCCTAGATAACTTTTTAATATCTTTTGAGCTTGAATTTGACTCATTAGTAGGCTTTCTGAGCCGAGCCTTTAATAGATGTGCTATCGATATAGTTGTATCATCTGCTTCTGTTGTTCCATTATTTATGCAATATACAGTTTTATTCATAAGATAGTAAATGCTGCTGCAGCTGTTCTACGAATACATCGATGCAGCTGACATCTTGGAGGATCTGAAGCACTTCCTTACACACGAAGATCCTAATTTACGCGCCAAGACCTGCAGTGCTATCGGAAACATGTGCCGTCACAGTTCCTATTTTTACAGCTCACTGGTATATGAACTTGAATCAATTTTTCTCAATTTCAGGTTCCATTCACCTTTCAACTCACATTTTGGTTTTGGCTGTGTATTTTTAAGTCGAAGCATCAGATCATCGGTGTCCTTATCGAGCGATGCAGTGATCCCGACAGACGTACAAGGAAATTCGCCTGTTTTGCAGTAAGATTTCTTGCCATATTTGGTTTCTTCAGCACTTGATATTCTCAAGATCAGCAAACAAACAATCATTGACGATGAAATTTTTGTTTCCAGGTTGGAAATGCTGCCTACCACAACGATTCATTATATGATGAACTCAGAAGAGCCATTCCTCAGCTCAGAAATCTGCTGCTATCCGAAGAGGAAGACAAAACGAAGGCAAATGCTGCCGGTGCTCTCAGCAACCTCGTTCGCAACTCCAACCGGCTTTGCGAAGACATCGTTACCAAAGGCGCAATGCAGGTCATTAACTGGCATCGAGTAATTAAATCATGTCTTCCTATATATATATATATATATATATAGCTACAGATCCTCTGCTGATTCGGCCAAGTCAGCATGATGTTGATTTGACCGAATAAGCATACATGCTATATGGGTGATCAGCATATATGTTTATACATATTTCAGCATATGTTGTGTTATAAGATAGCATATGCTGAGTTATAATACTCCTTTTGTTCCAAAATAATAGTCTCATTTTGCCCCTTTTGTCCGTTCCAAAATAATAGTTTCATTTTCATTTTTAGTAACAAGCTCCCTACTTTTTTTACAAAACTATCTCCATATTTTCACAATAATTACATAAAGAGGGGGCTTTTTGTTCTTCTCGAAATATTTTTACACCGACTGTCAATATAATACTATTATTCCTTAATTCTCGTGTCAATTCCAAATGTCCCTATTATTTTGGGATCGAGGTATTATAAATATATTGAGATATGATATATACATATTATATATGTGAGGATAGAAAGATATGGTTTATTTTTGGGACAGAGGATCCCATGAAGTATATATATATATATATGTATGTATGTTACTCACTGCCCATGCTGATTTGACCATCTGATCAACCGCTAACCTATGCCCCTATATATATATATATGTATATACATTATATTGGTTTCTAAGACAAAAAAGTTGTACGTACGTTTCAGGCATTGCTGAAGGTCGTGGCGGACTGTTCGACAGTGGCGCTGAACTCTCGAAGGGATGCTATAAACGATTCTCCTCTAAAGATCGCCTTGTTTTCACTGGTGAAGATGTGTGCTTATCCACAATGCCGCCAATTCATCCGCTCCTCTGAATTATTTCCAGTCATAGCGCAGCTGAGACAGTCGCCGGAATCCACAATCGCCAACTATGCCTCCGTCATCACCACCAAAGCTTCGGAATCGCAGTAATTCAGGTACGGCAACACTGATAAGCTACCTGAGGCAGAATTGATGCTCAAATTCTTTCTTCTCCTTTCATACTTGTGCAGGAAAGGAAGATCGATCGTATGCTAAAGTGCTACGGCTTACATTCCTTACGGTATGTATGTACATAATTCTCTTGTACGGCCTCTATGAGTAATTGTTTCTCTGCGCTTCCATGTCCAATATATATCGCATCGTTCACTCGTTTATTTTCGTCTACGTTCTTTTGTAGATTTTTTTATTTTTACTATTCGAATAAATTTTTCTCCATAAAAATATGAAATATATTTTTACTATCTTCTTTCATTTTAAATCATATTGTACAATTTTTTAGGTCAGTATTTTTCAGTTATGAATTAACAATTTTATGGTAAGATAGAGAAAACATGCTCGAATAAAAATTATAAATTAATGAATAATAAAAGGTAAAATTTTTGTATAAAAATAAGATAATAGTTGTTGGATTTTTCAAATAGAAAAGTGGAAATTAGTTTGTGGAAAGAGAGTGTAGTATTTTCATTGTAATATGAAAGTTTGTTTTTATTTTTGGTGTAAAAATAATGATGTTACGGTAACATAGAAATATTTGTAAAAAAATGGAATATATAGTTAATAAAAACAAAAATGATTACTATTTTGTAATTAGACAATTCAAAATAAAAATATGTACATTTTTATGAGAAACGAAACTACTATTATACTAAAAGTTAATGTTATATTTAAAATATTATATTAATTTTTCTAGACACATGTATTAATGAATTAGTACTTCATTTATTTCAGTTAATTTGTCTATCTTCGTTGGGACTTAGTATTGTGTAATTAGTAAATAATTTTTAAAAAAATATATTAGTAAAAATAATTATAGATTAAAATGATTAAATAGCTTAATTAAAATAAAAAATATTTAAATTATGAATTTTTAAAATGTAATTAAAGTTTATAACAAATTATGCTGGATAACAAAATAGAAAAAATGAACAAATGATGTAGGACTAAGAAAGTAGTATTTAGTTTAAAGGCAAAAGTTATTTAGGGATCTTTTGAAAAATTAATTAGAAAATATATTTAATTAATCTACATGGATCAAATGTTGAACTTAATATTTAATATTTAGTTTGTGTAAGGCCAAATCATAATACTCCTTCAGTCCCATAAATAAATATACATTTGTTTTTTTGCACGAAATATTAGTATTATATTGGGATATAGTAAAAATAAAGTAGAAATGAGTAAAATAATCTTATTAGTACGTGTGATATAAAAGTAATGATATTTATGTAATATATTGTAAGTTATAAGGGTATTTGTAATGTTAGGTAGAGAATACAGTTACTAGAAAAGGAAATGAATACTTTGTTACGAGATGGACTAAAATGAAAAAATGAATACTTAGTTCCGTCCAATTAGAAAGTATGCATGTTTCTATTTTAGGACGTCCAATTCCAAAGTAAACATTTCATTAAATACCTTATTTTTTTTTCCACAAATACCTCTACTTTACATCACATCATTACTTTTACACCAAAAAGTAAAGGCAAAAATGTCATTACACTACTTTTAACTACCCACTATAATTAAAATACTATTATTTCTTAAACACCGCACTAAAAATAATTGTATATTTTTTTTTGGACGGAGGGAGTATATGATTATATTAATGATGAAAGTTGACAGTGCAAATTAGGGTGACTATTTTGTAAGACATTGTACAGAATATTTAATTCAACGCATGATCCATGTTGTTGATTGATAGGATATGATGTAACCACGATGATAAAATTATTATTATTATGTGTTAACATAGAGCTGATATTTAAATACTCTCTCCTCTCCGTCCATAAACTAATGTCCTATTTTTCGGGACGTCCAATAACTATTGCCCTATTTCTTTTTATTAAACACAAATTTTATATTTTTACCATCTGTTCATTTATTATTTTTAATCTCTACTATACAATTAAGGTCAAATCTGTCAATTCATAACAAAAAAAAAACAATCATCTAAAAAACCGTACAAATATAATTTAAGACGATAGAAATTGGAGTGAGGGAGTAGATGAAAAAAGTATTTGTTATTTATTATTGTATAAATACAAATTAGACATACTTAGGTGAAAAGTAAACACAAATTTAGTGGATATGACATTAGAATGTAGAAATAATAATAATACTAATAATTGGAAGTTAGTTTCTGTTGGAATCTAGCCATTCAAGGATGGCTTTTTCAGATTGAGTGAGATCCTTGTTGTCCTTCTGCCTTAGTGTACCCTCTATTGATTCGAAGTAATCCTTGTAGTTGCGTTTGTAGTAACTGTCCAATCTCTAAGAAACACACCATTATAGAAATGGATATGAATATGAATATGAAACTCAACTCTTAGTATGGAAATAATAAGAGTTTAACTTTACTTACTTCCTTATCGTTCTTTGCCTTGTTTTCTTGTGACTTCTTCAAATACCCTTGGGAATATAAGAATAATTAGAAACAATTCCCCATACAAGATTATAACTTGAACCAAACAATATAACGTCTGTTTCTTTAACATTTTCTACTTATAAAATACAACATTAACCTCATCTCCATAGTAATTTTACTCCAATCGTAACTATATTTTTCACTATTATTCTTCAAGTATTCAATTTTTCTTATTATTTTAAACAATTTTTTATTTTTATAATTTAAAATAATTTTTTTTAAAAATTTAGAAAAATAAAAAATAAATTAAAAAATTAAAATTTAAAATTTTGAAAAATTTAATTTAATTTAATTTAATTTTTTTTTTTTAAAAAAAGGAAGCAACACCAAAATATGGCGTTGCTACAGTACAATTGGCCAAACAATAGTGCTGAATCTCCAACCGACACCAAATCATCCATTGGCTCTTGGTTGGAGATGCCCTAAATACTATTTAGATTCTATATTTTTTGAAAAAAAATATTTATTTTCGTAACATCTCAAATCAAACATTCTTTTTGTACAAAACTTAAAATGAAATTTCCTACTTCAAAATCCAAAGGTGTCATGCAAAAGATTTATTTTCTTAAAAAAAAAATAAAATTGTTAAACACCAATATCAACATGTCAAAACATAGAATCTTTCAAACAAACTCGAATTCGCAATTGTTACTTTTCGAGTGTATTTTGTATAAATTTCGATCAAATTTAATTACATGACAAACAAGATTTGAAGACTCTTTTAAACATTGCAATCAATACCTATTTATAAATAAATAAATAAATAAAGAAAAAATTCAAACCAACTTCACTCTGTTTCATCTTCACTGTAACACATTTCCTTAAACAATTTTAACAAATATTTAATTTTCATAATCTCTTTTTCCATTTATATATATATATATATATTTATTTCAATCAAGTTCAAACCCTATTTGAATTTTCAAGTTAGTAAACGTACGTAATTACTTCTAAACAATCTCATTTCAACAGAAAGCAAAAAGGATCTCTGCAAGGAAGAACATAGACAGTTATATACAAGTAGATAGGTATGTATGCATACTTACTGTCCAGAAGCTTCGTCTTGGAATCAGATTCAGATTCAGCGGAAGCGGAAGCTGCTGCAACTGCAACGAGTACGAGTCCGGCTGTAGAAGCAAGAGCAAGCTGTCTTCTTCCTCCACCATTAATCACAGCTTGTTTTCCACTGTCTCCAATTCCTAATTTATTATTATTGCTACTATTTCTGCAATTTGCACTCGCGCAAATTGATAAAGTGCTCGCTCTTGTTGCTGCTGCATTCTCCATTCGCTCTCGCGGATTTATTTCACCTAAACTCGCTGCGCTTTTATTCCGTTTCTTCTGAAAATTATCGGAAAGACCTTTTTTTTCTTTTCTTTCTTTTGTTTGTGGTTTCCACGGAACCCTTTGTGGATATTTGTATGTAATTTTGTCACTTTGTTATTTTTATTATTATTATTATTATTATTTTTTTTTTTATAAAGTTTTGGATTTGTCAAATAATTATTGGAGATGAGATGCCAAATAATAGATATTAGTATATATATATAGAAAATAACAAAATAATATTAAAATAACTTACATTAGATTTAAACTCATCATTTTTTGTCCTAGTATAAAATTTTTTTATCAATTTTAGTCCAAATATAACTAAAACTCATTATTTTTTGTCCCAATATAATCAAACTTTATCTTTTTTGGTCACACCGTCAACAAACCGACGAAAAATGCTGACGTGGACTTGCAAGATTGTGCATTTTCTTCAAAAATATGAATATAAGGTTTGATTTATTTTCACGTCAGCATTTTCCGTCGATTTGTTAATGGTGGGACAAAAAAAAGATAAGGTTTGATTATATTTGGACAAAAAATAATGAGTTTTTGTTATATTGGAACTAGAATTGATAAAAAATTTATATTGGGACGGAAAATGATGAGTTTTGGTTATATTGAAACCAAAATTGATAACGTTTTTATATTGAGACCAAAATTGATGAATTTTAGTTATATTGTGACTAAAATTGATTTTTTCTCATATATATACACGAGTAATAAGATAATAAAATTGATGAAATATAGGTTAACAAAGCCTAACTTCATATATTTTAAGGATTTTTATATTGTTAAAAAAATATTTACTTCAATATTACATCAAATAAAAAATAGTTAATATAATATTTTATTAAAAATATTACATTAATTAATCAAACTAATTAACTATATAAACTAAAATTTCTTAAACTAGTATATATATATTTAACAAGGGACTTTAATTCTCACAACATCAATTGTTTGGGGTTTTATTCTAATTTTTAAATATCGAGTTTGAATAGTTAGTTAAAATAACAAATAATCCAATAATCAGATACTTTATACATTAGTTATTTATTAAATTTACCAATAAAGATAAACAATAGTTTTAGCGTATAAATAATAACACTATACCAAAAATTATATAAACTAATAATATTATAAAAATATTTTATATTTTATAATTTATAATTTTTAATATTAATTAAACTATTTAGTTATATTAATTTTAAGCTATAATTATTTTTACCAATGTACTTCTTAATTACTTACTAATTATATTTTATCTAAATTCTCGTATCTACAATAATATGCTCATATTACATGATAAAAAAGAGAGTAAAATATTAATATTATAGATATAATTATATTCTAATTTGTAATTTACTAAAAAATTATTATAATTAAATTTGATTAAAAAAATTAATTAAAACTATTTCAAAATATATAATATAATTTTAATATATATTAATATTTATTTGATATAATTTAAAATAAAATAAATAAATATTAAAATTTAAAAAATATTATTAAATTTTTAATAAAATATTTAAATAGTATAATAGATAATTAAATGACTTTTTTTAATAAAATCTCTTCCCTCCCAATTCTTGAAATTATATAAAAAAAAATATAATAAAAAAAATAAAATTGGCTCCCCTAAACCCTAAACTGCCCTTCCATCCTTTCCCCTCTAAAAATTTTTGAACCGAACATACAAAATTTTATAATTCCCTTCTCTCCCCTCTCTTCCTAAACCCTCAAACCAAACAGGGGCCAGGGGACATATCGGAGGATCTGTGTTCCGCTACCTAACGCTGCCGGAGATATGCAATTGGCGCAGCGCATTCCACGGCACCGCTTCGTCGGATGCGGTTTGGGAATCCAAGCTTCCATGTGATTACCACCAACCAGCTGCTCGATTTCCTCTGTTTCTGTAAGAAGAATCCTTCTGTTCGACGAGAGAAACAAGACACGTTAATTAATTTCCGATGCATCTCGGTTACTTTTCGTCCTTATATGCATAATTTTTGCTTTCTCTTTTTGTCACATTTGTGGATCGATGGTTTGATTATCTTCCTCCATGATTCAATCAGTTGATCCTGGTTTATTTGCCCTGTTGAAATTTGTCTGGCTTTGTTTTTAGTTTTTCTTTACTCAACTCTGTTTAAATTAGGTTTTACTCACTTTATCTATAAATTTGGTTAATACGATTTGAAGTTGGTAGATTAATTCTTTCTTATTAGCTAAATTGCATCCATTGAATGAATTATGCTAATTTGTTGTTCCTGGCTCTAAGTATAGTGCCTGTAGGTTGCTAAATGAATCATGATATTGCCTTAGATTCTTACAGCTGCTGTTTATTTAGCTTTAGCACTTAGCACAGTGAGATTATGGATTTCTTTAAGAAATTGTTGCGTTCTTATCTTTTCGAATGGTTTAAGCTTCCAAGCTAGGTTTGGGATAGAATATGCAGTACTTTTGAAAGTATCTGAAGTTTTTATTTTATTCGATTCCTGTAAATTTGGTTTGAAGTTTTCACTTCAATGGGGGTATTGCAGATTGTATGGATGGACAAATTTACTGGGAGGGTTTGCATGTGTATATCTACAAAGGCAATGGCAATAACCGGCATCGATGCCAGAAGGTATTGGAATTGGGTTCTGACAGAGGAGTCAAGGTTAGTATTTTGATCCTTTCGGCATTTGGACTCATCTATGAAATGATATCTACATCAATCAATTGTTTTTCATGTGGTCATGCTTTATGAATTTGTTTTGTTAATCTTTGCATTTAAACTTGATTATAAAGCTTTTTTTCCTCCACCCATTGTTCTGACAATGCTGTACTCTTCTATGCAACTAATATAAATTTACTATTGTCATTCCAAAATTTTCCGTACAATTAATATTTATTAGGTCATTTTAAGGTGTGGTTTTTTAGTGACATGAGAATTGCAAAATCCAATTAGGTGGTTGATTAATATAATTTTGTTTTGAAGAAAATGCGCCATAAATTACCAAGTTAAGAAATCATTATGTATATAAATTTGATAATCATCTTTTATTTCCAAACTAAATTACTGTTGTTCAAATGATGTAATTGGGTGAAAATGGGAAACTAATAATGCACGTACCACTAGGTGTAAAGTTAAACCTTTAAACCTATAGAAGTACATCTACAAGTTCTGTTCACCATTTATTATTTGGGAATTTTTAAAATGTACATCAACATTTTACAATTTTGTTCAGGTGTTCATAAACTTACAAGTATAAGCATGTTTTGCTCGAACTACTTTAATCTTGCATGAAATTTAAGGTTCTCATGTAGCTAACAAAAATTTCAAATATGTAATTCTTGGTTGCACAACTACTTTTGGTGTCTCAGTCTGGTTCCCTTGGAGTTCGGAAATCTCACTCTGGTTCGCGCCAATCCCTTCACGGAAATCCTTACCCGGGCACCCGTGATGGCGTAAGCACGTTGCAAGTCAGCTATCATACCGGTTATTGCATTTTGCACCAATAATTCACCAAAAGCAAAAAATAATAGACAAATAGGCAAAAGGTTTGATCTGTTCTCTTTGGTTCCATAAAACTATTTTCTGCTATTTTTTCTCATTTGGTTTATTGGTTTTTACTATTTAGAATTTAGAATTTGCAAGTTAAACATCTTCTGTATGTAATCAGTGGCAAATAACACTAAATGATTTGCGGTTGAACTGGTTGTATGCTTTGGTGCTTATGTTCGACAATATTTGTTGTCTCAAAATTGCAACGAGATTGAATTTTTAGTTGTTCTAAAATAAAGAATGGAAAAAGTTACATATCTTCCATTATGTATTGAGCCAAAAACACTTGCTTGGTTCATTTATCCTGTAAACATGATCTCATTATAAATTTTGATTATATATGCACAATCATTAAGCAATTTTGGACTTTTCATTATGACACTAACTGAATGTATGTATCTCCAACTGTATTGATTGATTTACTTCCAGTTGTTGGTATTTGTTTTCTATTAATCCACTAATGGCTTCGTTAAGGGACAAAGGGCGTGCTTTTATAAACATATTATATTGTGCAGAAATAAAATTCTTGTGTGGAGATTGCATTTACAATGGAAGAAGCGTGGGATTATACAATTCTTGATGAAGTAGGCTTAATGTTCTGTACGTCATGCCCTTGGTTTTGTATGCAACAAGTACTAATTCCATATGAGTTCAAGTACTAATTTTGTACTCTTCCATTTTGAATGCAGAATTCTATTAGGGGCAGCTTACATTAATCAGGTGAGCATATCAACGAGGCATTAGGGTAAGTGTATTTTCCAAACTAATGTTTAATATCCTATGCATTGAGATTTGGTTGTATATTTTTACATTAACTTTTCTTTTAATCTTTTTTATTTTATTTTATTTTATTTTTATTTTACCTTATGCATTGTTGCAGATCGAGTTTTTAGGTGTGTTGCTACATCACAAGCAAGTCATCATTCGTTCTCTTCCTTAACCAACCATTTATATATAATATATATGTTTAGCTTTTGTTGATTTTATACTCTTCATTTCCTTGTACTACAGTCTATGAGATTTGGAAATTAAGTATTTATTTTACGGATCCATTTTTGGGTTAATGCGATGAGCGACCATAAATATATGTGATAGGTTTAGATTTATTTTTGTCGCTCCTATGGTGTCTATACTTGCTAATATGAAGTTTTCTATTTGATAAAAATAATATATTTGAAGTCACTTAACTCACTTTGTAGTCGATGTTGAAAATTTTGCTTGTGCTATTCTGTAATTTCTCTAGCATGTGAATCTTTTCATCTGTTCTATATATTAGGATATCTATTAGGTGTCTATTGAAATTTTGATGGCCCAACTCTTACAAGAATAAGTGGAACCCGGGCAGTTTCTATTCCTTTACATTGCTCGACATTGTTGATTTATTACATGTTTTTAGACAATATTATTGATTTAGGTCCTACATATATCATTCAACTTGTGTTTATAGAATATTTAGTCTTGGTTTGGATTGTGATTGCACACGTGCATAGATATTCAGTGTCATTTAAGAGATCAGCATAACACCAAAAGTCGTAAATATGCAACATATTTTTTATAACAAGATCTGAATATTGGTATCAAGCACCAAAAATACTTTATCCAACACAGTTGTACCTATATTGAGAAAAATATGCTTACCTGCAAATTAATTGCCCAGTAATTTTTGTTAAAAACTTATTTATATATTAGTTGTAATTTTATTTAAAATTGGCCATGTTTAAGCGTTGTCTTTATTATGTGGGGTTGATAAATCCAATTTTTGTCTTTAAATCCTTGAATGGTACATGGGTGAAGGTTACATAATGTATATATAGAAAAACCCTAGGGATGTCACAAAATAGGTGCAAAGATACTGAAGAGCAATAGATAATATCTCGAGGAACTGTGAGCTTAGATTTGTACATGATCTCACTCTTTAAAATTATGCGTATTCTTTAGTTAAGTTGTCTATGCTATTTGTAATTCAGCTTCTTTTTTTTTGGACCCTACTCTATTCTCATTTCGGGAAATTGAAATTTTATTGTTTGGATTAGTGAAGGATGTCCGAGCCAGCAACATACTTCTTGATGATTAATATGAAGTTAAGTTGGGAAGCCTCAGTAGGTTTGTCCTCAAGAAAGTGAAACTCATCAAAGGATGATCTCAAAGTTAATCCGTTTGCCCAGTAAGTAATTTCTTGCAACTAAATCTATGGTTAATAAAACTTTCATTCTAGTTGAATATGGGCACTAGCTATATAGACTTGCAATATAATTACAGTTCTAAAATTCTAGTATTCATGTGTATGTATGTGTGAATATTAATTTGTTGTCCACTAATTGTTGAACATATTTCCATAAGGCAAAAGGGTCAAATTTTATTTAAAACGTTGAAAATAGTTGTCATGTTGTGCTAATAATTTTCTCACGGGCATTTGTTTCTTCCCCTTATATTATGCTGGCACATTAAAGATGATATGAACAGATTGTTTGCAAGCTGGTATTAAGTAGTCTTAGTTTAGAAAATTTTATAAATTGTATTTTGTAATAATAATGCTTTGTGCAATTTCATTATACCAATTATATGAAGGACCAGTGGAAACATGATTTGTGTATTTTTTACTTAATCTCTTAATTCTAGGAGGTATATGTGAAAGCATTGGGAAAAGGGTTATTGTTGCACCATTGCACCATATCGGCGGATTTTAAGGAAAAGACTTCAGCATATCGGTGGATTCAAATTTTAAGGTATCTCGCTACCATTATTTGAGTAGTTAACATCATATTTAACAAAAAATTGTGAAAATTTCAGGCTGGTATTACTCCCTCAGCCACGCAAAAAATTAGTGCATTTTTTGCGAGGGAGAGAGTAATATTTTTTGGGCTGGATTAGACCGTTTTAAAATTCAAGCCCGATAGACCCGGCTTGATTTTGAATTGGGCTTGACAACCAAAACCCAAGCATGGCCCGGTTTCAAAATATACCGGGCCAGGCCAGGCTAGCCCAGATTTTAATAATACCGGGCCAGGCCAGGCTAGCCCAGATTTTAATAATACCGGGCCAGACCAGCCTAGATCTTGTAATCGAGATCGAAGGATCTTTGCGGATCCCCTCGTCTCCACATAAGCTTTACCTACAAATTAAAAACACTTAAAAATAAGTTAGTATAAAATATAGAAACAAAATTAATGCATGCATGTCCCGGGACTGACGTAAAATAAATCTATTTCTATATGCAAGATGCGAAATTAAATTAAATGCATAAATGTAAAAGGAAAGGGACGAATTGCTCCCTATGATGTATTCGGTCGTCCTATCATGCGGCCGCTCCCTCTCGTATGCATCTAAAAAGATTTAAAATAGATATTAGTATATATGTATAGGAAACAACAAAATAATATTAAAATCACTTACCTTGGATTTGAAATCGAGATCGAAGGATCTTTGCGGATGCCCTCGTCTCCACATAAGCCTTACCTACAAAAAAAAAGCACTTAAAAATAAGTTAGTATAAAATATAGAAACAAAATTAATGCATGCATGTCCCGGGACCGACGTAAAAATAAATCTATTTCTATATGCAAGAAGCGAAATTAAATTAAATGCATAAATGTAAAAGGAAAGGGACGAATTGCTCCCTATGATGTATTCGGTCGTCCTATCATGCGGCCGCTCCCTCTCGTATGCATCTAAAAAGATTCAAAATAGATATTAGTATATATGTATAGGAAACAAAAAAATAATATTAAAATCACTTACCTTGGATTTGAAATCGAGATTGAAGAATCTTTGGGGATGCCCTCATCTCCACATAAGCTTTACCTACAAAAAAAAAAAATACTTAAAAATAAGTTAGTACAAAATATAAAAAAAAGAATTAATGCATGCATGTCCCGGGACTGACGTAAAAGTAAATCTATTTCTATATGCAAGATGCGAAATTAAATTAAATGCATAAATGTAAAAGGAAAGGGACGAATTGATCCCTATGATGTATTCGGTCGTCCTATCATGCGGCCGCTCCCTCTCGTATGCATCTAAAAAGATTTAAAATAGATATTAGTATATACGTATAGGAAACAACAAAATAATATTAAAATCACTTACCTTGGATTTGAAATCGAGATCGAAGGATCTTTGCGGATGCCCTCGTCTCCACATAAGCTTTACCTAAAAAAAAAAAGCACTTAAAAATAAGTTAGTATAAAATATAGAAACAAAATTAATGCATGCATGTCCCGGGACTGACGTAAAAATAAATCTATTTCTATATGCAAGATGCGAAATTAAATTAAATGCATAAATGTAAAAGGAAAGGGACGAATTGCTCCCTATGATGTATTCGGTCGTCCTATCATGCGGCCGCTTCCTCTCGTATGCATCTAAAAACATTTAAAATAGATATTAGTATATATGTATAGGAAACAACAAAATAATATTAAAATCACTTACCTTTGATTTGAAATCGAGATCGAAGGATCTTTGCGGATGCCCTCGTCTCCACATAAGCTTTACCTACAAAAAAAAAGCACTTAAAAATAAGTTAGTATAAAATATAGAAACAAAATTAATGCATGCATGTCCCGGGACTGACGTAAAAATAAATCTATTTCTATATGCAAGATGCGAAATTAAATTAAATGCATAAATGTAAAAGAAAGGGATGAATTGCTCCCTATGATGGTCCGTTGAGGCGGCCGCTTCCTCTCGTATGCATCTAAAAAGATTTAAAATAGATATTAGTATATATGTATAGGAAACAACAAAATAATATTAAAATCACTTACCTTGGATTTGAAATCGAGATCGAAGGATCTTTGCGGATGCCCTCGTCTCCACATAAGCTTTACCTACAAAAAAAAAGCACTTAAAAATAAGTTAGTATAAAATATAGAAACAAAATTAATGCATGCATGTCCCGGGACTGACGTAAAAGTAAATCTATTTCTATATGCAAGATGCGAAATTAAATTAAATGCATAAATGTAAAAGGAAAGGGACGAATTGCTCCCTATGATGTATTCGGTCGTCCTATCATGCGGCCGCTCCCTCTCGTATGCATCTAAAAAGATTTAAAATAGATATTAGTATATATGTATAGGAAACAACAAAATAATATTAAAATCACTTACCTTGGATTTGAAATCGAGATCGAAGGATCTTTGCGGATGCCCTCGTCTCCACATAAGCTTTACCTACAAAAAAAAAGCACTTAAAAATAAGTTAGTATAAAATATAGAAACAAAATTAATGCATGCATGTCTCGGGACTGACGTAAAAATAAATCTATTTCTATATGCAAGATGCGAAATTAAATTAAATGCATAAATGTAAAAGGAAAGGGACGAATTGCTCCCTATGATGTATTCGGTCGTCCTATCATGCGGCCGCTCCCTCTCGTATGCATCTAAAAAGATTTAAAATAGATATTAGTATATATGTATAGGAAACAACAAAATAATATTAAAATCACTTACCTTGGATTTGAAATCGAGATCGAAGGATCTTTGCGGATGCCCTCGTCTCCACATAAGCTTTACCTACAAAAAAAAAGCACTTAAAAATAAGTTAGTATAAAATATAGAAACAAAATTAATGCATGCATGTCCCGGGACTGACGTAAAAATAAATCTATTTCTATATGCAAGATGCGAAATTAAATTAAATGCATAAATGTAAAAGGAAAGGGACGAATTGCTCCCTATGATGTATTCGGTCGTCCTATCATGCGGCCGCTCCCTCTCGTATGCATCTAAAAAGATTTAAAATAGATATTAGTATATATGTATAGGAAACAACAAAATAATATTAAAATCACTTACCTTGGATTTGAAATCGAGATCGAAGGATCTTTGCGGATGCCCTCGTCTCCACATAAGCTTTACCTACAAAAAAAAAGCACTTAAAAATAAGTTAGTATAAAATATAGAAACAAAATTAATGCATGCATGTCCCGGGACTGACGTAAAAATAAATCTATTTCTATATGCAAGATGCGAAATTAAATTAAATGCATAAATGTAAAAGGAAAGGGACGAATTGCTCCCTATGATGTATTCGGTCGTCCTATCATGCGGCCGCTCCCTCTCGTATGCATCTAAAAAGATTTAAAATAGATATTAGTATATATGTATAGGAAACAACAAAATAATATTAAAATCACTTACCTTGGATTTGAAATCGAGATCGAAGGATCTTTGCGGATGCCCTCGTCTCCACATAAGCTTTACCTACAAAAAAAAAGCACTTAAAAATAAGTTAGTATAAAATATAGAAACAAAATTAATGCATGCATGTCCCGGGACTGACGTAAAAATAAATCTATTTCTATATGCAAGATGCGAAATTAAATTAAATGCATAAATGTAAAAGGAAAGGGACGAATTGCTCCCTATGATGTATTCGGTCGTCCTATCATGCGGCCGCTCCCTCTCGTATGCATCTAAAAAGATTTAAAATAGATATTAGTATATATGTATAGGAAACAACAAAATAATATTAAAATCACTTACCTTGGATTTGAAATCGAGATCGAAGGATCTTTGCGGATGCCCTCGTCTCCACATAAGCCTTTACCTACAAAAAAAAAGCACTTAAAAATAAGTTAGTATAAAATATAGAAACAAAATTAATGCATGCATGTCCCGGGACTGACGTAAAAATAAATCTATTTCTATATGCAAGATGCGAAATTAAATTAAATGCATAAATGTAAAAGGAAAGGGATGAATTGCTCCCTATGATGGTCCGTTGAGGCGGCCGCTTCCTCTCGTATGCATCTAAAAAGATTTAAAATAGATATTAGTATATATGTATAGGAAACAACAAAATAATATTAAAATCACTTACCTTGGATTTGAAATCGAGATCGAAGGATCTTTGCGGATGCCCTCGTCTCCACATAAGCCTTACCTACAAAAAAAAAAGCACTTAAAAATAAGTTAGTATAAAATATAGAAAAAAAATTAATGCATGCATGTCCCGGGACTGACGTAAAAATAAATCTATTTCTATATGCAAGATGCGAAATTAAATTAAATGCATAAATGTAAAAGGAAAGGGACGAATTGCTCCCTATGATGTATTCGGTCGTCCTATCATGCGGCCGCTCCCTCTCGTATGCATCTAAAAAGATTTAAAATAGATATTAGTATATATGTATAGGAAACAACAAAATAATATTAAAATCACTTACCTTGGATTTGAAATCGAGATCGAAGGATCTTTGCGGATGCCCTCGTCTCCACATAAGCTTTACCTAAAAAAAAAAAGCACTTAAAAATAAGTTAGTATAAAATATAGAAACAAAATTAATGCATGCATGTCCCGGGACTGACGTAAAAATAAATCTATTTCTATATGCAAGATGCGAAATTAAATTAAATGCATAAATGTAAAAGGAAAGGGACGAATTGCTCCCTATGATGTATTCGGTCGTCCTATCATGCGGCCGCTCCCTCTCGTATGCATCTAAAAAGATTTAAAATAGATATTAGTATATATGTATAGGAAACAACAAAATAATATTAAAATCACTTACCTTGGATTTGAAATCGAGATCGAAGGATCTTTGCGGATGCCCTCGTCTCCACATAAGCTTTACCTACAAAAAAAAAGCACTTAAAAATAAGTTAGTATAAAATATAGAAACAAAATTAATGCATGCATGTCCCGGGACTGACGTAAAAATAAATCTATTTCTATATGCAAGATGCGAAATTAAATTAAATGCATAAATGTAAAAGGAAAGGGACGAATTGCTCCCTATGATGGTCCGTTCAGGCGGCCGCTCCCTCTCGTATGCATCTAAAAAGATTTAAAATAGATATTAGTATATATGTATAGGAAACAACAAAATAATATTAAAATCACTTACCTTGGATTTGAAATCGAGATCGAAGGATCTTTGCGGATGCCCTCGTCTCCACATAAGCTTTACCTACAAAAAAAAAGCACTTAAAAATAAGTTAGTATAAAATATAGAAACAAAATTAATGCATGCATGTCCCGGGACTGACGTAAAAGTAAATCTATTTCTATATGCAAGATGCGAAATTAAATTAAATGCATAAATGTAAAAGGAAAGGGACGAATTGCTCCCTATGATGTATTCGGTCGTCCTATCATGCGGCCGCTCCCTCTCGTATGCATCTAAAAAGATTTAAAATAGATATTAGTATATATGTATAGGAAACAACAAAATAATATTAAAATCACTTACCTTGGATTTGAAATCGAGATCGAAGGATCTTTGCGGATGCCCTCGTCTCCACATAAGCTTTACCTACAAAAAAAAAGCACTTAAAAATAAGTTAGTATAAAATATAGAAACAAAATTAATGCATGCATGTCCCGGGACTGACGTAAAAATAAATCTATTTCTATATGCAAGATGCGAAATTAAATTAAATGCATAAATGTAAAAGGAAAGGGACGAATTGCTCCCTATGATGTATTCGGTCGTCCTATCATGCGGCCGCTCCCTCTCGTATGCATCTAAAAAGATTTAAAATAGATATTAGTATATATGTATAGGAAACAACAAAATAATATTAAAATCACTTACCTTGGATTTGAAATCGAGATCGAAGGATCTTTGCGGATGCCCTCGTCTCCACATAAGCTTTACCTACAAAAAAAAAGCACTTAAAAATAAGTTAGTATAAAATATAGAAACAAAATTAATGCATGCATGTCCCGGGACTGACGTAAAAATAAATCTATTTCTATATGCAAGATGCGAAATTAAATTAAATGCATAAATGTAAAAGGAAAGGGACGAATTGCTCCCTATGATGTATTCGGTCGTCCTATCATGCGGCCGCTCCCTCTCGTATGCATCTAAAAAGATTTAAAATAGATATTAGTATATATGTATAGGAAACAACAAAATAATATTAAAATCACTTACCTTGGATTTGAAATCGAGATCGAAGGATCTTTGCGGATGCCCTCGTCTCCACATAAGCTTTACCTACAAAAAAAAAGCACTTAAAAATAAGTTAGTATAAAATATAGAAACAAAATTAATGCATGCATGTCCCGGGACTGACGTAAAAATAAATCTATTTCTATATGCAAGATGCGAAATTAAATTAAATGCATAAATGTAAAAGGAAAGGGACGAATTGCTCCCTATGATGTATTCGGTCGTCCTATCATGCGGCCGCTCCCTCTCGTATGCATCTAAAAAGATTTAAAATAGATATTAGTATATATGTATAGGAAACAACAAAATAATATTAAAATCACTTACCTTGGATTTGAAATCGAGATCGAAGGATCTTTGCGGATGCCCTCGTCTCCACATAAGCTTTACCTACAAAAAAAAAAGCACTTAAAAATAAGTTAGTATAAAATATAGAAACAAAATTAATGCATGCATGTCCCGGGACTGACGTAAAAATAAATCTATTTCTATATGCAAGATGCGAAATTAAATTAAATGCATAAATGTAAAAGGAAAGGGACGAATTGCTCCCTATGATGTATTCGGTCGTCCTATCATGCGGCCGCTCCCTCTCGTATGCATCTAAAAAGATTTAAAATAGATATTAGTATATATGTATAGGAAACAACAAAATAATATTAAAATCACTTACCTTGGATTTGAAATCGAGATCGAAGGATCTTTGCGGATGCCCTCGTCTCCACATAAGCTTTACCTACAAAAAAAAAGCACTTAAAAATAAGTTAGTATAAAATATAGAAACAAAATTAATGCATGCATGTCCCGGGACTGACGTAAAAATAAATCTATTTCTATATGCAAGATGCGAAATTAAATTAAATGCATAAATGTAAAAGGAAAGGGACGAATTGCTCCCTATGATGGTCCGTTGATGCGGCCGCTCCCTCTCGTATGCATCTAAAAAGATTTAAAATAGATATTAGTATATATGTATAGGAAACAACAAAATAATATTAAAATCACTTACCTTGGATTTGAAATCGAGATCGAATGATCTTTGCGGATGCCCTCGTCTCCACATAAGCCTTACCTACAAAAAAAAAAAGCACTTAAAAATAAGTTAGTATAAAATATAGAAAAAAATTAATGCATGCATGTCCCGGGACTGACGTAAAAATAAATCTATTTCTATATGCAAGATGCGAAATTAAATTAAATGCATAAATGTAAAAGGAAAGGGACGAATTGCTCCCTATGATGTATTCGGTCGTCCTATCATGCGGCCGCTCCCTCTCGTATGCATCTAAAAAGATTTAAAATAGATATTAGTATATATGTATAGGAAACAACAAAATAATATTAAAATCACTTACCTTGGATTTGAAATCGAGATCGAAGGATCTTTGCGGATGCCCTCGTCTCCACATAAGCTTTACCTACAAAAAAAAAGCACTTAAAAATAAGTTAGTATAAAATATAGAAACAAAATTAATGCATGCATGTCCCGGGACTGACGTAAAAATAAATCTATTTCTATATGCAAGATGCGAAATTAAATTAAATGCATAAATGTAAAAGGAAAGGGACGAATTGCTCCCTATGATGTATTCGGCCGTTCATGCGGCCGCTCCCTCTCGTATGCATCTAAAAAGATTTAAAATAGATATTAGTATATATGTATAGGAAACAACAAAATAATATTAAAATCACTTACCTTGGATTTGAAATCGAGATCGAAGGATCTTTGCGGATGCCCTCGTCTCCACATAAGCTTTACCTACAAAAAAAAAGCACTTAAAAATAAGTTAGTATAAAATATAAAAAAAATTAATGCATGCATGTCCCGGGACTGACGTAAAAATAAATCTATTTCTATATGCAAGATGCGAAATTAAATTAAATGCATAAATGTAAAAGGAAAGGGACGAATTGCTCCCTATGATGTATTCGGTCGTCCTATCATGCGGCCGCTCCCTCTCGTATGCATCTAAAAAGATTTAAAATAGATATTAGTATATATGTATAGGAAACCACAAAATAATATTAAAATCACTTACCTTGGATTTTGAAATCGAGATCGAATGATCTTTGCGGATGCCCTCGTCTCCACATAAGCCTTACCTACAAAAAAAAAAGTACTTAAAAATAAGTTAGTATAAAATATAGAAACAATATTAATGCATGCATGTCCCGGGACGGACGTAAAAATAAATCTATTTCTATATGCAAGATGCTAAATTAAATTAAATGCATAAATGTAAAAGTAAAGGGACGAATTACTCCCTATGATGTATTCGGTCGCCCGATCATGCGGCCGCTCCCTCTCGTATTCATCTAAAAAGATTTAAAATGAATATTAGTTTGTATATTAGGAAGGAAAAAGCAAAATAATATTAAAACTTAATCGATTGATCGATCGATCTACGGACATATGTACATGTCATCCCCCCCCCCTCCAAGAACTCAAAGTTAGCAAAGAAACTAAACTACACACCAACATGATCGATCGATCTACGGACATATGGTCTGTATTACAATCGATCTAAAGAAGGGCAGTAAGTACATGTCATCCATCATCCCCTCCCCTCCAAGAACCTCAAGAATGAATTAATAGTGAAAAAGAATCAGAGATGGGAAAAACGCACCAGCAAAATGGAAGATAACTCACCAGATTGCTTTGCTGCTGTTGCATCGATCGATCGAGATCGAAGCACTGCACTTGACCTCTGGATCGCCCTCCCTCCCAAGCACTGCACTTGATCTCTGGATCGCCCTCCCTCCTGTAAGCACACCATGCCCCTGCCCATGCCCATGCCCATGCCCCACCAAGAATCCCCCCCGCCCTGCCCTGCTCGTACCCCACCCCAAGAATCCCCCCTGCCCTGCCCTGCTCGTACCCCACCCCATTGCATTTGCATTTGCATTTGCATTGCACACCCAAAAATTTATAATAATGTTTACAAAATCAAAATCAAGAATATTTATAATAGTATGCCCTAACGGCTACTTACCTAATATAAAACTTACCATATATATAATTTCACATGTGTGTATTAAAATTCAAATAATTTCTTTTTTTTAATATTATGTGTATATTAATATTAAAATCAAAATCATTATGCTTAACGGCTACTTACCTAATATAAAACTTACCATATATATAATTCCACATGTGTATATTAAAATTCAAATAATTTCCTTTTTTATTATTATGTGTATATTAATATTCAAATCAAAATAATTATGCTTAACGGCTACTTACCTAATATAAAACTTACCATATATATAATTTCACATGTGTATATTAAAATTAAAATAATTTCTTTTTTTTAATATTATGTGTATATTAAAATCAAAATCAAAATCATTATGCTTAACGGCTACTTACCTAATATAAAACTTATCATATATATAATTTCACATGTGTATATTAAAATTAAAATAATTTCTTTTTTAATATTATGTGTATATTAAAATTAAAATCAAAATCATTATGCTTAACGGCACTTATAATTAACTTACCTATATAAAACTTAATATTATATGTATATTAAAATGACCGAATAGTTAATTAAAATAAAAAAAATTATAAATTATGAATTTTAAAATATGATTAAAGTCGATAATTATATTTCCAAAAAGAAAAGAGATAATGTATATGGGATGGACGGATATAGAAAAAGTTGACAAATTAAGTGGGACGGAGGAAGTAATATTTTATGTTAAACTATTATATTTTTTAGTGTATAAATTATATATTATATATTTTGTACAACACTTTACATATATATTATATTTTTTTAATATAAATCGAAAACCGTATTAAAAATTAAGTGGCGATGGGTTGGAGATCAACCTGGGTCACCTGCATGCCAACAGAACCAAGAGATTAAAGCTTTGCAAATACGAAAGAGAAATGTTTTCTTAACTACCATTACCATTGTATTTATTTATTAGATTTATCCTTATCTTTGTAGACCCAGATAGAGTAACTTCCTTCTCGCCGAACTCTAATTAACTCGGTGTCACAGTCACTTCCACGTTGTCCGGTGCGTGCACTGTCACCTCGTACACGGCATTCGCCTCCTTCCCGACATTTCTTACGCTTCGTTTATACTTCACAACGCTTTTAAAGCCGGAGAAGGCAACCGAGAGCGACGGGTAGTTCAAATCCCCCAGAGTTTTCAGCCCGACTGCGTTGCAATCCACGATCGACGAATCTTTCGTGAATGCCGTAATTTGCCGCACATTGTACCCGATGCTGCACAAAAACGCGACGTAGTTTTGGGTATCGATGTCGTAGATCAGGCCGGGATCCGTTGCTCGGTTTGGATCGATGTGGCCCGAGGATGGATTGGACACGTCCCCGGTGGCGAGGTCTGTTAAATTATTCCCGTTGTTGTCAACGTTGTACGCGTGGTCATCAATGCTGATTTGATCGCCGCCAGCGACCACTCAGGGTGGGCCTGTTTCAGCAGCGTCGCCAAGCCGCTGACGTGAGGGCACGACATCGACCTGCCGGAGATGATGTTGAATTCGACCTCGCGATTACTGCTGTTGAGAGACGTTGGCCAGACGTAGCCGGTCCAGCTGGCGAGAATGTTGACTCCGGGCGCATTCACGTCCGGCTTGAGAATCTCGGAGGTTCGATAGCGCGGACCGCGGCTGGAGAACGAGACCACGCGCGGGGACGACGGAGATTTGCTTACAACGGTTTCCCGCGACCTGATAGTCGCGATGGGATTCGGAGTTGCGCGGACATAAGCTAGGATTTTGTCGCCGCCGATTTCTCCAACCATTGTCGAGGGAATGAAGTGCGCATCGGCGAGGAGTTCCTCGCCGGAATCAGCTAAATTTTATTAATAATATAAAAAAAATATAAAAAATAAAATATTTACAAAAGCGTCATATTGCAAACAAAGTGAAAAATATTCTAATATGAAACAATCGAAACTCTAACAAATAATAAATTGAGTAGACTCATGTGTACCAAAAAAACATTCTTAGTTTTTTTCTTTTTTAATCATTTTTATTAGTTTATTACAAATATTTGTATTGTCGGCTGCCTGCACCGAGAGTTTTATTTAGAGAGAGATAAAAAAATATCTATGAAGTTTTTAAAATTTAAAATAACTAAAATAAATATAAAATATAATAAAATAATATTTTTATTGGCTATAATAACATAAAATAAAAAATATATATGTGACAAATAAACACGTAACTTAATTATCAGAAAAATTTGGAATAAAATTTCGTAGGTTTTTGATACGTAACAACTAATTAAGTACGTCATTTATTAATGCAATTATTAGAATGGTTATTCTATAAAGCCCGGATACTATTTTGTAAATTAAAATTACTTATTAATATTAAGGGCGTGTTTGTTTGTGAGATTTATTTTAGTTTTCTATTCTTAAAATGTTTTACTAAAACAAAAAAATATTAAATCAAATATATACACTTTCATTTATTATATTATAATAAAATTTAATTTTATATTCAAAATATTATTTTAATATATATATTACATCAAATTAAATAATTATTTTAATTCAAAATTTGAAATTTAATTTAATTTGCTCTGCTATTGGTAGTAGCATTAATTGTAGTAGCCTTTGAATACTAAGCTATATGTTTACATTTATATTTATTGAATTTTTGTTAAATATTTACTTCAAATCAAATAATTATTCTCATTAATTTTTTTTTTATCTAATTGGATAATTTACAATCAATATAATAGTATTTTTTTTAAAATAAAACGTTAAATTTAAATAAAATAAAAAATATTTCAATTTTTATTTCAATATTGCATCAAATAAGAAACACGACTAAAACTCGCGGGACGGAGGGAGTATGAGAATAAAAATTAATTAAAAATTAGAATAACTATCTTTGTGGCAGAGAGATAAAGTGAGGTGGATGGTGATGGTATAAAAGCAAACTCTTAAGAGGAGTTCTTGAAGAAGAATCGAAGCTGAAGGGAGGGGTTGCTCCAAAATTCTGCTGTGGGATCTCAATATTTTTTAGATTTTACAAAATTTTATACTATATATGTATATAGAGATAATCAATTTATTACAGTAAATTTTAGGATATTTTAACAAAAATTAATAGTATGGTACCAAAACTCGTATAATTTTCGATCTTGTAAACTTATAATTTTGTAACGATGGATTGTAAATGATCGTATTGCTTGCGATATTCGAAATTCAATTTTATATTTCGGTTTTGTTTCCTTTGGCTTTATAGCTATTAATATAGTTTTATAAATATTTAGAGTTTGTTCTATTGTAATTTTGAACTAAAATAACACTAATTATTTTATATAATTTTTAATAAAAAATTACTATTTATTTTAAAAATATATATCATATCAAAATACTATTTAAACAAGAATTAAAATCAAATACATTTTATTTCAAATTAATTTTAAATTACAATCAATTAATTGATTAATAGTAATAATAAAAAAATTGAGGTTTGGTTAGGTCGGTCTGGTCTGATCTGGTCTATTATCAATTTATCATTCTCGTACAGATAAATCCTCAACATCATTAAGAAACATGACAGTTAAGACAGAGCTGTGTTGCCATTATTATTACCTAAAAATGGAGTATGTAGGAGTAGTATAGTATTTTATATATTTGAATTTTTAAGGATGACTTCAACGGCCTCCACGTAGGACGGGACCCACCCCAGCCTGTAAGATTATTTTAATTAACGACCCACCCAAATCAAATGTATATCTAACGGAATTACTCCTTTTTATTTTTCGGTAGTCCGATCCTCCGGCCGCTCCCTCTCGTATATATCTAAAAAAATTTAAAATAAATATTAGTATATGGCAAATATGTAGACTGAATAATATATTCATCTATTCTATAATAGTATAATATAAAATTCCGAAATGGAATTAGACGTTGTCCATAAAACACTTTGTATTTTCTTTATTGCATAAAACCCCTTGTATAATATAAAGTTTGCATGTTTGATTCTAAATAAAAACATAAATTACGCCATATCTTGAGCAGGAGTTTGTACCAGTGATCGGTTTTCATCCCGAGTTTCCGGTGACCGGAAATTCGATAAAGAGTCGAGTCTGGGTCCGCTAACTGTTCGATCTCCGATTCTTTAACCTTCTTCAAGCCATGAGCCAACCATTTCCGCCTGATTTGAAACTCCCCTTCGATCCACGACTCGCGTTTTTGTTCGGCGAAGATCTGGACTTTGTCCCGCAATTTATGTACGGCTCGAACGCCGCCGCCGTCATTCTCTCTCGGGCGCCTTCTGATACACAATCCGAGAAATCGAACGCCGTGTGGGTCATTCGACGCCAAAACATCGTTCAATCACCCTCGTCGATATCCACATTGAGAGAGTTCTTCAAGAAATTTGTTACGTCGGATTTGAAATCAACCGCTACTTCCTTCGAACCCATCACGGCGAAGAAAAACTCGTCCATGAATCGACAACACTGGACTCTCGTGCTCGGGATTTTCTAGCGATCGTTCCCATTTACCTGCCTTCGAAAAACGCCGCAGAGCTTCGACTGCGACGTGTTCTCGCACGGCGCGCATATCGTATACCGCATCGATAATCGATACACCTCTCGATCGAAAAGATCGAGGTATATGTTCATGAGTATCGGCGAGAGCGCCCCTTCTTGCGGAAGTCCGCATCCTTTTGCCAACGAACCGAACTCGACATTCAAAACTCCAGCGTCGAACATCTTCCAAATCATCCCAAATAAATTTAAGTCGTCGACCTTTTCCTCCATCAACGATTCGATCCTACGAAGGATAGGCTCGTCGAGCTTCTTACAAACAAGAACCGTAAACCACCAATCGGGGTCGGAAATCTCCCTCCGAATATACTTCAACGCCGACACTCGACTCCTTCCGCTTCGAAACCCATGCGAAATCTTCGAGAAATGTGGCCCGGAAACGACCTCCAAAACGATCCTAATAGCTTCTTGAACAACCCGTAATTTCAATCCCGGAAGAACGAGCTTCGACTTCTTTACTTTCGCGCCTCGGCTCGATATCGTATATGTATTTTCGGAAACGTCGAAGCTCCTGTCGGCTAACTCCTCCGCCATTAACTAGAACGACAATGGATTGCTATCAGACGACAAATCGACATTCGAAGATGCTCGGAGACAATCGTAAGCATCCTTTAGAGTATTCGGATCGGCGATTACATTCGACATGAGATCGTGAAACTTCCCATCCCTATATTATTGCTTCACCTTCTTCTTAATCTGTAGCTCGAAGAACCTCCTCGATTCCAGCCTCGACCTCGGTTTCGGCATTCGATTTCGAGTTTTGTAAGATTGTTGAACCAGTGAGGCCAGATTGTTAGCCAGAGCTGATTTGCTAATCTCCCTATAAAATGATGAGTTTTATAAAAAATATATATCTTAAAAATATATTTTTTTAATAAAATAAATAATTTATTAATCATTTATTTAATATTTTTTTTAGATGAGTTGTTGCCTAGTTTTTTTAAAAAATATATATAAAATGAAGAATTATCAATTATTTATTTATTTATTTTATTAAAATAAGGTTATTTATTATATTTTACCTCTTTTATTTATTTTGAAATTTTATAATCATTTATATGTTTATAATCAAACATTAACTTTGGACGAAAAAAAATATTTTGTGAATATTTTAATTTTAACACAAGAATTTTACATAATAAATAAAATATAAAATATATTATGAATATATACTAAAACACAAAAGACTATATTTTGTTATGAGATTTTTTTTTTAATTTTATTATTTTTTTTTGGCCTCTTCTTTGTCAATATATTTTTATATGGAATTTATAACATATATATTATAGTATATCATTGATTTATAGTAAATAATTTTATTATTTTTATATTTTATTAAAATTTTATAATATTTATATTTTATTTTTATATTAAAATAATATTTTTTAGTTTATATAAAAATCTTCATTTTCAAATAAATAATATAATTAGTTGGAACATGATTATGGGGGTTTATTTATCTTGATATATTTTAATCTTTATGATTTAATTAAAAAAAATTCACATTAAATATGGTTTGAAAAGCATAGATTAACGGGACCAATCAATTACCTAATCCAATAATAATGGTGCTCACTTTATTTATTTATTTATTTTTGCTTTAATGAAATGGAAAACTTATATATATATATAAATATTTAGAAAAAGATAGCTCTTTCTCAAAGTAAACGATTTTTACGAATGTATTTGGATATATATATATATTTATTTTCTCCATTTTATAGGAAAATAATAATTAAATATGATATCTTAAAAGAAATTTAAAAATTAAATAGTAAAAAAAAGTGAAAAAAAAAAAACACACACACACACGAGAATGAATTCATTGTATTCAAAAAAATTTAATGCTTAAAAAAAATTTGAGAGTTATTTTTTCTTATCGAGATATTCACCGCTTTAATTTACACATAAGTAAACTTTTTGCAAATCCTCGCCAAGATAATACGCACATTAGTTTGGTAGCCATCGGAAATTTTGAAGGAAAAATCGAAACAAATGGCATAATAGTCTTGCTATGTCATTGTAAAAAAATTGTAACGTACATGTTCAAATAATATTACCTTCTATTTTGATACTAAGTCATAGAAATTAAGGAGATCTTTAAATTGCGTATACAACTACACATTTCGTCTTAAATTGAGTATTTACTATTCAAATTTTTTGCATTTTTTATTTACCTATTAATTTTTTACCCAGTATCAATATAATATGAATATTCCTTGAATCTCGTATTCAACTCAATTAATACTATATTTATAGAACAAAGAAGTTATACTTTTGAAAAAACACTTGAAATTTGAGGTTAAAGAAACAAACCTTATAGCAATTTATCCTTATTATTATTATTATTATTATTATTATGGGCCGCTAAAAATGGGATTCAATTGTGTGATAAATAAATAAACAAACAAGATTTTATGCATGTATATGTATAAATATATATATTATATGTGAATTTTGTTTTATGCAATATATATATATATGGATTTATTTGATTAAATTAATAATGTCACATTTACGTGTTGATTTATGAGATAACAAAAATCAGGTTTGATGATGTCACATAAAGATAACTACGTTGCAATAAAAACACACATCTTTCTCTCCTTTTTCCCTTTTATTAAATTAAATATTAGTATATTATTCCCAATTTTATATTCACCCTTGGCTTCATCAATTAATTATCATTTACGTGTCATGATTTTATTTGCAAACCATTGTATTATCTACATCTATCCATTCATTAATTTTATTTATTTATGATAAAAAAATAAAATAAAACAAAGTTTCAATACCTTTTTCTTTTACGTTCTGTATTACATTTAAGATTATTACTAATTAAAATTTTTGGTGTATACGTGATTCATAAATAATCTTATAAATAATACAATCAAAAAATAAACATGTCTAAAAAAGTTTAAAATAATAAAGTTAAAACTCTAGGCTGCACTTATATATATTTTGGAAATGTTATGATACTTTAATATTATATAATAGTAAAAAAAATTGAATTGAAATTAGTGATTTATATGTATGTTTATGGAAGAATGAAATTTGAATGTAATATTTTATAGAATAGATATATATATATATATGGAAAAAATCATTTTTTTGTCTCAATATAACCAAAACTCATCATTCTTGGTCATAATATAAATTTTTTTATTAATTTTAGTCCCAATATAACTAAAACTACTCATTTTTTGTCCCAATATAATCAAACCTTATTTTTTTTGGTCCCACTGTCAACAAACTGACGGAAAATGCTGACGTGGACTTACAAGATTGTTCAATTTCTTAAAAAATATAAATATAAGGTTTGATTTATTTTCACGTCAGCATTTTCCGTCGATTTGTTAACGGTGGGACAAAAAAAGATAAGATTTGATTATATTTGGACAAAAAATGATGAGTTTTTGTTATATTGGGACTAGAATTAATAAAAAATTTATATTGGGACGGAAAATGATGAGTTTTGGTTATATTGGGACAAAAAATGATGAGTTTTGGTTATATTATGACCAAAATTGATAAGATTTTTATATTGAGACCAAAATTGATGAATTTTGGTTATATTGTGACTGAAATTAATTTTTTCCCATATATATATACGAGTAATAAGATAATAAAATTGATGAAATATAGGTTGACAGGGCCTAACTTCATATATTTTAGGGAAACTTCATATATTCTAGGGATTCTTATATTGGTAACAAAATATTTACTTCAATATTACATCAAATAAAAAATAGTTAATATAATATTTTATTACAAACATTAGATTAACTATTCAAACTAATTAACTATATAAATTAAAATTTCTTAAACTACGTGCCAAAAAAATTGGACTATTTTCGCGGAACGGATGGAGTATATATATATATATTTAACAAGGGGCTTTAATTCTAACAACATCAATTGTTTGGAGTTTTATTCTAATTTTTAAATATCGAATAGTTAGTTAAAATAACAAATAATCCAATAATCAAATACTTTATACATTAGTTATTTATTAAATTTACCAATAAAGATAAACAATAGTTTTAGCGCATAAATAATAACACTATACCAAAAATTATATAAACTAATAATATTATAAAAATATTAAATATTTTATATTTTATAATTTATAGTTTTTAATATTAATTAAACTATTTAGTTATTTAATTTTAAACTATAATTATTTTTACCAGTGCACTTCTTAATTACTTACTAATTATATTTTATCTAAATTCTCGTATCAACGATAATATGCTCATATTACATGATAAAAAAAAGTAAAATATTAATATTATAGATATAATTATATACTAATTTTTAATTTACTAAAAAATTATTATAATTAAATTTGGTTAAAAAAATTAATTAAAATTATTTCAAAATATATAATATAATTTTAATATATATTAATATTTATTTGATATAATTTAAAATAAAATAAATAAATGTTAAAATTTTGAAAGATGTTATTAAATTTCTAATAAAATATTTAAATAGTATAATAGTTAATTAAATAATTTTTTTTTTATAAAATCCTTCCCCTTCAAATTCCCCCAAATTATAAAAAAATAAAATAAAATAAAAGAAATTGACTCCCCTAAACCCTAAACTCCCCTCCCATCCCTTCCCCTCTAAAAATTTTTGAACCAAACATACAAAATTTTATAATTCCCTTCCCTCCCCTTTCTTCCTAAACCCTCAAACCAAACAGGGGCCAGGGGACATACCGGAGGATCTGTGTTCCGCTACCTAACGCTGCCGGAGATATGCAATTGGCGCAGCGCATTCCACGGCACCGCTTCGTCGGATGCGGTTTGGGAATCCAAGCTTCCATGTGATTACCACCAACCAGCTGCTCGATTTCCTCTGTTTCTGTAAGAAGAATCCTTCTGTTCGACGAGAGAAACAAGACACGTTAATTAATTTCCGATGCATCTCGGTTACTTTTCGTCCTTATATGCATAATTTTTGCTTTCTCTTTTTGTCACATTTGTGGATCGATGGTTTGATTATCTTCCTCCATGATTCAATCAGTTGATCCTGGTTTATTTGCCCTGTTGAAATTTGTCTGGCTTTGTTTTTGGTTTTTCCTTACTCAACTCTGTTTAAATTAGGTTTTAGGTTAATACGATTTGAAGTTGGTAGATTAATTCCTTCTTATTAATTAAATTGCATAGTGTTTTGTGTAGTATTTTCTGAAAGTGAACAAACCCTAAGACAAAGTGGTTGTTTACTGTGAATTTTACTAAGAGCATTCACTGATGCCTCTGAAAATGCATACAACTAGATAACAAACGTCATTACAGTGCAAGTATTTGTTCAACTTCTAATGTGGGAAAACATGGTCTCCATAGTGAAATGTGTGAAATAATTGTTATATTTCAAAAAGTAGGAAGAAAAAAAGAAAAAAGACACAACATGAACTCATCCTTAAGGCTGAACAAATGTACAAAATACATTATTGGCTCTCAATTTCTCATCCAACAATCGCACTTGTATCCATTGCTGTTGCAAGTTAATTTGTCTTGATTTCGATTGCTTTGCAGGTGTCTTGTTCTCTGTGCAGTGAAACAATGGACCGCGACATTTTAGATGTACCCAAAGGAGAGAATTGTCCACAGAGGATTGTGACATGTGAATATTGCGAGTTTCCTCTGCCTGCTATTGATTTATTGGAGCACCAGGTAATAAATTGATATAACAACTTAGGTATCTTTAACTTAAGCTGACGTGCTTCTCATTTATTATGCCAGGAAGTATGTTGGAACCGAACAGAATTATGTCATATGTGCCATAAATACGTGAGATTTCGAGAGTGTTATGGTCATGAAAGCAGATGCAGTAGTGTTGTTAACGACGTTGCTGAATCTTCAAGGTAAGTAGTATCATTATCAGTAGATCATTTACGTAATTTAATGATATGGGTTTTACTAAAGAAGATTATCCACGCGAACACTCTGTTAATAAAAAAAAACAGGTGTTTTGTTTGATTATTTGGTAGAAATTTAGAAAATAGTTTGATAAATGATGTCAAACCAAAACCAAGCGGTGAAGTAACAGAACTTGAATTCATCAACATTTTGGAACTGTCTCTGCATTAATTGCATAAACCCTTTGGAATGTACTAATGGTTAGATGCTACTTAATAAACGTGTATACTTTTAAATATAATGTATATTAAATTCTAACAATGTTGAAATTTGAATATTTAATACAGAAATATGGCATAACAAGGTGGAAAATTTATGCTATGTAGGATTGAAGGAACAAGTGTGAAAGTAATTGTTGAAAATGAGGAGCAAGTAGAACTTTCATTCACAAGAACATGGGATCCTTCACCTGAAGGAAAGCAATCTCCTTTGCGAATAGACAGAAGGTTCTATCTACCTTACCTAGTTTAGTTTGTCCATTCGGATCAAAGGACGAAATCTTACCATGTCGATTTTTTAGGTTTGTGATGCTTCATGGCTCCCCAGGATTCTACTCTTACGCTATTTTCGAGCATTTGGAAGACTTCCCTGGTTTCAACCTTAGCACCACCCGAATCGCGTGCATGCTCAATAAAGACCTGTAAGAATCTCTTTACTACAATAACATTGCATTGTTGTTTTATCGCGGCAAGTTATCCTTCCATTTTCCAATTGGTTAGGCAAGATATTTAGATGACTGTAGGTTTTACCAGGTTACATTACATGGCAATATCAGATAACAGGCAAAGATACATGCCCAGGCCGGAAGATCGACTGCCTCCTAGAGGTCAAGAACTGGAGTACCCTGAAGCCGTGCTTCTTGTTGATCCTGTCGACCTGGAATTTAAAGGAGAAGTACACTGAGATTACTACTTCCTTAAAAATACTGCTGAAGAATGTGTTTTCTTTATACCTTTAACTTGTCTTCTTCGTTGATCTTTTTCATGTGCAGGTGGATGACAAATACCATTACTCAATTGAGAACAAAGATAATAAGGTGCATGGGTGGATAAGCTCTGATCCACCGGTGGGGTTCTGGCAAATTGCGCCGAGCAATGAATATCGAAATGGAGGACCTTTGAAACAAGACTTGACCTCTCATGTGAACCCGACCACCCTTGCGGTAAGCACCTGTCGGCTGTTGAAGCTGACTTCCTCTCTCGTGATTTTTACCAAAAACTTTCTGTGGATGCAATCTGATTTTCGTACCAGATATTTGTCACATATCATTATGCAGGAGAGGATCTTCTACTCAAATTTCAACCTGGCGAAATATGGAAGAAAGTGTTCGGACCAGTTTTTATCCATCTCAATTCTGTTCCGGACCGGTAAGCTGTTCGGACCAGTTTTTATCCATCTCAATATCTTCTACTCTTTGGAATAATGCCAAAGAACAGGTAAGCTGTTAGAGTTTGCACAAATGTACAAGAGAAGTGCTATATATTCATTTTTTCCCCTTTTGGGTAAATCTAAAGAAGCCGCATTATTGAAGCAGAACAAATATTATGAATGTTCTTCAAAAGGGCAGTAATAGTTGAAGAGGTTCACCATGAAGACAATGGAACTAAGAAGGAAAATCGAGATATGACAGGTATTGATTTTTTTATTTCAATATCTATAGAAATGATCTACAACTAAGTCACAACAAAAACATAGATTAACACAGATGCTTTTGGCGTCTCAGTCTGGTTCCCCTGGAGTTCGGAAATCTCACTCTGGTTCGCGCCAATCCCTTCACGGAAATTCTTACCCGGGCGCCCGTGATGGCGTAAGCACGTCGCAAGTCAGTTATCATACCGGTTATTGCATTTTGCACCAATAATTCACCAAAAGCAAAAAAGAATAGACAAATAGGCAAAAGGTTTGATTTGTTCTCTTTGGTTCCATAAAACTATTTTCTGCTATTTTTTCTCATTTGGTTTATTGGTTTTTACTATTTAGAATTTAGAATTTGCAAGTTAAACATCTTATGTATGTAATCAGTGGCAAATAACACTAAATGATTTGCGGTTGAACTGGTTGTATGCTTTGGTGCTTATGTTCGACAATATTTGTTGTCTCAAAATTGCAACGAGATTGAATTTTTAGTTGTTCTAAAATAAAGAATGGAAAAAGTTACATATCTTCCATTATGTATTGAGCCAAAAACACTTGCTTGGTTCGTTTATCCTGTAAACATGATCTCATTATAAATTTTGATTATATATGCACAATCATTAAGCAATTTTGGACTTTTCATTATGACACTAACTGAATGTATGTATCTCCAACTGTATTGATTGATTTACTTCCAGTTGTTGGTATTTGTTTTCTATTAATCCACTAATGGCTTCATTATGGGACAAAGGGCGTGCTTTTATAAACATATTATACTGTGCAGAAATAAAATTCTTGTGTGGAGATTGCATTTACAATGGAAGAAGCGTGGGATTATACAATTCTTGATGAAGTAGGCTTAATGTTCTGTACGTCATGCCCTTGGTTTTGTATGCAACAAGTACTAATTCCATATGAGTTCAAGTACTAATTTTGTACTATTCCATTTTGAATGCAGAATTCTATTAGGGGCAGCTTACATTAATCAGGTGAGCATATCAACGAGGCATTTGGGTAAGTGTATTTTCCAAACTAATGTTTAATATCCTATGCATTGAGATTTGGTTGTATATTTTTACATTAATTTTTCTTTTAATCTTTTTTATTTTATTTTATTTTATTTTTATTTTACCTTATACATTGTTGCAGATCGAGTTTTTAGGTGTGTTGCTACATCACAAGCAAGTCATCATTCGTTCTCTTCCTTAACCAACCATTTATATATAATATATATGTTTAGCTTTTGTTGATTTTATACTCTTCATTTCCTTGTACTACAGTCTATGAGATTTGGAAATTAAGTATTTATTTTACGGATCCATTTTTGGGTTGATGCGATGAGCGACCATAAATATATGTGATAGGTTTAGATTTATTTTCGTCGCTCCTATGGTGTCTATACTTGCTAATATGAAGTTTTCTATTTGATAAAAATAATATATTTGAAGTCACTTAACTCACTTTGTAGTCGATGCTGAAAATTTTGCTTATGCTATTCTGTAATTTCTCTAGCATGTGAATCTTTTCATCTGTTCTATATATTAGGATATCTATTAGGTGTCTATTAAAATTTTGATGGCCCAACTCTTACAAGAATAAGTGGAACCCGGGCAGTTTCTATTCCTTTACATTGCTCGACATTGTTGATTTAATACATGTTTTTAGACTATATTATTGATTTAGGTCCTACATATATCATTCAACTTGTGTTTATAGAATATTTAGTCTTGGTTTGGATTGTGATTGCACACGTGCATAGATATTCAGTGTCATTTAAGAGATCAGCATAACACCAGAAGTCGTAAATATGCAACATATTTTTTATAACAAGATCTGAATATTGGTATCAAGCACCAAAAATACTTTATCCAACGCATAGTTGTACCTATATTGAGAAAAATATGCTTACCTGCAAATTAATTGCCCAGTAATTTTTGTTAAAAACTTATTTATATATTAGTTGTAATTTTATTTAAAATTGGCCATGTTTAAGCGTTGTCTTTATTATGTGGGGTTGATAAATCCAATTTTTGTCTTTAAATCCTTGAATGGTACATGGGTGAAGGTTACATAATGTATATATAGAAAAACCCCAGGGATGTCACAAAATAGGTGCAAAGATACTGAAGAGCAAATCCAGGAACTGTGAGCTTAGATTTGTACATGATCTCACTCTTAGATTATGTGTATTCTTTAATTAAGTTGTCTATGCTATTTGTATTTTAGCTTTTTTTATTTTTGGACCCTACTTTATTCTCATTTCGGGAAATTGAAATTTTATTGTTTGTATTAGTGAAGGATGTCCAAGCCAGCAACATACTTCTTGATGATAAATATGAAGTTAAACTGGGAAGCCTCAGTGAGGTTTGTCCTCAAGAATGTAAAACTCATCAAAGGAGGATCTCAAAGTTGCTCCGTTTTGCCAGTAAGTAATTTCTTGCAACTAAATCGAAGGTCAATAAAACTTTCATTCTAGTTGAATATGGGCACTACTTATATAGGCTTGCAATATAATTACAGTTCTAAAATTCTAGTATTCATGTGTATGTATGTGTGAATATTAATTTGTTGTCCACTAATTGTTGAACATATTTCCATAAGGCAAAAGGGTCAAATTTTATTTAAAACGTTGAAAATAGTTGTCATGTTGTGCTAATAATTTTCTCACGGGCATTTGTTTCTTCCCCTTATATTATGTTGGCACATTAAAGATGATATGAACAGATTGTTTGCAAGCTGGTATTAAGTAGTCTTAGTTTAGAAAATTTGATAAATTGTATTTCGTAATAATAATGCTTTGTGCAATTTCATAATAACAGTTATATGAAGGACCAGTGGAAACATGATTTGTGTTTTTTTTTACTTAATCTCTTAATTCCAGGAGGTATATGTGAAAGCATTGGGAAAAGGGTTATTGTTGCACCATTGCACCATATCGGCGGATTTTAAGGAAAAGACTTCAGCATATCGGTGGATTCAAATTTTAAGGTATCTCGATTCCATTATTTGAGAAGTTAACATCATATTTAACAAAAAATTGTGACAATTTCAGGCTGGTATTACTCCCTCAGCCACGCAAAAAATTAGTGCATTTTTTGCGAGGGAGAGAGTAATATTTTTTGGGCTGGATTAGCCGTTTTAAAATTCAAGCCCGATAGACCCGGCTTGATTTTGAATTGGGCTTGAAAACCAAAACCCAAGCATGGCCCGGTTTCAAAATATACCGGGCCAGGCCAGGCTAGCCCAGATTTTAATAATACCGGGCCAGACCAGCCTAGATCTTGTAATCGAGATCGAAGGATCTTTGCGGATCCCCTCGTCTCCACATAAGCTTTACCTACAAATTAAAAACACTTAGAAATAAGTTAGTATAAAATATAGAAACAAAATTAATGCATGCATGTCCCGGGACTGACGTAAAAATAAATCTATTTCTATATGCAAGATGCTAAATTGAATTAAATGCATAAATGTAAAACGAAAGGGACGAATTGCTCCCTATGATGGTCCGTTCAGGCGGTCGCTTCCTCTCGTATGCATCTAAAAAGATTTAAAATAGATATTAGTATATATGTATAGGAAACAACAAAATAATATTAAAATCACTTACCTTAATTTGAAATCGAGATCGAAGGATCTTTGCGGATGCCCTCGTCTCCATATAAGCTTTACCTACAAAAAAAAATCACTTAAATATAAGTTAGTATAAAATATAGAAACAAAATTAAAGGATGCATGTCCCGGGACTGACGTAAAAATAAATCTATTTCTATATGCAAGATGCGAAATTAAATTAAATGCATAAATGTAAAAGGAAAGGGACGAATTGCTCCCTATGATGTATTCGGTCGTCCTATCATGCGGCCGCTCCCTCTCGTATGCATCTAAAAAGAATTAAAATAGATATTAGTATATATGTATAGGAAACAACAAAATAATATTAAAATCACTTACCTTGGATTTGAAATCGAGATCGAAGGATCTTTGCGGATGCCCTCGTCTCCACATAAGCTTTACCTACAAAAAAAAAGCACTTAAAAATAAGTTAGTATAAAATATAGAAACAAAATTAATGCATGCATGTCCCGGGACTGACGTAAAAATAAATCTATTTCTATATGCAAGATGCGAAATTAAATTAAATGCATAAATGTAAAAGGAAAGGGACGAATTGCTCCCTATGATGTATTCGGTCGTCCTATTATGCGGCCGCTCCCTCTCGTATGCATCTAAAAAGATTTAAAATAGATATTAGTATATATGTATAGGAAACAACAAAATAATATTAAAATCACTTACCTTGGATTTGAAATCGAGATCGAAGGATCTTTGCGGATGCCCTCGTCTCCACATAAGCTTACCTACAAAAAAAAACACTTAAAAATAAGTTAGTATAAAATATAGAAACAAAATTAATGCATGCATGTCCCGGGACTGACGTAAAAATAAATCTATTTCTATATGCAAGATGCGAAATTAAATTAAATGCATAAATGTAAAAGGAAAGGGACGAATTGCTCCCTATGATGTATTCGGTCGTCCTATCATGCGGCCGCTCCCTCTCGTATGCATCTAAAAAGATTTAAAATAGATATTAGTATATATGTATAGGAAACAACAAAATAATATTAAAATCACTTACCTTGGATTTGAAATCGAGATCGAAGGATCTTTGCGGATGCCCTCGTCTCCACATAAGCTTTACCTACAAAAAAAAAGCACTTAAAAATAAGTTAGTATAAAATATAGAAACAAAATTAATGCATGCATGTCCCGGGACTGACGTAAAAATAAATCTATTTCTATATGCAAGATGCGAAATTAAATTAAATGCATAAATGTAAAAGGAAAGGGACGAATTGCTCCCTATGATGTATTCGGTCGTCCTATCATGCGGCCGCTCCCTCTCGTATGCATCTAAAAAGATTTAAAATAGATATTAGTATATATGTATAGGAAACAACAAAATAATATTAAAATCACTTACCTTGGATTTGAAATCGAGATCGAAGGATCTTTGCGGATGCCCTCGTCTCCACATAAGCCTTACCTACAAAAAAAAAACACTTAAAAATAAGTTAGTATAAAATATAGAAACAAAATTAATGCATGCATGTCCCGGGACTGACGTAAAAATAAATCTATTTCTATATGCAAGATGCGAAATTAAATTAAATGCATAAATGTAAAAGGAAAGGGACGAATTGCTCCCTATGATGTATTCGGTCGTCCTATCATGCGGCCGCTCCCTCTCGTATGCATCTAAAAAGATTTAAAATAGATATTAGTATATATGTATAGGAAACAACAAAATAATATTAAAATCACTTACCTTGGATTTGAAATCGAGATCGAAGGATCTTTGCGGATGCCCTCGTCTCCACATAAGCTTTACCTACAAAAAAAAAGCACTTAAAAATAAGTTAGTATAAAATATAGAAACAAAATTAATGCATGCATGTCCCGGGACTGACGTAAAAATAAATCTATTTCTATATGCAAGATGCGAAATTAAATTAAATGCATAAATGTAAAAGGAAAGGGACGAATTGCTCCCTATGATGTATTCGGTCGTCCTATCATGCGGCCGCTCCCTCTCGTATGCATCTAAAAAGATTTAAAATAGATATTAGTATATATGTATAGGAAACAACAAAATAATATTAAAATCACTTACCTTGGATTTGAAATCGAGATCGAAGGATCTTTGCGGATGCCCTCGTCTCCACATAAGCTTTACCTACAAAAAAAAAAAGCACTTAAAAATAAGTTAGTATAAAATATAGAAACAAAATTAATGCATGCATGTCCCGGGACTGACGTAAAAATAAATCTATTTCTATATGCAAGATGCGAAATTAAATTAAATGCATAAATGTAAAAGGAAAGGGACGAATTGCTCCCTATGATGTATTCGGTCGTCCTATCATGCGGCCGCTCCCTCTCGTATGCATCTAAAAAGATTTAAAATAGATATTAGTATATATGTATAGGAAACAACAAAATAATATTAAAATCACTTACCTTGGATTTGAAATCGAGATCGAAGGATCTTTGCGGATGCCCTCGTCTCCACATAAGCCTTACCTACAAAAAAAAGCACTTAAAAATAAGTTAGTATAAAATATAGAAACAAAATTAATGCATGCATGTCCCGGGACTGACGTAAAAATAAATCTATTTCTATATGCAAGATGCGAAATTAAATTAAATGCATAAATGTAAAAGGAAAGGGACGAATTGCTCCCTATGATGTATTCGGTCGTCCTATCATGCGGCCGCTCCCTCTCGTATGCATCTAAAAAGATTTAAAATAGATATTAGTATATATGTATAGGAAACAACAAAATAATATTAAAATCACTTACCTTGGATTTGAAATCGAGATCGAAGGATCTTTGCGGATGCCCTCGTCTCCACATAAGCCTTACCTACAAAAAAAAAAGCACTTAAAAATAAGTTAGTATAAAATATAGAAACAAAATTAATGCATGCATGTCCCGGGACTGACGTAAAAATAAATCTATTTCTATATGCAAGATGCGAAATTAAATTAAATGCATAAATGTAAAAGGAAAGGGACGAATTGCTCCCTATGATGTATTCGGTCGTCCTATCATGCGGCCGCTCCCTCTCGTATGCATCTAAAAAGATTTAAAATAGATATTAGTATATATGTATAGGAAACAACAAAATAATATTAAAATCACTTACCTTGGATTTGAAATCGAGATCGAAGGATCTTTGCGGATGCCCTCGTCTCCACATAAGCTTTACCTACAAAAAAAAAGCACTTAAAAATAAGTTAGTATAAAATATAGAAACAAAATTAATGCATGCATGTCCCGGGACTGACGTAAAAATAAATCTATTTCTATATGCAAGATGCGAAATTAAATTAAATGCATAAATGTAAAAGGAAAGGGACGAATTGCTCCCTATGATGTATTCGGTCGTCCTATCATGCGGCCGCTCCCTCTCGTATGCATCTAAAAAGATTTAAAATAGATATTAGTATATATGTATAGGAAACAACAAAATAATATTAAAATCACTTACCTTGGATTTGAAATCGAGATCGAAGGATCTTTGCGGATGCCCTCGTCTCCACATAAGCTTTACCTACAAAAAAAAAGCACTTAAAAATAAGTTAGTATAAAATATAGAAACAAAATTAATGCATGCATGTCCCGGGACTGACGTAAAAATAAATCTATTTCTATATGCAAGATGCGAAATTAAATTAAATGCATAAATGTAAAAGGAAAGGGACGAATTGCTCCCTATGATGTATTCGGTCGTCCTATCATGCGGCCGCTCCCTCTCGTATGCATCTAAAAAGATTTAAAATAGATATTAGTATATATGTATAGGAAACAACAAAATAATATTAAAATCACTTACCTTGGATTTGAAATCGAGATCGAAGGATCTTTGCGGATGCCCTCGTCTCCACATAAGCTTTACCTACAAAAAAAAAGCACTTAAAAATAAGTTAGTATAAAATATAGAAACAAAATTAATGCATGCATGTCCCGGGACTGACGTAAAAATAAATATATTTCTATATGCAAGATGCGAAATTAAATTAAATGCATAAATGTAAAAGGAAAGGGACGAATTGCTCCCTATGATGTATTCGGTCGTAATATTATGCGGCCGCTCCCTCTCGTATGCATCTAAAAAGATTTAAAATAGATATTAGTATATATGTATAGGAAACAACAAAATAATATTAAAATCACTTACCTTGGATTTGAAATCGAGATCGAAGGATCTTTGCGGATGCCCTCGTCTCCACATAAGCCTTACCTACAAAAAAAAAACACTTAAAAATAAGTTAGTATAAAATATAGAAACAAAATTAATGCATGCATGTCCCGGGACTGACGTAAAAATAAATCTATTTCTATATGCAAGATGCGAAATTAAATTAAATGCATAAATGTAAAAGGAAAGGGACGAATTGCTCCCTATGATGTATTCGGTCGTCCTATCATGCGGCCGCTCCCTCTCGTATGCATCTAAAAAGATTTAAAATAGATATTAGTATATATGTATAGGAAACAACAAAATAATATTAAAATCACTTACCTTGGATTTGAAATCGAGATCGAAGGATCTTTGCGGATGCCCTCGTCTCCACATAAGCCTTACCTACAAAAAAAAAACACTTAAAAATAAGTTAGTATAAAATATAGAAACAAAATTAATGCATGCATGTCCCGGGACTGACGTAAAAATAAATCTATTTCTATATGCAAGATGCGAAATTAAATTAAATGCATAAATGTAAAAGGAAAGGGACGAATTGCTCCCTATGATGTATTCGGTCGTCCTATCATGCGGCCGCTCCCTCTCGTATACATCTAAAAAGATTTAAAATAGATATTAGTATATATGTATAGGAAACAACAAAATAATATTAAAATCACTTACCTTGGATTTGAAATCGAGATCGAAGGATCTTTGCGGATGCCCTCGTCTCCACATAAGCTTTACCTACAAAAAAAAAGCACTTAAAAATAAGTTAGTATAAAATATAGAAACAAAATTAATGCATGCATGTCCCGGGACTGACGTAAAAATAAATCTATTTCTATATGCAAGATGCGAAATTAAATTAAATGCATAAATGTAAAAGGAAAGGGACGAATTGCTCCCTATGATGTATTCGGCCGTCCTATCATACGGCCGCTCCCTCTCGTATGCATCTAAAAAGATTTAAACTAGATATTAGTATATATGTATAGGAAACAACAAAATAATATTAAAATCACTTACCTTGGATTTGAAATCGAGATCGAAGGATCTTTGCGGATGCCCTCATCTCCACATAAGCTTTACCTACAAAAAAAAAGCACTTAAAAATAAGTTAGTATAAAATATAGAAAAAAATTAATGCATGCATGTCCCGGGACTGACGTAAAAATAAATCTATTTCTATATGCAAGATGCGAAATTAAATTAAAT